AAAATTCCTGAATAAAAGATCAACGCTGTTCCGAATGAGCTGGAACTGAAACTTTAAAATTTCATCGTCGTTGTAGACGACACATTTGCGGTGCCGAGACGTCTTCGCGGCTTTTTTTTAACAAAATTAGCGAGGGTTGAGATTTAACCGCTTAATGAGCCGAGACGTTCCAGCGAACGGAAAATGAAAGATGTTCTTTTGGCCTAAATCAGTGGATTCATCAATAAGGGGGAAGAGGATGAAAATGGGGCTCTAGGAATCATAAATTTTATTTTAAGCTGGGGAAGGGGGTTCGCTCGCCTGCAATTGGCTGATGGCAAAATTCTGGCATCTGATTGGGCAGGTGTCTAAAACCGACAGAAATATTTCGACAAATTTTGCATGGGCGGCTACTCGGCTGCTGATTGGCTAGTTTGCCGAATCCAGGCTTCCGATTGGTTAAAAATTTTCACGCAAAATTTGTCGAAGTTTTTTTGTCTGTTCAGGACATCTCCCCAATCAGGAAATGATTTTGCATGGAAATTTTCAACCAATCAAAAGCCCGGATTCGGCAAACTGGCCAATCAGCAGCCGAGAAGCCGCCCACGCAAAATTTGTCGAATTTTATTTGTTGATTCCAGACACCATCCGCTCTGATTAGCTGAAAAAGCCCTCAGATCCCCATCAGCTCTGAGGACTTTGGCTAAGCGTGTTTTTTATTTAAACAAATTTCTCTGTTATGAAATTTCAGTTTCTGATTTATCATAGTAAAAGTCTTCTATCGTCGTCTTCCTAATTAATCCAATTTCCGTTCCGCCGCGATTGATGACTCTTTCTTCGTGCTCGCGTTTTTCAACATAACGTGGTTTGTTAGACACAACCAAAATTGATAACCATGTCATTTGTATTTTTGCTCTTACCGAATTTTGAAGGTAACCAAGAAGATCTGTTTTGATAAGCCCCGAAAAATTGGATGACGATTTGAGAAGCAACCTGGATTTAGACCCATTTATAAAGGAGGATTTAAATAAGGGTGGAAGGGATTTGGAGGATAATTGATTACTGTATTTATTAAAAATTTGCAAGGTTAAATTTAAAGTGAGGTTTAGGTTTTTTCGGCCCTGACTCAGGTTTCTTACACTGGTTATTGACCGAACTCTAAATTAAGAACCCTTCGTGGGCAATTTTTGACAAATCAAATTTCGGAATTTTTAAACTTTGACCCCGGAAATGGATTCTACGGGTCAAAAAAAGATTTTGAGGCTTCATTTTTTGGGAGTCTATCTCGACTCTAACACCCTCAAAATCGCGTTTGAAAATAGGATTTTTCGCTGAAAATTGCCGAATTTGCCCTAATTTTGGCAAAAATATTGATTTTTCTTGGTCAAAAATTCCTTTTATCAAGTTTTTGAAGCAATAAGAACCAAAAATATGTTGTTTTTTTTTTAATTTCCATTTTTCGAAGGAAAAACCTGACGGGCGTCCTTAAATCATTAAAATTTTCGGAAGTCATTGTTGAAGAAATTCAAGCGCCCAACGGTCGTTTACGTTGAATGATAAAAAATGCTGAGATTTTCAATTTAAACTTTATTTCGTCGAGCAACTCCACACGCCGCCTAATCCGAAAATGGTCGCTCATTTCAGTGGCTCTATTTTGTATTTCAATAACAAATTTGCCTTTTAGAAACGCTTCACGAGGGGTACCCTAAGGTCGTCTTGATTTATTTGAACTGGGTGGAATCAAAACAGAAGCGAATTTGATTTTGAGCTTCTTTTTAATTGGGGTTTTGGCGTTTCTCAGAATTTTAAATGGCGAATTCGATATTAGGGTAAAAAAAAGACGCAGCTGCGAAGTTTTTGCTAAGAAGGGATCGCTTTTTCACGTAATTACTGTTCAGGTGCAGCGTGGATTCTTGATGATAAAACGGGGTATGCACAATCCTATTTTTTGGCGACTCAAATGTGATTTCTATGCTTGAGCTTTCTCTATTAGAAAATAGATCTGAATGATTTTTCGGCAAAATTCTCACGAATTATGATTTTTCTGATTCAATGAAAATGATAACTATGCATTTGATCTTGTCAATTTTTTCTGATAACGAAACAATTACCAATCGAAAAATTATTGAAAGGATAAGTACCACCAAACGTGCTCAGTATTATGCGATAATCGGGAATTTCTTTTATCTCGACAACGTTATAATTGCGAAAATACGCGCTATCTGGCCCAATTTGCTGCCTTTCTGACGTGATTAGTATTTTCCCAAAGCACCATTTTTTAATCATACTAGCTGCTTTCTATTTTTATCATTTTTTGGCTAGAAAGGCAACAGTTCTGTTTACAGTTTCAGAAAAATATATTAAGGGCATCCCTTAGCTAATCTGGTAACCTGTGTTGAAAACCTGAGTCAGGGTCTGAGAGATCCATTTTGAAAAGCTCTCAGACCCTGACTCAGGTTTTTAACACAGGTTGCCAGATAAGCTAAGAGATACCCTTAATTTTTCGCTGAAACTGTAAATAGTACTTTTGCCTTGCTAGTCTCACAGACCCTGACTCAGGTTTTTCACACAGATTTCTGTCTTGAGAAAAATTCTCGAAATTCGCCAGTCAGATGACTTGGCTTTCTAAAAAGAGAGAGAATCTGTAAAAACCGCTATTCTTGCCCTTGCCCAAATTGCCAGATTTTGCCGCAACAAGATTTTCGTTTACCAACCTTGGTAAAAAGTCAAGATACCAAGTTCGTAATTTGCGACTTTTCTCATAAAGAGAAATTTTCTAAAGCAAAGTTCAAGTGATAAAGAACATAATTTTGTTGTAAGCGGGTTTTTACGGAATATCTTGATTATTCTAAAGAGACGATCGAGGTGTTACTGCCAGCTGGTAGTAAGTAAGAGCTGTTTATTGTTGAAATAAAAATTAGAGATCTCCATGACAGAACTGACAATCAATCACTTCTTTCAAATCGGATCAAAACTAAAAATCTAATTTTGACCTTTTTCTATTTACAGAAATAATACAGTCAGGTCAAAGGGGTGTCGTCAGGAACCGACAAAAAATTCGACAAATTTTGCGTCGGCGGCTACTCGCCTGCTGATAGGACGATCCAGCCTTCTGATTGGCTGAAAATTTCCACGCAAAATTTGTCGAATTTTTTTGTCGCCTCCCCGTTGTCAGAACCTGGACTCGGCCGCCTGTGTGGAAAACCTGAGTCAGGTTCTGAAAAGCCGCGTAGGCAGAACCTGCCCTAGGTTTTCTACACAGGTTGTTGAGTCCAGGAGAAAACTTGACTTCGTGGGTCGATTTCTTTTTGTTCGAAGTCGAAAAGAATATATCATCTTTTTCAAATATGACTTTGAATAAAAACGGTTTGAATTGGATTCTCCTGAATAGATTTCCTTTCCAATTAAAAGAGCGTCCTTCTGCCCAGATAAACAAGCCGATTTGTCTGCATATAAAACATGCTCAATTATTCAAGCACTTTTTTGTCTTCCTCATTCAGTTACAGTTGATTCTCCTAGAGCTTCTTCAGGAGAATTAACAAGAACTGATACCCTTAATTTTCCGTCACGGGGAAGCTTAAGAAGCGACAAAATTGCGACAAAAAGTGGCGAGTTAGAGATTTCACTAGGCCTTTTGAGGTTCTATCGCAATTTTTGTCCACAAATTTTAACCAATCAGAAGGCTGTATTCGTGGATACCGGCTGTTCAGCAGCCAATCAGATTTCAATGCTTATAGATAAATTATTGATTATCAAAAAGCGACAAATTTTGAAGTTTTTTAATTTTGACGCGATTTTCGGAAAAAAAAATGTCGCAATTTTTTGTCGCTACTTTTGATTTCCCCTTTGAGCAACCGGAAAATCGAGTATTTTGCGTTTACTGCCCGATCTTGACATTAAAAATGGAAGCGGGAGAATACTGTGTTTGTGGAAGAACGAATTATCCCCTGGCACTGGAATGCATGTTTCAAGAAGAAACAGTTTTTCTTATCTTTTCGCGGTTAAATCGAGCAAATTATTCTCGAATTTGTCGATGTAGCCTTCTTTAAAACTGGATGCTCACTTTGCCGATGTTCGAGAGCTTCTTGGACCCGAGTTAACCCTTTTCCGCTCGCTCTCTCTTTTTGCTAAGTGCCGCTTCAATAAGATATTTGCACAATTGGCGGCTCTTAATAGCTCATTCGAAGTAAAACGGTTCTTCCAACTTTAGTCATTTTTCATGAACGAAACCATTTTCAACCCAAGTTTTGGGTTTTTTGGTGATTTTTGGACCAAATATTTCTTTGTTTACAAAGGGGATTTCTACAAATTTTCGACCAATGAGGGAATCGGATTTTTGGGTACCGACAAGTAAGCAGCCAATCAGCATTTTCTTTTTCCTAACCCTAATCTAGCTTTTTTAATAATTTAATATAGAAAATGCTGATTGGCTGCCAACCCGCCGGTAACCCAAAATCCAGTTTCTTGATTGGACGAAAATTTGTCGAAATCTCCTTTGTAGACCATAAAATATTGTCTTTTTATTTCATTTTTGACCAATTTGAATCTTGTTTTTCTTTGGTTTTTGGTCATTTTTTGGCCCTTTTTGATCAATTATTGAAAAAAAAACAGTAAAAATACTCTGTCGGCATTGATTGTTTGGCTACAACTTGAGTCAAAAAGGTTTAAGAGCTTCCACTTGGCTTTAATAAGTTACGTGATAATGTCTGAAATTACGATATCTATCCACGGCCAAGTGCGGATCAAACGGGAGAGCGTCTAAAAATGGACAAGATAGGAGCTCAAAATCGGTCTTGAAATTGTCAATCTGAAGATAATTTGAAGCAACCAGATTGACCGTGAATTAAAACAGTAATTGCGCAATTACAGTGGTGCTTTCCAAGACAAGCCGATTTCTGTCGCTTTTATTAATTTGTCAGGATGTTAAAAGCCGACTCTTTGTCAATTTCAATGCCTTCGGGAGCAATTTTTCTTCTATTTAAAAATCAACAATTACAGTTCTTTTTCTTAAAACGGGAAAAATGAGAGTTGGGAAAGTTTTGATGCTCTTTTTTTCCGCTATTTCGGCATTTTGTAAGTCAAAATTTTTCAATAAAAATAAGAGCCTCAACGATCCAAATGTAAAAACCTGAGTCAGGAATCCTGATCTGATGAGCCTGAATAAGAGCGCTTTAGACCCTGACTCAGGTTCTCTGCACAGGTTGTGGGGCAATTTTTGTCGGCAATTTATCAGGCATTTTTTAAAATTGGCCAATCAGAGGCCCCTATTTTTTTAAGGAGCCAATCAAATTTGTCATTTTCAAAAAATGCCTGCACACTGTCTATAAACCGCATCTTTAGATAGTTTTTTTCCGCCCGTGTTAGCAAAACTCTGTTGCTTTTGGGCAGCCTTTTCGGTGAGCCAATATTATCGCAAAATGATGAATTTGGCCACAGATGGTATTTCTATTTTTGCCAGCATATGATGCAACGCTTAATATGCATCGCTCAATTAATATCGAAGAGGACGATCCAAAAGTTGCTCGAGAGCCCAGCAAGACGGTGCCCAAGCAGCCGGAATAAATTAAAAACCCGCCGTAAGGAATATATAAACCCCCCTTCGACGGTACTTTCTTCACTTTTTCGAGCCGAAAAAAAACTTTCTTCAGAAAAAATTTTTAAAAATGAAAATTGTCAAAGCAATTTGCTTTTTCGCCTCGATCGCTTTTGGATACTGTAAGTACTGAAAACAGTAAATGAACAGATAAAAGAGCCATCAAAGGAAAAGGGAGGAAAAAGGCGAAGGGGATAATCCCCGCGTTATCGCGCCAGCTGCTTTTGAAACGTAAATTTAGAGTTTCACCAATCAGCTTAATGACTACTCGTAGTTCATCACGGAGGGGAGAGTTTTTGGAAAGTTGTTCCAAGAAAGTTCAAAAGAAAAATACACCCAGACGAATAAAAAAAAGACTCCAGCTCCTCTCGATCTAAATCCTGAATCTTAATCGCTCGAATATCTCCAACACCACCATGGCTTCTCCCTCAATTTATCTCCAAGGCGTTGTCCTTCTCAAATCTGGAATCTGGAGATTCATGCTTTTTAAAAACGTGCACGTGCATCTTCTTTTTTCTTTATCTCCAAATGTAAAACACAATTATCATTGAAATTTTTACGAAAACGAAAAAAGGAGGGTGGAGGTCTCTAAAATTCAAATTAGAGCGGCTTTTTTCAAAGCAGATCTTATTAATAACAACAAAATAATTTTCGAATGCAAAATACCGCGATTGTCATTTTTGACTAAAATTGACGAAGTTGACAAATTTGACAAAAACTCGACATTTTTTAAAATAAAAGTCAAGAAGCCGCTTGCGGCTTGGAGTTTTTATATATAAAGCCGCGCGAAGCGCGGCTTCAGTATATATTTCTCAAAGCCGCAAGCGGCTTCTTGACTTTTATTTAAAATGTCGAGTTTTTGTTAAATTTGTCAACTTCGTCAATTTTAGTCAAAATGGCAATCGTGATATTTTTACGCCTCCTTTTTTCCGTATAAAAATTTATTTTCAGACAAGGAAGAAAGCAGCGAGCTGGAAAAGCGATCGGCGGAAAACGACGCCAAAGCGGCTAAACTACAGTCGATGATGCTCCAGCTCCTTCAAATGCCCAAGAGAACCATGAGCCCGAGCAGGTACGATCTCTATCGCTTATCAAAATGTTTTGAGCGTTTTTCTTCAGCGCGTTTATGTCTGCTTATATGAAGAGAGACCAACTGCCGTACGAGCTCCTCAATGACGAATGAACTTTTGTCTTTATAATCTTTATTTCAGAAACTGTTTTTAATAAATTATTAAAAATTAACTCAAAAATTGTCAAATATTTTTTTTTCTTTTATATTAGACTAAAATAAAAAAAAACCTTTTTTAAGGCTTTGACACCCTTATTTCAAGGTTTCTGAAATAAGGGTGTCAAATTGTTAATTCAGCGAGAAAAAAATCGCTTTGAAATCGAATTTTCTCTCGTCTATTCGACTCAAAATGGACAGTATTATGCCCGCCGTCATGTTTGGAACAGCGATAGTGCAGAAAAAAGTGCCCTTTCTTCCGGAAAAATCGACCCTGGAGACAGTTGTGATAAGCTCGCGCGACATATTCAACGTGTTTCCTCGTCGGAGCTGAATTTTTCAAACGAAGCCAATTTTTTTTTCTTTCCTTCAAAATTTGATAAAACACGAAGATTGATGTCCGATAAGCGCTAATTTCGCTGGATCATCCTATCGATTAAACAAAGATTAAAATCGCCAAAATAATGAGCTGGATTTTCTTTTCCCGTAAATGTTGGCTTCAAAATTCATTTATGATGAAGAACACAGTTGTAAAAATGACCAATTCAAAGTTTAAAAATTTTCACAGATTGTTAATGATCAAAGTTTATGATGGAAATCATTCCCAGGAAAGCCTTCCCAGGCTCGTCGAGTTTTGATGAATTTCAGCAATGAAAACGCACGTGATCTTCAACCTAGATATAAGAAAACGAGTCTCCCCAGAAAACCAAGAAAAATGAAGATTCTAACTTTTTCTTTCGTTTTTGCTTCCTTAGGAAGTGCTTGCTGGTGGGTAGATGACGATGACGACGAGACCACCACAACAAGACGCACTACAACAACTCGGCGAATAACAACGACAACACCAACAACAACAACAACAACAACAACGACTTCCTCAACAACATCAGCAGCTGCGTACGAGACAACAAGTAAAAAGTTGTCAAAGCTGAAAAAAAAATTAAGGAGATAGAGAGTAAATCTTTAAGGACCCCCCGTCAACAATTTTCAAAAAATCAAAAGTCGGCTTTTCAAAATTTTGATCCAAGAAATGGAGTCTAAAGGTAAAAAAAAAAACGATTTCGAGGCTTCATTTTTTGATTGGTATACTCATTCACCCACAAATTGCTTTTGAAAATTGGACTTTTTGAAGAAAAATGATGTAAAAGTCCAAATTTCGCTGAAATTTTAGATTAAAATTGGTCAAAAATTGCTCCGAACGAGTTTTTACGATGCATTATACTTCCACTTTTGAAATTTTCACACACTTTTGAAATTTTCGATTTTTTAAGAAAAATTGTTGAAGGGGGGGGCTTAAATATATAGGTATTTCAAGTACGGTATTTAACTTATTGGATGCTAAATAAAAGCTTCACAACTTCATGCAGTGCCACATTTGATTGCCTTCAATTTAAAAGAATAGGCAGCGATTTATCTGCCTCATGGGATGAAGCAAAGGAAATGTGCGAAGATGTCGGCGGAGAATTGTCCTATTTTAATAATGCGACAGAGTATGACATGTGGAAATCTCAGCTTGGCCTTGGCCCAGATCAAAAGTATTCTATGTTTTGGTTAGGAATTATGGCTACAAACGACACTGTATACACAACAGATGACGTTGAATATGATTATATAAACTCCGCAGGCAATAAACAAGAGTATATCACACCATCGCCGCATTTTGATTCTACTCCAGGCCAGGGTTCTAAATCGTCTACTCGATTTTCGACTAAAGTCGAAAAGACTAGCTCGACTGGCCTTGATCGCTTGTGAAAATAAGTCGACTCGACTCGACTAGACTTGACTCTATGCGTCAACTAGATTGTCGACTAGTCGAAAAAGCCAAGAGCAAAGTTTAGAGAAAGTCGAAAATCTAGTCGAAAAAGTCGAAAAGAATCACTATTTTGCTTTCGACTTTCGACTAAATTTGGACTTTTTCGACTAAATTTTGGCTTTTTTGGCTAGATTTATAATTTTTTCCAGTTTTTCGACTTTTCGACTGATAAGTCGATTAAATCGACTCGACTGGACTCGACTTGCAATTTCAAAAACGCTTTCGACTCGACTCGACTTGGGATGCTCAGATAGCCTTTCGACTCGACTCGACTCGAATTCTGATTTTCAGCTCAGATTAAGAACCCCGCTCCAGGCTATGACTGTATAGTTATCTACACCGATGCAGTAACATTCGATCATGATTGCAAATGGGAGAAACAATTTACATGTCGATTTGATTATTGCTCGTACAATGGAGAAGGACATCACTTCATTTTCGAGAATTAGCAAAAAATTGCCAATAAATTATTGGCAATAATGTCATATTGTCTCTTTCTCGGAGATTGACTGCTTGAAAAACCCTTTCTTTACTTTTTGTGCATGGAAAAAAATGAATAAATGGCCACTATTCAGTTATAAATTATAACTTATAATAATAATTTTCTTTTGTTGCCAATTGCGAAGTGAGCAGTCATTTTTCTTGTTAATGCTCACAAAAATAATCCACGTACTATTTTCACTGATTCACTATCAAAAAAGATGCGACTCGATTCCTATCGGACCAGCTATCAGTGAATCTGCAACCACACGGATGGTCAGCCAAGTTAACACTCAAATGAATGACCGAGAAACTCAAACATTGAAGCTACGAATCTGCGTCAGTCCTTTTCGAAACGTCAACGCTGCGGGGATATTTTCGCGAATGCGGTCAACCAATTCAAAATACACCGTTTCGAGTTAATCCAACTTTTCCGTTTGTTTCGGACCCTTCTACTCGTGGCGGGCAGACAACAGTCAACATAACGTGCGCACAAACGAGTGTATAATTTTTTTCGATGTTTTAAAATCTAACTGAAATGTTTTGGGGGGAAAAATAATTGCTCTGCACCGCGGTCAACCGCAAAAAATAACCACCTGGTTTTTCATCGACATTTGATTTTGCATTCTTGATCTGGTCATTACTGCCGTTTACGATTTAATGGAAGTCAAAATGAGCTTTATTTTCTGGCCTTGTCGACCGGTCCTTTTTTTCGCTCTCTTTCGCGGTGGAAGTCGATCGACCACGATAAGGTTAAAAAGAAAGAAGGAAGAAGCTACGCGTCCCTCAAAAGAAGAACACTTTTATCGTCGAGAGGGATGCTTAATAATCTGAAAATCTTTCTTCGCGAAATCGTGCGGTTTTGAAAGATGCGATAGAAACGTCCTTATCGAGGCCCGGCCCTTCAAGCACACACGCTTTTTTTTTCTGTCTAGGCAATTTTGTACTTGAAAGGTTTGAGTCTGGAGAAGAAAAAAGTAGAATGTCTCGGACCAGAATTTTGATGGTTTGTCTGATACAAGGGACTTGTCAAGCAATTGGCAATGAACAACTGCCAAGTGGGCAATTTGAACTTAGGACTTGTAGGATCAAGTTATTGTTAATGGCGGACGACAAGACAAGTAAGGAGGAAGAATTACAAGTGATCGTCAAGAGCAACCGCATCCGGGGGTGCCTTTTATGGACGTTTTTTTTTATGGGTAGTTTTTGGCAGTTTATTATAGGCCAAAATAGCTTAGGGGGTATAAAAGAAGATTTTCTTAAATTTTCCAGTGCTTCATTCCTTTTACTTACTGGGCTCTGCAACCTATTCAGAAACCCTGAGTAAGGGTCTTAAAAAATTAAGGAAAAGCCGCGTAGCGGCTTTTTCAAAAACAAAGCCGCTAAGCGACTTCGCTAGAACAAGAAAATGGATGGTAGAAGTAATTTTTCGAAGCCGCTTCGCGGCTTTGTTTTCAAAACCCTGACTCAGGTTTTCAACACATGGTTTTTTTAAAAACGATAACAAAAAAAAAATATTGAAGAAGTAATTTTTCGAAGCCGATCTGCGGCTTTTTATCTATTTTTTTCAGACCCTGACTTAGATTTTCCACTAAGGTTGCCAAGCCAAAATTGGCCTTGTTCATAACCTTACTCGATGATGTATTGTATTGAGTACAACTTGACCACCTGGTATTTTCTGCAAACTAACGTAGCGATTTACCAAAGATCACATTCAAGGACGAGTGTTTTCGATATCAAACACAAGTTCGAAAAACCCACGTTCTTTCTCTTTTCTGGAAAGTGAATGATGGTGGCTTGTACCGTAATAATTGTCTCTAGTAAAAACTGATCCGTTTTCGTGTTTAAACTTTTTTTTTGCTAAATGCAGTTGAATTTATAAAGATCAAACAAACAGGAATTTTTAAAGCGGGTCTTTTTCGTTGAACGATTTTCGCAAGACTGGTTTTCGAAAAAGAATATTGGCTTAACATATGCACCCTTGACCAAAACTGGAGAGAGTTACCGTAAGACACAAGCGCTGATCTTAAGGCGATCAAGCGAGCAAAGAAGATCGGATCAAAGTGGATTACGAGAACAACCTCCCGGAAGCAAGCGAAAGCATATGAACTTGTTTTGCGAATATGGATTTCAGAAAATCTTTTCTTTTATGAAGATTAGTAATCATTGATTACTAATCAACATGAAATAATAAACGGAAGTGATCATCACTGAGAGAAGCGCAATGATATTATTCTTGATTTTATATTTTCCTCTTGGCAATGCACTGAATGAATGAGTTTAAAAAAATCTTTTTAGGGGGTAGAACTAGATTTTTCAAAAAACCGTGATTTTCGGGAGGCACTTTAAATAAGGAAAACCTGTTTTTATTTATGATTACGCAATCTCCACAAAAATATTGCTAGATAACGGGTTAAACTATCTTAAAATGAGATTAAAAAAATTTTGCTAGTCACCTGAGAAATTTGAGGACCCAAATACGCTAAAATTGCGATTTTCGAAGACGTGGGTTGACGTTTCGCTTTCTAACGCCAAATTGTGCTGACGAAAAAAAAATTTAAGAAAAAAGTTGTTAGATCTAAAGTTGTTTTATCTTCAACCGAAGAGAAAATTTGAAAATCTAAGCTCTCCTGGCTTTGAGCGCCGGTCTAGAATCGGCTATTTAGCCTATAGCCTATTTTCGAAAAACCTAGTTCTACCCCCTTTAGATGAAAATTTTATTTTTATGCTCTTATAAGTCTTGCTTCTTTGAATACTTCTCCCCGACTCAATGCATGGCAACAATCACTAGGCTAGATAATTGTTATGAAGAAGAAGAAGCAAAGCTTCGATTATGTTTTGCCAGCTGCTTGAATGATGATTGCCCGGATTTTTGTAGACACGGTTTATTTGAATTGATTGTAATTGCTTGTTCATAAAATCAAGAATCGATTTGAAGGACGAACTATAATTCTGGAATTTCAAAATGTCCTTGTTATAAAGAAATGAAAGTCATTCGACGATATAAGTGGTATAAATGGATGGTTAATAGATGTCATGAACGGGCAGAATACGGGTTATCCAAATGTACCTCGAAATGCATTTCTAGGAATTGTCTTAACCAATGTTGATTTGGCCGTGATAAATAGAAAAATGTTAAACAAAGATACATATCTTATCCAAATGATAAACATAATTTTGCGGCCAATAAAATGACATGAGTTTGAATCTCAAGTAGGCATTTGCCGATGCTTCTCTGGGCAGAACAGAGGATCAGAAACGTCAAGAACCATAAAAACTACAACAAAATCAATAGCAATAACAACCACGACAGCAACGTTCTCTACAACAACTTTGACTACAACACCAACTGAGCCTTTCAGACAATGCCCAAAGACACGCAAACCTGAAAATACAGATATGTTCATGGTAATTTTTGATTTATCCCAAAAATATTCCTTTCGTAAAAGTTAGTTGATGGAGAAGAGGTACCGCTTTCAGATTCTATTGAAAGATTTTCAATCAACGATACAATTATATATCGCTGCTCTAAGGGCTATAAGAGGAGCAGTCCAAAAAGGATCTACTCTCAAAAATGTGTCGCTAATGGCTTTTGGGAAATAAGAAATGTACGCTCTTGCATGCGTGGCTGTTTTTCACATGATCTTCCGGAAATTCTAAATGCCAGGATTTTCGGAATGACGAGTTTGAGAAGGAGAAGCAATAGGGTCTACAAAATCGGCGAGAAAATTCATTTTCTTTGTCGTAAAGGATTCTTTGCTGTTTCTTCATCTGGAAGCCCTGTCCAACCTCAAACGGTGAAATGTACACAAGATGGATGGATAGAAGAATATGATTCAAAATGCGTAAGATCTTTAATCTTAGGTTAAAAAACATCTTAGATTCCTGATCCGCGGCAAAGAAGGAAACAAAGGCAAAGAGGAAGATAAACATTTTTTTTTCTAATAAATTTGAGAACAAATCTTATTTTTTGTGCAATATAAATAATTGGCTACGAACTTTTTAAGAGAATACAAATTAACAACTAAGTTTTCTCCAAAAGACACCTGATAACTCTAATTATATGATTGCGTGAAGTACAAGATCGTAGTCATTCGTACAAGTATCATTATGACTTCTTAACCAAAAAGCACAAAATCAACACGTGGCCTCCCCTCCTCCCTTTCTTGTTTCTTAGTTATATAAATTGTCATTTTAGCATCTTAGAAAAAAGAAAGAGAAAGGCTGTCCAAAAATGAGCTGGCAATGAAAGTGACGGTTGACATTCTACAGCGCGCCAAAGAAGCGAGATACGAACACTAAGTAGAGCGAAGAATGTCAATAAGTTTTTAGAGGGCGATAAGATAAGGGGCTCCTGTCGTGTTTTATTTAATGCGCTTTGGGTGCTCCATTCTCGTGATAAAACAAAAAAGCACCAGCCTAGGACTTTCAACAAACTTTTCCTCAGCAACCTTTGTTGAAAAACCCTGAGTCAGGGTTCCTGGAAATTTTTTTCCGGAATTTTCTGAGTCATGTGACCTGTTTTTATCCTTTTCTCTGAGGTTTTCGACCTTTTCTTTTTTAACAAACTCGAAATTGAAATAATTCATTAAGGGTATCACTATGTTAGATCTCATTTTGGCCTCAGCATCCTGCGTTAAAAACCTGAGTCAGGGTCCTAAAGAGGCTATAAAGCAAAGTTTTCTTTATATCCTCTCAGGACCCTGACTCAGGTTTTTACAAAGGGTGCTGAGCCTAAAATGGAAGATATTCAGAGTGATACCCTTAATCAATAATTTTCATTTCGAATTTGTTGATTCAGCTCTGGTCTTGAAAAAAGGATGAAAACAGATGTCCTGACTCAACAAATTCCACATCTCGGGAGAAAAACCCACCACCGGTCCAAATCGTCAGACAAATCTCTTATCTTGTAAAATCTGCTCGATCGGATCTTGAAGATTCCCTTCCTCCTCGTCCGGTCTGGAAATCCCGATAAGCGCCGCGCCAAAATTCATTCAAACCATAAAAAAAATTCAATACTGATGATTTTTGATAAATTTGAGGTGAAAAACTAAGGGCCTCTCTTTTTTAGTCTAAGGAGATATTAGAAATTCTCGTAGCATATTTTGTATCAATGTTCAATCTTTTTGAACATTCTCGCCTTCGCCGACCACAATTGCTACTTATCCCTTTTTAATTTCAACTTTGTTACGTGTTGTGTCAATAGCAGCTCTCCAATCTAGTCGCACGTAATTTATAACTTCAAGTGAAGTTCTAATTCGAAATGAAATCAAGATTTCCCACACTCCCTAATCCAATCAACTTTATTATCGCGCTACGTGCCGAAGTTCTAGAGCTGCTAATTTATAATTACCGCGAGCTTAATATTTGAATTGGATGAAAAAAAAAGCCTGAAGCGCTCGGCTCAGAAACCTGTGTCGAAAACCTGAGTCAGGATTTTCGAAAAGCTAACTGAAAAGCCGCGACTGATATTTTGATGAAAATTTTCGACAAATTTTGCGTAGGCGGCTACTCGGCTGCTGATTGGCCGGTTAGCCGAATCAAGGCTTCTGATTTGTTGAAAATACAAAAACTTTTTACGATTGAACATTTTGAATAATCACGAATCGTTTTTTAGAACTTCTCATAAAAATTCTCGCATAAATGAATATTTGACACGAAAACGAAATTAACGCTCAACTTCTGACAGAAAGAATCGTCTTCGAGAATTCAGTAACAACTTCGGCCCCGTCAAAATTGAATTTAGAAAAATACCTTTTTTTCAAAATTCTTCAAAATTTAGACGATTTTCTTTTCTTTTTTTGCATTTGCAAACTTTAGTTTGTAATTGAAAACCAGCTCAGACGAAAATTTACAGTAAAGCTTCGAAGGATTCGATAAAGATGCGCCGCCATGTCTTTAAATCCACTGATCTTTATCAGGCCCCTTGCCCTTCATCAGCGAAAATTTAAAGAAGGGGTTGACATCGTTTAATCCGATTCTAGCGCAAGGACATAAACTTAACTTGGCCACCAACAACAAGGGTTCGTGAACTTACAGTAGTTGTGCATCCCTTTTTGAACGGTCAAATCGACTGTAAAAGCTTCAAAATGCAAATTACAACCATTATCACGTGGCTCCTTCGCCGCTGTTAGAATTTGACAGATTCGAATTTCTAGATGCAATTATCAGCCGAAACTGTCAACTCATCCTCGCCAAATCATCTACCGCTTGATTGAGCTTTACCGATAACGCTTATCACCGAACTCCGGGCGGCGAACTTGCTCAAACTCGAAAATCCACTTTTCAAGCAAAATTCGAAATTTCATATTTCACGATGCTTGTTTTTTGATCGATTACTTTTTTGGTAAATTTTTTTGGAAAATCAAGGTCAGACAATGAAAACTTCGTATGATACTGATTTCGGCAGTTGTTTGTAGCGACGGAGGTTGATGTTGTGGATGATATTCGAAACCACAAGTCCAGATATCTGAAAAAGGCTTTATCTTTAGGGGGCAAAAAAAATTGATTTTCAGGTTTTCCTGACGGTTTTTCTCCAAGAATAACTATTATCAACCCCTTTCTGACACGAAAACCTGTGTTGAAAACCTGAGTCAGGCTTTAATTGCCTGACACAGGGCATATTAATCCTGATTTAGATAGTGGCGAATTTGACCAAAATATTGGTCAAATTTTCGACCAATCAGGTTAATGATTTTTTCTGATTACCCAATCAGATTTCGAGAAAAAATTGAGTTGAAAGCCTGAGTCAGGACAAAATGAGATAAATAAGAATCCGATATAAATTGCCTGACTCAGGTTTTCAATACAATTTTTTTCTTGAAATCTGATTGGGCAGTCGGAAAATGATATTTACCGGATTGGTCGAAAATTTTACCAATATTTTTGTCTCGCCCAAAAAATTCTTTTTGGCTAAAATAATTATTAAGGAAAAACTAACCAGTAGCAGAATCATAAAAATGGGAATGATAAATAACCAGACCAGCGAGTGAATTCCCCTTTCTTTTGGCAGAACATGATTAACCACGTGTTCGCTCAGGTCGTTGTTCGAACGATTCATTCTTCAGTTTTTTTCTCTTGTTTTAAATTGTCTATTTTGAGCTTCAATTTGAATCTCGCCGGGTATTTATTCATTCGATTATTCAACTTCTGCTGCTTTTTCATCTTATTCTTTAATATACAGATCTGAATAACTGATTATCATGCACCCTTATTAACTTTTGACAGACGAGAAACGAATCAACTCGCGAATTATTAAAGTGTCAGTACTTCTTCGCACTAAAGCCGGTTTTATAACTTTTTCTCGGAGAATTCGAGTCAAGTTCAAGGGGGTAGCTGTTTTCTATTCAGAAGCTTATTTTCAGAAAAACTTTTGGGCTAAGCAACCTATGTTGAAAACCTGAGTCAGAATCTGAAAAGTCTAAATGGAAAGCCGCGCAGCGGCTTTTTTAAAAGCAAAGCCGCGGAGCGGCTTCCACAGATTCCCAATTTGATGAATTTTAAAATTCTGGCGAAGCCGCCCTGCGGCTTCGTTTTTAAAAAAGCCGCTTCGCGGCTTTTTCTTTTACTCTTCAGAACCTGACTTCTACACATGTCGAGCAAAAGGGACTTTGAATCTTTAATAAAATGATCGCGAAGCCGCTGCGCGGCTTCGTTTTTGAAAAAGCCGCTATGCGGCTTTTCATCAAAGTTTTGTCAGGATCCTGAGTCAGATTCTGTACGCAGGTTTAAAGTGATGAAGAAAAATAAGGCTCTGAAAATCAAGTTCCAGTTGAATTGAATTTTTGAGTTTTCGCTTTTTTTTGCATTTTGGAAAGTCAAATTCAAGAAAAAAAATGCGGCTCGACCTTCGTCGTCAAAATCGGAAGGCTTTAGCGGGCGTTCCGCGTGACATAACGATATGAAAATCGCCGCTCAGGGTGTCAAACACGCCACTGATAGGCCCGATAAGCCGTACTCCGTCGCACACTGCCTTCACTGTTGCATATCGTAAACGGAATAATATTTTGGTGACGAAAGCACTCTCCAAAACTCGCTCTAAAGCCGACCAGACATGCAATTTCAATTAATCAATTTGAATATTTGTAATTTTTAAAAATTGAAATCAAGGAAGAAAACGACAAAAAAGCAAGACTGGTGCTTTTATTCTTTTGGGATGGAGATCAACAAGGAAAAAAGCGATGATTTTGAAAAGATTTTGGGAAAAGGCTAAATGGATGGTAGAAGCACTGGTTTACGGAAAACGCTAGCGCTGGAAAGCAATATCGATAGGCGTTGCGTAAGGTCCGAGCGAGACTATAACTCTTACGTAATCTACAAACAAAAAAATACAGCTTGAATTATTAGTTTTGCTCGTCGTTCTCGTTGGAACTTGAAGTTTCTCGCTTCCATTACCATAACCTTCATCTCCTTTCATTATTATTCCAGTCCGGGCTCGGCAACCTGAGTGGAAATCCTGACTCAGGGTCCGAAAGTCTTAAAATGAAAAGCCGCGTAGCGGCTTTTAAAGAAACGACGCCGCAAAGCGGCTTCGCAAGAATCTTAGAAAAGATTCAATTGTCGATTTCGGGAAGGCGGTTTGCGGCTTTTCATTTTAGCTCTTTCGGACCCTGACTCATGTTTTGTAGAATTTCATTTTCCCTCGTATCATAGAAATTGGCCTTTTTCATGTCGATTTGAAGGAAAAAAAGAAATGATTTCCCAACAGCGCCAATAAAATAATGATCACATGATCTTTCCTTGGCTTTTTCCGTCACTTTGTTCGAACTTGACCTTCTGTAAACAGTCTATTATCGAACAAAAGTACCGTAATTGACTACCAGTGAATTAATCAGATGCAGGGCTGCTTTAAAATTCGCTCTCAACTGACCCCAAATGAACCAAAAGTCCGTCAGAGCATTGTCATCCAATCCGGCTCGTTTCTAACCCTTGCGCAAATGTTACGTAATCTCGACCCAAAAGAAATATTTCTTACTGCCTATTTGAAACTGGCTTCATTCGCCAAAGTTGAACACACCTCGAAAAACAAAGTAAACCAGCGTCATTTTGGAACATTTTTTTTTCATCGCCAGAGAAATTCTCTCCAGAGGTTACGTAACGAAGAAAAGAAAAAAGCGCTAGAAAATGGATAAACATGGTAAAAAAAGCTCGATCAAAAAGATAAAGATTCAAAATTCAACTAAAATTTAGAAAAATAAATACAGTTTGTTGCCAAATTTCCGGAGTCCAAATTTCCGGACACTTTTCAGATTTTAAGGGGTTTTAGTGGGACACTAACAAATTGACGATGACCCAAATTTCCGGACTTTTTTTTCAAATTAAGAAAAAAAATTGACGGTAGCTCATATTTTTTCTTCGAAATAAGGTACAAAAGGTTTAATACATCGACTTTTTTGTGTTTATCCTTGAGTTCTCCTATCAAACCCACTTTGTCGTCGTCTTTTTTGCGCTTAGACGACTTCTACACGGGTAAGTGACCATATTTCGAAAAATTTTAAGGATGCTTGGTGGGAAATTATTTTTTCATAGGGAGGCCAAATTTCCGGACATTTTTCGGAAATCTGGGGACAAAATTAGTCCGGAAATTTGGAAACATACTGTAAATAATTTTAACGAAATTTTTTTTTTAAATTGATGAATTCGATTTTCTATTGACAAAAATGAGTTTTCGGCAAATAAATGAAAATTTCAATAGTTTTAAAATTTTGCTCAAAGCACACAAATCGCCCCGCGGGACTACAACACCGTGAAAAAGAAAAACTTTTTTCCGGCAACGCCCATTTTTGAGTCCTTCACGATTCTAGTGATCTTATTCTTTTTCATCAATTTTTCATTTTGATATTGTTCCTCATCGTTTTCTCCTAACATCAGTTTATTCAGATGGCGGCGGAGATCAGCATCAGCACATATCGTAAGATTGAAAATTTTGTATAAATTAATTAATCATTAAAAATATTGCTAACGTCGTTTTGACTCGTTTGAATAATTTGTAGCCCTTCGAATTCAAAAAGTTTCTGGCGGCCGGAGCAGATGGTTACTTTGGAAGAAATTAGACCGCCCTCGAATGACTCCAATGATGGAGACGGAAGCCAAAATGATGATGCTGGCTCTCAGGCGTGGGATAAGAAACATTCTACTTCATCCTTCTACCTTCATATAGGAGCTTCCCCTTGAACCCATTGTCCATATTTTGATTTAAAAATCGAATCGAAAACACAATTTTTTTTACAATTGCAGCGAATTTTTTCATCAAAGAGCTCTCATTAGTCGATTTCCATGAATGGGAAAAACCTTCGAAATCGACCAATAAGAGCGCTGGATGAGTTGATGATGAATATTTTTCATCAAGCACTCTGATTCGTCGATTTCGAAGCTTTTGACTTTTCTCCGAAATCGGCCAATCAGAGCGCTCGATGAGTTGATGATGAATATTTTTTAACAAGAACCCCCTGTAGAATTTTTTCCAAGTAATAAAGTTTTACTTTTAAAAAAAATGTATTTAAAAATCCCAAATTATCAGCAGGTGATATTTGATTCAAATCGATGGCGCTTTTATTTGTTATTTTCCCAGTGCGAGTTCATAAAATAACTTGAATAGACTCTTACTTAAAATTATCAAAAGTGATAAGTGAACTCAAGAATAGTTTATTTTTGATTATTATTAATTTCTCATTCTTCTTAGTCGCTCAATACAGAACAAGCGCTGCAGAAACTGAACCAGATGCTGCGAAAGAACTCAGAAGACGTCAATTATTCGGGAAACAACGAATATCAGGTTATTAAATTTCAAGTAAATCGACCGGAATTTTCCTCTGGGTACGCCCAGTTTTTATGATAATTTTTCATTTTGAATAATTTTACGATCGAAGCGACCTAAATGTCGCATTTTTACGAAGATTGGCGTAATCTATCGGGACTCTTCTATGAACTCATTTCTCAAACATAACGGAGTGACACCCTTATTTTTATCGGCAAAAATCTTTATCTGATCCCTCTTTTCAAAATTATCAAAGTGACACCCTTATTTTTCAATAATTGAAATTCTGAAATTATTTCAGATTATTCTGGACGGATTTGATTCTGAAAAATAAGGGTGTCACTTTGATAATTCATAGAAGTCTAATGATTGGGTAAATTTTTGTCTGCAGTAAAATAAGGGTGTAACAATGTTAAAGCTTTGAGGAAATCTTGTTCATGATGTCTTCTTCCTTAGAGTCACGGAATATTATTTATGGTTTATCAAAAATTTTATGAACAAATTAAACCTTCGATTATTCAAAACAATATTATTGATTTGTCCCTCGTCAATTGATCCATAAGTAAGCCCTCACTTGATGTGGTCAAATTCTGATCTGGGTTCATTTTCTTCCTTGATTTCAATGCCATTTTAGTTCAATTTATTTTTCCATTTTTCAGTATTTCGATTGTACATAAACATCTTTTTTCCCGGGGCTGCTTTTTTTCAATAACGCTATTCATTCTTTTTCCCTCTTTGGCTTACTATCTGGGTCATCGCTGGACAAAATCGATTGCGCAACCCTTTTTTTCATTGCATAACATGTTTTTCGAACTTTGAATCGCCAATTCTGCTCTATTTTCTAGGGGAAAAGCGGCTACTTTTGGGGAGAAAAAGGACGGCAAAACCAAGGTCAAATTTTAGATTTGGCGCCCGCGAAGGAAAAAATAAGGAGGCACGCTTCAGTTTTAAAAGAGCGATGACGTAATAGCGTCTTGGGAGGCTGTGTAAGAGCCAGCTCACATTTAAAACGAGGCCCAAGTGTGTTTGTGAACGGGGTCAACGCGAGCAGTTACATAATAAGAAAAAAAGACCCAGCTCGGACCGCAAAATTTCAATTTTTTTTTTCTATTTTTTGGGAAGAGAATGTTTCAGAAAATTTACTGAAAAAATAGAAAAAAAAGAAAAAAGAATGGATAGCGCTACAAGGCCACAGAGAGTTTCAGGGCGGATTTTTGAAAGCTGATTTTTTTTTTCGAATTCGAAGGTGTCACCTTAAGTCTCAGCTCGATTTGGTTGAGTTAGGAACTTAAGGTGACCACGGCTTATAACGAAAAAGTTCAAATTCTATTACATAAGTAGTTTTGAGACACCCTTATGTAACTCAAAAAAATGAAACTTAAGGGTGTCCCTAACGATAAAGACCAGTTTCTTCGTCGTTAGGGACCCCTTTCTTTCGTAAAATGAGCCTCTTGCTCCTAAATTAGCTTTCTTTTCATCCCTTTTTTATGATCTTTTTCTCTTCCAAATCCTTGAAAAAGTCATCACGAGCATTTTACCCCCCGAAAGCCGCATTTTCACCCCACATTTCGACGAAAACGAACAAGAGCCAGAAGAATCGCCGCCGGTCGAGAGTTCGAAAAAACATGACCCCTCGGACGGGTCAAATTCAAACTCCAACTCAACCGGCAGTGATGACTCGCTCGGTAACGGCGAGTACATCGAAACGATCGAAAGGGACTCCGAATTTTTCGAAGAAACAAATGGATCGGTCAAAAATGAACCGGACCAGAATTTGGACAATCAAGGGGTACAATCATTTTTCAGTGAATTTTAAGCAAAATGAAATGCAAAAATTCCTGTTATAATTGCTGAAAGATCGAGAAGCCGCTTGCGGCTTTGAGCTCAAAAGAACTAAGCCGCGCGAAGCGCGGCTTTTTGATCTTTTTTTGCTCGAAGCCGCGAGCGGCTTCTCGATTTTCAGCCAAACTTGAAGAATTTATAATTGACCATTCTTCTTTTTAGTCTTCATCAAGCTCCTCCTCCGGAAAATTCAACGATTGGGGTTCCAGCAGACAAGCATATCCAAAAGTAAGCACTTTCAAGCCTTGTTTTCGCCTGGGATGAGTTCTTGACCCGTCCATTTTGGTTCATTTTCGAATCTAGGTCAAGCATTGCATCATCTGTCTAAATATTTTCAACTCGTTAAAAATGACGACTTCAATGATTTTGAATGCTGCTATTTGCTCGCAATAAAGCTTGTTTTTTGCGAAATGAACTTTACTAAGAAGTAGCTAATTATATAACTGCTATTATATAATATATTTTAAATAAGATATCTGACCTCGGCAACCTGTGTGAAAAACCTGAGTCAGGAACCTGAGTCAGAAACTGAGTCAGGAACCTTAGTCAGGAACCAGAGTCAGAAACTGAGTCAGGAACCTAAGTCAGGAACCAGAGTCAGGAATCTGAGTCAGGAACCTGAGTCAGAAACTGAGTCAGGAATCTGAGTCAGAAACTGAGTCAGGAGCCTTAATCAGGAACCTGAGTAGGGAATCTGATTCAGGAAAACCAGAGTCAGAAACTGAGTCAGGAACCTTAGTCAGGAACCAGAGTCAGGAATCTGAGTCAGGAACCTTAGTCAGGAACCAGAGTCAGGAATCTGAGTCAGGAATCTGAGTCAGAAACTGAGTCAGGAAAACCTGAGTCAGAAACTGAGTCAGGATCCTGAATCAAGAACCTTACGAATCTGAGTCAGGAAAACTTGATTCAGAAACCTGAGTCAGGAAATTTTCATTCCTATTTTCATAGTTGATCTTTCAGCCCTGACTCAGGTTTTCTACACAGGAAATTTATAATATTTTTAAGAATTTCAACCCTGCAACGGCTCATTTTACCGAAGACGAATTAAAACCGACGCCGATTTCAAGAAAAGCGCAAAAGAAACTTGTGAAGCCGGAAGATAAGGATGAAAAATACTGGCAAAAGGTGATTGTGTGTCTTGATGTAATTATATAACGGGCTGAAATAGAGGAAGAAAAATAACGCGGCCGCGAAGCGATCGAGAGAAGCGCGGAGATCACGGGAGAATCAGATTGCGATGAGGGCCGGGTTTCTCGAAGCGGATAATGCGGCGCTCAAGGAGGAGTTGTTGAATGTCAAGTGAGTTGAAAGTGTTTTTGATATAAATTTATTCAATTGTCATTTTCATATGAACTCTGATTGAATATTCAGTTATTGAGTATCAACCAAAGTTCAAACTAATTGTTGTATTTGGGGCGAAAACCTGAGTAAAAATCCTGAGTCAGGTTCTGAGGAGCAAAAGAGAAAAGCCGCGTCCTTCTGCGGCTTTTTAAAAGCCGCTTCGCGTTATTTCATTTTCGCTCTTCAGAACCTGACTCAGGTTTTCAAGTCAGGTTTTTTGCCCTACAAGGGGGGTCTTTCAACAACAACCGGGCTGATTTAGCTGATTGACCAATCAGAGCGCAGAATAGAGCTCGATGATAGCAATTTCCCCGGTCGTTGTTGGGAGACCCCTTTTAGATACTGTAGAAAGGAGAATTCCTGTATACGACAGTGTTCCAAATTTGTGTTTCCCTGTTTCCCTAAAATGGGAAACAGTTTCCCTGTTTCCCTGTTTCCCAGGGAACCGGGAAACAGGGAAACGCACATTTCTCCTGAGAGCGGGAAACAGGGAAACAGGGAAACAGCCATTTTTCAAAAAAGGGAAACAGGGAAACTGTTTCCCTGTTTCCCTATTGATGTTATATTTCTCTAAAAGCTCCCGTTATTATCAAAAAAACCCTCTCTAGAATGCAGTTTTGTTTACAAAAATCAAATTTCTTCGAGAGAATTCGAGAAAAATGATTGTTTTTGTCAAGGAAATTTTGAATTTGTTCTAGAGACCTTCATTATTAACTAACATACTGAGGTCATTCGCTCGAAAAGGGCGAAACTTACACGGTTTATCATAATTAATCTTTCCCAATTCTTCCAATGAACGATATAATCGGTTTCCAAATAAAAAAAATGTGAAGTACGAAAAATTTTGAGATGTGAAACCGATGAGGGAAACAGGGAAACTGTTTCCCTGGGAAACAGGGAAACAGGGAAACAGCCCTTCAGCTTAAAATAGGGAAACAGGGAAACAGCAATTTTAAAAATGAGCGGGAAACAGGGAAACACGGATTTTTCTAAAAATTTGGAACACTGGTATACGAGACTTGACTTATTTTTTTCTTCTAGAGAAGAGCTGCAAACACTGAAAGAAAAGCTGCTGGTAGTGCAGATGCGCGCAGCCACAGAAGGAAAACTACTGAACGACTAAATTTGGAAATTTGAAATTCCTCGAATTCGAATTTCAAAACTGGAAATTGTCTGTCCACGTAAGCGCGCGTCTCTAAAAAGCCGCCTGATGCAAGAATTAATCTTCAGGTCCGCCGCAAACAACTGCCACCGCTTTACGATCACCAACTTCAATTCAAAAATAATACAAAAAGCAACTCACCGCAACTGTTTTTTAAAAAAGCCTCTCCCTCTCTTTTTTTATTGTCCCTCCCGTTTTCTTTTATAATTTTATTCGTTTCGCTTTATCGAAAGAAAAAACCTCAAAAAATGCTAGAAAAATAAGCTTTGTTTGAAACAAACTCATACAGTAGCTAATCTGTAAAAAGAAAAAGAGAAAACCGTGCCAAGAAAGCTTCCATATTAATGATTACTTTGTTATTAGGTCTGCACTCCCTTACGATTCAAGTTGAATTTTATTCAGTCCAATAAACTTTCTTCAACTCTATTTTTAGTCTTATATTTTTATGGCAAAATTGATAATGAAGGAGTTTTGAAAGATGAAGATGAATTCGGAGAAAACCAATTTATGGAAGTACATAATTGAATAACCAATAAGATTGCTGTATTTGGCCTACCGGCCAATCAGAATCCCGATTCAGAAAATCACTTCCATAAATTGGTTTAACTCCTGATTGGGCTCAACGACCTGTGAAGAAAACCTGAGTCAGCTCATCAGATCCTGACTCAGGTTTTTTACACAGGTTTTGGAGCCCGGAACCTGGACTTGCTCGACCGTGGCATTTTATTTTGAAGAGACGGAAATGATCATGATTTTTTTATTAATAGAGATGCATTTCTACGAGTAAGAATGATAGTTAGAGTGAAGAAGCTCAGTTTTCAAGTTTCATCCAGTTCGGTTCTCCTAAACTGGCAATGACTCGTTGTCCGAGCGTTCCTAAAATCGTGTTTTCCAAAGCGCCGGTTGAGTTCTTCGACTCTATTGGTTTTGAATTTTCGGTTTTCTTTGGAGAAAATATATTTTTCATCATAGAATTGCATTCGCCGAAGATTTCACTGAAGTCGAGTTCTTGGTTTTCGGCTTCTTTTTTCAATAAAACCGCTGCAAATTATGTTATTTTCTATTTTTAGCGTTTTTTTTACCTTTTGCGCATTCTTTGTAAGCTTTATTCAGCAAAAGAACCGGAAATCCGTCAATATTTTCCGAGAAAACGAAGAAAAAAATAAATGAAAATTTCATTTCTTTTTTTGCTCGATTATTTGAGCCTAACCGATTTCCTGAGCTCTTAAATCTTGGCGAATAATTGAATAATTGAGGGTGAATATAAAACATGGATATTTTGATGAATTTTCAAAGAGTTGCTGAAATATTGAAGAGGCAATCTTAACTCAAGCAAATTACTGAATTTGTGATTCTAAGTGCGAAAAAGTTCATTTTTGAGAATCAAAAAAGTAAGAAAAGATTGATATTTTATTACAAATCTAGGCGCTGGAAGCATCGTCAAATAATGAATATTTACAGTAAGCCTTTTTCAAGAGCTGTTTCAGTCAAGTCTAGTTTCTTCGGAGAATTTTGTCCTGCTTTGGTCCAAGGCTTTCGCACAGCGATCTGGTCATTACTTGCATGGGAGCGACATTATCGCAACAAACTAAAGCAGTCAGAAATTAGGAACCTTATCTTGAGTTTGAAGATCTACCAAGATCGCGGGATCCGCCGGCGAGAAAGGGTTTTCTTGTTGGATATTCTCCGCAGCACTCTTGAGTTCGGTTTTGACCACTGTTCGGCAGCTTGGTTTTTTCGCACATTGTGCTGAACTCGAATCCGCCAAACACATGATTTCTGAAGACATTTTCAAAATTAGGATTCAAAAAAGGTTTTTCTCACGTCGACCTGATCGAAAACCTGAGTCCGAGCCTGAGAGAGTTTGAAAATAGCGATTTTAATCAATTAACCCGTTTACAGGCGCGTGGCCATTTCAAAGCCTTGCGTGGAAATAATAGCCAATCAAATGCCCGGATCCGAGATTTCAACCAATCACAGACGGGCTCCTGACTAGGCGAAATCCTACGGCCCTGATAATGGGTTAACAAGTTCTGGCGAGGGCGCCTTTCACAGATTGCTGAGGTCAGATTGGGGAGTTAAAGTCCGGGAATCTCGACTTACTCTGATTTATACGCCTCGAATTTTCCATCAAGCGCTTCTGCCAAAAACTTGTCACACTCGCACAAATTTTTCCTGCATTTGTTATCCGTCGGACACACAGTCTCTCCATTCTCGTCGAAGTAGTATTCATAGTTGATCTTGAAAAAGAGGTCAGTATTTCTTACCCTTGATTATGAAATCTTCAAGTTCGTCTTTATCGATCTATTTTTTTGGCGCTTACCGATTCTGGCTGGCAATAATCCCCGTGATCATGCTTCAAGCATTTGACGCACTGAGTGTATTTCTGGCAGACTTGATCGATCTCGTCCACCGGCTCGACTCCCTGGACCATTCCGGACATCGGCTAGAACGAAGATAGTAGCTTACGTAATTCTCCCATCATTTTTTTACCCGTTCTCCGAGATTCAAGCAATAGCAACCGTAGCCGTAGATTTTCGTGTAGTTTGCAAAGCCGTGTCGTTCCACCAATTGAGCAGCGAGCTGTTTCATTCGCCGAGGCTGGATCTGGTGACGAGAACGGTAGAAACCTTCTTCGCTTGTTTCCAGATCGACCTCTTTTCTGTACTCATCGAAAGCTAGAAAAATCGTTGAAATGATTTTCGACTCGAAAAAGACATGCTCGGAAATTCCGAGTCGGAATCCTGTGTAGAAGCCTGAGTCAGGGTCTCCAAAATCCTTAATAGAAAGCCGCGTTTCGGCTATTTTCAAACAAAGCCGCAAAGCGGCTTCTATTTTTATGTTGTCTCTCTGCCTGGGCTAGGAAATCTGTGTAGAAAACCTGAGTCAGGTTCTGAAAGATCTTAAATGAAAAGCCGCGCAGCGGCTTTTTGAAAACGAAGCCGCGAAGCGGCTTCGAAAATTCAATCATAAAAATCTTGTTTTGAATATTGGCGAAGCCGCTTCGCGGCTTCGTTTTTTTAAAAAGCCGCTGCGCGGCTTTTCATTTCAGATCTTTAAAAGACTCTAACTCAGGTTTTCTTTTGATCCTCTTTTTTGATTTACCTGTTACAGAAGAAACAAAAATAGCAAAAGCAGAAAGTCTAACCATTTTGCAGGCTCTCTTTCTCTAATTTTAGAATTTATGAAAAGTTGAAATTTACAAAAGAAAAATGAAGAAAAAGTGAAAAGAGCGAGAGTTTAAGCATGGCGCGGCGCTCTTGTGGCCGACCGCGAAAATCAACGAGCGGGAGTTTCCACAAGTTTGGACGGGCAGCGACGAAGGTCGCTTTCAAAGGCGATTTTTATGAAGGAAGTGGGCTGAAATTCGTTTGTAGTTGAATCACGTTGCATTTTTGAAGTTTATGTTTTCAGCTCTTTTGAGATTTTCGAGCAAAAATGACGAAAAAATTAAAAAAAATCAAGGAAAAATTTGATTTTCAAGTGGATTTTTCTTTTGAGAACAGTAGAGTGACACCCTTATTTTGTAAAAACGATCATTTGAATAGAAATTTTGTTTCAATGATTTTTTTGAGCCGGATTTTTTCATTTAGCAGCCTGGATTTCCGGTTGATGAATATTTTTTTAATAAAGCTCAAAAAATAAGGGTGTCATTTCTTTAGTTAAAAAACCCTCACGTTATCGCCCCTCGTGACCTTAAACCGTTCCCCGCATAAATTTTCTCCAAGTTCTTTAAATTTTAAAGTCTGAAAGCGTTCAACCTCGCGACCACGAGTTGTCAGGCGGATCAAATCAGCGCCCGACAATTTTCGAGTGCTTGCTCCGCCGAATTTACATTTTTGGAGCATTCTTGAATTTCCCGTTTCTTCTTCTTCCCAATCAATATTAATTTATGAGACTTTCTTTCTTCGTTTTGAACGAAAGAAATTTTTAGATTGGTTTCGAAAATTTTATTTATTCAAAGACAAATTTTTTTTTCAGTTAAATTGGAGTAAGAGTGATTGAATATGCTTGAGGAAGAAGATACCATTTTTCAGTTTTCATGTTGACTTGTTCGTTTGCCAAATATATCACTGTATTATTCGGCCCGTAGTAGACATAATCGTTATATGTATTGAAGCAATTTTTCATCATCTCATCAGAGGCGTAGAAAAGCCATCCGAGGGGAATTCTGATTTGAGAGCCAGAATGATCGATGAGAGTGTTTTGGAGAACGAATTCGGAGTTTTCGATTCGATCAAGCACCATTTGGTGGAAAATGATTGACCCATCGCAATTGAGATAGGTGCCAGTGACAGTGAGAGGACGAGAGAAGGAAAATTTGTGGTGAAGGAGCACTAAAAAGATATTGTTATTAATGAAATACTCTATTAGACAGACCTAGTTCAAATTCGAAATCGCCGCATGTTTCGTGGCTATAATCCAGTTCTTGAATAGTCTCCCATCCACTTTTATTCAAATAAGTTCTAAATTTTAATCTTTTGAGAAGCAATTCAATTTCGTTTGTTTGGAATTCTTGTTCTTTAAACTTCGGATTGAGACTGAAGCCAGCCAAACTGCGCGGATAAATTATCATTGTTAGTTGAGTGAAGATGTTTTCGAGAGTCAACCAGTTTTTCATTTTCCAGTCTTCAATTCCCAAGTCATTTTTGATCGCCCATCTCAAAAGAGTAGTGACTGAAATGGGTACGCAAAGATTGGTTTCTTTTTGATTCAGAATATTTTTCGTGACGTTTTTGAAGTCGGAATTGATCTGTTTCGTCAGTTTTTGTTTTAGATTTGCCATTGCCGAAGACTTTGTCAAGTTCGGATCGTCCAAGGAAAAATGAGAAGGCGCATTTTCCAGAGAAATGATTTTTGAAACGCTCTCGATTTGTTTAATTGATGGATATTCTACTGTGAGCCACTCAGCATTGCAGGCCTAGAAAAATCTCTTTTATATAGAAGAAAAATTGCTGACCTTTAATTTCTCATTAATAGTTATTCTTTCGTCAATTTTTATTGGATTGAAAAGAAGACTCCACGCTGTCTTCCACCCACAAAGAATCAAAATGTGTAGTGGGGACTCAGATCCTCCAAGTGAATCACAAAGTTGACGACTATTGGCAAAAGCAGCGGATCCAGCAACTAGGGAAAAAATAAAAATTTGCCAATGTGATTTTAATTTCAAATTTACATAAATATCTCGATTCTTTATATTTGTTTCCTCTTCTTCTGTAGCCCATTTTGCTGTAGGTTCTTCTTCTTGTGACGTCTAGAATGATCCCAAAATCAATTAATTTAGCTTGTCCATATTTCAAGAGTACATTTTCCGGCTTCTTATCGCTATGAATAAGACCAATTTTTTCCAAATATTCGTATCCCTCCTTACTTCCAATGGCAATTCTCTTTCTTTCTTCCAAATCTAAGTTTTCTGCTTTCAATCTGCTTCGCAAATCTGAGTCACATTTTTCCATTATTGTGATCCATCCGAGACAATCCTCCCTTTTCAGATCTTTTGCCAAATAGATCTCGATGTTGACGAAGTTTTTGATCACATTTGGATGAAAAGGGATAACGGGGGCGCCATCTTCTTCTTTGTTTGCAGCGATTCCGTAATCTGGAAAATATTTTTTATCTAACCTTTACTCTCTAAAAAAGCATCTTTTACCTTCTGAAAGATAAATAACAAATTTCAACTCCTCTTTTTCATTCGTAAACAGGGCAGAATCAAAAGCCTGAACCCGAACAGCAACTTCCATTTCACCAACTCTTTCATGAAGAACAATAGCTTCTCCTCCAGTTGAGATAATATTCCACTGAGAAAATTTTTCGAGAATCCATTTTCCACGATCTTCTCTCAATTCTGACCGGTCGATTCTCCGATTTATTAAATTTGGATTTCTTTCAAGAATTGTTTCTTGCAGTGAAGTTATTGCCCATTCCTCTGACTCAATATCGAAAAAAGTTCTTCCTTTTTTTTCATCAAAAATCACCTTCTCCCATCTACCAGCCCAAGTGGATTCAAACTCGCATCTCTCAACCGACAAAATCAATCTGTCGAGATCATTTCTGCTTGTCGTTCTCTTCAATTTATATCGAAAACTTTCCAGCCATCTCTCGACATTTTCCCTCGTCAGTTTTTTGGGATGCGTAGGAACTAGCTCAAACTCATAATTCATAAAAAAAATATCAATCAAATAATAGACTACACGATTATCTGATCAATAAACTTTCTTGCGTGTTTACGACTCGGCTGACGCCGGGTAATGCAAATCTTTGCTTTTGATGGAAGATATTTGCCAGAGTTCGATCTTAACAAAAATAAAATGCTTCGTTTCTCTTTTCTGTATTTCGATGAAAGTTTCAACAGACAAAAGCTCTCTTCAGTCAAAGACAACGATGTCATAATAAGGCTCTGCTTTCATAAATGATTTTCAGAAGAGTGCCTTCACTATTTGTTAAGTCGGCACAAACCAAAATCAGGAAGTTATAAGATAGGAAGTGACAAAAAAAGGAAGTGCATTTTCTGAAGACCAATAAGATTGCTGCATTTGGCCTACCGGCCAATGAAAACCCATTCCAAAAATATCACTTCCTTTTTTGTCACTTCCTATCGTATTACTTCCTGATTTTGGTTTGGCCCGTTAAGTCATCCTTTAAATTTTTGAAAATCTTCCTAGATGAAAAAACTTTGTGAATGTTTCACAAATCTCTTGCAAGCTTTCTGCCGAACCGAAAGTGTTACTTTCGCCCATAATTCGCAGCCAATTCGGGCAGTCTTCCTTGATTTCAAAAGGTGCTTTTATTCAAAAATCAGTGAAATTGAAGTCATTCCAAAGTGTTTATCAGGAATCAAAGCGACCCCATTGACGAAACTCACAAATATAAAAACAAAAATAAATCTCGACATCTTCTTCTTTTTTTATTTAAAAAATGGTTGTTCTGCTTTCGCCAAAAATGATTTCGATGAATTTTTTAAGTTGAACAATTGACGCTCAAAGAGAATCGAAAAATGAATGATTTATTCACAAAGAGAAACAGATATTTACAGAAATTGATATTGACGGCTTGAGAGAGTCAATATCAAGAAAAAGATTCAACGAAGTTCAAGTTTTTTCTTCGATGGAAAAAAAGCGGGAAAACTGGAAAACTGAAAATTGAAAGGCGATTTTCGTTCGTCTTTTGGGGAAATGTTGGCAGCTCTTTGACTTCATACTCGTTTTGTTGGGAAAATTATTAATGATTTAAACTTTTTAAACGATTAATTATTATACGATTGAGATATGAAGCGGCTTATTGAAGCTCTGAAATAACATTTGTTAGTCAAAATATGAAATAAACTATCGGGGTAGCAGTGGAAAAGCGACTTTAAATTCGATCAAATTTTCGTCCAATGAGAAACCCGCTTTTGCCTCACCGACGAATCAGAAGCCGGAAAGGCGACCAACATAAATTATGTCGGTATTTAGCCGCTTTCCTCCATTTTTTGGGAATTTTTTTTTGAAAGTCATTTTTTCGATTTGGAAAGAACAGTAAGTTCTTGTAATTACCTTGATAGCAACTGGAATAGAAGACAGATCATCCGACCGATCCGAATAAACCGACATCGTCCGCTGAGGAGAATCCTTCGTCACACAGTACCACGTGATAATCGCCATGCACAGCACCACTGAAATCATTTTATTCCTCCTTGATTTCAATTTCGTTTTGACTCACCAAGAAAACCAGCCAGCAAGACAATGACGACGGGAAACTCGACGTAATCTGACATTTCCTGAACCGCTTCTTCGAGCAATTCTTCCGTTAGAACGCAAGTTTTTAAATCGTCGTACAGTCGAAAACCTTAAAATACATTTTCTTTCAAAAGCAATGTCTTGGAATTTTCGTCTCGGAAATTGTAAAATATTTCCGCGTGGAAAAAGTACAATTAAATCATTGGAGAACAGATCCACTTTGCTCGCTCTTTGGTAATCCCTTCCGAAAAAATGATGTTCCGATAAAAGGATATTACGTAAGCGGCAGAAACAAACGGAATTCTTGAACATTTCTAGAGACAGAAATAGGGAGAGGATTAAGGAGCTCCCTGCGAAAGAAAAGTTTGAATAAAAAAAATGAGTTTTTTAGTCAAAAATTAAAATTGAGAAGCCGCTTGCGGCTTCGAGCTAAAAATAAAGAAAGCCGCGTCGAGATCGGCTCGAAATATTGATTTTTCGAAGCTGAAAGCGGCTTCTCGATTTAAAATTTCAGTTAAAATGGGCAGTGGAAAAAATGAATTATGTTAAAGCACGTGAGAAAAATGCAGTGCTGTTGTCGGATTACTGTCAACCGAATCTCTGATCTGCGTTTTTTCGCTTCTCGTTTTGATTTTTCTTCTGAAATTTACCTGATCGGCAGCTGCAACTTGGACCAGTCGACTTCAACACGCAAAAGTGGTCGCATTCGCGCGGACAATTCACCTCTCCGGCTGCTGAAAAATCTTAACAAGAAATTTAATGTTAATTATTAAATTAACTTTCATAATAAATCGCTCAAATAAAATTATCATAAAAGATTGGTTTTTCTTAGAAAATGACTCTCAAGAAATCGTTTCGAAACCGCAAGTTTGAGATGATCGCAAAATTGTTATTATAATTATCCGTGAAAGAAAATAACATTTAAGTGCGCCGCGCCGCCAGCCGAGCTCAGCAGAAAATTACCCAGAAGATGTTACTTGGCCAGCGCTTTAGACACCTAGTTTTAATTGATTTGGCATTTTTTTATTTACAAAAAAGCGAATTATAAAGTAGGAGGTGTCCCTTGTTCATCCTCTTATTTTCGGCAAGTATGCCCTTGTTCACCTTTTGGCCAGATTTTGGTACTTTAAGCCAATCAAAAGCCAGATTCGTTCAAATTAGCCAATCACGAGCGACTCGCCTGGCTTAGCTTGGCTGGGCTCGACAACCTGTGTAGAAAACCTGAGTCAGGGTCAGAAAAAGAAAAAAGTCCTCTTCTGGACCCTGACTCAGGTTTCTTTCACAGGATGTTAAACCCACCGCCTTGAACACAAACCACCCGCTTTTTCCTACATACGGTAAGGCTACGTGGCCCAAGGATGAACGAGGGCACACTTGCAGGAAGTTGTTGAATGAACAAAGGCAGTTGCTATTTTTTTCAAAAAGTCATTTTCCAAACGAATTTTTAGAAACAGATCTCTCTTTTTGAAAAAGGCATTAGCATTTTGTTTTATCCACCGTCCCGATTGATCTGTCGCTGTGTTCCAAAATTCCAGCGCACGTTTTTGTTACGAGCCACCACAAATCCCAGAAACCGAAAATTGACGGCAACAGACAAACCTCTTTAGAACTGACTTGATTTGCGCCAATTCACGTCATTTTTTTTTTCTTTTTTGATGACAAAAAATTCGAATGAAGAATTTCGGTTTCGATAAAATTTTAATTAAACACCGCGAAATGGCGATAAAGAAATTAATGTAAGGAGGGTGACGCGAAAAGGACATAGTATTTTAAATTTTGCGGCTGCTCCAACTCACGACAGAATGTTCTTTTTGGTTCGGGGGTCGGGTGCTTAGAGAGGATAATTTGGTTTCTTGGGTGAAAAATTTTGGGAAACGGTCGGACTCATTACCAATTGGTAACCCATTACCAATTGTGGTAACCCATTACCAATTTTGGTAATGCATTACCAAATTCGTCAAAAAAGTGTCGATTTTTTCATTCGAAGAGCGAGTGTGCGCTCCGCGCCTGTATAATAGAAAATTTGTGGGGTGTTTTATTCATTAACTTGTCGAAAAAATTAAAATAAATTAATAATCGACAACCGAAAATTGGTAATGGGTTACCAAAAATTTGGTAATGAGTCCGACCGTTCCCGAAAATTTTCTCGTAGTTGAGGAGGAATTATGCATCGGCATCTTTTCTCCGAATCTTATCTTTGTCACACCCTTATTTTGGGGCGGTGTCTGGAACCGACAAAAAATTTCGACAAATTTTGCGTTGAAATTTTCAACCAATCAGAAGCCTGAATTCGTCAAACCGGCCAATCAGCCGCCCACGCAAAATTTGTCGAAAATTTTTTGTCGATTCCAGGCGCCACTCCTTATAAACAAAGGGCCTTTTTTGTCCGAATCTTATTGTGGTGACACCCTTATTTTTGAGAAAGAATAACGGTGCTTTGCCATTTTTTTAATTGACAAAGAGGGGGTCCTAATTTAACAGGTAGATTCCCTTATTAGCGGATATATTTTTGAACGCCTTTCTTATTATTCACGGTCTACCCCCTTAAGGGTACCTAGGTCGAGTTTGGGTACCCCCTTAAACCATTTTCTGACCAAAGAATCGAATTCTTCAGGTTCTGAGGAACAAAAAACTCTATAATGACCCTATGGCTATCTAAACGTTTTCACGGTCAAAAACCACTGTAAAGTATAAAATCTATAGGAAATGCTAGTGCCTCAAATTTTGACGAAAAATTTTTCATCTCCAATTTTGCTGATTAAGGGCTTAAATGAAAGCTTATGGCCTGGTTAACATCGTAGTGAAGCTTAAAATTGCCCAAGAAAATTAAATTCAGTTCAAAACCGGGGAAAATGGAAGCTTACCAAGCAAAAATGCGGAATTTGTGAAGATTAGACCAATCTTTTGAAAATTTTGTTAAAAAAATCTTTGAAATCCAAATATCTGTTCTGTCACGATTGAAGAGGAGGCTTTAGACTTTATGTATCCATAAAGAAAAAAAATGTTTGTATGAAAATTTTCGCCTGAATTTAGCGTCAAAGTTGGCCATTTTAGGCCGAGACGCCAACTTTGAGGGCATTTTTTCTGAAAAAAATTTTTGAAATCGAAAAAACTGCTCTGTCACGATCCGAGATCTAGGATAGATCTGTTGAATGAGCTATTGAAGAGCTTTTTTCGTTAAGAATTAAGGGTAGTAATTTACCCTCAAAGATGGCCATCTCGACCCAGGTACCCTTAAGCGTAAAACAGAAACGATGACCAGGCTCAAAGAATTTCTTTTGTTGCCCCACCCTTATGATAATTAAACTAGTGTGCGTGTAACAACCTGCGTCAGTGAACCTAGAAAAAAATGATGTTTCTAGCTACAGGTGCTTATTTTTCGCATTCTTCTTGATTCGAAAATTTTTTCTTCTGAAAACGGATAATTTCGGAGTTTTCAGTGATACCATCATTTTTTTATGGTTATTAGAAAATCGCACGATAAGACTGATTATTATCTTGTCATTTCTGAGGAGCTTGAGGTTGCTCTGATTTTTGGCTTGTTTTTTCAAGTGACTGCATTTTCACGTGAAGGGACAAACCAAAAATAGTAATTTTCGGAAGCAGTAATCATCAACCAAAGTGGGCGACCTTGGGGTCCCGCGAAAATGTCGAATTCAGCTTTTTTTAACTCCTGGGAAAGGAATCAACAATTTTTTTTTTTGAAGCTGAATGTTTTGAATGTCTGCTGAATGTCGTCGATGTCAAAAAAAAATGACATCTGCGGACATTTAAAATATTGAGAAGACATTAAAAATAATTTTGATAATAAATTATAATAATTTACAAATCATTTATTACAATATGAATAAATATCTTTTAATGTCATTAAACAGCGTGAAATGTCGACAAATGTCAAAATTTGACATCGTCGACTTTTTAAAGACATTCGAAAGACGTTCTTGAATCATGATACAAATTTGTTTGAAAACATTGAAAGGCAAGTTTTGTCCAATTCGAAAAAGCTCCGCGCCGCGAAAAAAAGTGGAAGTGAATGGAATCGAAAATTCAGTTGCATAATCGCTTCGGCCAGTACGTGCATCCAGCCGCGACATTCTAATTCGCTCAATCGGCTCCCCCATGCGTCCATAAACCGGCACGTGTTCGCTTTCAATTTTCTCGCCCCCCCCCTCTTTTTCGAATTTTTTTTCATCATTTCGTTTTTCGATTTTTTTGTTTTCTCGGAAATCAAGAAAATCGAACCGCAAAGTGATTATTTGACGCAACATAATTATCCTTGTTCAACAAAAACATTTGCCCCAGCTCATTTTTCGCCGAATTACTGGCCGATCCAGACATTCCAGCGGCCGCACTGGGCAGCGGAACTATTAACAAATTATTTCTTATCGACCTCAAGAATCCACCTGGATCGACAAAGATAGCTTTTTCTAAGAAGAGATTATCGTATTTCTAAGTCATTTCGAAGTGAAACCCTTATTTTCTATTCGCAATTTTCTGAGAAGAAACCTGAGTCAGGCTCCCAAATATCCTGTGTAGAAAACCTGAGAAAGAGTCTGAAATGTCCCCAAAAAACATCGAAAACGTAATTTTCTTGGCCTTTATTGATCCTGGCGCTTGACCCTGCTGTCAGTGTTTTTTGCTTTCTAAATCAGACACGCTCGCTTCAGAAATATGCGTTGCCGGCGGTTAATCCGACGCGGCGAGGTTAGCTTATCGAGTCATCTGGCGAAAACATACAGAAGGCTCAAAAAACTCGCTTCTGTTTTTTCTCAGTTAAATTAACTCTATTAGAGCTAAGACTCGAACAAAATAAGGCACTCCCTTATTTTTGAGCCAGATCTGGGGAGGGGAATTGGATCAAAATAGGCTTTTTTATCTAATACATGTATCGTATTCCAACCGTTTTGTAGAAATCCTGAGTCAGGGTCTCAAAGATCTTTAGGGAAAAGCCGCGTTGCAAAAAACTTTTTGACTCAAAAAATGCAAAAAATTTTTTGACTCAAAAAATGCAACAAATTTTTTGACTCAAAAAATGCAACAAATATTTTTGACCAAAGAAAATGCAAAAATTTTTTGACTCAAAAAATTCGCGTAGCGATTTTTCACTAAAGACCTTTCAGACCCTGACTCAGGTTTTCTACACAGGTTTTTGAGGCCATCTCAAAGATTTTCGATGATTTCATAGCTTTTCTGGGAAAATTATTCAGAAGCAATATTTGGTCAGATTCTGGCAATTAAAATTTCGTGGAGCAGCGGAGAATAAACATGTCAGTCTTGATTTATTTTCGCGCCACGTGTGCAGGTGTTTTCTTTATATAAGTCCCTTTTCAAAGGAGGAAAAAAAAGATAATTGGAAAAAGAGTGACACTTGTGTGATCACCGCAGAAACGAAAAACATGGCCATTTACGCGGCCATTTGCCGCTTTAGAAAAAAAAACGGCGAACCCAATAGCCGCAACTGCCATTTTGCTTGTTCGAACTAAACAAGGAATGTAAATGCGCATTTCAACCACACAACAGGGCGATTCAATTTAACATGCTGAACATTTTCTTTTGTAACAAGAAATGCCAAAAAAAAAATTTAAAATAGGGGTCCGGAACCTTACTTAGTTAAAAGCCTGAGTCAAGCTTTAAGGAGGTGGTGGTCGAGAATCGGATTTTTTTCAACAAAATTAGCTCAAAATTTTTCAAAAAAATTTTTTTTTTCTCATCGAAAATTGGTTTAAAAGGGTTCAAATTATGTGGGCGACATAGTTTGAAAAAAAAATTTTATCGGAAAAAGCTCAAAATATGCTCCTCAAGTGGACCTATCTCTTGACAAAATTGTGAGGAAACCCTTAAATTTTTTTCGAAATTAAATTTATTGTGAAGATAGTTCAGACCCTTAGGCGTGTGGGCAAAATAGTTTCAGAAAGGTTCTGTTTCATTTTGAGGTCGCAGAAGCTGATTTAAATAGTGTTGTTTTCTTAAAAATCGTCATTTTTCACCCAATTTGAGCTCTGATTTTCGAAAAAATCACAACTATTTTCAATTATTGCTTTTTTATTAGTAAAATCTTATATTTTAACGATATCTCGCACCAAAAATCATACTAATATCGGTTTTTGTATAGAAAATCAAGTTTTGAAGTTCCGAGAAATCGTAAATTCCCGATATTCCCGATTCGATATTTTCTAAAGTAAAGTTGATCCAATCAAAAAATGGTAGGGACCAAAAGTGTTCCTTTTTTATCGAGGAATTCAAAAATAAAATCAAAATTTCAAAATGTCGACAAAAATATTCTCGACCACCACCCCCTTAAAGAAGCAAAAACGAAAAGCCGCGCAGTGGCTTTTTCAAAAAACGAAACCGCGTAGCGGCTTTGCAAGTACGCAATATTTTTTGTCGATTTATATTTATTAATCAAAAAAATTATGATATATATTAAATAAGACAAAATATAATTGAATAAATATAAGTAATATTTATTTATTTTATTATATATTTAAATATATATCGACAAAAAATATTGTGTACTTGCTAAGCCGCTTCGCGGCTTCATTTTTTGAAAAAGCCGCTACGCGGCTTTTCGTTTTTGCTCCTTCAAAACAGTTTTGACTCAGGCTTTTGAGTCAAGTTCAGTCAAATCATTCGCCCGTTTAAATTTGGATCTCTGTTTGTAAAAAGACCGGCTGAAGTAAGAGCGCTGTGATCGGCTTATTCTATTGCCTGAAAGTGATATGCTAAGAGGATAACTGTGCATTCTCGCTTGGGCATATCATTTCAGCAAAGTGGCACAAGCGGCTTTCGCCTGTTCAGCTGAAAAAATTCCAGCCCCCTCGCGATAGCGGAAGTGCCTTCAAAAAGAACGTGTGTTTAGCCGCTTTTTTGGAGCAGCGATTTTTTAGAATTTTTAAAACAGATTAGCCAGGAAAAAGCACTTTCCGGGACATTTTTTACGAAAATTTTTAAACGAAAAAAAACCTGTGTAAAAATCCTGAGTCAGGGTTCTGAGAAAATTTTTATGACAAAAAGCCGCGTTTTTATGATGACTCATTTGCGGCTTTCTTAAAAAAAGCCGCGGCGCTCCTTCCGTTAAAAATTTTTCAGACCCTGACTCAGGATTTCTACACAGGTTTCCCTGCTCCAGCAATAAGATTAAAGAGCCCCCTCCTAACGCTTACGTATCACCTTAATCACTCCAACCACCGGAAAGAAAAGGGCGAATTAACCGGCGGTTTTGAATCAACATCCTTATCTAACCAAAGTCTAGCCTCTCAGAGCTTTAATTTGGACCTTTTGCGGCTTCTCAGAAAATTTTCAAGCAACAGTTAAATCGAGCTGCATTTTCAGTAAAACATTTTGAAAAACAGAAGCACTTTTGGACTTGAGTACCATCAGGTGGTTTTCGCCAAAACTTATGAATATTCAATGAAATGGCCAAAAAGGGGACGTCATAAGTTGGGGGGTTAAGTTTTGAAATAAACAATTTTTGAATATAAAGCAGACAAATTCAGAATTCAACGGCTTTATGGAAAATATCAAAAATAAAAATCGACAGAAAAAAATCATCATTATAACGAAAAAACTACTTAAGGGTGTCCCCATCTTAAAAGATTTTTCATTCAGTAAGGGATTCCCCTGTTTAACGGATTTTCAAGCCTCTGTTGGAGAAAATCCGTTCAATAAGGGACCTCCTTACTGAACAAAAAATCCGTTAGCATGGGGATACCCTTAAGGAATTTTTACGTTAAAATGAAAATTTCCTATTTCAAATTTGAGGAAGCAAATTTAAGGGAAAAGCTTATTGGTTCCACGATTTTCACGGTTCCAAAAAGCCAAAAATCATAATTGCTTATCTCCTCGTTGGGTACGTGTTTGGCTCGGCTAAACCCTCTTTGGAACACGTCTTCGGTTCTAGCATCCGAAGAAAGCTGCTTCAGGTGCTCGGGAGATACAGGTGATTAATTGAGTCCGAATCCTTTATTCGCCCTTGCGTAAGAAAATCAACGTTGGCGCGGATAAGCCCCCAGCTGCTTTTCCGATCTTTCTGTAATTTTCATCAAAAGCTCGTTTTTTCGGAAAAGGTCGCTTCCATTTTCCCGAAAATTTAAAAGAGACTAAATTGATCAAGAAGGTGCGGGCTCGGTAACCTGTTTGGAAAACCTGAGTCAGGTTTTGAAGAGCCTAAATGAAAAGCCGCATAGCGGCTTTTTAAAAATCAAAGCCGCGTAGCGGCTTCGCAAAATTATCTTTCCCATCTTTTTTTTAGTTTCGCAAAAATAAAAAAAAAAGATTGGAAAGATAATTTTGCGAAGCCGCTGCGCGGCTTTAATTTTAAAAAAAGCCGCTTTGCGGCTTTTCATTTAGGCTCTTCAAAATCTGACGTAGGTTTTTTTTTACTTTTCAAATGCAATGAATGAGAAATGAGTTATTCTTGTTTATATTACTAAAGAAAAAACTCGTGCAGGAGGAGCTTGTCAGAAAAAATATTATGAAAAGCTGCTGCCCAGGCGAGGGTTTAAGAAAGCCAAATATTTTCAAAAGCGAGTCGGAAGAAAACGAACTCAGAACCGCGAAATTCCATTCCAGACATTATTCAGTTTTTTGAAAATATTCACGAGCCAGGAAATGGCAGCCAAATTCTGCTTGTTGTTTTCTACTTTATCGAATTACTGTAAAATCAAGCAACTGGAGGATTTTCGGAAAAACTGCGAGGGAGCTTCCCTAAATTGTTGATTTTCAAATTCAAAAAGCGAGCGCTATATTCTGATTGGTTACTCGAATGAGAATAATCGACAATCTTGGGCTCATTTTGAGAAGTTTTATTGACAATCTAGGGATATTTTAGGCCCAAAATTGTCAATAAAACTTCGAAAAATGAGCCGATCATTGTCGATTTTTGATGCGGTGGATTATCCAATCAAAACGTCGTGCTCGCTTTTTGAATCGGAAAAACGACAATTTAGGAAAGTACTCCTTAAATTTCACAAACATTTTAAGACAAAATTATTTCGGCAAAAATGTATTTTTTCAATTTTTTGAGTCTTTTTTCCGAGTCGACTCTTAATTTGATTTCTTGTATTTCCGTGGGAAGCCCTTATGAAATGAGCCCGGAAATTGATCTGATAATAGCAGACAGTTTCTTGTTCAAAGCATCGGCTTATGTCTCGCTAGCAAAAACGGATGAACCAAAAAAGGGGATGAAAGTAAAAGTGAGACAGGAACTTCGAAAAGCACTAAAAGCCGCAAAAGCTCTTTTGCTTAAATTGAAAAACGATCTCTAATCGCAAGATAAGATTTGAGAGATAACAGATGGACTCGAGCCCCTTTTTTTCGGCGAAATTTCAATTCGAAAACTGGGGGAAGATAAAAGTGTTCAAAAAAGACATAAGTTGTTTTTGGAAAAGTTTTGCTAAGCCGACCGAAATCCGGGTAGATTAGCGGCTCGTTCTAAAATTCAATCCGGAACAGGGGAGACACGTGTGGATGCTAGCTACTTTTTGCGCTTTTTGACTGAGTTTTGAGGAAAAATTGTGTTTTCAACAAAAATTTAATCGTTTCTCTCTCTTATTCACGAATAGAAAATCAATTATTTTGTCTATAAAGCAAGAAAATCAAGATAAACGATCAAAATGTCCCAAAAAAAGACCAAAAGCCGGCAGCGGGTTAAATTTTTAAAAACACGAATAAACAAGGGACACCCTTAAAAATAAAAATAGTTGATACGAGAGAAATAAAGTTGCAAACCTGAAAATCAGTCTGACCAAAAAATTGGCAATTTTTCTTAATGGGTTCTTAATGATTTTATTGGTAGAAATAGATTAAAAACGATGATTTTCAATATCATTTTTTTATACTTACAATTAATAAAAGTCCTTATTTTCTGATTCTCTTCTTCTTTTTCGCAAGATACAATACCTGGTTGAAAAGCTTGAGAAAAACCGAATCCGAAAATTCCGAGAATCAAAAATTGCGAAAATATGGCTTTTGATGAAATCATATTTTAATCCTTCTTTTCTCGATTTAATATTTTCTCTTGGTTGAGCTGCGAAGATTCTCTTTCAAAACAGTTCTTTTTGGTTAATTTTTCCGGCGCCGGACGACCGGGACAGTGCGCGCGCGGTGGAGCGCGTTAGGTGGCGCTAGAGCCGGAGCGCGCTTTTTTTCGTGAGTTTTCAGGAAATTACCGCATTTCTGATATAAAACGAGTTTTGTTTTGATAAATGATAAAATAAGGGAAGATGAAAAAATATTTTTATCACTTAAATTTTAAGAGAATTATCATTGAGACACCCTTATTTTCATTGAGAAATATTGATAATCATTTTTTACATTCTTTCTTGCTTTCTTCTTTTGAAACTTCTAATTTAATTATGGTTTCATCATTTTAGTACCCGAAAAAACAATATTTTCTTCAGTTGACTCACAAAAAAATCCGTCCACTTCGGTACGCGTCTAAAATTAACAAGATACTCAATCTGCGCGATCCTCTGCTGACCAGCTTTTTAATACCGCGCTTAGTATATTTCAAATGCTCTTATCGACGAAACTTAAGTCAATTGGCTTACGAATATTTTTTTGCTTGAAAACGTGCCTTGATCAGCGTTTTTCATATTTTGGAGAATTTGGAATTTTTAGCGCTTTGATCAATGCTCAATCTTGTTGACAATGACGGAAAGCTCGTAAAGGGCTTTTTTATGCTTGTTGATGAGTTGAGGGGGTAAATATCCAATTTTTAGCTGTTAAAATGCAAGTTCAATTTTTCAAATCAACAGCGAGGGATAAAAACTCAGCATTTATTGACAAGTAGAACAAGAAATTTGAAAGATAATTTAATCAGATTCGGAAGAGCTACTAGAAGTCGAGCGATCAGAATTGGTGCCACCAATAGTATTGGGACCAGAGACAGGCACTTCAGTAAGAGTTATTGAATAAGCTTGAGGGAGGAGGTACCATTCTTCAGGAATCATATTCTCCGTTTCATTTGCCAGTTGAAGAAATTCACCATTTGGGCCGTGATAATCAAAGTCGCCATTCAAGTTTTTGCAATCCTCCATCATTTTTTCTACAGCATAGTAACGATTTTGAACAAAAATACGCAATTGAGGAAGTGAATGAGAAAGAAGAGTGTTTTGAAGCACGTATTCGTCGTTTTCGACCCGGTCAAGAACCATTTGATGAAAGAGCACTTCGCCATCGGGTTTGAGATACGCCCCGGTTACTGTAAGAGGACGCGTAAAGACAAAATTATTGTGGAGGAGAACTGAAAAACGGATATTTCCTCGAATTTTTATTTTTAATACCTGACGCGTAGTCGAAATCAGAGTTATTTGTGTCCATATATTTGATTATGTCCCATCCCGGTTTATTCAAGAAAGTTTTTAGTTTGAGTCGTTTCAAGAGCAATTCAATTTCGTTGTCTTGAAATTCTTTTTCTTGTTTATTCGGATTAAGATTCAGTCCAGCCAAACTCCGAGGGTAAACAACCATCGTCAGTTTAGTTAAGATTTTTTCAACTGTAAAATATTCGTTCATTGACCCATTGTCAATTTTCAAGTCGTTTTTGATTGCCCATCGAAGAAGAACAGATACTGAGATTGGAACACAAAGATTTGTGTCTTTTTGATCGAGAACATTTTTTGTTAGGTTTTGGAAGTCCAGATACGTTTGTTTCGCCAATTGCATTTTTAAATCCGCCATAACAGAAGACTTTGTCAAGTTTGAATCGTCAAGATCAGGGTTCTAAATCTGATCCCGAGCTCAGTAGTCTTAGTCGAATCTACTTTAAAGCATTTTCAAAATCGCTAGTGTAAGTCTAGTCTAGTCTTGAGATTTTCCTAAATTGCTCGTCTTAGTTTAGTCTAGTCTATAAAATGAATTTAAGGCTTGTTTTCAGGGAAAATATAAAGCCAAATACGATGATGACACGCCAAAACTCATGTTTGCGATAGACAATCTCTCTTGCTCATCAGATTTTTAAGTCTCAGTCTTGTATTGTCTAGCGGACTATTTTCGAGATCTGAGTTAATTAAGTCATAATTGTATTTTACACTAAGACAAGACTAGACTTAGATTTAAGTCGGAATCAGACTAGTCTATTTAGAACCCTGGTCAAGACAAAGATATGATGAAGCGTTCTTCAAAGAAACGATACTAGTAAGCTTGTGAATCTTCGTTTTCTTTGAAAATTCTTCGACGCCCATAGACTTGTTATCAATTTAATTCTTTGAGTTACAAATAAATCTTACTTTGAGCTCATTTTTTATCTGATTTCTCTCGTTCTCTTCAATCGGCTTATAACTCAGTGACCATGCAGTCTTCCAATCGCACATCAAAAAAACGTCAATGTTGCTCGCTTCAGGTTTCGGACTACCCAGTATCAACGAAAGGATTTGATGAGTTTCGCAGAATGCAGCGGACCCACCAGCTTAAAATCTTAAAGCGAAAAGATGAGAAACACTCACTTAAATTCGACTCCGACGTATATTTCCGGCCTCTCCTTGCATATCCCATCTCTCTGTAGCTTTTTCTTTCAGTTTTTTCTTCGATTAAACCAAAATCTATCCATTTGGGTGATTTGTTTTTCAACAAAATATTCTCGGGCTTCTTGTCATGATGCTCTATTCCGATCTTTTTTAAATACTAGATTAGGGCTTATAAATGTTATGCCGAGAATCTTCCGAAAATATTTGTGTCTTTTTATTATAATATTTATCATATTTATTGATATGCGCTTATCGAATGATCTTTTAAATTTTTTTTACAACAAAATCATGCATAATTAACAAGCCCGTTACTTAAAACCAGAGTGGACTCCCTGAGAAATTTTCTTTCTCTCTTTTAGATCAATATCTTCATTTTTCAACCGTGCTCTCAAATTCGAGTCGCAGAGTTCCATTATTGTTATCCAACCCAAACAATCTTCTTTTTCGTCATCAGTAGCCAAAAAGATCTCGATATTCGCAAAATTTTTCACGACATTTTCGTGGACAGGGATGACGTTTGATAAGTTTTGTTTGTCATCTTCGGCAATTTCGTAATCTAAATTATAAGTTAAACATTTTTCGTTGAAGGTTAATTTTTACCTTTTGAAAGATGAATCTCGAACTTAGTGTCTTCCTGTTTTTTTGTAAAAAGCGCCGAGTCAAAAATTTGAACACGAACAGCAACTTCAAGATCACCAATTTTTTCTTTCAAAACAATCGCTTCGCCTCCAGATGATATCAAATTTTTACTCAGAGAAGAATCAAGAAACCACTTTCCAGATTCTTCTTCAAGCAAAGATCGATAGATCGGAATTTCTTGTAACGTTTTGGTTATTTTCCTTTGAAATTTGGTAAGTCGCCATTTTTCTGTATATTTGGGATTTTTCGGGTCTCCCGGTTTACTTATAGAAAATTTTCCGTCCTTGTCCATTATCATTCGAATTGAAACTGCCGTGACTGCTCCTTCACCATCCTTGAAAATCATTTCATACCAGCCTGCAGATTTATCGTCGTTAAAGTCAGTTCTATCGATAGACAATATGAATCTGTCTAAATCATTTCTCGTCGTTTCTCTTTTCAATTTCTTAGCAAATGTCCCGAGCCAAGCCTCGATGGCTATTCTTGTCAATTCCTTCGGATGCGTTGAGACTCTCATAACCGAAATCCTTGAATGAAACGAGTTTCCAAAAACGAAATATAACTTGCAGAAAGCAAACAGTTAAAAGCACAAAAATCACCATATAAAGATAATTTCTTTTCATTTCTGTGAAATCTACAGATATACCAGGCAAATCACGTTTTATGCCGTTTAAACGGAAATCTTCGAGGAAATAATAACCTTTTGAATTTCATTTAAACAGTCGAAAATATTTTTCTTTAGTATCGTACAGATTCCATCACCCAATCATCAGACAACTCGCTCAGGTCAATCTCCGAATTCGTCAATGCGCATTCTCGGTCCAATTTGTTAATGCGCTTCTTGATCTTCTCAATATTTCTCGTATGCCCTAGATTTCTCCGTCGCTCTTTCCGCTGAATCTTTTCTTCTTCGGGTAGTTCAGGGAGAGCTTTTGCGGTTTCATGGATTTCTCGAGCGAGACAGACGCCGGAGTTTTCAACGGGAAGTTCTTTCATCGAGTCGGCCCCTTTTGAAAGAGGGGTTGAGCGGGGTTTTCTCGAGCGTTTTCGGTTCTCTGAAGGAAATGATAAAAACTTGAGGCGTTTGAAAAAATACCTTGTTTTTCAATTTTGTTCTCTTCTATGTCTCCAAGACTGACTTTCTTGCTCCCAAGCAGAACGACATTGACATCATCGATTCCATCATTCGTCGTGGAATTTTTTCTGATCAAAATTTGATTGTTTGCCTGACAAACCATTTGAAGCAATTCTTTTTGGCGAATTTCTTCCGGAGTTAATCTTCTTGGAATCACGGGGCGATCGGTAGAGGGGAGAGCTTTCTGGTCTTTGGCGAGGAGCATATTTACATAAATGGCGGTGAAGGTCGAAGAACCGACGCCGATGAGCTCCAATGAGCAGTGCTGTTCGGTCCATTAGCTTGACTTTCGAGTGGCCTTGCAGAAGCATGAGCGCGATGTAGTCGATCAAGCAGCAGACGCCGAGATAGACGTAGCACAGCGAGTTTTGTTGCGTCTCCCAGAGGAAGAACTTGTAAAAGATGTCACATCTTCATTTTTTGAGTACTCAGAGTACGCAGATTTCGCGCGTTCTATGACTTCCTCTTCAAATACCAGTGACGCGCGGGCAGGCAAGTTCAAATATTAACTGCAAACTCAGAAACGCAGAAAATTCCAAATCTTGCCCTCTTTTTGCAAGCATTCTTACTCTAAGAGAAAAAAGAGCTTTTCGTTTTTTTTTTTGAAGATGGCGCGATCATTGTGAGGGTTTCAAAATAAAGGTTTTTTATTGGATTTCATTTAATTTTGATTGAGATTTTCAAAACTCTTTGAAAGAAAAACGGGCGATACTCTGGAATCCTCGAGTCGAAATTCGACGGGGGCCGAGGCGTCACCAGAGGAAGGGACAATGAAACCGGCCAAATCGTCGCCTTGAAATGGATCAAAATGATAAGTTCGAGCCAGATCGAGGAAACCGAAGAAGAAGCGCGAAATCTGGAAATGCTGAGCAGCGGAAACCAGTTCATCGTCCAGTTCGTCGATTTCTTGCCGATGGAAAGGCCGGACTGGTTCAAGCTCACTTCGATTTCGTTTCTGGTCATGGAGTTTTGCGAGCTTGGAAGCTTGAGCGACTGGATCGGGCGAAGAAAGCAGCAAGGGCGATGGACGAGCGCGGAAGAAGTGGCTTTGATCGGAGCTCAAATCATTTCCGCGCTGGCTTTTTGCCACTCAAGGGACATTGCGCATCTGGATGTCAAGCCGCAAAATGTGTTCATCAAAGGAGATGGCATCACTGTAAGTTAATTTCTAGGTATTTTTTTCATAAAGAATTAGATCCGGGTCGGAGATTTTGGAAGCGTCATGCACTTGGAGTCGATTGAAGCCACAATTGAAGGAACCAGGACTGATGGAGTCAAGAATACGCTGATTTACACTCCTCCAGGAACGAATTCGATAATAAATGAGGAATAAAAGAAGATTTTCGGTGTCGAATTCGTTAAAAGAGTCGTTTACCGAACCACTTAGAAGATCAGCTCGCCTAGATGTTTGGGGATTCGGCCACATTATTCAAGAACTTTTGACTTTTGAGCACGCTTTCTGCCGAGTCGATGGAAGACCAACAAGAAATCAACGACAAATCGGTAAATATTCCAACTCACTCGAGTCTATCAATTCCTTAGTGAACAATATTTGCGATCACAAACGAACAAAACTTGCCGAAATCCGCGGCGAAAACGAAGAAATGGTCGACTTCGAAATTCTTCTCCAAAAATGCCTGAATCCTCGAAAACTGCTTCGCCCGGAAAATGCGCTTCAACTGCGCGGCGAAGCGATCTTTTGCGAGTTTTTGGAGCGAATCGAAAGCGGCGAAGCTCCAAATGAAATCATTGCTCCTCCAGAAGAAATCATCAGGAGACTGAGGGAAACCAATCAGCAGCAGGAGGATTTGATTGAGGCGCAGAAGAGGAGGATTCGGGAGCTGGAAGCGAAACTTGAGAAAAATGAAAATAGAAAGAGGAAAATTCGAGAATTGAAGCAGATTTGTAAAGAACAACAAGAAAATGAGCAGGTTACATTTTGAAAAAAGGCGGTGACTCATAATTAAATTTTGATCTTTTTAAGAATTATTTTTTATTTTAGAAAATCCTCGCCGAGATCGCAAATTTGAAGCAAAAACTCGAAAAGCAAGAAGAAGACTTGAAGAACATTTCGGCTGAAAACGAGCGAAAAAATCAAATTGAAGAAAATTTGAAAATTGAAAATCGAAATATGAAGATAGAAATTGAAGATTTGAAGCGAGAACTTGATCAATTCAAAAACAGAAGACAAGATGCTTTGAATCAGAGAGAACAACGAGGAGAATTCAATTTGGCGCCGATTGCTCAGCAAGTTCAGAGCATGGAAATAAGAGTCGATGAGGAGAGGAGAAATGAGTTGGAGAAATTGAGAAGAGAGTTGGGAGCAGTCGGCGGCGCGGGGCATTACTTTCAGGATGATAGATATACAGCTCGTGGTGGAGTAAGAAATATTATGGAAGAAAACGAAGTGCGAAACATCCTGAAGCTGCTGGCTTTCGGCGAAATTAAAATCAACTTGAAGGAACGGGAGTTTTAAATTTTTAAGCGAAAAGAGAATTTCGAATAACTCTCCGCGAAGTTTTTACATTGGCAGAGGTGGGAGGTCGCGGAGAATGGATGGAATCTCAAGTTCAAAGCTGGTAATAAGGATTTAGGAGGAGATGGTTGGCATCATCTCTGGATCGGAAGCAAAGGTAAGAAAGTAAAATTTCAATTTTTTAAATTTCATTTTAGACGGGGGAGTGCGATTTAAAGCCGTGGTGCAGGAGATAGATATCAATGGAGACGAGCTGAGCAGAGGAGAGGTCACAAGCGAGCCGGATGGACAGAAGCAGAAAATCAAAAGCAAGTGGGTAGGTCGTAGTTGTTATGTAAGATACAACATCACTTTACTGTAAAATTCAAAATGTAAATAAATGATCATCAAACTCAATTAAACTCGATTGAAATAAGAAATCGCAAGAGTTCGGATTAAAAAACGGTTTTTTTCAAAAAACTGCTTGTTTTTTTACAATCGTCAGCCCTTATTCTGTTTTCAATTCGACATTTTTTCTTACTTACTATTTTTTTCTTTGGATCTTTTCCAATATTTTGAAAAATCAACGAACCATTTGGTGAAAGACAGCCTAAATTTTAGAGTATTTTATTTACACAGTTTAAAATATTTTCCTTTAGTATCGTACAGACTCCATCACCCCATCATCCGACAGCTCGCTCAGGTCAATCTCCGAATTCGTCAGCGCGCATTCTCTATCCAATTTGTTAATTCGCTTCTTGATCTTCTCAATATTTCTCGTATGGCCTCGATTTCGTCGACGCTCTTTTCGCTGAATTTTTTCTTCTTCGGGGAGTTCAGGGAGAGCTTTTGCATTTTCGTGAATTTCTCGGGCGAGACAGACGCCGGAGTTTTCAACGGGAAGTTCTTTCATTGAGTCGGCCCATTTTGAAAGAGGGGTTGAACGGGGTTTTCTTGAGCATTTTTGGTTTTCTAAAGAAGATGAAAAATTTTGGAAGATTTTGATAAATTGGGGAGGTGTCTGGAACCGACAAAAAAATTTCGACAAATTTGGCGTGGAAAATTTCAATTAGGAGCCTGGATTCGGCAAACCGGCCAATCAGAAGCCGAGTAGCCGTCCACGCAAAATTCGTCGAAATTTTTTTGTCGGTTCCAGACACCTTCCCGAAAAATTACCTTGTTTTTCAATTTTGTTCTCTTCTATGTCTCCAAGACTGACTTTCTTGCTCCCCAATGGAACGACATTGACATCATCAATTCCATCATTAGTCGAATTCTCTGTCGTAGAATTCTTTCTGATCAAAATTTGATTGTTTGCCTGAGAAACCATCTGAAGCAGTTCTTTTTGGCGAATTTCTTCGGGAGTTAGTCTTCTGGGAATCACGGGGCGGTCGGTAGAGGGGAGAGCTTTTTGGTCTTTGGCGAGGAGCATATTTACAGGAATGGCGCTGGAGGTCGAGGATTGGCGATTTACACTGTTATGATAGTCTTGTAGGGTCGTAAGTCGTTGCCTGTCGGAATCGGAGACTGAAAATGGAGGGATGAATTAAGGGTGGGCGCACTTTACACGCATCTTTTGAAAACGTTTTTTTGCTGTTAACATTGTGATACCCTTATTTTCTTACACAGAAAGAAAGGTTAGACCCTTAACTGATCTTTCATGGTTCTAATTATGTTTTTAAAATAAGGGTGTCACTATTATAACTCTTTTAAAAACCATGAATTTTGTACCTTCGATGCCCGATTCTGCACTCGTCTCAACTCCATATCCGCCACGTCTTCCAGCCGTTTTCTGAGATTTTCTATTGTCTCGACTTTTTCCCTCTTTTCCGTTTCGTTTCTTCGCCTCTCGCTGATCACGTGATGCTTCCCGATTCGGCTCTTTTTCTCGCTCAACTTCGTGATGGAACTAATTAAAATTTATCCGTTTCATTATTCACCAACAAATTGCGTAATTCTGCGGCTTTTCGATTTCGCGGAAAAGAGCCGCTCCAGCCCGCGCGCGTCGTCGATGCCGCAAAAATACCCCAACAGAAAAATAACCGAATTTTATACCTTTTCCGAGTTCGAAGTTGAATCGGAGCTTTGGAAGTTTTTGATAAGGTAGGATTTGGAGACGTCAGAGCTGGATTGATCTCGGTAGAGTTTTAAGAGAGTTTCTGGGATGGGAAGAGGATCGGAGGTATTTCTTCTCGCATAACTAAAGAAGAAATTTTTATTAAATATTTTTCACTAATTTAGTAAATTAAAAGAAAAATTATAAAAAATAGCGATTTTTTCTGAAAAAATTATGAGACAAAATATAAAAGCAACATTTTCAAAACAATTTGAGCCAATCAAAAGCCTGAATTCGGCCTGTCGGCCAATCAGTAGCCTGTATTTTTTTTGCGAAATTTTTTCGCCTAGACATTTTTCGCGTTCCCGGAATTTCGGGCGTGAATTCGAGCCGAAAAATATCCAATCAAAAATCAATATTTCTTTACCGACCAATCAGAAGCCAAAATTGTTTCAAAAATGATAGTTGACTTACGATTTCGCCGCTGAAATCATCTCTTCCTTTTCAAAATCACTCTTCTTCTGAACACACTGTCGACATTTCCAGCCCACCCAAGCCGCCAACCAAAGCAAAACCAACCAGCTGCTTCCCACCGCGACAATCATCCAGAACGGAATCTTGACTTCGCTCTTCATATTCAAAATCTCGTTCATCTCTTCTTCTGTCGTCTCTTTTGGCGAAATTTTTTCCTCTTCTTCTTTTTTCGATTTCTTTTTTGGAAGGTCGAAAATTGTCTCTGGAAGTGTATTTTTGTTCGAAGGAGTGGCGTTTGGGTTGAAGGGTTTAAAAAGATTTTCTCCCAATTCGGGGTTGAGGAATTCTTCTGGATCTCGCGCGGATTTTAGGGAAATAACAGGCCCACTTGGCGAGCTAAAATAAATGTCTGTTTTCTAGGGTTGAAAAATGGACTGCGCCAAGTCTATTATATAAAGGTGGCCCTCTTGGCGCCATAGAGGAATTGCTGATCGGCATAGTGATACAACTCTTGTTCATGTCTTGTTCTATTGTTACATTGGAGGCTGATAAAGATGTCTTTATTATTCAATTCTCAATTCCAGCGATATAGCGAATATTGATGGGATATTGTCTGGAATCGACAAAAAGACAATTCGACAAATTTTGCGTAGGCGGCTACTCGGCTGCTGATTGGCAGATTTGCCGAACTCAGGTTCTGCTTGGTTGAAAATTTCCACTCAAAATTTGTCGAAATTTTTTGTCGGTTCCAGACACCTCCCCATATTGATGAGCGTTTTTTTGATAAAGCAGAAAATTAAGGAGGAAATCTATTTGTTCAATATGAAATAAGAGTTTTTAAATAAAGACGGACTTTTTCTATTCCTTTTTTCCAGGAAAGTTTACTCATAAAAAAAATTTAAATGTTATCGGATCATTTTTAGCCTTATTAAAATTTTCATCTTTCATATTTATCGGCTTCTGTTTCATAAGATAATATTTTTCTCTTGGAATGCCCGATCATAATAATTGAGACATGAATTTAACATCAGTCTCGAAAAACCTGTCTAGCCAACAATTTAAATTTATGTTTAAAATAGATTAAATCTAGATTAGTCCGAGCGATGTTAACTCTAGAATCCTCGACTTTTGCGAAAATTAAATTTCAAATAAGCTGTTTTGAGACCCGGTGTCCTAGATTCTCGCTTTTGAAAATGTTCTATTCTCACCAGATGGAGCAGGTTTCGCGGCATTGAAATCGACTATGGAAATTGAGCTTCTTGCAAGGCGAGATTGCGTGCCGCTTGATAAGTTCGAAACATTGTTCTTCCCCGATAACGTCATGGCAATCGGATGTCTTTAAGGGTTTCCAGGAGAAAAAGTGTTACATTTGTCTGATCAGTTCCCTTTGAAAAAGGTCCTTGAAACCTCCCTGGCACATTCTGCAAGTAAACAAGCAGCTGTTGAGCTCGTCTTCGTCCAGTACCGAGCAGGTATCAACATAAACCTTGTCCAAACAAGCCTCTCTCGGCAAATCATCTCTACAGTCAGAAGGCAGCTCTACTTCGCCATTTGCTCTCAGCGTTCTAATCACGCTCAATCCATACAAAAGCTTCATGGAAATGAGAAAAAAATGAAGTTTTTTAAAATTCCGGAATTGATAAAATTTTGCGGATTTTGTGAAAACTCGGAGTTTTCGCTTGAGCGCCATCTAGACGAAAAATAGCGCGGAAACCAGTGCGTGAAATTGAACGATTTTGAGGGGAACGGAATGAGTTTTCCTGGCGTTGAGATGTTTTTATGATTTCAGAAATGCCTGAATGGATATCTGAATGATATAATCAGGATGATGATATGAGGTTGATGTATATGAGAGTATTTTGCGGCTTCGTTTATTAAAAAATGGTAACTGGTTATATCGCCGAATGTCGCCGAATGTAGCGACATGATAAATTAAAAAGGCGACATTTGCCGACATTCAGCGGCATTCGTCGACATTTGGCGACATCTGACGACATTTAGCGACATTCGCAGTAGAACTATTCTGCAAAAAATAGAACTATTCTGTAAAAAATGGAACTATTCTGCGTTTCGCAGAACTATTCTGCCGAGTGCAAAACTATTCTCCAAATGTAGAACTATTCTGCAAAATACAGAACTATTCTTCACGGATGCAGAACTATTCTTTATATCCAGAACTATTCTGCAATATAAAGAACTATTCTGCATTTCGTGAATTAAGCAGGCGACAGGCCTTCGGCCCTTACGCGCGTATTTTCTGGTAGGAAACTCATTGGTTCATTCGTTTATATGTAAAAAAGACAAAAATTCAGGGCATCAGAAAAACCTACAACGCGTAAAATTGAAACGGACGAAATGTGCAGATAAGACATTTTAGAACATGGAAATTCAAATTTGCGGCGGCGCTCGGGGAAAATTTCCCTCATCTTTTTAGTTCCAGAACTTATTCTTTTTAACGCTTTTGCTGGTAAAAGGGGGCGCGATAAAAGGAAAAAGTGATGATTTTTGAACGTCAATATTTATAAACGGACTGATTTGGAGGCTTTTAGAGCGAGACTGAGTCTGCTCTTTTAATTGAAGTGAAATGGAAACTTGTCATCATTAAAATTTTAACAAAACGATTTATTATAAAAGATAAGCCGTGAACTTTTTTTCTCCGGAAAAACAAAAAGCTAAAAATGAATTTATTTTTCAATTTTTTCGTTTTGGCGAATTCTTTGTCGATTTTCAGATTGAATGAGATTTTCAACAAATGTCTTATTGGTACGAAAAAAGGATGAAATATTTTATCAAAAATTATATTATTTTTTACAGTAAATTTTATCAGGAGATGGCATGAATTGACAAAAATCATGATAACTTTGACCAAAATTCTGGTCAAATTTTAAACCAATCAGATATTTGTATTTAGCCTGTGGGCCAGTCAGATTTCAGAAAAAAAATTTGAAAAAATTCGACTTGTTTTTTTCATTCTTTCGTCAATTCTTTCAACCAACCTGTATTTATATTTTGATTTTATTCTATTTTAGACATTTATGGAACACTCGAGTTTGACCAGTCGCCTTGGGATGGGTACCATTCTGCTGAAGAAAAGTGCGATAATATGATCAAGCTTCGGATCGTCAAAGATGGAGTCAATTTGCAAAAATCTTGATTCTGAATTGGAGAGTTTTAACAAAATTCATTGTTAGAAAAAAAAACTCACAGCAAATAAATGTTTATTTATCAGAAAAAGACTTGTCGAAGTTCTCAATGATATCAAGGATGAACTCGAGTCTGCGGATGAAAACAAAGGCGGCTCTGATGATCAGGGTTCTAAATCTGAGCGGAAAATCAGAAGTCGAGTCGAGTCGAGTCGAAAGCGTTTTTGAAAATCGCTAGTCGAGTCGAGTCGAGTCGAGTCGACTTAATCGACTTCTTAGTCAAAAAGTCAAAAAACTGGAAAAATATATAAATTTAGTCGAAAAAGTCGAAATTTAGTCGAAAGTCGAAAGAAAAGTCGAAAAGTCGAAAGCAAAATAGTGATTATTTTCGATTTTTTCGACTAGATTTTCGACTTTTTCGACTAGATTTTTCGACTTTCTCCATTGCTCTCGACATTGCTCTCGACTTTTTCGACTAGTCGACAATCTAGTTGACTCATAGGCTCAAGTCGAGTCGAGTCGAGTCGACTTATTTTCCCAACCAGTCTAGTCGAGTCGAGCTAGTCTTTTCGACTAAGACTCGACTCGACTTCGACTAGTCGATTAAGAACCCTGCTAATGATTTCTTCATCCTCCTCACCTTCGGGTAGATTGAGCATATTTCTCAGCATCTCGATACAGTCGCTTTCCGAGTTCAGCATTGAAAAGTCGAAGCCTTCTTCAATCATTTTCCAAAGAAAAAGCTTACTTTTCTGTCAGAAAAGCTTTCTTTTATACTTTCTTCTTACTACGCCACCAAGTTAAAAATATCAAAAATTAAATGAAGCCGATAAAAATAACTCTGAAGCTTCGATTTTTGAAGCGTCGAATAGACGAGACATTCCCTTTTGTTTCATAAAAAAAAGCTTCGAATTTAGAAACACTTCCAGGTGGCCATCTTATGACGTCTGACACGTCACGTCTCAAATCTACCTAAAAATGACGTCATTTTCTTTTTTGAGCAAGAAATCTTAGTCTACTGTTATTGACAAAAATCATCGATTTTGAAGAAAATAATCAAGCAAGAACCCAACCGCGCCTGGGGCTATTTCGCGTTGACTGAAAACTCGGCGGGATTCTAGTGCTTGCTCATCATAAGTAAACTCTAACTTTGATCATGCAAAAATTCTTCATTCTAATAGTCCTTTCCGTGTTTTTGTCGAGCCTCGTTTTCTTCAAGCTCTACAAAATTGATGAACTCAAAAAAGAGGCGACGCAGATTTTAATTTCGAACTTTGCAGAGAATAATCAAAATGAAAAAGAAGAAAGGAGAAGTTTTCGAAAAAGTATTTATATTTCAGGAAAAATGCTCAAAAAGATTTTCATCGGCCAAGATTGTCAATACAAATTCAGAAATTCAGAATCAAGATTGAATTTCGCCTATGAATTTCGATGTCGTGTAGACATTGTCTAGTAGACAGTCCTTATTATTGGCGATAGACAAATTCGGTAGGGTTGGAGTTTCTCGTTTTTGATTGGCTACCGAGCGAAAATACCGGCTTTTGATTGGCTTATGCGAAAAATACTGTCTTTTGATTGGCTAAAGTGAAAAATACCGGTTTTTGATTTGCCAACGCGAAAAATACTGGTTTTTGATTGGCTAACAGGAGAAATACCGGCTTTTCATTCGCTTACGCGAAAAATACTCGCATTTGATTGGCTTAAATGACAAAAAAACCACCTTCATTGTATCTGACTGTATTGACTAAACTAAGGAACTAACGTAAAATGAAATAAATTTGAGCACAGGAAAAGCTGCATTTCGATCTGGCTCCTCAATGCTGGGCACTCTACTCGACAAGAATCCAAATTTGATTTACTATTTTGAACCGCTGACTGGTTTCATTGGTCCAAATGGCGACAACGTCACTGAAAAATGTAAATTCGCCATTTTTCCTCCTTGATTTCAAGTCAAAATTTTCAGCTCAAGAAACGCAAATGGATCTTTTGGCGATGGCGTTTGAGTGCAAATTGCCAAGAAAAACGCCAGAAATGAAGGCCGAAATGCAGATTTCAAAGGGTTGCGATAAAAGCAGGGATGAAAATGGAGCGAAGAAGTTCTATTGCGAGTCGTCGCAGTTTTTGAGAGAGACGGTAGCGCAGTACTACGGATCGTCGAGGTTTTGTCAGAAGCCATTTTGTGATAAGGAAGATCAGTTCAGGTAAAAAATAATGAGATTTCACGAAAAAAAATGAGATTTCAGGAAAAAAAATGAGATTTCATGAAAAAAATGAAATTTTACGAAAAATAAAATTTCATGAAAAAAATGAAATTTTACGAAAAAATGAAATTTTGAGAAAAAAAAATGAGATTTCATGAAAAAAAATGAGATTTCACGAAAAAAAAAATGCCAATTTTCTTTTTCAGTAAAAAAAATCGAGCTGGCGATTGCAAACGCCTCTGCAAAGACCCCTTCAAAATCGAATCCAATCCCGATGCTCTGAAAAACCAACAATTTTTCGAAGAAAAATGCCAAAACAGCTTAGGGGTTGCAATCAAAGAGCTGCGGATTGATACGTTATCTCGTTTCAAGCGGCTTTACGAGGAACCGGAGAAATTTGGAGAATTTAAGTTTGTGCACCTTGTCAGGGATCCGAGAAGCATGCTGGCGTCGAGGATCAAGCTGGCGCAGAATTATGATAAATTGAAATGGGGAAATATGTGGCCAATGACGCTAGAAAGAAGCATGGAAAAACACTGCGATAAGGATGTCAGGATCTTTAGGAAAAGGCTCAATTAATACTTTTAGCCAGAGAAATCATGAGATTTCACGCACGAAAACCTGTGTTAAAACCTGAGACTCAGGTCCTGAGTCAGGGTTTTCTGCAAATTTCTGGTAAAGCTGCTTTGCGGCTTTATTTTGAAAAAGCCGCAACGCGGCTTTTCATTTCAGCTCATTCAGACCCTGACTCAGGTTTTCAACTCAGGTTGCCTTACCGCGCCAACAGCAAAAACACACATTTTGAGCCTTTTGATTCAGGGAAATTCAAAACAACCCAGAAATCCGAAAACGTACAATAATCATTCGCTACGAAGATATGAGCATGCATCCGTGGGAGAAAGCAACTGAAATTTACGACTTTCTAGGGCTCGAATTTGATGATGAAACAAGGGCTCAATTTGAAGAAGCGACTGGAATTCATCGAAGACGAAAAAGAAGGTCTGAAAAGGAAGCTCAAGGCCCTGTGTAAGTTTTCAAACGAATTCGAGGTTTTTGAAAAAATTTCTTTTTAGAAAAGTTGTCGATTCTCATATCGATATCTTTGGAGTTTCAAAAACAAAATCGTCCTCAGAACTCCTCGAAGGCTGGAGAAAAATATCGGCCACGAGCTGGGCAGTACTCTTCGATATTTACTGCTGGAAAGAAGTTGTCGAACGATGATGGATCTGTATGGCTACAGAAGAGTCATGCAGTACAAAAATGATGGAAAAGTTAATTTAGTTGGGGAACATTCTTTGAATACTTCTTGGGTTCCCCAATTGTAAATTTTCTTGAAAATAAATATTCCAAAAAGATGATCATTAAGCCCTCTTTCTATTTAAAAAAAAACAATAAGTGAGCATATTTATCGGAAAAAAGCGCTTGTCAGGGCAAATTCAAAAGCAGTTTCGTGTGAAAAATGACAGGAGTCACCCGAGTTTGTATATAAAATCGACCTTATCCGGCTTTTGCCAACAGAGGGTTCTTCGGAACGCAAAAACGTCACAATAGAGCGCCACCGTGGTAAATCCGTTTTTCGTCCGCAGCGCATAAAAGCACCGGTCAGTTGCTTTCACGAGCAGACTTAGATGAACCTTAAAATCTGAAAAAAAAAGAGAAAATGAAGCTTTTCGGAATCGTTTTTGCTAGCGTCAGTGCTGTGACTTGGGAAAAAATGGACGAGAGAAGAGCTGAATTTACTGGGTAAGATTTAAACGACTTGCATTGAGACACCCTTAATTTTCTACGATTATCAACAACTTCCTAGTCGACTTGATGCCGAAGGACGAACCCGTCTTTCAAGCCGATACGATCAATTTCTCCAAAACGCTCTGGATGCTGTCCCCGAGGATAACCTCTCCGTCGACGGGTGCCAGAACGTCTGGGGCATTGATGACGAGAGCGACGATTCTTTCGACCCCGCGACCGCGACTCACTGCGAATACGGGCGCAAATTGGCTCGCAACTACCTTCGACTTGTCAAGAAGGACCTCTGCTTGGACGGACTTGAGCGAGGAGGAAAGAGCTTGAGGAACAATATTGAAAAGAAATTCGCTCAGGTGGTCAAGTTCACTCGAGCCAGAGACTTCTGCCAATAATTTTTATTCGAATAAAAGCTTTATTAATAACCAACAGACATTTTGAGACCGACAACTGCTTCGTCAAGCGAGTTCAAAAACTCTTCAAGGCTGACTTTGTGTTTGTCTCCTTCGGTTGTTTCGAGAATAACTCGCTTTGAAATTTGCTTTAGTTGCTTGACATCAACATCCTTTCCGACCATCAAAAGGAGAATATCGAAAACATGAGTGTGGTCGATTTCGTACGTCTCGCCCAAATCTGAAATTTTTTTGAGAAAAAGACGAATTGTTGAGGAAAATCTTATCTTCCAAGAATATAAAAATGGGGTGCCCTTGTTCATCCCGTAACTAACTGCAGGTGTCCCCTTGTTCATCCTTGGGCCACGTAGCCTTTCTCCCTTTTTCAAGAACCGAAAAGGATCAGTTTTTTGAGGCTACGTGGCCCAAGGATGAACAAGGGGACACCTGCAGTAATTTTGGGGATGAACAAGGGCACTTTTTTTTTGAAAACGACTTACCAAAGAGTTGATAAAGAAGAGTTGCCTTTTTCCGCGGCGAATTAATCGCATCTGGTGGCGTGTTCTTGTCGCATGGCTGAAAAACTGCGATCAATTTGCAGAACGATTCGAAATCGCAGTGACCAGTCGAGTCCAAGAAGAGGGCGATAATCCTCTCAGAAAGGGGGTTCAAATGAAAAGCGTGAATTTCATCGAAATCATCTGCATCGAGTTTTCCTTTATTATCCTTGTCCAGCTCGCAAAATCTCTTCCACAAACGATGAACGGTCTTTACCGGCAATCTTGAAAAAAAAATAAATTATTGGAATTTTTTTTCTTTAAAAAAACTTACTCGCAAGTTTCAGCAATTTCATTAACATCAACACTTTTCGAAATACTTCTTGATTCTCCCGCTCCCATCGTTTTTTCTCGATGTTTTGACAGAATTAAAGAGCGCATTTCTCAAGATAATAAAGCCTTAATTTTACGATCAGTCGTCATTCAGAATCAGAACGCCCAAGTAAATCTTATTATAAGACCAATAGCAAATTATAAAAACTGATTTTATTCGAATACAGGTCTGTTTAGCTGACTGTAACTGGCAATTTCAGGTTCAGAAAGTTCATGATTGAAGAAAATATTACCACTTCGTTTCAAATTTCTCCATTCTGAGGGGTCAAGGAAGTCGATTTTGAAAGAACAGAGACCTTAAAATAAAGAGGAACAAATGAAAAAGCTTCTTACCTTGTAAAAAGAGAAAAATCTTCATGTTTTTTTTTTCTTTTTGACTTCAAATGAACCTGTTGAGTTCGACTCATCAAAGTTTTTATACGAGGTCTTGATTAAAAATTCGCCGCAGACTCGTGCCAACGAGCGAGTATCTCCTGCATTTGTCGGTTTTTGAGTAAATTAAGAAGTTATTAAGCTGAATATTGAATGATTCGGGGCATATTTGGGAGGTTGATTTTGTTTATTGTTCTTGGAAAAGATTCCAGAGTCGATTCAGGATGAGCCGAACTCGTTTGAGCTCCGTCATCTTCAAAATCTTCTTCAAAATCTCAAGTGTCCGGTCAGTTTTTCTTTGGCCACGCAGAGTTACGCAGCATACCGGACATGAAATCCTCTTCATTTTAGCCATTTTGCCTCGTTTTCCCCGAAATTCGAAAAGATGCGGTTGCTTCTTTTTCTCGTAGCAGCATGCAACTTCGAAATTGTCCACTGCCAAATTTATAAAGGAATGAGAGCTGCTGACTATGCCAAAATGACCAAGGGCCCGTCACAGTTTGGGAAACTGAGGACGAGAGGAAAGACGTTGCCACCGCCAGTGGAAGAGACCATGATTTTCGGCGCCTGGCTTCAGGGAAATATGAAGAGTACCAAATGGGTAACGCTCTTTCTTTTGATTTTCGAGCCTCATTTTGACCCCTAGCTCCATCTTTTTCAACACCACGAAATCAAGCTCTGGCACAATTTCGAATACAAAGAAACAAGTAAGTCCAACCTTCAATTTTGCCCTCTGGAATCGAATAAATCATTTTTAAGACTCCGAAAAGCTCGAAATCGTCTTCCATAATTACTACAAAAAACCGCTGGTGACAATGGATATCACCAAATATTCACAAGAGGTGATTTCTATTCATCATCTTTATCCTCAACCGCTTTCTCTAGAAATTGATAAAATTGCTGAAACACCAAGGATTTTACCGACGACGATATCAGTTTGAAAAAATGAACGAGGACCAAGCAGAAGCGCCATTCATCAAGTACAAGTGGGAACCTGGCAAGATGGAACTCCGATAATTGAATTGCTTCTTTTCTGAATCTTATTGAAAAAATAAATAATCCAATCAAAACCATTTGATATCACCATGACGGAAATAATCCTCTAAGCTTCATTTTCTGACGGAGCATTGAGGATATACCGTATTGAATTACAGTCAATTCTGCCTTTATAAACCGAGTTTTTCCGGCTCAAAAATTCTAGGGGAAATAATGAAGATTTTACCATTCACGCTCGGGGTCGAAAAAATACATGCTTTTTCTAGAGAGAGCTTTTTTCATCCTTCAGAAAGAGCCGCAAGAATCGTAAGTAAAAGCGTTCATTTTTGAACCGATTTCAAAACAAGATGAACTGCCCTTCCCTGGCGGCTGACAAATGCTCAGATTGCGGTTCAAAAAGCCGCATCTTATCATTTTATCCGCAGCTCATCCCGTGGAAATTTCGCATCTGGTTTTTTTTCTGATAAGAAGGTCTATAAAACTTCGGAAAAATAAATAAAAATAAGAAAGAGAAATTAAATTCAAATTGAATTTTTTCTTCGATGAGGGTTTCAAGTCTCGTTCTCGGGGCTTTTGTCCACGCTGTAAGTTCCTGAGAGATGATTTTGATTGGAGGATTTTCAACCTTTTTTTCTAGAACGAGGATGCAGGAGATGACATCATCTACACCGGTTGCCAAGCCGTCGCGCTCCGGAGCCAACCTGGCTGGGAAAACGTCGAGCTCAAGACCGACGGGAGCAAGTGCGTGGCAGGCAAGGGCAGGGCCGTGACGACTTCTCAGCGATGGGATCAGCACCGAAACGAAACGACGGGCAAGTGGATCGTCCCCTATTACTTCAGCGAAGGGTACGAGAACCTCTCCCACGGGGGCCACAGCGGCGTCGACTCCATGAATGGAATCCGCGACCATCTTCGACACTTCGAAGAGCTCACCTGCATCCAGATGAAAGAACTGACGACGTCGGAGGACTTCAACACGTACACCAATCGAATTCGCGTTTTCTGGAGCACGAGCGAAAGTTCCAACTGCGCCAGCTACATCGGGCGAGTTTTCGGCGGAGACCAGACGATGTGGATGCGACCAGATTGCTACACCTGGAACGGCGGAACCACAACGAACCACGAGTTCATGCATGCCCTTGGCTTCAAGCACGAACACGTCCGGCCTGATCGAGATAATCACGTGGTCATTCATTCGAGCCTCGCTTCGAATGGCAATTACGTCAAGATGTCAACGAGCCAATGGCAGGATGTCAGCTCTCCTTACGATTTCAACTCGATTCTTCACTACTACTCCAGCTGGCAAGGCGATGGATATTCCATCGGTCTCCCTCCAGATGGCCAACAAGCTGCTCCAGTGAGCCGAACCTATCCATTCTCTGAGCAGGATATCGCCCAGTTGAGAGCTGTCTACCCATGCGACGATGTCGACCCTTGCGATCCGAACCCATGCCCTTCTGGACAAATCTGCAGTGCCGGCACAACTGGCCAAGCAGTTTGCAAGTGCCCTCAAGGCTCCGTCCTCAACGCTGCTGGAGGATGTCAGGTCGTCGGTGGCATCGTTGTGGAAGAAAATTCCGATGTCGTCAATTTTGCCGGAATCAAAGTCCGCCGCAGCCCGATGGTAAACATCTACGATGCTGATGGAAACGACATCGATCTCGGCAGCAACTACGACATCGCTGCTGTTGCAGAAGTCGAAGAGTGCGGCGAATCCATGACCGACAACAACTGCACCATTTGGAACAACTACGGATATTTTTACGGTACTTCCGCGTCGATGAATTACTTGACTTTCGGCGACGAAGGCAATTACCGACTTCGATACTTCCTCGACGACAATGGACAGGACTCGTTCCCAGACGCTTGGGTCATTTCTGACGAGTACGAAGTCAAGAGCTGGTACGAAGCACCTGGCTCGATTGCGTGGCATCGGGATCATTCCACGAAGCACTTCGGCGTCCCGCTCAACATCGAAGCTGCTCTTCGAGATGCCAATGGAAGCGTCATTGATTTCGGCCCAGGACCGAGAGATATTCAGGCGTGTCTTTGGCTTGCCGAGCCCGGAACTGCCGGAACTTTGAACGCTGTTGACCGAAATGATCTCTTCTATGATTGCGTCAGCGCAGATCAATTTGGAAATTTTGACCTAAGCAACATCACGCTCTATGAAGCGGAAGGTGCGAGACTTCATGACTACAATAACACCGCCGTTCCTCCTGGCGACTATTTCTTCCGTCTCCAGGTCGCCGTCATCGACAGCTGGCAGCACTGGGACAGCTGGATGCTCGACAAGTGGAATGACGATTCTATCTTCGATTCTGGAATTTTCACGCTGGCTCCTCTCTGTTACGAAGAATGCCACAAAAATGGGTTCTGTAATGCTACTGCGACGGTTTTCATGACCCCTGATTGCCAATGCAACGATGGATACGAAGGCGACGGTGTCGACTACTGCATCAGGGTCATCGACGAATGCGCTTTCGGTGGCGTCTGTCCTGCTGGTCAAATCTGTGTTGACAAGCTCATCGGCTACGATTGCGTCTGCGAGCCCGGATTTGTCAAACACCCGGCTTTGATGGGCTGCGTTGATGTAGACGAGTGCGCTACTGCTATGCACGCTTGCAACGTCGGAACCAGCTGCGAAAACACCGATGGCGGATACCTTTGCAATCCCGATTTCACTGGCGTCACCTGCGATCCTGAATGCGAAGATGGTTACTTCTGCGATGAGCTGACCGGAACATGCGAGGATGTTAACGAGTGCACGGCCGGAACTCACGATTGCAAGGACTTTGAATCGTGCAGAAATGTCAAGGGAAAGTTCATATGCGACTTTGACAACTCCCAGTGCCGCGCTGATTTGCCAAGACCAGAGTGGAAAGGGGTAGGCCTTCTCAATCAGTATTCTCATTTTATATCGACTCGTATTTATTTATTCAAAAATAGGGGAAAATTAATCGTCTAAAAAGCGAAATGGCATGCGATACGTCTTTGAATCTTCGACCGGCGCGGTCATGGCGATGAAGCTCAAGAACAAGTTCAAAAAGGTCAACGTCCGAAACGAACTCTACACCGGCGTGATCATGTTCACCAAGGACGTCTGCGGTGTCGATTTCCTCCGAGCGCTCCAAGACGGGCGGGTTCAAATTGAACTTGTCGATTCTTTCGCTTTGTATCAAATTCACGACTTCCACTACAAAAACAAGCAGAAGTATACTGCTATTGGCTTTACTTTTGATCTTTTGAGCGTGGAAACTAAGGATATGCCCTGGGCTTTCAAGGTAAAACTGGCAAGAAATTGAGATACAATCTCTTTTCAGTCTGGTGTTCCAACCAAAAACATGGGCTCCGACGATGTCTACATCTCTTTCACCGGCCTTGAGCTCGTCAACTGGCTGACCAACCAGGACAACTGTCTTCTACTCGGCGCTCAAGCTGCTCTCCCTTACGAAGATTTCTCCGAACTCGATCGAGCCTGCTTCGTTGATTTGAAGACCTTCTGGCAGACTCCACCTCTTCCCAATCCTTGAAAATTGGAAGACTCATTTTTGTGGAAAACTGACTTGGCCCTGATCTGACTACGAGTTGTTTGAATACAATAAATTTCCTTATTTTTCTTGCATCAAAATTTGAGTCGTTTACATGTATATTTTAAGTATAATATGTATATTTGGTGATGTTTATGTAACACAAAAGGAGTGATTTTGAAGTCAGTACATTTGATTAGGGATTTGTGGGCCCGGTTGAGTGACTACAGCAGACTGAGTTGGAACAACGATGAGGGAAGGATGAGTCTGAAGCTCGTGTTGGACCATAGCGCAGATTTGACAGCATAAAATCGCGAGACAATCACTTGAAAAACGTAAGAATTGCATGTTTTTTTAACTACTTACACAAACTGATCTCTTTTCAAGCTATGTTTTTCCTGAATTTGTCGTCGATGTCGATAAACCAACACTTTTTCCATCTAAAAAACGGACAAAAATTGGCCAACTTCTGTTGATCCGGAACTAACACACCAATCAAGAGAACAACAACACCATCCAATCATGCTACTTTGATCTGTAGCAATAAGCTGGGGTGCATACAGAACAACCCAAAGTCTCCAAAACACACCAGCAAGGAAGATTATCTCACCAGAACAGAAAAGTGCTGTAAGAGGTCTTGCTTTCGACTCGTCCAAAACTTTTTGGGTGGAGTAAAATGTCAGAAATGAGCAAAAATACGTTTTTAAGCAAATTCCAGCATCGCAGTGGAAGAGTGAATGATTGAAATCAGGTTTTTGAATCATTATTGGCTGTATCTGGCTGTCAATTTATTTGTTAAATAATAATTTTTGCGCTCAAACTGAGTTTTTTGAAAGCAATTCCTGTCCACTTGCAGGGACCATCCGACTGGGCTCAGAAATAACGGGCTCCTTGTTGTCAAACATCTTCAAAAATGTAAAATGAAAACTAACGAAAACAAGGAGAAAAAATGCAGTAGATCAACAAAGCACAGACAGTTCTAGAGATAGCGTTTTAGGAGAAAATCCCGATCGAATGAAATCAACAATGAGAATCTGTAAAACATACATTTTCGTTGATTATTTGCTTGTTTTCCAATTTATTTGCTCAAAATTTCAAAAGCAAAAACAAGGCCGGCTCTGAATACAAGTCAAAGTAAAGAGAAAAAACATGAAGCTTTCCGGGCTCTTTTGCCTAATTTCTTCGGCATTGTAAGGCTTGAACTCTTAATCCCTTTCTTAATTATTCTTCTTAGCGCTGGAACATGCAACTTTCCGGACAAAACCGGGGTTCTTCCTGAAGGCGGTTGTCCCAGCACCTGCGCCATCTACAAGAGAATCGAAGAAGTCGAAAGACTGGTCAATGAAGAATGGACGAAAGTCAAGGTCAACTTCGAAGGAAGCTACGACAAGAGCGGCGAGTACAGCAGCAGCAGGGAAATCCTCGAGCAGCTGTTGATCCGACTCCAGAAAATCAAAAAATCGAGCATGTCCGAAGCCGAGAAGTTCCGAGCCTACCTCAATGAGTACAACAACGCTAACGTCCCAGCCGTAAGAGCCCTTTTCCAATCCCTCTTTTTCTTCTATTCCTAGATCATTGCCGACCAAGAAAAACGAACTGCACAACTTGAGGAGCGCCGCGGAAATCTTCACTCTCAATACATTCGTAAGGCTCAACCCTCCATTTCCCTTGTTAAAAAAGCATTCTAGAGGACAAGACCGAATTCATCCAGCTCACGACTTTCTGCCTCCTGAACTTCAAAGAATACGGCGAGCATATTTGCGACGTCCGAAGCTTCGCCGACGGCCTCAATCTCTAAGATGTCCGATTTTTTGATCTGATTCGAAATAAATTTTCGCCAAAACGGGTCTTTTTTCATTGAATTTATCAAAGTTTATTCGCTTGGAAACATTTTGATATGAATGCTGAACAGGGAAAGAAGCGCGCGGAAATTAGCAAGATCCAGCTCGGTTCTTTCGGAACTTCCATTCGCCGATGACGTTCTTGGGCTTGTTGGACTCTCGGTAGCAGCTGGTGACGGTGTTGGGCTTGGCCTTCTCGGTGCCGGCGGCGTTGCATCGGGCGGCGCAGACGAGCTTCTTGCCCTTTCTCTTCGATCGGCAGGACTTGGATGGGTAGTCATCGAGTGGGGCGTCCTCGGTGACGCATGGGTCGACATCGGTGGGGCCAGCGCCGCATGGGCAGATGTTGGTCCAGGCGTGGATGTTGAGGAGACCGGGTCGCTTGAACTCGATGTTGGAGTCGATTCGTCGGTCACCGAACTCGTGGTTGGCCTAAAATTGTTTTTAATAATTGCTTATGATTTTGGTCAAAATTTTTGACCAAGAATATATACCCAAAATTTCTACCAAAAATTTCGCCCAAAATTTTCGATCAAAAAATTTGGGCAAAATTTCGACCAAAATTTTTCGATCAAATATTTTGACCGAAAATGTCGATGAAAAATTTTGACCCGAAAATTTTGACCCAAAATTTTGACCAAAAATTTAATGAAAATTTTTCATTACTTCTTTTTCCCCTCTCTCTCTTTCTACTTACGATGAAGTCGATCTGGTAGATGTGAGCTCCGTCGTTCTCGCCCCAGTAGGTGACGTCATCGACTGGTCCGGCGGCCTTGATGAAGTTGACTTCATCGTCGAAGGCGACGTAGACGGAGTCCTTGTTGGAGAACCAGTTTCCATCAGCGACGTGGTTGAGATCGGCCTGGACTCGGACGTTGAAGCAATCCTTGCATGTCCAGCTGTTGGTCACCGTGGTGGTGGCGCTGATATCAGTGCAGTAGGTCTTCCATTTGCAGGTCTTGGCGGCGGAGGCGGCGGCGATGAGGGAAAAAATCTTCATTTTTTTAATGAATTCAAATCCTTTTTCGGTTTTGAGCTGAGTTCTTGAAACAACTGCGCGGTTAAATAGTACTCCGCGGGGTTACGATTCCTCAGGTGGCGCGCGCGAGCGAAAAAAAATGAAAAGAGAGAGAGAGGGAAAGAGATCGAGGTACCAGGAGACATGAGTTTTAGAAAGACGCCGCGAAATTGCTACGTTTGCTTGTAATGAAAAATAACTTTGCGATCTGTAATTAACTTCTGTATTTTTCGTCGTAACATTTTAGAAGATATTGAACTTTGGAATTCCCGAAAAAGAAAAGGGCATCATTCCAAAGTCATGCTGAAAAATTCGTGAAAAATCTTGTTTTGCGATGTCTACACCCTTAATTTTCAACATGATAAAATTCTTGAGATGGCAAGCTTGATAGCCCTCTTTTCAATATTTGATCCGTCTCAAACAATAACTCTGTTGAAAAATACACAAAGGTCAATTATCCATCTCGCCCATCCCAAGATCTCAAGACCTCTCTTGCTGGTCTAGTACTGTTTGTTCAAATCACGTGATCGTCTTTTTCTCCCCTGTCTCGAGCTTGGTACTGTCGTTATCGCGGGTCTAGTGACCAAAATCATCAAAACAAGTCCCTTTTTTATCCTCCTTTCCGTCCACGGGTTAAATCAAGAAACGGGTTAATTAAGGTCACGTAAAAGAAATCTTTTGCCGCCCAATTAGCTCCATAAAACGGCCATGATTCCGGCCTAGTTTCTAAAAGTTTCATAAAATCGTAAAAAAAAGGCGATGATTCATTAGAAAAACAGACTCTCTCATTCAAACAGAATCATGAATTGAGACAGCCAAAATTTGATCGAGTTCAAAATTGAAACTGAAACAGAAAAATTTTCGCTTTTCATTTTGGAGCTTTTGTGAAAAAATAAAGAGCGCTTTGAATTGATATTATTGAAAAGGGCAATTTACAAAGCGGCGGGGAGGCCAAGCGCGAGCTTTTTTACACTGAAATCTGCCAGAGACGATTTTTCTAGCGAAGATTTGGAAAAAAAGAGAAATATTGAATGAAGAGTTCCATCATGAAAAATGAAGATTAATGAAGAAAAGTATTTTTTCTAGCCAAATACGGAGTACTTATTTATGACGTTGCGTAAAAGGTAACTATTATATCTAATAACTTAAGGGGGGGGTCGACGAGAATCGGGATTTTTTCAACCAAAATTCCGGAAAAACCCGCTTTGAATCGAAAATTCTGATTGGTCAGGTGACTAGAAAAGGGTTTGAAAAATACAGCGGCGAAAACTAGAAAAAATTTTGACCAGAAAAAATGGGCGTAATCGTGGCTCAAAGTGGACCCAAAATTGCAATTTCGGCAATTTTCCGATTTTTTCGCTATTTTTTTTCTGCCAAATTTGGTAATGAAGTGCACGAAATTCCTGCAAAAACTCGTGAAACTCATTGCCGCTGTATTCGAAATACCCTCCTGTTCTCACCTGATAAGTCAAAATATATTTACCGAATCGGGTTTTTCGGGAAAATTGGTTTAAAAATTCTGATTCTCGTCGACCTCCCCCTTAAACTCTTTAAAATATTCATAAATTTAAATGATTCCCTTTGACTTGAATTAATTCACTATCATTAAATGATTATATTTATTACTGTTAAGGACCTCCCCCACGGTTTCTGCCGAAATCGGCCTCGCGCGAATCAAAATTATGAGAAACCTGTATTTTTTAAAGTCTTATATTAAGGGGGGGTCGACGAGGATCGGGATTTTTGCAACCGAAAATCCGGGAAAACCTGATTAGATAGGTAAAATGAGAATATATTGGTAAAAAGAGAAGAGTTGAAAAAATTTGGCTAGAAAAGTCGGTCAAAAATCCCGTCAAAGTAGGACCATTTTCGCGAAAATGCACCAAAAATGGTCATTTTTTATAATTTACCCCCTAAATCTCGCTTTTGTCAAATGATTTAGGGCTCATTTCGATTCGTACAAGCGAAATAACGTTCATCCCTGAAAAATTCACGTCGACACCCCCTTTAAGCTATTTCCCTCTACTTTGGGAATAGTTTTTCATTATGGGTTTTTGAAAGAAACTCTCGCAGATTTACTTTATTTGATCGACCCCAAAATTTTTGAAAAGCCCACATTTTGAATGATTTTAGACAAGTAATAATTTTTCTAGTTTACGATATCCATGCCGAATCGTGATTTTCCTGAGCTTCATCGTCATATTCATCGATTGGGGTCTTCTGCTCAGATTCAGCGATGAGCAAAACCCTTGCACGGATGAAACAAACTTAACCCTCTTCGGCGCTGGGTGTCTTTTTGGATACGTTCCGATTCTCACCTCCGTGGCGATTTTGAAACAACACATGGCCAGAAAAGGCCTTCTACTCGCCTCGGCTGTTTCGTCCGTGATTTTGTCAATTTACGATTTTTCCCAGTCGAGTCAGTTGAAATGCAACGTGGCGCTTGGAGTGCTGCTGATTTTGCAGGGAGCGGCGGCGGGAGTGATCGTCATCTTATCTGGATACATGTGGTTCTTCCTCGGCCGGCCGGGCGAACGTTTATCCCCGGAGGAAGAGAACTCGCCAGAGGTCACCGGCCAAAATGACCTCCCGCCTGATTATGATCGCGCTGTTAGAGGTAATTTTAGACTTGAAGAATAATGGAAAATGGATAAATATTTGCATTTTAAATTTTTAAAGGAAAAGACACATTTTTACTTCAAGAAATTACGTCTTCAAGATCATAAAAGAGGAGTTGAAAGCATTTTTAGATAGTGATACCCTTAATTAAAAGGCTAAAAGGCATTTTTCTTGGAAAATAAAGCTGATTTTTAGCACAAAACTGATAATTATCCAAGAATTATGGCCAATTTAACGCTCAAAATAGTCATTTTGATTTAAACTATTCCAGTAATTGCTTGATTAAAGTAGGGATACCCTTATTTAATAATTTTTTATAGAAAAAAAGCTCTTATCATATTTTAAAATCATCGTTATACATTCATATTACTTATGAAAATGACGATAAAAATTCGAAAAGACCTTATTTTTTCTATAAAAAATAGAATAAGGGTATCACTTTGAAAACTAAGTGTTTTAAAATAAGCTTGAAAATCTCGTTCTTTGATGCTTCTTTCTTTCTTTTTCGTCAAAAAAGGAATGTTTATGCTTGTTCGCTTAAATATTTTTTTAAGCCGAGAGTCACATAATATATCGAGTCCAAACAAAATGGGAAAGTTTGGTGTTTCGCTTAAAACAGCGCATTTGTTACGAAACGCTCCGCACGCCACTCGTCGTTTCAGGAACTGAGCTTCTAAAAATACACGAGCAGTGTTTTTCCGTTTTCCGGAACTGATTCGCTGGAGCCCGGGTTCAAGGTGCAAATCTGGACAGAATCATGGTCGGTATTTCCACAACAACGATTTGCATCGTCGTCATGCAAGTTATACTTGAAGTCGTCAGGGTTTCCGCCAGGCACTTTTCGGTGGAAATGAGCGCTAATGGTAATGTTTCTTGGACGCTTTGCCAAGGGTTCAAATTAAAGAAATATTTATGAAAAATTAAGGGGGTGTCTGGAGCCGACAAAAATCTCGACAAATTTTGCGTGGGCGGCTACTCGGCTCGTGATTGGCTTGTTCGCCGAACCCAGGCTTCGGATTGGTTGAAAATTTCCACGCAAAATTTTTCGAAATTTTAGTCGGTTCCAGGCACCTCCCCGGTATATCATATACCGTATATCATATACGGTATATGCCTTGCTCGGCAACATGTGTAGAAAACCTGAGTCAGGTTCCAAAAGCTAAAATGAAAAGCCGCGTAGCGGCTTTTAAAAGCGAAGCCGCTTGATTAAATATTTAGCTGAGCGGCTTCTGTTTTAGAAAAGCCGCGACGCTGCTTTTTATTTTAGCTCTTCTGAAACTAACTCAGGTTTTCTACACAGGTTGGCGAGACAAGAGCTATCTGTTTAAATTTTGGCCGATTTTGGCCAATCAAAGAAACTCATCGAAACGCCGCTTGCGGCTTCGGAAATAACAAAATTGAAGCCGTGCAACGCGCGGCTTTTTTTATTGTCCTCGAAGCCGCAAGCGGCTTTTTCATGAAAATCTTGCATAAAGGAGTCTGCATGTCTTACTTTCTATTGAATTAAAACGATTGCTTTAAAAAAAGCATCGCAATGAGTTTGTATTGAAAACGCAGATTACACGAAAGGCGAAATGAACGCAAAATAGAAATGACGTCTCTTTTTTCTTACTTTTTAAATACTGAATTAAAAATTGAACCCTTCGAAAGGTGCAACGAAGAAATCCCAATCTCGTGCATTTGCGGGCTGGGCTACTTCACCACGCTGCCGTCGTTCATTTTGATCATGCTGGGAGTGCAATTCCGCCGCACCCGGAGCGGAGTGAAAATTCCTGGCCTCACGTCGGTGCTCTACTTGGCCACCACATTCTTGACATTCTTGGCGTTGACCGCGCTTGCCATGCTTGACTTGGTCATTTTGCTAAGCGGCTTCAAAACCAAAAATTTCTCCCAGAATAACTGAAAATCTACCTTAATTTTACAAAAAAAAGTCAATTTCAAGTGACTTGATGACTCTGATTATCAATTTTTGGCCAAATTAAATTTTCCTTTTTTATAGATTTTCAAGATTTTTAAGCCGAAATTAGATAGGACAAGCTGCTTTCAACAATAAACCGCTTTCGCCAAATACTCATCGTGGAAATACTCTTCTGGTTTCAGGTAAGTCTTATGAAAAAAGGAAGCGCCATAATCATTGTCAGAATCTAAAGCTCCCAAATTTTATTTATGAGACTTACTTGACTTCAAAAATTCATCTATATTATCCAGAATTGGAATTCCATTTGTCGAGATCCTATTGCTTTTATAAAACTCATCATTTTCTGTAGCTGAGGCATTGACTTCCCTTCAATCACTAATGTCCATCGCCGGCGCTGCTTTGGCGATGGTGGCGTTCTATGTGATGGCCAACAACTTGTACCTCAAGCTGGAGCGCCACTCGGCCGACACTCAAAACTCTTCAGCGCAAAATTCGAATACGCGGCGCCGGACGTCGTCAGATGCACTCTCGCCGGAAGATGTCGAAACGCAGGAAACAATTGTTGGAATAGAGTAAGTTTCCTTTCAAAGAGAGCCAATCGATGGCCTTCAAGAGAAAGAAGAATGTCGAGAAGTTGCTTGCGGCTTCGAGCAGAACAAAATTTAAGCCGCGCAAAGCGCGGCTATTTTATTCTATCTCTCAAAGCCGCAAGCGGCTTTTCGACTTTCTTCTTTCTCTCAAAGGTCTCTTGATTGGCTCTAGAAAACGCAAGAATTGTCAAATTCTGAATTGCGGCTCAGAAAAAATGACAAATTATTTGAATTCTTGCGGTTTTGTCCAGCAAAATTAAGTTACGTCAGCCCTTCATTCTTTCAATTCTCAACTCAAAAGTTCTTGAAATATTTTTTTTTTCTAGCAACGAGGCGTTTACACAAGAAGAGCACGATTCCAAGCTGCCCTCTTACGACATGGCTCGTGGAATGGGGCGCAGGAGGCAGAGCCTTCCGGATCTTTCAAAGCGCTCAAAATATCTTCAACTTCCCGGCACTTCCCAAACACGCCCTTCTATCCGAAGGAGCAATTCCTTTAATCTGGAAGAGCGTGGCATCGACGAACCACCACCTTATCGAACTTGATCTTATCTGCTTATTTCTTTGTCACTTTAACTCAGCCGGGGCCGAAAACCTGTGTAAAAACCTGAGTCAGGAAAAAAACAGGAAAATAATTGTTAAATTTCCGCCAAAGCCGGTTTGTGGCTTCGATTAAAAATAGCCGCTCTGCGGCTTTTCGCTCGAGATTTTTCAAACCCTGACTCAGGTTTTCTACACAGGGTTCCGAGCCTAAAACTCACCTCAAAATCTTCAAAATATCAAAAAGTTACAAGTAGTTCAAAAACCTTTTTTTTGTAAAAAGAAGCTGTTCAAAAATAAACACAAAAAAAGAAGCTCTTCGGAAAATTATGCAGCACTTTGTCGCAGCACTTGAAAAAGGCATGTTAGACAACTAAAAAAGACAGCGGAGAGGCACGTTACTTTTGTGTTATTTTTCTGATGCTTGGACACTTTTCAAAATTATAGTTTATTTGGGTTAATAAAGGGACAAAATTCAATTTAAAAAGCAAAATCACGAGGAATTAAAATTTAGCCTTATTTTTTTTTGGCTCAAAAGAGTTTTCGGACTTGGTTCATACTGAAGGGCTTCCTGCAGCTTGGACAGTTCTTCGGATTGACGGAATTGAGACACGAATAGCAGAAGGTATGGAAGCAGGATATGATGCAAGATTGGTGATGTTGGTTCTTGTCGAATGGAGAAAAACAAATTTTGCAGCAATTTTCGTTCGCGGACTCTAAAAAAGATTGATTTTTATTTTTTTCAAAAAAGAACCTTGATTTGAGGGTTGAGCTGGTCTCTTTCGGGCTCGTTTTTCTTTTTCAGTCACTGATTTGAGCTTCTTCTCGAGATCGTTCTTGTCTTTTGTTAGCCTTTCGTTGTCTTGAAGAAGATTTTCGATTTTTGATGAATTATCGTCGATCTTCTTTTGGACGTTGTCGAGTTGCTCGGAAATTGATTTCTTCTCGAGTAAGATTTTTTCAAATTCCACCCATCCATCCAAACGAGGCTGACCAGAAGAAGAGCATCCACGGTGTTGATAGTGCTCGAAAAACTGGCTGAAGGAAAGAGAAGCGCGGCATTCCAAGAAAAAGCATTTGAAGCGAATTTTTCTCAAATTATATGAAAAATCTTTTTGATAATCCAAGACTCTACAATAGCAATTTTGCTTATGAACAAAAGTCTGCTCTGAATAACAATCCATACCAAAGTTGTACATTTAGCAAAATTTTCTCGTAGCGGAGATAGCGGAGCTGACCTGAGAATTAAGCGGAGCGTAGCGGAGCTTACGAAAAAAATTTTCCCCGTAGCGGAGCGGAGCGGAGCTGACTCAAATATTTTTCTCCGTAGCTAAGCGTAGCGGAGCTGATCAATTTTTTGTAACCCGTAGCGGAGCTGACGAAAAAGAAATTTTCCCGTAGCGGAGCTGGGTGGAGTTTTAGCTAAGATAGCTAAGCTAAGCTGAAATAGCTGAAAAAGCCCAGGGGCGTTATTGACACTGATCGAGGACATATTTTACTCAGAAAAGGCCCTAATTTTACAAAGAAAGGGCCTCATTTTACACGGGGCATCATTAAAGAGTGTCCTGCCGAATTTATTGAGCCTTAAATCATTTGATAAAAAATAAGTTTTATGGGGTGATATTAAGAAAATAGAGAAAATGGAGCTGGCAAAAAAAAATTTCACCGTAGCTGAGCGTAGCGGAGCTGATCAATTTTTTTTCCCTCGTAGCTAAGCGTAGCGGAGCTAACTAAGATATATTTGGCCGTAGCTGAGCGTAGCGGAGCTGGTAGAAAATTTCTTCACTGAAGCTGAGCGGAGCGGAGCCGTCAGCTCCGCTATCTCCGCTACGCAAATGTACAACTCTGATCCATACAAAATATAATATTGCCATTTTCATCATCGCTGCAAAAATTCCTGTAGAATTTCCCAGGAACAACTGTTTAAAAAAACTTTTGATGCAAATATTTCAAGCTAAACTTACGAGCAGATTCTGCATTTTCTAACGTATATTTTCGAACTACTACTATCATATTCTCCGGAAAAATAGTAATTTCCTTCATCCAAATATTTTGCCGGAATCTCTCGTTTTTCAACGCTTATTTTTCCCTCTTTTTGTCGCATCTCCTCGCCAAAAATAGAAATGAATTCTGAAAAATGAGGAAAAATGATTTTTTAAGACACTCTACTCATTTTATGGCCGGTGTAGAGACTCACCAACTCCGATCACCGCCGATTCAGAACTTAAGAATTTTGAAAATTTAAGAAATATTATTTCTGAGAAAATTCTTTAAGGACCCCCGCGTCAACAATTTTTCTCAAAAAGTCGAAAATTTCAAAACAGCCGTATTTTGGCTTCTAAGTGTTCCTGGAAATTCAATTTATCATAAAAACTTGTTCGGAGAACTTTTTGACCAGGATAAATCTGAAATTTTAGCAAAATTGGGGCTTTTTCGTCATTTTTCGTCAAAAAGTCCAATTTTCATTCTTAGTGTGGAAAATTATGCTGCATAATTTATGCAGCACTTTGTCGCAACACTTGAAAAGGCATGTTAGACACCAAAAAAAAAGACTTTTGTGTTTTTTTTTCTGACGATTTTGCACTTTTGAAAAATTATTGTTTTAATTTTAGTTTATTTGGGTTAATAAAGAGACAACTTTAATCAAAAAAGGAGAATCATAAAGAATCAAAATTTAGCCAAATTTCTTTTGGCTCAGAAGAGTTTTCGCACTTGGTTCAAATTGATAGGCTCCCTGCAGATAGGACAGTTCTTTGGAGCGACCGAGTTGAGACAGGAAAAGCAAATAATGTGGCCGCAGGAGGTGATGCAAGAGAGGTGGTGCTGGTTTTTGTCGAAGGGAGAGAAACACACCTTGCAGCAGTTCTCGTCAGCGGGCTCTTAAAAAAGTCGATGAATGTCTTTTTTCAACAAAAGAACCTTGATTCGAGGATTGAGCTGGACTCTCTCGGATTCGTTTTTCTTTTTCAGTTATTGACATTAATTTCTTCTCAAGATCATTCTTGTCACGTGTCAGCCGCTCGTTTTCTTCGAGAAGATTTTCGATCTTTGAGGAGTTGTCGTTGATCTTCTTTTGGATGTTGTTGAGCTGATCGGAGATTGTTTTCTTTTCGACGAAGATTTTTTTCGAATTCCTTCCTCATTGATTGCACTTCGTTTTCTCGGGCATCGAGGTCTCTTTGAATGTCGGCGGGGAGATGCACCTGACGAGAAGGAGCTGTTCTGGATTTTGTTTCGTTTTCGGGAAAACGAGGTTGACCAGAGGACGAGCATCGGCGTTGTTGATAATGCTCGAAAAACTCGTTGAAGGAAAGAGAAGCTTGGCATTCCAGGAAAAAGCATTTGAACCGAGTTTTACTAAAATTTCTAGGACCAAGATCTGTTTGATAATCATAGACTACACAAAAGCAGTCTTGCTTATGAACAAAAGTCTGCTCTGAATAACAATCCATACAAAATATACGATTGCCATTTTGATTATCGCTAGGCCTCGGACGTAAAAAAGACGATTTTCACCATCCGGTCATCGTACGGGAACAGGAGTGGGCTCATTCGAAAGCTCTTGATAAGGGCTTTCTATTTGACCGATAAAAAAACTGGGCCCTCCCTTTCTGTTTCGAGTAATTATGAAAAATAATTTTCGAAGCTTACCTTCAAAATCAAATATCTCGAAAAAGGAGGACAGGGCCCAGTTTTTTTATAAGCCCAAAAGAAAGCCCTGTTCAAGAGCTTTCGAATGAGCCTACTCTTGTTACCGTACGACGACCGGCTGGTGGTGATGATTTTTAACGTCCGAGGCCTAATTATCGCTGCAAAAATGTAAGTAGAATTTCCCCGGAACAACTCTTAAAAAAGCTCAATAATTTTTGATGCAATTTTTCAAAAACGATGACTTACGAGCAGATTCTGCATTTATAAATAAATATTTTAGAATTATCATATTTTCAGAGATCAAAATTGTAATTTCCTCCATCCAAATATTTTGCCGGAATCTCTCGTTTTTCAACGCTTATTTTTCCCTCTTTGCGTGGCATATCCACGGCAAAAAATAGAAATGAATTCTGAAAAATGAGGTAAAATGAATTTTTATAAGATCGTGTAATATTTACCCAGTGAGTTCTGCCCAGTAGTCCTCTTTCTTTATATTAAGATCTGTCAGACCCTGACTCAGGTTTTTAACTCGAGTTTCTAAGCCTTTGTTCTTATTCAGAAATGAAATAACTGTGTTGTATTTATCTTTTATTATTAAATTTTTCATTTAAATCTAATATAATCAACATGAGAGTAAAATATCCAATCAGAAATTATAAATAATGCAAGAATCAGTTTTCAGAAGATTTTTCGAACATCGTTCATCTGAAACGGCTCTCGACAGCTTGGACAGATTTTTGGTCGGAGAGCATTGAGACAGGAAAAGCAAAAAGAATGAAAGCATATTGTTATGCAAGATCGATGATGCTCATTTCGGTAAAAAGGGGAGAAGCAGATCTGGCAAATTTCGCGAAGACGGTTTTCTCTTTCCGTCGCTGACTTGAGCTTCTTCTCGAGATCGACGTTGGCTTTTCTGAGCCGCTCGTTTTCTTGAAGAAGATTTTCAATTATCGACGAGTTATCGTTGATAATCTTTTTGGCATTGTTGAGTTGCTCGGAAAATGACTTCTTCTGGATGAAGATTTTTTCGAATTTGTTCCTCATTGATTGCACTTCGTTTTCTCGCGCATCGAGGTCTCTTTCAATGTCGGCGGGGAGATGCACAGGACGAGAAGGAGGAGCTCTGGTTTTTGTATTGTTTCCGGGAAAACGAGGTTGACCAGAGAAAGAGAACCGGCTTTGTTGATAGTGCTCGAAAAACTCGCTGAAGGTCAGAGAATCTTGGCATTCCAAGAAAAAGCATTTGAAGCGAATTTTACTCAAACGATTAGGAAGATCTTCTTCATAATCCCAGACTTTACAATTGCAGTATTGCTTATGAACAAAAGTTTTCTCTGAATAACAATCAATACAAAATGAAATACTGCCATTTTGATCATCGCTGCAATCATGCCAGTAGAATTTCCCCGGAACAATTCTTAAAAAAGATCAAATACTTTTGATGCAAAAATTTCAATGACTTACGAGCAGATTCTGCATTTATAAACAAATACTTTAGAATTATCATATTTTCGGAGATCAAAATTGTAATTTCCTCCATCCAAATATTTTGCCGGAATCTCTCGTTTTTCAACGCTTACTTTTCCCTCTTTTTGATGCATTTTCACGGCAAAAAAATAGAACTGAGTTCTGAAAAATGAGGGAAAATGAGTTATCGCTTCATATTTACTCACTGAGTGATACTCAGCAAATCTAGCGCAGCAAGTCCTTCTCTCAAACATTATTGCTACACTTTTATATTAAAAAATATTTTCATTGGGACTCAAATACAATAAATTGGTAACCCTCCTTAGGAATTTTTAACAGACCTTTTCCCGATAAAAAGATTCTCTTTTTTTCTGAATTATTTTTATTGTTTTTATTTATTTTTAATCAGAGTTGCAAATTTGTTGAGCTGAATGAGCTGAGCAGTTGCTCACTCAGCTCAGCTCAGCTCAATGACCTCTGAAAAAGGGCAGCTCAGCTCAGCTCAGCTAAGTGAGCTCCGTTGTTAATCATCAAAAAAGACAGGAGAGAGGCACGTTACTTTTGTGTTTTTTTCTGACGATTCGACACTTTTGAAAAATTTTTTTTTTTTTAACTTTAGTTTATTAGGGTTAATAAAGGGAGAAGTCTCAATCAGAAAAAGGAGAATCACGGAGAATCAAAATAAAACTAAATGACTGAATTTTGTTCCTCAGAAGAGTTTTCGAACTTTATTCATATTGAATGGCTTCCTGCAGCTTGGACATTTCTTCGGATTCACAGACTTGAGACAAGAATAGCAGAAGGTATGGAAGCATGATGTGATGCAAGATCGGTGATGTTGGTTTTTGTCGAAGGGAGAGAAACAAATTTTGCAGCAATTTTCGTCCGCGGGCTCTAGAAAAGATAAGTATTTCCTTTTAGTATTTATTTTATTGAGAAAAAGAACCTTGATTCGAGGATCGAGCTGGTCTCTTTCGGGCTCGTTTTTCTCTTTCAGTCACTGATTTGAGCTTCTTCTCGAGATCGTTCTTGTCTTTTGTTAGCCTTTCGTTGTCTTGAAGAAGATTTTCGATTTTTGATGAATTGTCGTCGATCTTCTTTTGGACGTTGTCGAGTTGCTCGGAAATTGATTTCTTCTCGAGTAAGATTTTCTCGAATTCCATCCATCCATCCAAACGAGGTTGACCAGAGGAAGAGCATCGGCGATGTTGATAATGCTCGAAAAACTGGCTGAAGGAAAGCGATGCTTTGCATTCCAAGAGAAAGCATTTGAAGCGAATTTTTCTCAAATTATAAGAAAAATCTTTTTGATAATCCAAGACTCTACACCTGCAGCAGAGTCGCAAATTTGGCTTTATTTTCGTTGAGCTGAACTGAGCTGACCTATTTCGGAGCTCACTGAGCTGAGCTGAGCTGGCAATTTTTAGAGGTCATTGAGCTGAGCTGAGCAGACCCTAATTTGAGCTGAGCTGAGCTGAGTGAGCTGGGTTGAGCTGTTTTTTTTTCTGTTTTTTAGTAGTGAAATTGTGTTAGAATCATTGAGCTGAGCTGAGCTGAGCTGAGCTGAATGATATTTGTCTGAGCTGAGCTGAGCTGAGCAGAGCAGATCATGTTCGAGAATAATTGAGCTGAGCTGAGCTGAGCAGATAAATTCATTTTCGAAAAACCGTGAGCTGAGCTGACCAGCCAGCTCAGCTCACTCAGCTCACCAAATTTGCAACTCTGATCCGCAGTTTTGCTTATGAACAAAAGTCTGCTCTGAGTAACAATCCATACAAAATATAATATTGCCATTTTCATCATCGCTGCAAAAGTGCCTGTAGTATTTCCCCGGAACAACTCTTAAAAAAAACAATAACTTTTGATGCAAATATTTCAAAAGCGATATCTTACGAGCAAATTCTGCATTTTCGAACGTATATTTTCGAACTACCACTATCATATTCTCCGGAAAAATAGTAATTTCCTCCATCCAAATATTTTGCCGGAATCTCTCGTTTTTCAACGCTTATTTTTCCCTCTTTTTGTCGCATCATCACGCCAAAAATAAAAATGAATTCTGAAAAATGAGAAAAAATGATTATTGAAGACCATCTACTCATTTTATGGCCGGCGTAGAGACTCACCGATTCCGATAGCCGCCGATTCAGAACTTAAGAATTTTGAAAATTTTAGAAATATTTTCTCTGAGAAAATTCTTTCAATGAATTGTTATAATGATTTTATTTGCAAAAATAAAGGATAAACAGTCAAAGAAGGAGAATCTAGAGGAATCAAAATTTAACTAAAACTGATTTTTTTTTTTCGTCGAAACTTTTGACTCAGAAGAGTTTTTGCACTTGGCTCATATTGAAGGGCTTCCTGCAGCTGGGACAGTTCTTTGGGTTGACCGAATTGAGACAGGAAGAGCAGAAGGTATGGAAACAGCCCATAATGAAGGATCGATGGCGGAGATTTCTATCGAAGATGGAAAAACAGACTTGGCAAGAGTTGTCGTCAGCTGGCTCTAGAAAAGAAAATATAAGAATGATTTTGGATAATTTCATAAACGAATCATCTGAAATAAATTTCAATCTTATTTTTAAAAAATAAATTTGAACCTTGATTAGACGATGGAGCAGGTCTCTCTCTGGCTCGTTTTTCTTTTTCCGTTATTGATTTCAATTTCTCTTTAAGATTGTTCTTGTCTCGAGTGAGCTGCTCGTTTTCTTGGAGAAGATTCTCAATTTTCGAGGAGTTGTCGTCGATCTTCTTTTGGACAATCTTGAGTTCGTCTGAGATTGATTTTTTCTCGATGAAGATTTTTTCAAATTCCTTCCTCATGGATTGCACTTCGATTTCTCGGGCATCGAGGTCTCTTTCAATGTCATCTGGGAGACGCACCTGACGAGGAGGAGAAGCTCTGGTTTTTGTTCGGTCTACGGGAAAACGAGTTTGACCAGAGGAAGAGCAGCGGCGTTGTTGAAAGTGCTCGAAAAACTCGCTGAAGGAGAGAGAATCTTGGCATTCTAAAAAAAAGCACTTGAAGCGAATTTTTTTCAAATCATCAGCAAGATCTTTTTGATAATCATAGACTTTACAATTGCAGTTTTGCTTATGAACAAAAGTCTGTTCTGAATAACAATCCATACAAAATGAAATACTGCCATTTTCATCATCGCTGCAAACATGGTAGTAGAATTTCCCCGGAACAACTCTTAAAAAGGCTCAATAACTTTTGATGCAATCTCATTAGCGATAACTTACGAGCAGATTCTGCATTTTGCAACGAATATTTTAGAACGGTAAGATGTTCGGAAATGAAAATAGTAATTTTCACCATCCAAATATTTCGCCGGAATCTCTTGTTTTTCAATACTTATTTTTCCCTCTTTTCTTGGCATTTTCGCAGCAGAAAAAAAAAAGAAATGAATTCAGAAAAATGAGGGAAAATGAATTTTTTTAAGATCGTCTACTATTTACCCAGCAAATCTAACACAGCAAGTCCTTTTTTGAAACATTCAAATATATTAAAAAATATTATTCTTTTGACTCAAAATCCGTTAAATTGGTGACCCTCCTGAGGAATTTTTCAACAGACATTTTTCCGTTAAAAATTATTCTCTTTTTTAATGGCCCTTGAAATAGATTGTTAAAATAAATTTGGGCACATGCGTTTTGTCGCAGGAAACGCCAACAAAGAAAGAGTGGAGCAGTAGTAAGTATATCCCTTTGTCAACAGATCTGATCGTTCCGCTTGGATTGGCTAAAGTCGGCCGATTGAGCACAATAAATTTTATGGCCGGCGTAGAGACTCTCCAATTCCGATTGCCGCCGAAATAGAACTTTACGGAAATTTAATCCAGTACTCTTTTTTTCTCCTCAAAAAAAGAGAGTCTACCATTTCTATAAAGAATAGATAGAATAAGAAGAGCTCAGAAGTCGTTTTTGACCCATAACAAAAGGTAATTCAAAACTTTGTCTTTGAAAAAAGGCGCTAGAACTCAACTAATTTTTAAATTTCATAACGCTTTTTTTAATAAATTCTCTCAAGGGTCTGGATTTTGGCCAAAAATGAAAAGTAAAAGCGAAATTTTTTCAAAAATTTAAAGCGAAAGCGAAGCGAAGCGAATCAAAATTTTAAAAGCGAAAAAAAGCGAAGCGAAATGAAATTACAAAAAGTGAAAGCGAAGCGAAGCGAATTCGCTAAGCGAATCCAGACCCCTGATTCTCATCTATGTTTTCATCGCAAAAAATTATGCCCTAATCATTGCTTTTTTATTAAAAATTGACGTAAAAACGATTCTCTGAGAAAAACTCCGATGAGAATCTGAACAGAGTGATCTGATAAAAAGCAGACGCCGGGCGAAATGACGATCATTTTTCGTTTCATTATCATCTTATTCTTTTTCGTTTTTTGCAAAGCTTGGTGGATCGATGGCCCAATCGAAATGCAAGCGGGAATTAATGACGGAGTTTAGCTTTTCCAATCCGTCTTAAAAACCCTTTCTTTTCTTTGTTTTTCAAGAAAGAAATTGATCCGAGATTATTCTTTTTTAACTTTTTCTCAAAGAGAGAAGCCGGAAAAATGGGGCACGGAAAAAGAAGCGAAGAAATCAAAATGGACGGCGCGGAACCTTTGAGGTCAGCTGCGGCGAGAACAGTGTCCAGATCGATGCATGGTGATACTCCAGTAAGTGTTTGTTTTTTACAGTCACGTTTGTTATGCAGTTTGTCATACAGTCATGCTCGAGTCCTTGAACTGCCAAACAATCATTCTTTCAATCATCAGAGCTTCAGAGTATTTTCAAGTTTTGTTTGCTGTTTTCGTTGATGCTCTGGAATTTTACGAAGGAATTATTTTTTCTTTTTTTTCGTTAAAAAAATTTGAAACCATTTTTTTCCAGTTCTAATAATTTTTTGATAATTTAAAATGATTTTTAAAGCCATTAGGTAATATGAAGATTTAAGCGAGTGATACCCTTATTTTATTCACCAACCATTGTTGAACATCTAAACTTTATTTTCACAAAACAAAATAAGGGTATCAACGTGATATTTCTGGGAGAAAAGACGCCTTGAAAGACATTTTTAGCAAGTGATACCCTTATTCTATTATTGAGCAAAAATTTAATATCATCAATTACGATTTATAGGCTATAAATTATAGCCTTATTTTCGGGAAGAAGAATAAGGGTATCGCTTTCTTTAAAAAATGAGATACAAAAGAATTTTGCTCTGGCAGCAAAAATTTCTGTGAATTTATCTAACGAGTCGTTTTGCAAAGTTCACGCCCGCGATATTCTATTTTCTCTCTTTTTTTTCCAAGTTCTTCTCCTAAAAAAATCCGTTCCAAAGAGAAACTAAAAAAGAAAAAGCAAAAAAATGGCTTCACAGGATTTTGGCTAGCGATTTTTCTTTTCAGAAAAGCGAGTTCAATTTTGAATGAAAAGACATATAAATTATTATTTGAGCAAAGAGCGCGACAGATTGCGCTGCACAACCTTATTAATTCTTCCATCCGCTCATGTCACTTAGAGCCGCGCAGAAAGATACAGTCAGATTCAGCCCTAATATTGAGTTTCTTCATTTTTTCAAACCCTTCTGCTTCAATTCAAATTAACCTTTTTTTTTATTATGCAGAATAAGAGTTCAAAAAAGATGTCAAGAGCGAAATCGCCCTAAAATACCCCAATCTCCTGGATGTTCTTGAAAATTAAGGGCTTCCCCACCTTAATTTTTTATTGAAAAAATCAGAGAAAAATCAAAGAACTCAAGAAAAGGCCTCAAAAAGCTGTCAATTTTCCCTTCTTCCTCCAAGTTCTCCTAATGCTAGGCTCGGTTTATTCATTCAGTACAGTACTTACAGTATTATACAATAAAAGAACCGAAAAACAGATGTTCAACATTGAATTATGAACGATAAACAATCCATTTTTGGGTTAAACCAACTTATTGAAGTGATTTTATGGCTCCCGCTTTTGATTGGCCGGTGGGCCAAATACAGCAATCGTATTGGTTATTCAAAAATACACTTTCATAAATTGGTTTAGTCCACATTTTCCGACATTTATTTAAGTTATTTTTTGTCTATCTTTTTTCAAAGAAAAAAATTCCTCGGCGCGCTACTCAACCAGGCAAATAAAATAAGTCCATTATTGTTGGATTCATAAATTTTCTCTATTGTAATTCTTAATTGTCTCTACAGCCAATGGTTCGCGCCCTAGCCAACGAAAGTCCGCCTATCGTCAGCTAATGATGAAAAAAGCCGCCGCGGCCGGGGAGCTTAATGTTGGCGCCGCGGCTGAGAGAAAAGCCGACGCAGGGAGCTTCCGCCGCGCTTCAATTTCGGTCCTACAAGAGGACAACAAGCGGCCCAGGAAGCCATCAAGATCGGACAAAAGTTCCGTCAAGTCGCCGCTGTCGACGTCGAATAATTCCAACCCGCGAAGTCTGGGCTCGGCAACTTGTGTTGAGAACCTGAGTCAGGGTCATTGAAGATCTTTCTGACCCTGACTCAGGTTTTCAACGCAGGTTGCCGAGCCCTGTCCAAAGTCCGCTGGCTTCGTTGACGATTTCGAATGACTCTGAGGATTGTTTTTACTCAAGGACTCGAGCTGACAACTCATTTTTTCCTCATTCTTTTATCCCATTTTTCATTTTTTCCCTAGCAATCGTTTACCCACCCATCTTACACATCCACGCAAGACAGTAACAAACAGCGATCCTTGAGGATATCAGTCAGCTCTAACAGTAAGTACCCTTTATTCTTCGAAAAGTCTAGAATTTGTAAGAAATATTGTGCATTCTCAAATGTCGTTTGATCTGATTTTTGAGCAGTTCATCTGTGTTGTAGGAAAAGTGGTGATTTCGGCCATATTGGTGGTAGAGCCTTAAATTAAGATTATCGGATTAGCAAAAAAAACAGAAAGAATAATCTTGGATTAGATTTTCAACAGAAGGAAATGCTCTTAGAAAACCTGAGTCAGGGTCCTGAGACAGCTTTAATAAAAAGACGCCTTTTTCCAGGGCTCAGGAGCCTGAGTCAGGGTCCTGGAGCGCCATTGTTAAAAGCCCAAAAGACTTTTTCTGTTCTAGCAACCTGTGTAGAAACCTGAGTCAGGGTTTTTCAAAATTCTTTATTTTGAACTTTCTCAGGACCCTGACTCAGGTTTCTGCACAGGCTGCGGAGCACAGGAATTGCCTTTCGAAGTTTCTTCTATTAAATCTGTTTCAGGGCCCTGACTCAGGGTTGAACACAGGCTGCCCAGCCGAGGAAAAAGCCTTTTTGGTCCTTTTTGGGACACTTTTTCTTTTTTACCTATTATTAGCAAGTCTGTTCACTCCGAGTAAATCTCCATTTGCGAAAGAAAATATCAGAAAGAAACTGAAAAACAAAAGTTGCATGTTTATGTTTTTTTTTCTCCCTGAATAAATCTGGGATGGATCAGTTTTTATAGCTGGCTAATTATTCGAGACTCAGAATAATTATTTGATTTCGAAACATGCCAAGATTATCATATTACCTTGAATATGAGCTGTCAATGTCGCGGATTTGGGAAAAAATTGACACGGGTCATGGCGTTCCAAGCTCGCATTACAGTCAGACTACAGTAGTCTGACAGCGTATTTCATAATTTACAGGAGAAACCGGAGTAAACAAGTTTCAAAGAGGAATCAGGGTCAAAGATGACGATTTTTGTTCTAAAATAACGTTTTTTTTCTCGATAATGACGACTTTTGACCGAAAAATGCGATTTTATAACCAAAAATTTTGATTTATTGTGATAATTTCAAAAAATTTTTTGCGGGTCTGGAAATCGTAAAAAATCTAAAAGTGCAGTTTTCTTCAGCTCGTTGAGACGAGTCGAATGGTGTGTCAAACTCTTGATAACTCCAAGAATTGACCGGTTAACCGGCTGGTTACCGGAAAATATGTTTCCGGTCGCCCTTTTCGTTCTAGAAATGCTTGAATGACGATTGAACCCGGAAACTGATCCTTATGGTTAGTTTTACTGTGGGCAAAAAGATATCGGTCAAATATATAACGCAACCTTGATAAACGATTAAAATTATAATTTGTGTATGTATTTTGTTGTTGCTGCACCTTCCTAATTTTCGGTCCCATTTTCATGTGAAAATACAAATTTGGTGATACGCATGTCATGGTAAGAGATATGATTTTCATTTTTCGCCCACATAAGAACTAACTTTAAGGATCAGTTTTAAGGTTCAATCGTTATTCTAGCATTTCTAGATCAAAAACGGCGAGCGGAAACGTATTTTCCGGTAACCAGCCGGTTAACCGGTCAATTCTTGGAGTAGTCAAGAGTTTGACACACCATTCGACTCGTCTCAACGAGCTGAAGAAAACTGCACTTTTAGATTTTTTACGATTTCCAGACCTGCAAAATTTTTTTTGAAATTATCTGTTGAAAAATGACCTTTTTCAGTGGAAAAATCGGAATTTTTTTATCAAAACAAACTATTTTTCGTTTTAAACTGGTAAAATTTGGTCAGAAAAAGTATTTTTTGGTCAAAAATACCAATTTCTGATAAAAATGACCAATTTTATTGTAACAATTGGGCTTTAAGGGACCCCCCAGCAGTATTTTGAGTAATTTGATGGGTCAAAAATAGGATTATTTGAAGAATTATTGCATCTGCGGCTGAAATAATCTCCTGATCTCGGTCGATTCCGCATTTTCTCTTCATCCAAAAATTGAACGATTTTTTTCTTCTTCCTCTTCGAAGAAAATGAATTTGGAGAAAAAACCAATCTTGGAAAGGAAAAATACTTTTATAACAATTCAAGAGATAAGAAGAGTTTCTGCTGAAACGAGACAGTCAATTTTGAGAAATCAGTCCATAGGAAAACGGCTTTTTCTTTATTTTAAAAGCCTCATTTTTCAATAAAAAAAATTAATTTGATAGGCACACCCTTATTAAACTCGCCATTAAAAATTAACAGAATTTTTAAATATGGTATTGATACCCTTAATCTCGAGTCGGCGACGGGAGGTTTCTGGAACCGACAAAAAACTTTCGACAAATTTTTCTTGGAAATTTTCAACCAATCAGAAGCTGGCATTCGGCTATAAGCCGAGTTAAACTGGCCAATTAGCAGCCGAGTAGCCGCCCACGCAATATTTGTCGAAATTTTGTCTTGGTTCCAGACACAATCCCTCGGCAACCTGTTTGCAAAACCTGAGTCAGGGTCTGAAAGACTTTTTGTAAAAGATTTTTCAGACCCTCAGTCAGTGACTCAGGTTTTCTACACAGGTTGGTGAGCAAATTATCAGCAGAAAAGTGAGCCGTTTTTAAGATTCTTCATGTGAGTCCAAAAAATCAATCAAAACTTTTCACTCAAATTATTCAGTTAATCCTCTATCCGCCTGTTTGATTTTTGCCAAAATTTCCATTGTACCGAAATCAGAAATTCGCGCACTGACCTCTCTTTCAAATCAATTTTCAGCGTCGATGCCAAGAACACGCAATTTTAAGATTTTTTGTCGATGTCCCTTAAACTCTCGCAGAGAATTCAAGCAGGAAGCATCTTGCGACTGTAATAACGGTTTAATTAACGGTTACTATGATTCATCTTTTTGACAGTTGCTATTCTTCGCCAGAGCCAAAGAGGAGCTTCGTCAAAAGTACGGCCAGTCTTCTCCTTAATTATCCCCGGCTCAAAGCTAATTAAAACCCTCAAAAGAATCTGTTGAATCTAATTTCTTCAGTCCTCCTTGATTTTGAGCCCCTTTTTCGCGAAAAAAATGAGCATTCCAATGAATATTTATGTCTGGCGGAAACATGCTAGAAAATTGGCTCGGAAACCTGTGTGGAAAACCTGAGTCAGGGCTTGAAAGATCTTTCAGACCCTGACTCAGGTTTTCTGCACAGGTTTCCGAGACAAGCTAGAATGTCTTTTAACTCGACTCTTCTTGGAGAGGATTTTTCAGCATCCAGTTCTAGAGATTTCCATTTTCACGTGACTAACAATTTTCAGGTTCATATTCCGACTCGGATTCCGATGATGATGTTTCGCCCAAAGAAAAAGAACAAGTCGCTTCAAATGGATTCAAGGATTTCTGCGTCAAAAACATTCGATATGCCACGGTTAGTTCAATAAAAATAAGGGTCTCCCTTCTTTTATACGCTTTTTATTAAGGCATTATTTTTGGAAACAGGTTACCTACAGTAGCTTAAACAGTATGGTAAACTCTTGTAAAATCAAGCCCAAGTCTTCGCCATAATTCCATCTTCAATCCCATAATGTCCGATAATTCAGATTGGCCGGCGCGAAATCGAAATCGCCGAGCAAGAGATGCCAGCTCTGATCTCTCTTCGAAAACGAGCATCGCAGGATAAGCCACTCAAAGGCGCTCACATCGTTGGATGCACCCATCTTACTGCCCAGGTATAAACTGCTCATCCTATTCATATTTCTTCTTATAAAATAGGCAGCGGTGCTGATAGAAACGCTGGTAATGCTGGGCGCAAAGGTTCGCTGGTGCGCGTGCAACATTTTTTCGTCGCAAAATGAAGTGGCCGCGGCGTTGGCGGAAAATGGAATTCCGGTTTATGCCTGGAAAGGAGAAGGAGAATCGGACTTTTGGTGGTGTATCGAAAAATGCGTCGCCAGGTGAGCTTTTTTGTTTTTTGGGGGAAATAAGGGTATCGCGACGAAAAACTCAAAAAAAAGAAAATAATGATTTTTCATAAGGAATCTTTTTGTTATCATTATTGAAGAATTTTTATTGTTGTGACACCCTTAATTAAAAATTTATTTTTTCTTCGTTTTGATTTCAATAAGGGTATCATGACGAAAAAGAAAATGATGATTTTTGACTAAGGAATATTTTCATTTGATATTTTTCTGAATTTATCGTTGCGACACCCTTAATCTTTTCTTCAAGCCCGGGCTGGGAGCCGAACCTGATCCTCGATGATGGTGGCGATGCAACTCACTTCATGCTCAAGTACCACCCTGCTTTGTTCAAGAAAATCGTCGGAATCGTTGAAGAATCAGTAACTGGTGTTCATCGACTCTATCAACTCTCGAAAACTGGCAAGCTCTGTGTTCCGGCAATGAATGTCAATGACAGGCAAGAGCGCATTCTTCGATTGGTGGATGATTGATTTTCTAGTGTGACGAAACAAAAGTTCGACAATTTGTACTCCTGCCGCGAGTCGATTCTTGATGGGTTAAAACGGACGACGGATGTTATGTTCGGAGGAAAATCAGTTACAGTCTGCGGCTACGGCGAAGTCGGCAAGGGCTGTGCCGCCGCTCTCAAGGGAATGGGCGCAATTGTGACGGTCACGGAGATCGACCCAATTTGCGCACTCCAAGCTTGGTAAGCTTGGAAAGCCCACTTTCGCGCTTTAACCCATTTTAGCATGGACGGCTTTCGAGTCCAGACAATCGAAGATGTCGCGGATACGTCGGATGTGTTCATCACCTGCACGGGCAATCGAAACGTCATCACGAGAAAACACATGGACAAGATGAAGAATGGAGCTGTTGTGGCCAATATGGGACACAGGTGTAGATACCCTTATTTTTGATAGGTAAGGATCGCTTTTTTCAGCAATACGGAAATAGAAGTCAGCTCGCTGAAAACAAAAGACCTTGTTTGGGAAAAAGTCCGATCGCAGGTTTGGACACTTTTCTTTTTATCGCCTGGTATACCCTTAATTCTCAGGTCGATCACATTATCTGGCAGGATGGAAAACGCATTGTTCTCCTAGCTGAAGGTCGTTTGCTCAACTACAGTTGCAGTTCTGTTCCGAGTTTTGTTCTTTCTGTTACTGCTTGTACCCAGGTAGATACCCTTAAAATCATGGAAAAGGTAAAATGGTTTTAAGGCTCTAGCTCTTATTGAAATGTTTAACGCGCCAGAAGGCCGCTACAAACAAGATGTCTACTTGCTTCCGAAGAAAATGGGTAATTTAACTATCCTCCCTTCCCTCCTTAATCTCCGTTTTCAGATGAATACGTTGCGTCTCTCCATCTGCCCCAATTTAACGCTCATTTGACGGAATTGTCCGACGACCAGGCGAAATATCTCGGCCTCCAGAAGTCCGGCCCCTTCAAGCCTGCTTATTATCGATACTAGAATAAATTATTTTTCTAAATCCTCATCCCTCTCTCTCTTTCTGACTTGTGCAAGTACTAGAATTTGCCTCGAGGCAAAGTGGAATCTTTGGAAGCTCAATTAAGCCCTCTCATCAGAAATTCTAAGCAAAATGAAAACAATTTTTATCCTAGCAAATTTTCCCTTCAATCAAGCATGTTTTTTCGGATCATCTAAGCAAGAAATTCAAGAGACATCTAGTTCCATATCCCCTACTAGAGCGCCAGTTCCAGTGCGTTCAAGACCAAAACCACCGCAAAAACGACCAAAAACTCGGCCAAAACTCGATTATGACCCGAAAGAGGTAGAAAAACGCCGAATTTTCTCGTCAGAACCGAGTACAAGATGCGAAGCTCCGGGGGCAGAAGGCAAACCATGCAGGTAAGGAGCGCTTGAAGGTATAGAAAAGGAATGAATACTGAAGTTATACGATGAATGTTGGGCAAGATTGCGAAGAAAAACAGTGGTGGAGTGACAATGGTTGGACAATTTATCGATCAAAGAAAGAGTTTCATTTTTTTGAAAGAATGAAAAAGCGATGAGCCACCCTAAGAAAAAATTTTTGAATTGGTGCAATGAAACTGCTCGGAACTTGCTTTTTTTCTTCATTAAGGGTATCACCGTGCTATTTTTGGGATGGTGCCTGGAAGTTCCAGGCTGGACCCAACAAAAAATCGACAAATTTTGCGTGGGCGGCCACTCAGCTGGTGATTGGCCGGTGAGCCGAATCCAGCCTTCTGATTGGTTGAAAATTTCCACGCAAAATTTGTCGAAATTTTTGTCGGTTTCAGACACCTCCCCCTATTTTTTCGACAAAAAATTCTAGTGAAGGTTCGCTTCTGCACTCCTTGCTCCTCAAGAATATTCAAAAACTCTTCGAAAGTGCATGAAATCACCGAAAGACCCGCGATTTACTCTCCGAGAAACGCTAATTCAAACTTGTTCCTACGGAAAATGCCATGCTGGAGGCGGTTCTGGATGAAGAGGACAAAACTCGCGATCAATTTTTGTAAACAGTTTATTAGTTTTTACTTTGACAGAACGAATAAACTCGCTGGAGGCAGGAGAGAATAAATAATAATCGACCAGACTCGCCCAATCCCCTATCAACGGCTGGTCGAGGTGTTTTTCTTCGCTTATTTGCCAAGCAGCGAGGTGGAAGACTTTTTCGTCATTGACGATCGTCGGGCGTTGTCCTTGTGGCTCTGGAAGTTGACTTTGAAGCGGTTGTCGAGGGCTTCGGCGAAATCGGCGCCGGTTTGAGCGTTTCCTGCGCTTCGCGAGTCACGTGTCCATATGCTGATCTACAAAAAAACGATTCCCAATTTCCTAATTTTCTAGAGAGCTTCTCACCTTATCAGCTTTTCTGCGATTCTGCACGACGCAGCCGTTGATATTCTCGTGGTCAGCGAATTCTTCGTTCACCAGGATTAGCAACGTCTCGAGCCAGGTCGAGTTCAAGAATGAGTTTCTGTCTTTTTTCGTTATTTCGACGACGAATCTCCCGCCCTCGATGTTGTCTTCCGTTTCCCATTGAGGCTCGATCCCGCTGGAAAAAAAAACATTTTTATAATCATTATATAGATACTATAGAATAATGCTTATATTAAAGCCGCTTGCGGCTTCGACAGAAATTCTACCTAGAATGGTGATCCTGCGAAGCCGCTTCGCGGCTTCGTTTGAAAAAGCCGCTGCGCGGCTTTTCATTCAAAATTTCGGGAAGAAAAGCCGCAAGCGGCTTTCGAGATTTTCACCAATAATAACCAAAATTTTAATGCGGCTTAAGTTTGACGAAGCCGCAAGCGGCTTTGCTCAGAAATAAAGACCTTTTGTTTACCTTCTGAAAACGTAGTAATCGTGATGATATCTCAAGTAGCTCGGCAGCTTCAAATGTTGGTAAATCGCCCAAAATTGCGCGACGGAATTGAAGCTTGCAATTTTGACGAGCTTGTCCGCCCATTCAGTCGCTTCGGGTCGAGTGGTGTAGACGTCCCAGGAGGAGTTCAGAGGAAAGTCGTGCTTCAGCAGTTCTTCTTCGAGCGTCAAAGCAGGGGTTTCCTGGGGAGCTTGGAGACTCTCGAGTAGGGTCGATTCGTCAGGGTTTGAAAAGCCTGGAATAGATACCATTAAGTACCGGTAGCGAAAACAAGGGCGGGAAAAAAGGAGGGCAAAAACAAGTTGAGAAAGAAAACTGAATTTGAAAAGAAAAACTTTTGCTCTCATTTGTTTCATAAATAACGATTCTAGAAAGTGAGATTTCAACTTACTGTCGGAAATGCCAGAATCATCGATTCCCTCTTCTTCCGGAATCTTCGGCAGGTCGATTCCTCCCTCTTTGAAAGCTGGAGGTTCCTCTTCATTTCGCTCGAGATTGTCCTCCATGACTTCAATCAGCTTGGCGATGAAGGTCTCTCGAATCGACTTGACTTTGTGCACGCTGAGTAATGGGTGGGAAAAAATGGGTTTGTGGGTTAGTCTGTTTTTAGGACGGCTGTGAATAAAAATAACGAGACGAAAGAAGGTTAACGATCAATAAAAATAAAGGCGTTGTTCTAGCGAGAATCTGCTTGGCTATTCATCTTTTGAGAGTTATCTAGAATTTTAGGAGTAAACCAAAAAATTGAAGTGCATTTTCAGGTAACCATTAAGATTGCTGTATCTGGCCTACCGGCCAATCAAATCCCTGATCCTTAAAATCACTTCCATATTTTGGTTCAGCCCAGAATTTCGGAGTGGAATCAAGTTTTCGAAGAGATTTTTATGGAAAGGGTTTTGATTGGCCGGTAGGCCAAATACAGCAATCTTATTGGTAATCCAAAAACTCACTTCCAAACATTGGTTTTGTCCGAATTTCGAAGCTTTTTGTGTCTTTTTTTCTGTTGTTTATTGTAAAAAAGTGTAAGATTAAAGAACAATTATCACCCTTTTCCTGTAAGTAGGATTGGAAAGCCTAGAGTTGACATGTTTGGTGGAAGTGTAATTAATCCTTGCGAACATTCAAAAAGTTTCTCTCGCTCTCCCTCTTTTGTCTCCTTCTCTTTGCCAAAATCTATTTGCCAATCTCAAATCTCAAATTTGCAGATCTGTCTTTTTCTTTCGTTTTTGAATTTGTCTCTCCGCCCTTCTTTTTTCAAAAAAATCGATATTCTTCCTTGATTTCTTTTTCTTGACACTCTTTTTTGAGCGTTCTTTGCTGCAATTTTTTGTTTTTTGAAAGTTGAAAATTGCTCTTTTGTATTTTTTATTTTCGTGGTCGATGAGACCAGCTCGCCTCAGAGCGCGGCCAAAGATTACGCCCTGCCATGTTGCGCGGGGAAAAAGAACGTTCGGGAAGAATTTTTAGACCGAGTGTCACGTGATGACGTAATCTTGCGTTAGGCTTATTTCTGGTTACCACTGTAGCTGAACCTTCTATTTGAATAATGAAAGCCCATAAATATAGTTCACCGAGGTTGTTTTTTGGGAAATCTGATTTTTGATCTTGGGTTCAAAGGTCAAGGGGGGCAAGAATCTTTTCAGGCAAGGAAAAAGGGGGCGTAAGGAGACAAAGTTGAAAGGGATCATGGAAGAGTTTTTCTATGGAAATTTCCTTTTCAGCGGATTTTTTAGACAATGGACAAAATTTGGGCCGAACAACCTGTGTAGAAAACCTGAGTCAGGGTTTGAAAAATCGGCTTTTCATTACCGTAGGGATTGGTCAGACCCTGACTCAGGTTTTCTTCACAGGTTGCAGTGGCCAGGACAAAATTACTGAAATACTGTAGTTTGACCTTTATAACAATTTAATGTTTTCAAAGAAAGATAAATTGGTTGACACGATCTGTCAAAAAGAGTGAAACCAGAATGGAAAAGAAAATGAAAGAGGAAGATTCTCGCGATGCTCCATTTGTCGGAATCGGCTCGGGAAATTTCGGCCCGGAAAATGGCTTGTTTGAAGGATTTTGACCTCTTTTCGGTGATTGTTTGCAAATTGCGAATGACTTTTCCTAAAAAAAACCAGTTATCGTTACCAAAAGAGTTTTTTCTAACCGAAAAGGGAGAGATCCACCAAGGCCCGACTTTTTCGACGGTTTCTTTCGTCCAGAGAAGTGCGTAAGGGTAGCTCCTCCAGCTTTCATCAACCTTTCCAAGCGACCGGTCGGGGCGTTCGTACTCTAAAAGGGCTTAAAATTAATAGGGGAATAAAAACCATACTGTGGACTAAATCAAAGACTTCGTAAAAAAGTCCGGCGCTGAAAAAATTCGCTCTTCCATCAGCATCAGTTATCACAGCTCGTTCTTTTTCAATGGACATGTCGCATCTTCTAGCGAAAGGAGCGCAGCCAAACTAGAATGAACATTTTCAGAAACAAAAATACTGATCCAGGTCTCGGCAACCTGCGTTAAAAACCTGAGTCAGGTTCTGAAAGAGCTTATTTTGAAAAGCCGCGTTTTTTGCGGCTGCTTTTTTAAGCCGCGTTTTTTTGCGGCTTATTTTTAAAAAAGGCCGCGTTTTTTTGCGGCTTTCTTTGAAAAAGCCGCGTTTTTTGCGGCTTCCTTTGTAAAAGCCGCGTTTTTTGCGGCTTCTTTAAAAAAGGCCGCGTTTTTGCGGCTTCCTTTGAAAAAGCCCCATTTTTTAAGGCTTCTCAATGCTCTCTCAGACCCTGACTCAGGTTTTCTACACAGGTTGCCGAGCTCAGAACTGACCCCCTTATTTGATCAAAACCAAACCTTTGATTCAATAAAAAGTGAAAAAATCTTCGCATAAATGAGATCAGTAAAGGGCAGAATTTCCATTCCCCTTGAAACACAAAAAGAAGCAGCATCTTCGATCGTTAGATTTTTTCCCAAAACAATGTTTGAATTATTCGCAATTACACCCAAATTATCGCTGATGGGAATACAGACGACATAAAATCTCGATGAAGGGTTGAAATTCGCTGTTGATTCAAAAATGACATTTCGCATCGTCTGAGGGACGTTTCCATCGACTTTGAGGCGGAGAACTGGAGATGAGGGCATTTTCTTGCTGTCATCGCTGCTGGAGAGCATCGGCAAATCCTTGTTTTGCTGATGATTCGCCCAGAAATGGTACTTTGGAAAAGCAACTTGAGATCCACTAGTGTGGTGCCTCATCTTGATGTATTTTCGATGAAGCAAAATGCCCAAATTTTCCAAGTCATTCAAATTGAAAACGTCTTCCGGGGAGACCAAAAATCCTTTCATTCTGACCCCTGGGCTCGGCAACCTGTGTCGAAAACCTGACTCAGGATTTGAATAAGCCGCAAAGCCTGACTCAGGTTTTCCACACAGGTTGCCGAGCCCAATCTGAGACAGTATTCCTTCGCATCATATGAGTTCAGCAATCCGGGAAAACTGAAGTATTCTGGGAAATTCTTGAACAAGATAATGTTCGACGCCTGTGTCTCTAGAATCTCCCGAAGTCTTATTTTTGCCTCGAAAGAAGCATCGAACGTTTTTGATCCGTTTATGTTGAATCGCTCGAATTCGAATTCAAGATCATGAAAGTCAGCTTCTTCTTTTGATTCGACAATCGGGTTTTCATTGATAAAATCCTGGAAACTGGCAAAAACAGCTGAAAAAAGTAAAAACACACTCAGCCCCATCTGAAATGATGAAAAAATGAAGAAATGGAAGGGAGCTGGCATAAAATATAGCCCTTATCAGTCGATAGTTTCGCTTGAATTTTCCTCTGCGCGGTTTACTGATAAGGATCAAAGGGATCAAAAGTTTTTTGTTTGAAACTTCTTTTTTATATAGAATTTATATTTTAATTTCTTCTACTGAACAGAGTATTAAGTTTGTTGAGCTGAGTGAGCTGAGCTGGCTGAGTGAGCTGAGCAGTCGCTCAGCTCAGCTCAGTAATTTTCTAAAATGATCTGATCTGCTCAGCTCAGCTCAGCTCAATAATTTTTGAACTTGATCAGTTCTGCTCAGCTCAGCTCAGCTCAGACAAGTATCACTTAGCTCAGCTCAGCTCAGCTCAGACAAATATCGGTTAGCTCAGCTCAGCTAAGCTCAATGATTTTAACTTAATTTTACTACTAAAATACAGTAAAAACAGCTCAGTTCAGCTCACTTAGCTCAGCTCAGCTCAGCTCAACTACCTAAAAAAAGGTCTGCTCAGCTCGGCTCATCTCAATGACCTATGAAAAAGGCCAGCTCAGCTCATAAAATTTTTTACGAAGCTCAGCTGAGCTCAGCTCAGCAAAATAAACCAGAATTTGCAACTCTGCTATTTTAGCTCATTGAATTTTTTGCGATGAGAAGTCACAGTGCGACTTCTCATCGTCTGTAAATATTAAACGATATTAAAAAAATTCAAGCTCTCCTATGAGCTCATTTTGTATTTGTTGTACCTCGATATGTCGCGGAAAAAGGGGAAAATAAGTGCTGAAAAACGAGAGATTCCGGCAAAATATTTGACGAAAAATGGGGACTACTGTTTTTCAATGGCTTCAAGAAAGAAAATTTGGGTTCCGAAATGTAAAATATGCTCGTAAGTAATCATCTTAGAAAAATGGTATATTTTTATTCATTGGTCATTTTCAGCATTGTTCCGGGGAAATTCTACGAATTTCGGTGCGGAATTAGTACAAATGAGATCACAAGATTGAAAAACAACACACTTTGTATGGATTGTTTTTCATTCCAGAATTTCATTCATTTGCCAACCTGCCGATGTGTGGTTCGTGATTTTGATCATCAACGAGATTCAGAAAATATTCGCTTCAATTGCTTTTACCGTAAGTGCTCGGCTCCTCTGACTTTCAACGAATTTTTCAACCACTATGAACGCTGCCAGTTCTCTTCATCTGGTCGAGCCCGTTTTCCCGAAGACGAAATGCAGCGAATTCTGCAAGAAGAAAAGATAAAAACAGAGCGACTCAAGAATCTTCAAAAAAAGAAGCTCGAAAACACAAAATCGAAGAATGAAAAAATCGCCCAAGAAGAGGCTCAAATAGAAAAAGAACTCGAGTCTTTGGCGAAAAGAAAACAAAAAACACGTCGGCGAATCAAGGTACTCAAAATCAATTTTCAAATATATTTTTCTTTCTATTTATTCTATTAAGGCGATGCTGACGAAAATTGCTCCAAGGTCTGTTTTTCTCCATTCGACAAGAACCAGCATCACCAATCCTGCATCACTTCATGCTCCTCCTGTCTCAATTCCTTCAACCCGAAAAACTGCCCGAGCTGCAGGAAGCCCTTCAACATGTCCGAAGTCAGAAAACTCAACTAAGATATTTTTTGATCGCATTGATTCTCCATTATTTTTTGATTTATTTCCCTTGACCACTTAATAAATTGAAAAAAGCGACAATAACAAGCTTTTTATTTTTCTTTTTTAATTCTATATTTATTCATAAAATATAATTTTTTGAATTAAAATCTCATTTTAAAACCGAACACTTTGAAAATAACAGAGCATTAAGAGTTTTTAAGCATCCCATTTGGTAGTCATTGAATCAACATTAGGCCTCGAACGTAAAAATGGACGATTTTCACCAGCCGGTCGTCGTACGGGAACAAGAAGAGGCTCATCCGAAAGCTCTTGAAAAGGTATAAGGCTGATAAAAAAAACTGTATCCGAGTTATTTCGAAATATATTTTTTCAAGCTTACCTTTCAATTCAAAAGTCAAATACATATATTTTAATATTATTTTTATTTATATTTTAAGTTCTACCATTGAAGCTTTTAGAATTTTCTGCAATAAGGAGTCACAGCGCGTCTTTTCGTCTGCAAATATTACACGGTATTAAAAAATTCAAGCTCTGTCTTATGAACTCAATTCTGATTTCTTTTACTTCGAGATGTCACAGAAAGAGGGGAAAATAAGTGCTGAAAAACGAGAGATTCCGGCAAAATATTTGACAGGTGGGAAGTATTGTTTTGGGGGCGGTTCTGTAAGAGGAACATGGGTTCCGAAATGTAAAATATGCTCGTAAGTTATCTTATTAGAAGAAAGTCATATTTTTACTCATTTTCAGCATTGTTCCGGAGAAATTCTACGAGTTTTGCTGCAGCTTCGATTTGTTGGAAAGCAACACATTTTGTATGGATTGTTCTTCAGTCCAGAATTTCAGTCATAACCAAAACTGCTCTTGTGAGGTTCGTCATTTTCATAATCGACGAGATTCACAATATATTCGCTTCAATTGCTTTTACCGTGAATGCTCGGCTTCTCTCTCTTTCAACGAATTTTTCAACCACTATGAACGCTGCCAGTTCTCTTCATATGGTCACGCTCGTTTTCCCGAAGACCTTTCTTCAATTTCCGTCCACCTCCCTGATGATTTCGAAAGAAACCTCAATTTCCGCGAAAACGAGATTCACTCTCTCCGAAATGAAATGCAGCAAATTTTGATTGAAGAAAAAAACGATATGCAACGATCTTATGCTATTCAGCAAACGATGAATGAGAACTCGAAGAAAATTAATCGACTACAAAAGGAAAATGAAAGACTTGCTCGGGATAAAATGCAGATCGACAGGAACCTCGAGGCCTTATCGAGAAGAAAACAAATCGCAAGAGAAAAACGACCATGTGTTCGAATCAGGGTGCACCATCTCTTCATAGTATCATAATTTTTGTTATTAATATGATTTGATTTTAATTTTTAGAAGAGTCTGATGACAATTCTTGTCAAGTCTGCTTCTGTTCCTTCGATAAGAACCAACACCATCGATCCGTCATAACCAGATGCTTCCATTCATTCTGCTTTTCCTGTTTGAATTCTCTGAATCCGAGAAGCTGCCCTAGCTGCCGGGAGTCTTTCCAAATGACCGATGTTCGAAAAATCTTTTGAGACCAAAGAAATTATTTCTCAAGTTTTTTTTCGATGATTTGACTTTTCCTTTGATTTTTCCTCCTTGATTCGTATCTGTCCCTTTTTATTCAAATAAATTTGAAAAATGAATGAAAATTTAAGGTTATGACTCATAACTTATGAGTTTAAATTTCATATTCGATAGAAGATGGACACAAATAAGGGTGTCAATCTGTCAAATCTTCTTACTCAATCGAGGTTGATTAAGGGCATCCCTTTAGGTAATTTTTGAATCAACATTTTTTCTCAATTAATTTCTTATTTATTAAAATGTCGCACAAAAAAGCACTTTGGAATGAATTTGTGCTCTTGAGTCGGTGCTTCGATTCTCGATTAAAAAATCATCTCCCCGTGTGAAGTTCTAATCAGCTGCACCAGCCGAAAAAGCACTTCCTCAAACCAACCGCTTCAATTATTCAAACGAGTGCTCCCGCCATCAGCTTCAGTACTTCACTAGAACTTTCGCCTTTTACACAACTTGACGCAAATTTGCAAAAAAAAAACTATCAAAGGATAAAGAGGGATGATGATCGAGAGATTTCAGAAGCATAGAATACAGTATTAGAGCTCTTGTGACTGTAAAAATGAAGAAGAAACCGATCTTACTGTACATTTGCCTGTTACAATGTCTCTTTACCCAGGTAAGCAGCTGATCTGGTGAAGGATCGATCAAATCCTTTATAAATTCGCATCATGAAGAAGTTCTTCAATTTTTCCGAAAACTAACCACCACTTTCCTTGTCAATATCTAACCTTATTAGTCAACAAACGAGCCCATGAAGGTAAAAAACGCATCTTTGCTCGCTTTTACGGAAATCCAGAAAAGCAAACTATCCATTTTTTGTCGAATTTGCAATTCCCCGATGCAAATTTACGCATCGTCGTAATCATTATCGTTTCATAATGTTATCAGTAGCGCTATTGCATCATCCGTGTTAGTATAGTGGTGAGTATTCCCGCCTGTCACGCGGGCGACCGGGGTTCGATTCCCCGACACGGAGCGTTTTTTTCGCCCTTTTTTCAGCCCTTTTTAGGTGTTGGGCCAGGATGGCGACCGCCAAGAAGTGGTCGGGGGAATGCTTAGCTCGGAACTGGAAGTGGTCGATAATGGATACAGGCATTTAAACGTGATTATTTCTTCGAAAATCCAACAAGAAGAAATTTGCGAAGACGAGGAAAAACGACTGAATTGCAAAAGAACTTTCAAATTTATCGAAAAAGTCAAGGATTTCATCAAACTGTAAGAGTCCCCAGTACAGTCAGATTCACCCTTATTTTGTCAAGCTTGTCAAAATCGATTTACGAAGCTTCCAGGGGTCATTTTTACATCGAAAGCTGCAATATCATCATGCCCAAATCGTGGGACGCGCCACCAGGTTGTCGAAAAACCGAGGGGTAGAGCCTTAATCCCTCTTTTCAGCGAACGAAACAGAAGCGCTGAACTTTGGCGGGACCATTTCCTACATTGACTTTGACGCAATTCCGATTCGGATTTACCCCGACATGGTAAAAACCACTCCTTCCAAATTGGAAGCTCCAATCAAAATTGAATCAAAATTGCATGAATAATCAAAAATTCCATAATCTGCGTAGGGCGAATCAGGCTTTTCAGAGTACAAAGCGGGGCCAGTGTCACGTGACTTGATTTCAGTCAATGTTTGGAATAAGAACAGAAGATCCATGGTCTGGCTTATTCTCCTCCTTGATTTCAAATGTTCTCATTGTTTCTTTTTTTAGCAAAATAAATTGACGGGAGAAAAACTTGTCCGGCGACCATATGCGGTAAAAGCGACCCCTTGTGGATACCAAGGGTCGTATCTAAGGCTGGGCTCGGCAACCTGTGTAGAAAACCTGACTCAGGGTTCTGAAGGGGATTTTTCTGGAACCGACAAAAAAATTTCGACAAATTTTGCGTAGGCGGCTACTCAACTGCTGATCAGCTGGTTTGCCGAATCCAGGCTTCTGATTGGTTGAAATTTTCCACGCAAAATTTGTCGGTTCCAGACACCTCCACTTTTTCTGAAGGGCGGTTTTTTATCAAAGGCCTTTCAGAAGCCTGACTCAGGTTTCTACACAGGTTTCTGAGCCCTAATCTCAGAATGTCGCAAGCATTCATCGAAGACCCCCAAAGCCTGAACTTCACGGCCTATGGAAACCCCGAGAAAATCCTCGCTGGAGAATGGGCAAAGTTCCGCTGGGGCGTTTTCGACGAAACCCCTCCGCCAAACAAGGGCCACGAGTTTTACCTCGCCTCGAATTCGAGAATCGAAGCAAGTCGATGCTCGTTGAAAGTCGAGGGCGATTTGATCTTGAAGGAAGATACTGAAGATGGGAGGATCAAGGGCGATGAGTGTATGCGGATGGAGGCGTTTCAGTCGAGAAATTTATGCGAATTTGTCCCGAAAAAGCAGCAGAAACAATCTGGACTGGGGAGCTTGCTGTTTTCGAGGCATTTGGATGATGTTACGGAGTACTGTGATAATGGTAACGGAATAATTATTGGTTAAGCCTTTAGGTAGGTGTCTGGAACCGACAAAAAAATTTCGACAAATTTCTCGTGGAAATTTTCGACCAATCAGAAGCCTGGATTTTGCAAACCGGCCAATCAGCAGCCGAGTAGCCGCTCACGCAAAATTTGTCGAATTTTTTTTGTCGGTTCCAGACATCGCCCCAAAATTTTACCAATAGAAAAAATTCTAGAATAGATTTTCCGGGAAAATTGAAGAAACCATATATCCTTTTAAAAATCTTTGTTTAAATATGTTTATATTTACAACTACCTTGATGAATTATCACAAATATCTCGATGTAATGCGTAGTGATGGCATGCTATTCATAAAATTTAATTATAAAATTTTATTAAGATCCCGAGAAGAAATTAACCTTCCACAACCGCGACGCCAAAACGCGCCACAACGAAGTCTGCGACACAAAATCCATCTGGGAAGTAATCCGCGCGCACGATGATTTCATCAAGGGCGCCAAAGGAAAACCAGTCCGCGACTTTGACTCGACCAACAAAGGTCTTTGGATGAACACCAAATTCACCGTCATGCGACAAAACAACACGAAAACGGTCCTAACCATCGACACTTCTACCTCCATGGGCGTCGGGAAAAGATGGGAAAATGTGAAAAAAGCGGCGTCGCAATATCTCTCCGCGCTGCCGCACGATGCTCACGTGGGAATCGTCTTTTTCGCCAGACGAGCGTATCAGCGAACAAGAGGCCTGATTCAAATTGAAAACGGCGATTCCAGCGAGCTTCTTCGGCGAAGATTGGAATCTGTCCCGCTCAATTTGGGCACTTCAATCGGCCACGCTCTTCAGGAAGCGATGAAAATGCTCAAGACTTCTGGTCCAATGGATTCGCGGGATTCTGGCGGCTCGATCATTCTCCTATCTGATGGTGCTGAAAGTAATGCGCCGTTCATTGATGAGGATTTGATTCAAGAGCTGATTGATAACAGAGTTACAGTCAATACAATCGCTTTTGGAAAAGACGCCAGCCCAAAGCTTGAAGAAGTCAGTAAGCGGACAAAGGAACGGGCTCGGAAAACTGTGTAGAAAACCTGAGTCAGGGTCTAAAGAGCTTAAATAACCTGTTTAAGACCCTGACTCAGGTTTTCTACGCAGTTTCTTGAGCCCAGAAAAGGGATCATCATACTTTTCCGACCCAGAAAACCCAAGTTCCATCCTTCAAGACGCCTTCATCGCCGAGTTGCAAAAAGATGGCTCCAACGCCCACCCAATCGTTTCGGTAAAACGAGCGATAAACGCTGGCTCGACGGAGGAATTCGACTTCAAGATCGATCAAACAATCGGAAAGGATACGAAAATAACGATTTCCTACGAAACGAATGCGGAAAAGGACAACCGGCCTGAGATCAAGATCAACACTCCCGGCTATCCGAGGCCGATTATTGCTGATATGCAGGAAAAGGGCTTATTTTTTCATTCGGTTTATTTGCAGAATATAATTTTATAATTAAGTTTTTTCAGAAAATTTTGTATAGTTTTCGATTCAGACAGTGATAATGATGATATCGTTTTCATTTTAGCAGTGATTATTGAAAAGCTCTATTTTGAGTTGAATTTAGTTGAAAAAGTTGATGGTATGGGTTTCGTTTTCATTTTAAAATTTTTGAGCTTAGCGGGTATCATCGTTATTTTATCGAAAAATCTGACCAAAAGAGGGCGCTAGCTGATTCGTGTTCAAGATGGTTAGTCTTCTTGTGAACTCCCGCTGAGATTGAACCAGTCAATCGAACCACCAAGAAAATGACCGTCCTCTTTTCGAGATTGTTATGGAAGAAATTTCATCAATAAAAAGCCCTTCTTAGAACAAAGTCTCTGAATCAATCAATCCTGAAACTGGTGAACCAGCTTATACAGTCGCCTGGCGAGAAAACCTCGAAGACGGCCTGATCACTGTCGATTTGACGGGCAAAGCTGACAATGGAACCTACACGATTTACGTCAAAAACGACCACTCGAGCCCCGCTTCTGTCCACATCAACGTCGTCAGTTACGCCAGAGAGCCGGATCGTGAGCCAGTGACGCTGACCCCGACGATTATTCAGAAAAAGATCGCTCCGAGCAACACGGACATTGTCGTCATCTACGCTGCCTTTGCCCAAGGAGAGTTTCCGATTCTTTTCGCCGATCTTTGGGCGGAAGTCACTTTTCCTCTCGAGCGAAACGGGACGATCATGACGACCGAGACGGTCATTTTGACTGATGATGGCAAGCACGATGACGTCATCGCCAACGACGGGATTTACACGGGCATTTTCACGAACATCTTTGAAACGGGGAGATACAGTATCAAAGTGAGAGCGAATGGGGATAACGGAAAAGCTGTGGTTTCAAAAGGACACATGCTGGGAATCGGAGAACTGGACGACGCGGAATATGAAGTCGTGGAAAACGCGGTGCACAAAGAAGTCTGGCAGACGACGCGAAGACGGAAGAGGCGAAATGTCAGAACGACGAGGGATAGGCGGCAATCTGATGGAGAAGAAGATTATGAATACGACGATGGAGAAGAGGGGGTAGAGGAAGAACCGCCAAAGCGAGTGGAAATACCGGTTATTTCGCTAAAAGAACCGGCAACGAATCAAGATCGAGTTGAGCTCAACAGTAAGTTTGACCGGAACAGATATGTTTTCATCATTTTTCTAGAGCAACTGGAAGCCCAAAAACTAGCTCGACTAACTCGAGTCTCCGCGCAAGATACTGAGCGAGTGACAAATCTGGACACGATAGTTATTGAAGCCTCAGAGACAGATCTTTGCGACGAGGGCTTCTTTCATTTCGACGGGTTTTGCTACTTTATTTCCAGGGATGTGCAAGAGCAAAAGAACTTCAAAGAAGCGGAAGACGCCTGCGCCGAAATGGGCGCCGAACTCATCGACATCCGAACTCTCCAAGTCGCCCAATACTTTCTCGTCACCCTGCGAGCTCGCATCAAAGACTTCTGGGCGAGCGACGTCAACGACAAGATCGTCAATCACATCCCCCTGCTCATCGACAACATCTACTCCGTCACGGAAGTCCAGGCAATCCTCGACGGGCTCCTGGGCCGAGTTGCCAAAGAATTTTACTTGCGAAAAAAGGATCAAGAAAATTCTTTCGCCCGAATGGCCAGTATAAGACAGCATAGAGATCCAGACTTTGATAGGGATATCAGACGGCTTTACGAAGATTTGACAAAGAATATTCAAGTGCCAATGACTTATCTCCAGCGCCGTATTTTCGAAAAGCATAAAAAGACGGTCGACGAGTTGTCTCAAGAAGAAATCGAAGAAATCAAAAACGAATGGAAAGGAAAACAGCTTCAAAAGCTGGATCATTTCAAAGAGCAACTAATCGACAGGGAAAAATTCGAATTCCGGTCGCCCCGATTTCTCGCTTCTTTCGAAAGAGCAAAGAGAGAAATCGACTCGCTTCAATTTGGACCGTGTCGGTACAAGGACATTTTTCATCGTTATCGAAAAAATCGAAAGTTCGCGATTTGCCATTCCGAAAAACCGGTCATTTGCCAGCTAATTTCTCCGAAAAACGCGCACAATCGAAACTGCCCCGGGAACTGGACCGATTTTGAAGGACATTTTGACAGCTCAGACATTTGCTATCATTTCAACGAAACAAAACGAAACTTTTTCGAGGCCGAAAAGTACTGTCAGGAAAAAGGAGGAACATTGCTCCGAATAAACTGCGCGAATAAAGAAGTTTTCGAAATCAAGGAAGAAAAAATCGACACTTTTTGGATCTCAAACATGGATACTTCCGGACTCAACGATCTCCAGTGCTCGAAGATGTCTGAAGAAATCATCAGGAAGGCAGAGGTAAGAGACAAAAAAAACCAAAAAGCCCTCCCGAACCGGGAATCGAACCCGGGCCGCCGGAGTGAGAATCCGGAATCCTAACCCCTAGACCATTCGGGACCGGATGCGGAGGGAAATCTTCGATTCTACAAATGATTGAATATTCCTTTCTAGAGTACGATTCCAGAGCCAGAAGAGCCGACAGCGAGTGGGATGCAGATGGATGTCTTTGTGAACAAACCCGTCTTTACATTTGGAAAAACCGGTGCCAACGCATTTGCTCGATCAGAAGTTGTTGAGGATGAAGAGGGAGCATCAACAACTACCACTTCAGCAACAACAACAAGCACGACGATTACAACTTCGACAACATCAACAGAAATGCCATCTTCGACTACGACCTCCGACCCGTTGGATTCTGAAGAGAACGATCCAGCGGAGGGAGAAGAAATCGACGATGGAGTTTACGATGACGATGACGATAACGAAGAGGACGATGATGATGATGTTGAGGAAGATGAGTACAATTCAAACGACGTGTACGAAGAAATGATCAATCAAAACCCCACCGAAGTCCCCATCGTCGATGTCGAAGGTGAAACGTACTGTATGTGGTTCGATGGCCAGCTGCGCGAAGTCACCAACGATTTTCTCTGCAAGAACTTGAAGAAAAACTACATCTGCCAAAAACCAAAGAACGATCTTCTCGCTCCAGCGAGGATTAAAGACCTCGATGTTCAACACTTTACTTCTGGTTCCGAAAAAGACCCCTTGGGCTCCTTCCACATCGGCTTCACCGCAACTGGAAATGACGATTCCCAAGGAAGAGCTGATCGTTATGAAGTCCGAATGGTCGCGACAGAAAAAGGCAAAGAAGCGCTCCGAGATGATTTTGACAAAGGATACCACTTGCAATACAGCGATTTTAGCAATGAAATCACTAGTCGGCCAGATAGTCCGCAAAAGGTCGGGTATTATGAGCGGTTGACCATTCGTTTTGAACATCTTGCTGGCTGCCCGAGAAATCAGCTGATGGATTTGTTGGTCTTGGTCGATACGACTCAGGAATCAGATTTGAAAAATCCGCCCGCACGGTGGCGCCTTTTCCCTAAACGGCGAAAAATCGACCTCCTCGGTAGAAAATCGCTCATAAAGGCAATTTTCTTCCTAGAAAAAAATGTGGAGATGCGGGGGATTGAACCCCGGGCCTTTCACATGCAAAGCGAACGCTCTACCACTGAGCTACATCCCCGTGATCATCGGTCCGAGATCAGTAAGAGTGTATTCAAATCTAAAAATCAGGGAAATCAAACTGCTGGAATCGAGCTCTATCTACCAGCCCATACGCTCAAGATTTTGACCTATATTGGCAATGTTTATAATATAGGACCGGCTCCTTTCATATTGTGATTAAGGGTGTCCCCTAGCCTAAATCCTTCCTCGTAAAAAGCCGCGAAAAAGGCCCTTGGGCGGCTCGTATCGGCTTCGGAACATGGGATGGTCGAGAAATCAGGACGGAAATTTATCCCGATGAAGTTGGAACAAAACACAAACAAAGCTACGAAGAAACAAAGCAAGAAATGAACGAGACGATTTCCAAATTTTACCCAAAAAGCGACAATAAGTTTGATCAAAATTTGAAGAGTTTTGCTCCGTCGAATATTCCTGTAAGTTTTATTAATATTTTCGGACAAAATGGTGGCTAAGCCAGTTGATTGGATGAAAACCCTTGTTTTGCGGCGCGATTCCGGCAACTTCCAAATTTCGCTCTAGAATTATTTTTTCTGCCAATCAAAGCCCGTTATTTCGTACCTTTTAGAATCTTAGCTTGATCTTCTTCAAGCTTTTTTCGCTCTTTTTCTTCGTGCTCTTTTTCCTTCGTTTCGCGCAATTTCTCGCGGTGCATTCGTTTGAAATACTCTTTTCGTTCCTCGAACATTTTTTGCGTCACGATTCCAGTCGGCATTTCCGGGTAGAATCGATCGTTGATGAGATGGGCTTTCGGAGTCATAATCATTTCCTTTGAGTAGTGCATGCAAGTTTTTGTTTTTACGCTGAAAAGGAGAGGATAAAAGGATTGATTGTCACGACTGTCACGAATCTCACAAAGATCACGACTCATTTATCCCGAACAAAGTCAATATCGATTTTATTTGAACAAAAAATAGATAATGCTAGAATGGCTGTTTTGAAAATCGTGACATTCGTGACATTTTTATCTGTCACGATTCGTGACTCACGAAATGCCAGATGACAATCAGAAAAGAGGAAAAAATACTTAATAAAAGGCAATTTTCGTTGTTTTTTATTATTTTTTCCGTGAATCGTGACATTTTTTGCAATTCGTGACGCTCGTGACATTTCTAAGTGGTCATTTTTTATTTAAAAAAGCGCAAAAATCGTCACGAAACGAGAAGAATTCTGAGATGAAAGGCGAATTTCGATTTTTTGAGTGAGTCGTGATATTTTTGCAATTCGTGACAATCGTGACAAAAATCCCAATTTCATCTCACCTTTTTTGATAACCAGAAGTGGAGGTAAACTCAGAAATCGTTCTTGTAAAATCTTGAAGATTGTTCACCCCGGCTTTTTCTCTCAAAATTCCTAAACTATTCTTGAAATCAAGGAAGAAAGAACTAATCGACCTGTAAAGTAAATGTCCTCAATTCTAAAATCTCCTAGGTACGTTTTTCCGACTTGCTCTCCAATCGCTTCCAAAGACTTTCGATTCATGACCGCGCATTGCCCATTGCAGTAGTCGGGGTATTTGTATTTTGGCGGGAACATTTCATACGTGACATTGTATTTGCCCCAGTAGATGGCGCCGTGGTTCCGGCCAGTGTGCCTGAGACACATGATCATTGGTTCCTCTTCCGTCATTGGTCGATGGTAGCAGCTTTCTTTGGGCTCGGCAACCTGTGTCAGAACCTGAGTCAGGGTTCGAAAAGTCTTTTCAGGGTCTTTTCAGGACCCTGACTCAGGTTTTTACTCAGGTTGCCGAGCCCAAATCGTTGATCATCGTCTTCCAGGTCGTTGCAAGCTCTATTGTAGTTCTCGTCCATTTCTTCTTCCCTCATCGAGTTCCGGACGAGTTTTTCGATGTCGCCATGAATCAAAGTATCGGAATCGTGAAAGTAATACTGCGAAATCTTTTCCGAGCAAAATCGAAGAGCGAATTCGTACAAGCTCTTTGTTTTCAGCGGCAAGTTATTGTATGTATCCGGAAAATCCGCGATCACGATGTCGTTGAATTTGTTGAACTCGTCTTCCAGGAAATCTCCTTCTTCCCAAGGTTGGCCGGAAGGAGAAGTTCCGAGGAAGAAGATGTAGTTTTTGATTGCAAGGCCGTTTTGGCGGAAATATCGGCGGATTCGGAAACGTTCTTCTACTGCGTTTCGGGCTGTCTGAAATTTTAGTCAAAAAATAGAAAATTTTAGGCGCCATAAAAAAAAATCGATATTATTACCTTAGTTTTCAGAAATCTAATAAAATTATGAAAATAAAATTTTTATTGAAATAATAAAAAAAATCATTAATAAAAATAATTTTTTTGAAATTTCTGGCAATTTTTTTGGATGGTGTCCGGAACCGACAAAAAATTTCGACAAATTCTGCGTGGAAATTTTCAACCAATCAGAAGCCTGGATTTGCCTTAACGGCCAATCAGCAGCCGAGTAGCCGCCCACGCAAAATTTGTCGAAAATTTTTTGTCGGTTCCAGACACCATCCCAATTTTCTCAAGCTAAAATACAAATCTTACTTTTAGCATGTAGAGAGCCTTATTCCCAATCTGATCACATTGATACTTCTCCACAAACTCGACCGGATATTTGAGAAACCCATTGAACTCCTGTTTCATATCAAATTTGTAAATTGGCGGAATATCATCGCTTTGAAAAGTGAGCGAAATATTCATAGCTTGGGTGTTTGACGGGAGTTCTCGCCCGTAAAACTTTTGGAATCGGTCTTCAGTTTGGGAAATAACAACGGGTGGTAGGATCAGTGGTCGAAGAGAAGCTTCCCATTGGTGTCTTGTAGACTGGGCTTGGCAACCTGTGTAGAAAACCTGAGTCAGGGTCCTTAAAAAGGGGAGGTGTCTGGAACCGACAAAAAAAATTTCGACAAATTTTGCGTGGGCGGCTACTCGGCTGCTGATTGGCCGGTTCGCCGAATCGAGGGTTCTGATTGGTTGAAATTTTCCACGCAGAATTTTTCGTTATTTTTTTGTCGGTTCCAGACACCTCCCCTTAAAGAGCTTTTGCGGGGGTTCGAGCTTCCTTCAGAACCCTGACTCAGGCTTTTACACAGGTCGCCAAGCCAAGCTTGTGAAGGCGAGTTTTGCCATGCGTTTCGGAAAGTCCAGAAACAGGGTCGATCGATGCACGTCCTTTTCTTCCTCGATGAGGGCTAGAACATCTTTTCCGTGGAAAACCAGACCGACTTTTGGCGACCCGAGGATTCCGAAAATCCCCGCTTTGATATTCGCCCTGATTTTCTTTAGCATTTCTTCGTCCAATTGAATCACCGGATTAGCAAGGCTGATGTAGATGTTTTTCTTGGCTCCTTTGTCCTTTTCCACGGCGATGAGGTTGTCAAGAACTGGGTTGTCGAAAGTCCGGAGGCCGTTTTGGACAAGCACGTGATCCATCGAGTGCATCCCCATTTCGACGTAGAGCAGCTTGGTTTCTTTGGACAATTTGTGGGAGATTGTTATTTCTTGATCGATGATGAAGGTCGGTGAAATCGGAAAACCGAGATTCGTCTCGAGCCGTTTGAACTCGTATCTCATCACGCTCATGTACGGCTCGCCAAGCATATTCAACGCGTCCAAATTTCGGTGAAAAGGGACCAAAACCTTCACTTCCCCAATTTCCATCTCGCGTTTCATCCTTTCCCGAGCATTGTCGAGCTCAATTTTACTCTGTAACCAGCCGTAGAAGACGATCAAAAAGCAAATGATATTATTCATTCTTGAAAAAACATATCTTCGCAGCTCGAACATCGCAAAAATGAGCTGTTTTTGACGCAAAAAAGTTTGGAGCGCCGGTGATTTTTATCGCGATTTTTGGCAAAAAAAAGGGTGGAAATTTGAAATTTGTTGATTATTTTTTTCTTTTCAGGGGCAACAGAGAAAAGCGCTGAAATTTGATGATGTTCTTGGATGGAAAGACGATTTGGCGGAAAAAGGTCATTTGAGAGATGAAGGAAAGGATTCGATTGCTGATTTTGAAGACCAAAAAATCAGGCTTTGATTCCTAAAAAAGTCAAAACCGTTGTCCTCTTCATCACTACCCGTGGCGAACAGTGCTGCTCGCCTCTTTCTCTCGCCGAAAAAGCTAGAATTCCTGAGCTTGAATTCGTCTCCCTCGCCATCGGAAACCAACCACCAAAGAATTGGCAAGAAGCGTTCAAATTCGTCCCCGAAACAGACGAAGAACGACTTGATCGACTTCTTGGAACGAAAAGTGAGTCTTCCTTGATTTCAACCATCAATTCTCTCTTTTTCTAGCGTCTTCGACAACAGAAACAGTCGTCGAAACAGCAGAAACAGAATCAGAAAGCCCCGAAATCGCAGCTCGAAAAAGGAGGCGCCGAAGTTCCGAAATCGTCGAACAAGAAAATGAACGGACCAAACGAGCTGGGCAGATTTATGCCAGGAGAAATGCGCTTGATTACAAAGAGGATGAAAAGGTCGACTTTTTCTATCAAATGGAAGATTTGAACACGACTTATCACCATCGAATGTCCAAAGTTACCCAGCTTATTTGCCATGCGAAAGAAACTGAGGTTTGCAATAGAATTATAATTGACACCCTAATAGGGTGACACTATTGTTACTTATGATTGGTTAATTTTCACTGAAATCCAAAAATAAAAACAAAAATCAGAAAATAGAATTTAAAACAGAAATCTGCTAAAAATCGAGAAGCCGCTTGCGGCTTCGAGTATTTAAAATAATTAAGCCGCGCGAAGCGCGGCTTTTTTGCTTTTTCTACTCGAAACTGCAAGCGACTTCTCGATTTTTAGCAGATTTCTGTTTTAAATTCTGTTTTCTGATTTTTGTTTTCATTTTTTTGGAATTTCAGTGAAAATTATCCAATCAGATTTCGAAATTTATTATACTATTCTTTTTCTTTTAGAGAATGAAATATCGAATCTATCTTTTATTCCCTTTTCAGACTCGTTATTTCTCAATCCGTGCCTGCGACAAAGCCGGCAACTGTGGCATCCCCTCTCCGCTCGCCCCAGTTCGAGTCACCCTCTACTACGATTCCAGTCTGAGAAACATGGTAGGCTTGATAAACAGTCTCCCAAGGACATGTTCAACGAACTAATCAAACTTGCCAATATTACCAGATCTGTAATAGACTTTGCTCGATCCGGATCCATTCGGGCTAATAACAGTAGTATTAAATATGAGAGTTAATACCGACAGAAACTGGGTATCAACGCGAAAAACTGAAAATTACCGAATAAATGCCGGCTTTTTCAGTCAAAAATAAAAACGCGAAAGCACGCCTTTTTTGATCGCTGATAATTTTTGAATTCACAAATTATCGGATTCTGGTTGAACCAAATTCAAGCTCCTTCAAAGCTATTCAAAAACTTCAAGGCGAGTTTCAAGCTCAAAAATGAAAATAAAATATTTGTCTGTTGTCCGCTTCCGCTTTCTCTCCCATTTTTGCTATGCGTTTTTTAATAATCACTAACAACCAAATTAACAATCTGAAAAAAAAAACAGTGAGAAACTCGAAAAAAGACGATTTCAATACGCTGATAAGGTCTTGGAGATCAATTTTTCTTCCTTGATTTCGATTGAAAATTCTAGAGAAAAAGACATTTCTTTAAAAATCTACAGAGAGCTTGCTTGATAACGAAATTTTCATCGAGCTTTCTCATTGGTCGATTTTTTAAAGAAAAATCCCTTGAACAGATTTCGACCAATAGGAAGGCTTGATGAAATATTTCGTTATCGTGGTAGCAAGCTGTAGACATTTGAATTAAGAGTTTTAATTCGATATTTTTTGATGAGTCATCGAATATATTTTTCTTTTGAAATTTACAGAGTTGATAACGAAATTTTCATCGAGCCTTCTCATTGGTCGACTTTTTAAAAAAAATCCCCTCTTCAATTTTCGACCAATAGGAAGGCCCGATGAAATATTTCGTTATCAATGCAGCAAGCTGTAGATATTTGATGACTGAGTTTTTGAAACACAATTTATGATGAGTCATCGAAAATTTGTTTCTTTCATGATTTTCGATCTCCAAAAAAGACCCACTCAAAAAGAAATCGAGCAATTTATTTACCAAGCAAAATTTCTTCTGAAAAAGGAAAAAGAAGAGCACCCAATCAAAGACTTAATTTTGAACCCTGGCGTTGTCGAAAACCAGCGTCAAAAAGCGCTAGAACAGATGGAACAGCTTTGGTCTCTCTTTTTAAACAAGAATATTTTGCGAAAATAAGGGTGATCGGAAAAAAGCGCATAGCACGAGAAGCAGCGGCACAGGCGGAGAGGATTTTTGATGCTCATTTCAGCGTTTATGGCATAATTGTGAGTTTTGGAATTCCAACTCACCAAATCTTAATTTGGCCTGATTAAACAAATCATTTTTCTAGCCCGAACTTCCGCAGAAGAACGAACTCACTGGTGGAGACAAGGATAAACAACAACAAACTGGTGGTGGTGCAGTTATTGGTGCTTCCCTTGGTGCTATTGGCATCATTTTGTGACGGGTTAAAAATTGTTCAAAACGGGCCAAAAATGGTCGATGCTGTTTTAACCCGGAAAAGGTGGCCTTAGTTGTAGTGGCCTTCCTCTTCGGTTCGAGGAAAAAGAAAAATCAGGGCAAATCAAAAGGTGCCTCCAAAGCTGGTTCTCGCCATGGATCTGCTGGGAGGTAAGCAAAAAGAATTTGGCTATTTTAAAATTTTAGAAAAAAACTTGCATCTGCGAGAAAATCTATCTCGGCCGCGCCCAAGAGGTTAAAACGCGCCAAAATTTTGGTCACGCGACTGTTTTTATATTCGTTTTACTGGGGTTAAAGACTGTTACCCCCTTATTTGGAGCCTAAGGGCTTCCCTTTTTCTTACAGTGTGAATCATACGGTATTTGAGGCAGTTGAATCAATTGCTAAACAAATTAGATTTTTTGATACTAAAAAGTTTTTAGGAAAGCGTCGACTGGGAAGGACAATTCTGACAGAAGATCGATCCGCTCTGGAAAATCAACTGGAAACTCAGTCTCTGCTGTCAAGGCAAAACAACGGCTGGCAAGTAGAAGTGGCGGAGCCGGTGCTCAAGTCAAAGTAAGAAAAAAGAGTTGAGACAATTCTTTTTTCGCTAGAAGATCACTTTTAATCGATATTATTCTTTTTAGGGTCGAAAACAGTCGATAGCTTCAAACACTTCAAGCAACAAAAGTGGCGTAAGAAGAGGGCCAAAAGCAAGTACAGTCAAGCTCAAGGCGAAGAAGCGAAACCAATCGACGCTAAACAAGTAGTTCAAAACTCATTTCAAAAGTTCAGTCCAATAAATGTAAAGAAAAAAGAAATGGATTTTATTTCACAAATTGATGAGCGCGTAAGTGATGGAGAATAATTGATTTGAGAAGGAATTTTGCAGGCTTATAATTTTCTGAAAAGACAAATAAATGAGTTATTTTTTTAAAATGCCTTACCGTCAGTTGTTTTTTCATTTTTACTCTTCTTTTGGGGTCAATGTGATGGAGTAAGCTTCAAGACAGAGATACCACGTTCCTTTCTTCATGTGAATTGTTTCGTGAATTAACTTGCTTGTGTTATTGCCATCACTGTAAACATAATCTCCGAATTCTTTCAAGCAATGAGAAATCTTTTTCTCAACGACATAGTATCGTTGGTTGATGGGAATTCTGATTTCAGCGCCGAAATGTTCGATTAATGTGTTCTGGATAACGTATTCGGATTTAATTTGGTCGATTCGGTCAACGACCATTTGGTGAAAAAAAACTTTATATATTTTGTCTGTCGGACAAAAATCATAAATAGCGCCGGTAACTGTCAGTGGACGATCAATTTTATCCATTTGATGGTGAAGAAACACTTAAGAATATATCAAAAATAAAGATCATACTTATACTGTTAAAATTTTACCAGTTTCAAAATTGAAATCAGCTTTCACATAACTTTTTTTTGTTAGAATCTCCCATCCACTGTCATTCAAATATGTTTTGAATTTGAGTCTCTTGAGAAGCGTTTCGACTGGAGTGTATTGAAATTTTTGTTCTCCTTCTTTCGGATTTAGATTCAATCCAGTCATGCTTCGTGGATAAATGACCATCGTTATTGTAGTGAAAATTCTTTCCATCGAAAAACGGTCTTTCATAATTGCTTCAGAAACACTTTTCAAGTCATGTTTGAGTGCCCATCTCAGAAGAGTAGTGACCGAGATCGGCACACACAGATTTGTGTCTTTTTGGTTAACGACATTTTTCGTCAGATTTTCGAAGTTGAGGTTCATTTGTTTTGTGAGATTTTCTTTCATATTTGACATTGCAGAAGATTTCCCAAGATATGGATCGTTTTGAACGTCATATGATGATGCATGCTTTAAAGAAATAACCTTTGAAACACCTTCGATTCCCCCAGCTGGAATCTGACCCCAAGACTTGTGGAACCATCCAGCACGAAATTCCTTAATTATTAACAAGTGTTCTTTCTTATGCTTGAATACCGTTAATTCTTTTTTAATCTGATCTCTATCAGCGTCTGTCTCTATTGGTTTGAACAAAAGATACCAGGCGGTATTCCAATCGCATAAAGTCCACACGTGCACTGGGAATTCGACGTCCATTATAAAATTGTTTGCACCGGTATCCACCAACTGAACAATAGTCGAAAATGCAGGTGTGCCCGCATCTAAAAGAAAAGTTTGTCTTACGAGTATTTATGGCTGACACTGACTATGTCGCCGAATGTCGCCGAATGTCGCCAAAAAAAAACAAAAACACCATGTTCTAGAAAACTTCGATTCCTGGTCATAAAATCGTTTTCTTATAGAAAATACTATTATGATCGTTAAAAATGTAATTTTAACAGAAATTAGCATAAAATTAGCCATATGAAACCTAAACTAAACATCCCGTCAAGAAATCTTTGTGCGCTTCGCGCCTGGATAGAAGGAAACTCAAAGAGTGAGTCTGTCAATTTTTGCGCCTCCGTCATTTTCTAGAACGATTTTATTTTGATACCGAGACGTTTTTTTTTTATTTTGAGGCTATTTTCAACAAAATGGCGACATTCAGCGACATTCGGCGACATAGTCAGTGCGTCCCGTATTTATCGTTCTTACGTATATATCTGAGTTGTTCATATCTACTCCCTCTCGGTGAATAACCCATTTCTTCATAGCTCTTTTTTCGTCTAATTCTTTGAATGACTCCGAAATCGCTCCACTTTGGAACGTCGCCAACAAGAAGAACGTTCGCCGGTTTGGCGTCTAATTGTTTGATCCCAACGCGATCTAAATATTTGAATCCTGCTTCGATTTCAGGGAGCATATTTTTCCTCTTTTCTATGCTCAAAGGTTTAGCATCAGTCAGTCGGTCTTTCAAGTTGCCATCGCATTTCTCCATGATCGTTATGCATCCCAAACAGTCAACTTTCATTTTATCATTTTGTAGGAAAATTTCAATATTGGAGTAGTGTTTCACTACATTTCTGTGAAATGGGATCGCATTTTTGCTTTTATAGGATTCAGCGATTTCGTAATCTGAATGTCAATTTGATACCAATTTGAGCTTCTTAATTTGATTGACAAAATTACCTTTAGAAAGATTGATTTTAAAATGCAGCTCCTCATCCTTCAGGGCCTTCGTAAACAGCGCTGGATCAAAACATTGAACTCTAACGGCAACTTTAAGGTCTCCAAAACTTTCATCGAAAACTATTGCTTCTCCTCCCGCTGAAATGATTTCTTCTTTACGCAAATCAAGGTTCCAGTTTCCATTTTCAGCTTTTAAATTTGATCGTTGAATTTTGATTTTTGCCTTGGAAAATCCCCACATATTCTTTTTTGTATATTCTGCATTTTCCGAAAGAATTTTTTTTTGCAGCTCCGTAGCCGGCCAACTTCTGTAACCGGTTGTAATTTTGGTGGGAAAACCTCTGATTTTATCATAGTGATAGATTTTAAATTCTATTTTGCCTTTTCCATTCTCAAAAATCACCTCTGACCATCCAGGTATTTTTCTTAATTCATCATTTTCACCTTCGAGCTCCATTCTCTCGACGGACAAGATCAGTCTATCCAAATCATTCCTTGTCGTTTCTCTCTTCAAATTCTTTTTAAAACCCTCAAGCCATTCCTCAATCGCTTCTTTTGTCAATTCTTTTGGATGCGTCGATACAAGTAAATTGTTTTCATCGGTTTCTTGACATTCCTCGTCCTTCCACCAATAAGACCATATCGAGTACCAATAAGAGTATATATAGCTACTTTTTCCACGCCTCGAAATTAAAAATGTGAGTTTTTAAAATTGCTCTTCTCAAAAACGGGAGATCATAAAAACTCAAAAATTTTTCAAAAAATTGACTACTTTCAACTAACTTTTTTTTGATAAAAGCGTCGCTGAATTCCTACCCGTTTTGCGAGGTCAAGTCATTGCGCCACCGTGTCGTTAAAAAATCAGAAACCTATTCATCGGCTCAACATCTTCAGAGAAATTCGGTCATAAATATGAATCGCAAAGCTTCATTCGTAACAGCTTCATGAGTCGACTCAAATTGAGCTCTTATGAATTTCGCTGATTATCAACCACCATGACTTAACGACTCTAGATTCTCGCCTTTAGATGCGATTTTATGATTTCAAAGACTCATTCTTTGACAATTGTAAGCAGCAGACCGAGAGCGCCAGTCGACCATCCGATTAAAATGGTTAATTTAAAGTCGAAAAAAGATACAGCCAAGATTTATTCACAATGATACTAGTCAGATCGATAAGCAGAAATAGACACGGTCAAAAATTTTTTGAAGACACAAAAATACGCAAAACTATCGGTAATATGAATCAACACGAATTCTCCAACGCTAGGCGGCTCTAGAAAGCCTCCGTCCAACATTCGAAACTTGATGGAGCGCTGCTAGTGACGCCCTGCGCGCAGCGGACCAGAGTGACGCGATGCGGCCAACTCCAACGTGAGCGGAAACGTCGACTTCCGGACGCTTTAAAACAAGCTCGTATAAGAGAGGGTCGACAATGAGTAACACTCTGTCCTTCACTAACCTTGTAATCTCCTCCAACTTTCTTTTCGTCAAGTTCTTCTTGGACCTTTCTGTTGGCTTCTGCGATCGCTGCTAGTCGTAGCTTGTAAGCTCCTGTTCCGTATAGATTGTAGTGGAAGAGGTCCTTACTCATCCAGACTTTTTCGTTGTCCCTGAATATCAAACTGTGGAGAAAACCTGAGTCAGGATCAGAATAAAACCATTCTAATCTATTCTCATATCCTGGCGAAGCCGCTTTGCGGCTTCGTTTTTAAAAAAGCCGCTACGCGGCTTTTCATTTATGACATTTCAGACCCTGACTCAGGTTTTCTACACAGATTACTGCGGTCAGAAGTTTTGTAAGAAAAGCCCTTTCTCAGAAAATTAATTGTTTGCAACTTTACCTTTTTCTGTCCATAGCATGTTTCGCAACAGAAAAAAACGAATTGAGCTTCTGATGAAGTTGACCTTCGTGAACATCAATAAACGGAATTCGCTCGCCAGTCTTCATTCTGCTCATTCCCATATGATGAAAAAACGATCGATCAGTCTGATAGCAAAATTGAAATCAACAACGATTTTTCTTTCGAAAGAACTCACCTCGGTTCTTGAGCAAAGCCCGAATTTGTCCTGATCGCATTCCATTTTGAGGAACTCTTCCAGCGACTTGAAAAAGTACCTTCCATATCCATGCCCGCGATGGGATTTCTGAAAGAGGAAAGATCATTTTCTTTCTTTTCTCGAAAAAGACCTTGATGACAAATTCGTCGATGTAGGCCATGTTTGTGGATCCAGCAACTCGGAGCATTTTGCAGTGCGCGATTGGGTCCATATCGCATTTGTGAATTTTCGAAATGTAGTCGGAGCGAATCTTTCAAAGAGTCAAAGGAGTTGAAATTGAAAGGATTTAGACTGTGTTTATTTTAAAGCGATAAAACTTAACTGCAGACCTGTGTCTTACTGTAACGGCTTGCAGATAAGAGGTGGCAAAAGTGACCCACACGGGTAGAATTTATTGCCGTCAGGGTCTTTTGTTTCTGTAAGTTCTCAGCGCTAAGTCGTTCTAGAACGAAATTTACTGTACCAACTACCAAGTAATGACTCTTTCCAAAATAACATGCATTGGTAACTCATCTGTACTCTCATGGAGCGAGGCGAGTCTTTGCTTATACAAGCATTTTTACTCAAACTCTATTTTGATTCGAGGCTCAGGAATCAAGGATGGGTGGAAAATGCTTTCCTGATACTTTTTGGCCGTCGTTTTCAAAGGAAATTCGTCTTGTAGGAGCCGAAGAGTTTCATTTATTGGAGATTTTTCTTCTTCAAAGTCGTAAATTAGCTAAAATAATCAAAAAAACATGCCGAAAAGCGGCACGAATCAAGAAAAAAAATGAATTTTCGAAAGACCAATAAGATTGCTGAATTTGACCTACCGGCCAATCAAAACTCAGATCCATAAAATCACTTTATTTTCTTGGTTTTGACCCAAAAAAATGCTAAAATTTTGGATTCTATTGGTAAAAAATATGAATTTTGGCCTAAAAATGTCTCATTTTGGTGATTTTGGGCTCTAGAAAATGGTCAAAACCGGCCATTTACCTGGAGTTTTTTGAAGTTATCTTGGCATTCGTGAAGTTTCATGATGATGAAGTCCTCATGTTTGTGAATTTTGTTGGTGCTAGAAATTCTCGATAGAGGCATTGTTGAATTTCAAAAAACCGAAAAATAAAGGAACTCGAGGAGAAAATAAGATCGGCTTCTGACTGTGTCTAAAATCAGACAGCAGCGAGATTTGCATAAAATGAACGTATTTTTATTGAGTGCAAGGGGCGAAAAAACGGTGCAAGGTGGTTATTGAAGATTTTTCGCTGTCATCAGCATTGTCCCTTCTGAGTCGAAACTGAAGCTAGTACCGCGTATGTTCTGACCTCAAACTTACCCGCAAAAAAAGCGATAAACGGCTCTTACCATTTTCCACATCATTTGAGTAACCCCGGGTCAAAGACGTTTATCCCGTAAATTACCGCGATTTTCATGTTTAAAAACACTTTTTTGCTAGAATTCCGGTTCAAAATCGCAGATATTATTCGGCAATCTGTGTAAAAACCCTGAGTTAGGGTCTGAAAGTTCTTTAAGGGTGTCAACATCGATTTCGGGCTTACTTTTTCCCCGGTTTAAAACTAATCGACTAATGAAACAAACCTTAAGTCAATCGATGTTAATAAAAAGCCGCGTAGCGGCTTTTTCAAAATCGAAGCCGCGAAGCGGCTTCGCAAAACTTTTCTTATTTCTTATTCTTCTTATTTATATTGGAGTTCTGGATTTTGCAGAACCTGACTCAGGTTCTCTACACAGATTTTTTTTCCGTAAAACTATCTCGATATTTAAAATCATACCCATTTTTGTTGAGCAAAACCATCTTTTTTCTGACTTTTTTTTCAAAAATAAATGATCGAACTTTTCTGACTTCTGACTCTCGAACAACTGAAACCTCCTTGTCTACGTATTTCTGACCAATATGCTGACCCGAGCCGGAAAGGTAATTTCTTCACTTTCACTCTTTTTTTCCAGCGGGTGATGAAACGACCAAATGCGGCGAAATCCTTCAACACGTCAAAAATTGCACGTTATCAAAACACGACGTAAGCGTTTTCTACTTCCGTTTTTATTCGAAGACAAAAGAGGCTTTGGAGATCTTGCCGGAGGAGAGCTTCTCGAAGCAGTCTTTGTACTCGCCGAGGCTGAATTTTCCGATTCCGAGTTTGCCAAAGTCCAAGTATCGCGCCTAAAAAAATAGCCTGTCAAAAAACCTGTGTGGAAAACCTGAGTCAGGGCCCTGAAGGAGCTTGACATTCTTTCCGTGCCCTGACTCAGGTTTTCTTTATGAAATTGTTTTGAAAAAACCTGTGTAAAAACCTGAGTCAGTGCCCTGATAGAGCAACCAATTCTTTCGGGACCCTGACTCAGGTTTTCACACAGGTTTTTTCAAAAAACTTCATCAAGAAAACCTGAGTCAGGGCCCCAAAAGCATGGAAAGCTCTGTCAGGGCCCTGACACAGGATTTTAAATCCTTTTTTTAATAAAAATCAAAACTTCATACCCTGAGCTGGTTGGTCAACTCGATCGCTTCAGGAAAGGCCCAAGGATTGACCATCACACCCTGAATCGTAATTTCCCTTTCGTAAATATGAAACGGTCGGATTTCGCAAGTAGCCGTAGAAGGAGCAACACCGAATTGGAGAAAGATTCCGCCATGTGCCACTCGATTGATTCCGTCCTAAAAATAGCTCAAATCTCCGGCTGGAAGGGTTTCCACCTGAATGGCTCGAGGAGCGCCGCTGCAATCAATGACGACATCGTACTCGGACTCCACTCCTTTCGGCTCAGTGGTTTTGAACCCGAGTTGGAGGCCGTCGATGAACCCTCTTCGCTCGGCTGAGGGCTCGCTTACTGTCACGTGACGGTAGCCCTAATAAAGAGGTATTTACGGTAGAACATAGTTTACAGTTCTTTTGTTGAGTTACTGGTGAAAATCGAGAAGCCGCTTGCGGCTTCGAGCTAAATATGACGAAAAGCCGCGCTTCGCGCGGCTTAAACTCATTTTAACTCGAAGCCGCAAGCGGCTTCTCGATTTTCACCAGTAACTCAACAATAGAAGTGAGTTTTTCAGTCATTTATTCACCTTGAAATGCATCAAGCAAGTCCAAAGCGAGCCAATTATTCCCGCTCCTTGGACCAAAATCCTCGCTCCCGTCTGAAGATGTCTTCCAGCAGTCAGCTTCCTCCACCCATGAACGACGCAAGAAAGCGGCTCGATCAAACTCATGTGGCTCATGTCGAAATCATCCGGGACGAGATACAAGCTTTCTTCAGGCGCAACAGCGAAATCAGCAAAGCCGCCGTTTCGGAAGATTCCGAAGGCGTCGTTGAAGCTGCCTTTTTTGCAGAAATGCGGGTTTGCGTTGCGGCAGTGGTTGCAACCGTGGCAGCCCTTGTTCGGGTCGATGGCGACCTTGTCTCCAACTTTGACCGCAGTGACGCCGCTGCCGACCTCGGTGACGATTCCGCCAGCTTCGTGGCCGGGGACGAAGACGTCGCCAACGTTGGAGATGTCACCGTGGAAGATGTGGCAATCCGTGCCGCAAACGCCGCAGTTCGAGATTTTCACAATTACATCTGAACAAAAATTAATTTTAAGCAATTCTGTATACTTAATAAAAAGTTATTCATCAAATAATACTGTAATATCCATGTATAATTGCTAGCTCTTTATTTTGATGGCACGGCTAGAATATGTTTTTAAAGATCATCACAAACTCGACTCGAAAAAAAAATCAAACGGATTTTCTAGTGAAACTCTTTACAGTATTCATATTTCCTCGAAGAAGAGTTCTAGAATTTTTTCCATTACTTATCCAACAAATCAATATATAATACCAGCATCTAACCAGTTGGTTTGGAAATCACCGGTTTGGGCACCTCCTTGAGTTCTAGCGATTTCTCTGCTTTGGTAAAAACTAGCGCTTGCATGACGCTTTTTCGACTCGAAATGCCAGAACAGTCCGTACTGACAGTACACAGTGACTACTTTGTTCCAGCCACGCCCGGCGCCGGGACCTTAGCTGAGCATACAAAAATGTCCATTTCATTTCGCTTTTTTGTTAATCAAACAAGACCGGGGTTCTGGAACTATTTGTGTCATATGATTGTGTATCAATTTGGTAAGAAACAGATGGAAATCAAAAAAGAACAATGAAAACAAAATTCAAAAATAGAACTTTTTTAAAAATAGAAAACAATAAAAGCGCCCTTTCAATGCTTTATTCTTCCAAAAGAAAACATGGCTAGTTGTAAAGTCAGGATTATTGTCGGTTTTTGCATTTTGGCTTCTTTGGTTTTGCTTGGCTTTGGACTGATAAAGAAAATCTCTCCTGGAATTGAACTGAACAGAGATTTACAGCTTAATTTCAATGGTTTTACGAAGCATTTTGCGGTCACCATAAATAACAAAGGTATTCCCTTAACCCTTAGTAAGTCTTATGTTCAACAATTTGAAGAATACAACGCTGAGCTACTGGCAGAGCAAACGCTCGAAAGTGCCATCACAAACTGCAAGAAAAAGGCGGACTTCTTCCATGGAATCGGGTGTACTTCAAACCATCAAATGAATTCATTGATGCCTACTGGGTTCATCCCATTCGACCGAAAACTTCGATTGGTTTTCGTTCTTCAAATTCAAACTCAAACAGGAGTACAATTGAAACGAATTGGGAAGAGTTCAACTTGTACGAAACGGATAAAATGTATCGACGATTGCAGAACGGTCACTATGCCTACTTATCACTCAGGCCTGGGCTCAGCGACCTGTGTGGAAAACCTGAGTCAGGGTCTGAAAGTTGTCTAATAAAAAGCCGTCTCTGACCCTGTTTCAGGTTTTCTGCAGAGTATGCATACTGGGCTCGGCAACCTGAGTAAAAACCTGAGTCAGGCTCTGAAAAATCAAAATAAAAAGCCGCGGAGCGGCTTTTTAAGAACGAAATTTTATGAACAAAATTATTATTCATTCTTGTTTTTACCTCCTTGCGAAACCGCTTCGCGGCTTCGCATTTAAAAGCCGCTACGCGGCTTTTCATTTTGATCTTTCAGACCCTGGCTCAGAGTTGCCGAGCCCTGACTCAGTCTTCTATTTTACAACAAAAAGGATCAAACTTGCTTGATCGTCATTTACAATGACGATTTCGAGAACGCCCGGCATTTTCTTTGCAAAAACGATCTTCACGACAAAGAAGGGAGGGTGAAGATCTTTTACGATGAAGAAGTTGATGATCTTTGCGATCAAATGGATGTGAATGCGACTTTTCGGGAGGAGTATAAATTGTGGAATAATCTGTATCGCGGCAAAAAATGGGTCTTGGAAAATCGACTCGAAAATAACACTGAAGGCATTACTGTAACCAACAGCAGGTGCGATTCACATCTTTTCTTTTTCCAAATTTATAAAGTCTCTTAGACGCGATATTGGTTTCAGCAATCTCCCAATCGAGAAAATTGTTAACACAACTGGATTTTCTTTTTGCAGCGGATCGGACGAAGATAAATTTGGTGGAATTTCCTGGATACCAATTTACAACCGGTTTTCAGTCACATCCTCTTCTCTCGGGTAATTTTTAAAGAATGATGATTTTTGACAAAACAATGATACGCTTTTAGGCGAACTTTCTGCATCTTCGACCCCTGAAATCACATTTTTGCTGTAATAAAAATATAAATTTCATGCTTGAATAATGAATTATAATTAAAAAATACAAAAATAGAAGAAGATTGAAATCGATGTCAAAAATAGAAACCTATAAAAGCGGCGTTTAGATGGTTCTTCTCGGCACTCGAAAAGAAACATGGCTTCATTGACAGGTTGGAAAGTGAGAATTATTGTCGGTTCGTTTGTTTTTGCTTCCTTGGTTTTGCTTGGCTTTGGACCAGAGTTCTGAATCACTTCACTTTAACTTTGAAGTGAAGTAACTTTGAAAAATAACTTCATTGCAATATTGAAGTGAAGTGAAGTGATTTTGTTTTTGAGAAAAATGAAGTGAAGTGAAGTGAAGTGAAGTTATTTTTCAATCTCAAAATTTTGAAGTGAAGTGAAGTAAAAATATCACTTCATGAAAAAGTGACTTCACTTCAGTAAAAGTAAAGTTAGTTTGGAAGTGAAGTGAAGTGATATTTTTCTGAAAAATTAAAGTGAAGTGAAGTGATGTTACTTTTTTAAAGTCGATCACTTTTACTTCAAAGTTAATTTTCGTGAAGTTGAAGTGAAGTGATTCGGAACTCTGCTTTGGACTGATAAAGAAGCATTCTCCTGGAATTGAACTCGACACGGATTTGCGATTGGACTTCAACGGTTTTACGAAGCATTATCTGGTGAGCATCAATGACAAAGGTAATGACAGGTGTACAGACCTCGACTCTTGAAACTATTCGAAGACTACAAAGCTGAGCTGCTGGCAGAACAGACATTTGAAAGTTCGATTATTTCTTGCAAGAAAAAGGCGGACTTCTCCCCTGGAATCGTGCCTACTTAAAACCCCTCATGCTATAAAGGATGCCTACTGGATTCATCCGATTCGAGCAGGATCTTCAATCGGTTTTCCTTCTTCAAATTCAAACAAGAGCTCGATTGAAACGAACTGGGAAGCTGGGCTCGACAACCTGATGAGAAAACCTGAGTCAGGTTCTGAAAAAGCTAAAATGAAAAGACGCGTAGGCAAATCTTCATTCAATCTTTCATTCTTGCTGACTCAGGTTTTATACTCAGGGTGCCGAGCTCACCTGGGAAGAGTTCAACTTGTACGAGACGGATAAAATGTATCGGCAATTGCAGAACGGCCATTATGCCTACTTTTCACTCAGGCCGGGCCTCAGCAACCTTGGTGAAAAATCCTGAGTCAGGGTCTGACAGTTGTGGTATGAAAAGCAGTCTCAGACCCTGCCTCAATTTTTCTGCGTACTATGAAAAAATTTTCAAAATGAAATTCATACGCACAAGAGAAGTCCCATACAAAATTTGAAAGCCGTACGACCCCTAGATTAAAAGTTGATTTTTGTAAATTCACCCTACATACAGTTTATTATGGAATTTTTGGACATCAAATTTTTGGACATTCTTTCAATTTTAAGGGGTTTTCTTGGGACACTTTTTAAAAGTGCTTGTATCAAATTTTTGGACATTTTTGAGAAAATCATGGGACAAAAAATGTCCAAAAATTCCATAATTAACTGTATTAGGCTCAGCAACCTCAGTCGAAAACCTGAGTCAGGGTCGGAAAGATCAAAATTGAAAAGCAACGTAGCGGCTTTTTTTAAAAAGCCGCGAAGCGGTCTCGAAAAATTATTATCTACTCTTACTTTTAACTTCTTGCGAAGCCGCTTTGCGGCTTGGTTTTAAAAAGCCGCTACGCGGCTTTTCATTTTGACCTTTCAGACCCTGACTCAGGTTTTCGACTCAGGTTGCCGAGCCAAGCTGCATAGGTTGCCGCGCCCAGGGTCAGTCTTCTTTATTTTAATAGAATAGAGGAAACTTGCTTGATCGTCATTTACAACGATGAGTTCGAAAACGCCCGGCATTTTCTTTGCAAAAACGATCTCTACGACGAAGAAGGGAGGGTGAAAGTCTTTTACGACGAAGAAGTCGATGATCTTTGCAAGCAAATGGATGTCAATGCGACTTTTCGGGAAGAGCATCAGTTGTGGAATCAGGGTTCCAATTCTGGCTGAGCGCTGAGCGATATCTGAGCGTGAGCGAGCGATGAGCGAGCGAGCGATCGCTCACGCTCCGCTCACTCAACTGATTTTCATAGAGAACCGCTCAGTCGCTCGCTCGCTCAAGGTCAAAAATATGATAGCTGAGCGAGGTTCGAGCGAGGCTGGAGCGACTTTGGAGCGAGTTTTGAGCGACATTGGAGCGAGGTTTGAGCGCCGCTCGAGCGAGGTTTGAGCGACGCTTGAGCGAGGTTTATTAAAATTTCGCTCGAGCGTCGCTCAAATGTCGCTCAAATTTCGCTCAGATTTCGCTCAAATCTCGCTCAAATCTCGCTCAAACGTCGCTCGCTCAGTCGCTCCGCTCGCTCAGCCGATATTTGAAAAATCTCGCTCAGCCACTCGCTCGCTCAGCCCTCGCTCAAACGTCGCTCGCTCATCGCTCGCTCAAATTCAGAAATTTTTGGCCAAATTTGGAACCCTGTGTGGAATGATGAGTGTCTCGGGCAAAAATGGATCCTTAAAAATCGCTTGGAGAATAGAACTGAAGGCTTTTCTCAAATTAACAGCAGAAACGTTTTATTATTTTTCAGAAAAAAATTTAATTTGTAAATTTTCATAAAACCTTGTAAGACGCGACATTGGCTTCAAAAACCTTCCTGTTGACGAAATTGTCAATAAATCTGGCTTTTCTTTCTGCGGCCGATCACAAGAGAAGAGATTTAGTGGAATCTCCTGGATCCCGGTTTTCAACAAATTTTCAGTCACATCCTCTCCTCTCGGGTACTTTTATTCATGAGCTTTTATTCTTACGTTATTTTAGGCGAACATTCTGCATATTCGATCGCTGAAAAGTTTTTCTCCTTTTTACCTCATTCTTAGGAAAAATAAAATTTCCCCGCGAATTCGCGATGTTTGCCCAATAAGTCCAAAAAGCGCCTTTTGATTTGTAGATTTTTACTTGTATTTGCTCGTCAAACTTGCTTCTGCTTCGCCCCGTCTCTCGAATTTTCGAGAAAAAACGACTTTTTGATTTATAAAAACGCCCATTTTTTCTACAAACAGGAAACGAGAAAAGAAAAAATGACCGCAAAAGTGATTTTTCGGCAGCTTTTTGAAAAAGAGAGTTCGACTTTTTCCTACCTACTCGGCTGCAAACGAACGAGAAAGGCGATTTTGATCGGTACTTTTTCCTCCTTGATTTCGGCGTTTTTAAACCCGTTCAGATCCGGTGGACATAACCGCCGCCCGCGATGCGGAAATCATCAGAGATTTGAACCTGAACCTTGCCTACGCGATCAACACTCATGTGCACGCAGACCACATCACAGGCACTCACAATCTTCGAGCCCACTTTCCAGAGGTCAAGACGGGACTTGGATCCGGCGCGAAAATCGCCAAATCGGACGAGAAATTTCCGCATTTGCATATTCTCACTGTCGGAGGTACTCTCATTTTCCTTCGTTTTCTTTCTATTTTCTAGATATTTCGCTGGAAGTCAGGCACACACCTGGGCACACAAATGGTTGCGTAACTTATGTCGAGCACAAAATGGGCTTAGTTTTCACAGGCGATGCTGTACTTATTCGGGGTTGTGGAAGAACTGACTTTCAAGAAGGTAAGACTTCATTTTGAGCGGGAAAAATAAGGGTGTCACAATGCTAATAAAGAAGAAAGTCAGGAATTGCAATTCAAGGGTAAAAATACTGTTCAGGATCCGCAGCAACCCTGTACAAATCTGTAATGGAGCAAATTTGGACTCTTCCTGATCACTTTATGGTAAGAAATTAGGGGACCCCCAAAGGGGATGGTTTCTGGAACCGACAAAGAAATTTCGACAAATTTTGTGTGGAAATTTTCAACCAATCAAAAGCCTGGATTTTGCGCACTGGCCAATCAGCAGCCGAGAACCCGCCCACGCAAAATTTGTCGAAATTGTTTTGTCTGTTCCAGACACCACCCCTCCCCCCCAAGTCCCCTAACCCTAACCCTTTTGGTAGATTTATCCTGCCCACGACTACAAAGGCCGAACAGTTTCATCCGTCGACGAAGAAAAACGACTCAACCCCCGATTGACGAAGAAAAAAGACGAATTTATCCAAATCATGAACAACTTGAACCTTCCTTATCCAAAGAAAATCGACCTTGCCCTCCCCTGGAATATTAACTGTGGAGCAGAACCGCTCGAAAAATAAATGAAAAAATTAGCTTGAGAGTCTCTTTCTTGTTTTGATTTCTGAAAGCAGCTCTAGAGTCTCGCGGCTCCAATTACAGTGTAGATAATTTCAAATCAAAAAAGGGCTGAGGAAAATTTAGCGGAATGGAGCCCGTCGCGCCCAGGGGCCCGGTTGAGACAGCGGTGACACCGTCGCTCCTCCTTCTGAACTACAAAAACCAGCAGATTTTTCAAAGCTACAGAGAACATACAGGAAGAACGAAAGAACTGAAGGTTCGTACGATTGTTTTTTGGGGTTATAATGAAAATTGAGTTAGAAAATAAATTCCAACCGAAAGTTTTAATTTTCCGCGTCTTTTTTCTTCATAATTTCCTTTTTTCCATGAAAAGCCGGGTGCGGCTTTTTCTTCGTTTAAAGAATTTGGCGGCTTTTTCATCTTGTTTTTTCTGTTTTTAATTTGATTTTTTGAAAGCCGCGTTCGGCTTTTTCATCGTTCTAGTTATTTTGAGTCGAAAAATTAGAAATTTTGACTCAAAAAATTGAATTTTTGACTCAAAAATCGAAAATCTTGATTCGGAAAATCGAAAATTTCGACTTAAAAAAATCGAAAATTCTGACTCGAAAAATAGAAGATTTTGACTCGAAATTGAAAATTGAAAATTTTGACCCAAAAAACTGAAAATTCTTGAAAAATAAATTCTTGAGCGGATTATTCGTTCCTGGATTTCTCGCGTTTTCGCCTCTAGAAAAACACTTTCAGTCCCGCTGGCTTTGGATCAAACAGCCTTCGCCGCTGGTGGTTATAAAAACAGAGTTTATCCCTTTCCTCCTGATCGGTTGTCAAAATTTCACGCGCCACTTGGCGGAAATTGCCGCTTTTAGAAATCTAGCGCCGAGAATTCTGAGCCGAAAAAGGGATGGCGGACGATTTTCTAACCCAATCCGATCGCGATGTGCAGCGACTCGTGGAGGACCTCGAGGACGTCATCAGGTCGCCGCTCGATTCTGAGTCCAGTATGTCTGTAAAACAGGAAAGAGGGTTGAAATTTCAAGATGAGGCGAAGTGATAAGAAGTTGCGCTGATAAGAGAAAAGGAAGACAACGAAGATTATTAACTTTAAAGAAATCATTTACGAGCGTTTAATATTCGGCTCGAAAACCTGTGTAAAAACCTGACTCAGGTTCTGAAAAAGCTAAAATAAAAAGCCGCGTAGCGGCTTATTTGATAATGAAGCCGCTTTGCGGCTACTTCTTCGAATAAGCCGCTACGCGGCTTTAAATTTTAGCTCATTCAGAACATGACTCAGGTTTTTTACACAGGTTGCCGAGTCCAAGTATAAACCTGATTAAATCTTCTTTTTTCGCTCATTTTCAACCCTCAAAAACAGGAAAACATCTTGGATGGCTTCGGCAGCTCAGACCAGTTCATCAACCAAATGCTCAGCTCGTCCACTCCGAGCGAATTGCCGGACTTGGGCGCGGAACTGCCCGATCTGGGAATGGAGACGGATTTAAAGCCAAATATTAACCCTTTGAATTCGTCAGGTAGCAGTAACAATAATAACAATAACAGAAAAGGTGAATATTTTATTTTGAAGTCGAAAATAAAATATCAATTAGTTTCTTGAAAATAAATTATTTTGGTGCAGGTGGTAGAAGTTTTGGTGATAAACATGGGCTTTTTCGACTCGAAAAATGAGCTCTTTACTAAATTAAAAATTTTTGATTGATTTCAAGAAAAACCGGGCAAAATAAAAAAAGGAAGTGATTTTTTCAATCTGGCTTTTGATTGGTCGGCAGGCAAAATACAGGATTCTTATTGGATATCCAAAAATGCACTTCCTTTTAATTGAGTCCGAAATTGAATAAGATAGACACGCCCTTAATTTTTCGGACTAAACCAATTTTTGGAAGTGAATTTTTTGATTACCAATAAGATTGCTGTATTTGGCCTACAAGCCAATCAAAAACCTTTCCATTTTCTCAGCAAAAAACAACAAAATTCTAGATCAAAACGCCTTCTCCCCAACCTCCCACCACTCCGCCGAAACCAACCAGGGTCCAATCTACCAAGACCAAGAAGAATCCTACCCCTTCGCCGGAACCTGGAACAAAGTCCGCGACTTTCTCGAGTCCAACATTCAGCTCTTCCAAGGTCTGAAAAGCTAAAAAAACGACTTTAGGAACTCATTTGTTTAGGAATTTACGGAAGCCAGTTTCCAATTCAATTTGTCCAGATTCGATCGCATTTTGCCGATCCGCTTGAAAAGCAGCGCTGGCATTTGATTGATCCAGGTCAGAATTTTTCCTCTGAAAAATTTTCATTTTTGTTTTTAGACGATTACGGTCCGCCAGAAGAAAATATCGCGATGGAAATCGTGCACAACTTGCTCAAGGCCATGCAGCGTCGATGCGAAGAAACGATGGAGGTAAAGTCAAAGCTCTCGAAATACGATTCTAGCGCTTTTCAGGTCGATCAAAAGCTGCTTTTCTACAACTTGGGGACTTGGTTCCAGAATGTCTACGGAAATAACCCGATGGAACTCGTCAGAATGGTCAAAAAAGTCCTCTCCGTCGAACAAATGATCATCCAAAACGCCTCTCAGCAGCCAAACGGTACAGTTTCTTCCCCACTTTTCACCCTAAAACCTGCTTCAGCGAGCTCAGAAAGCAAGGTCACTCAAGAATCAGTCACCAATCGCCACGCCGAAATCACGTCTCAGTGCGAGCAATGCATGAAAATCACGCAAGAAACTGAAAACCAGCTGCAAAAAGTCTGCCGGCTTCAAGAATACATGATGATTACCAGAAGCCATTTGGAAGTCTACTGTAAGTCCAACCCAATCAACGAACAATTGATTGTCTTTTTCAGCGAAACTGGCGGAAAGCGGGCAATTGAGTCAGGAACAGAGGCAGCAGTGGCAATCAGAAGCTGCGAAGCATCAAGAATATGAAAACAACTTGGTTACGCTCAGAAAAGAAATCATCAAAAATCATGAGAAAATCATCAATATCATGCAAGAACTACACGGACAGGTAATTTTCCAATCATTTTAATGAGGAACCCGGATTATTGTTGTATCAATATGGAATTTTAAAAAGGGGAAATCAACACTCTTTTTCGAGAAAAATTTTCATACTATTTTTATACTCTCGAATTACGGTTTTCTCTTTTGATAGGTATAGCAGGTTGTCACTTCCAACCTTTCGGGCGATCCCGAATGTTTCGGGATTTCCCGAATCTTTCGGGATTACTCCCGAATCTTTCGGGATTACTCCCGAATCTTTCGGGATTACTCCCGAATCTTTCGGGATTACTCCCGAATCTTTCGGGATTACTCCCGAATCTTTCGGGAATTCCCGAACCTTTCGGGATCGCCCGAATCATTCGGGAAATTTGTTGAGGATTACGTTATAAAAGTGGTATAAATGCCGAATTCGGGCATTTTACTTATCAAAAGATATCTCTAGCTGCCTTCGTCAAATTCGATGGTCTAAGAAGGCCATACCTTGTTTCAATTGTGAATTTGCAGTCAAAGAGAATGTATGCGCTCCGCGCCTGTCTTATAGAGAACTTCATGAGTTATAAATCCAAAAATTCGTGTAAATTATTTTTTTTCGTTCGCGCCTTCATTTGCTTCAATAAAGATGTACGTAGACGTTACTATTTTGCTTTAAATATTTTCTCGGACAGAAATCATTGAAAATCATCCCCGAAAGGTTCGAAGACATAAAGGCTCATTTTCACTGCGAATGTTTCGGGAAATCCCGAAACATTCGGGATCCCGAAAGGTTGGAAGATTCAACCGGTATAGCAAACGAAATTAATTTTTTTGCATTTTTTTCATTTCAAAATTAAGGTGGTGTACACAGAAACCCGAAGTCTTGAGCGATCCCAAGCCGCTGCGTACAACGGTGCTCCTCAATATTCGACTCTAGAACAGCTCGAACAATGGTATCAGAGTCTCGCCACGATCATCTGGAAGAGTCTCCGCCAACTCGTCCATCTCGAAGGTACTCCTTCCCCTCCTTTCCTTTCCTATCCAAGTTCTAGGGCAGCCGATTCCCATCAGAGATGGTCAAAACCCCCTTCCCAACATGAAATCGTCCTACGTCTCGTTCCTCGGCTCCCTGGTCGAGCGAGGACTCGTCATCGAAAAACAACCCCCTCAAGTGTTGATGAAAGACAAACGATTCGTTGGAACGCTGAGGCATCTCGTTGGAGACAAATTGGATATTCACAAAGTCGCTTTCCAAGTTCGAGCTCATCTCGTTTCGGACGAAAATGCCAGACGAATTCTCGCTAAAGGCGAATTGTAAGCGAATTTTCAGCTTTTCGGGAAGATAATCGTCTTTTTCAGCATCGGTTCGGGCAAGATCGTCAATCATACAGTCATGACAGAGTACCACGAGCACTCTAGAATCCTCCAAGCCAACTTCCGAAACATGACTCTTCGCGATAAAGGACGAGGAGATCGTCGAGGAACAGAATCCGTCGCTGAGGAAAAATTTGCGATTGTTTTCCAAGCTGATATTGTTGTCAGGTGAGATTTCAACTAAGTGAAAGTCCAAATATACGATTTTCTAGGTCACCGGCTTGCGAATTTACAGTGACGGCGCAGACGCTTTCGCTGCCTGTTGTTGTCATTTCTCATGGAAAACAAGAAGCAAATGCTGCGGCGACGATTTTCTGGGACAATGCGTTTTCTGAAGATGTAAGTAAATCACCATTAACGGTTTCTCTATGATAGGACATTTGATTTTTTAATCAAATCAAATAACCGATATAATTTATTAAATAACTGAATACGATAGGGTATATCTGCATTCAAAGATACTTTCAAAAGCTAAATTTATCAATTCTAGCAACGAGTTCCCTACCAAGTCCCAGAACGAGTCTCCTGGGGCCGTTTTATGGAAGCCGTCGATTTCAAATGGCAATCTGAATGCCGCACAAAAGTTGGCCTCAAGCAGCGAGCTAGAGATTACCTCGCTTCGAAGATCTTTGGAAGAGCGGTGCCAGATGGTCAGGATTTTTGCTGGAGGCAGCTGAACAGGGACAATATTCCGGGGCATAACTTTACTTTCTGGCAGTGGCTCTATTCTGTTCTTGAATTGACAAAGGTAAGAAGAAAAGAATGATTCTAGGGACCGATTTTTTTCTAGTCGCGATACATTCAACCTCACTGGAATCAAACGACCATCGAAGGCTTCATCTCAAAATCAGAATGCCAGAGCCTCCTTCTTTCAAAGGGCCCTGGAACATTTATGCTTCGGTTCTCAGATTCCAAGCTCGGTGGAATTTCGACCGCGTATGTGGCGAAAAATGACGATGGAAGCATTGAAGTCAAGCATCTTGAGCCGGATTCCTTGAAAATTCTACAGGTAATAATTCGTCTTCTTCAAAATAAGGGGAGAATAAAAAAAAAATTGATTTTATGGATATGGGCTCTGATTGGCTGGTTGGCCGAATGAAGCAATCTTATTGGCTAGCCAAAATACACTTCCAATTTTCGGTTTAGTCCAAAATAAGAGCTTTCTTCGTTGATTTTAACTTTTTCTTCAGGTGCGAAGTCTAGCAGACATGGTCAAGGATTTCTCCCAACTGGTCAAGCTCTTCCCAGACCGACCGAAACACGATGCCTTTTCGAAATTCTACACTTCGAAGCCGGTCCAAGATGGCCCCTACGTCAAGAAAACGCTCGTTGCTCATATTGAAGAAAGTTAAACTTTGTCATATTATGATTTTCATAATTGGGAACCGCCAATTTATCCCAAAAAGTGTTTTCTGATAACCGTGCCTTTCATTCTTCTTCTCGAAGAGATTCAGTTTATATATTTATTTAGCCGCCGTTTTTCACCTGTTTTTCTTGACAATTATTTTTTCTTTCCGTTTCACCAAAACCTGCCAGAAATAAATGAATGCATCAATATTTGAAATTCGAAAATTTTTCCGCAATTGTTGAAATCAACGAGGAAAATGTCCATAAAAAGCAATTTTAGACAGCTAAAAAAACCTCTCATACTGATTGCCAATAAAAAATCAAAAATTCATCATCACTAAAAGCTCTTTAAATATCGCTGTAAATCATCAGAACTCAGCAAAAAAATGATTTTTTTCAAAGCAGTATTTTTCCTTAGCAGCTCGGTGTTTGGCTATCCCTATTTGTGTTTTCCGGAAAAGCTGAATGCAATCAACTCTTTGACGCGATTGTCCTCTCGGTCGAGCAAATGATCATTCAGAACGCTTCTCAGCAACCAAACGGTACAGTTTCGCCCCCACTTTTCACCCTAAATCCCGTTTCAGCGAGCTCAGAAAGTAAGGTCACTCAAGAATCAGTAACAAATCGCCACGCCGAAATCACGTCTCAGTGCGAACAATGCATGAAAATCACGCAAGAAACTGAAAACCAGCTTCAAAAAGTCTGCCGGCTTCAAGAATACATGATGATTACCAGAAGCCATTTGGAAGTCTACTGTAAGTCTGCACCAAAAAAGGCGAGGAATAAGACTTTTTCAGCAAAACTGGCGGAGAGCGGTCAATTGAGTCAGGAACAGAGGCAGCAGTGGCAATCGGAAGCTGCGAAGCATCAAGAATATGAAAACAACCTGGTTACGCTCAGAAAAGAGATCATCAAAAATCATGAGAAAATTATCAATATCATGCAAGAACTCCATGGACAGGTAATGTTTCCTTGAAGATGGCTACTTTCTCGTCAACCTTCGAAAGGCACTTTCGAAAAATCATCACTCAGGTCGACATTATGCTTCGAAAAAAAATATGAATTTTTTTTTTTGGCATTTATGGATTTACGGTCTACAATCTTATTATTGAGCATAATTCAAGAAAGAAATTTTTCTTCATCCAAAATTCAGGTCGTGTACACAGAAACCCGAAGTCTCGAGCGATCTCAAGCCGCTGCGTACAACGGAGCTCCTCAATATTCGACTCTAGAACAGCTAGAACAATGGTACCAGAGCCTCGCCACGATCATCTGGAAGAGTCTCCGCCAACTCGTCCATCTTGAAGGTACCCCTACCCCTCTCTTCCTTCCCTATCCAAGTTCTAGGGCAGCCAATTCCAATCAGAGACGGTCAGAACCCCCTTCCAAACATGAAATCGTCCTACGTCTCGTTCCTCGGCTCCCTGGTCGAGCGAGGGCTCGTCATCGAAAAACAGCCCCCTCAAGTGTTGATGAAAGACAAACGATTTGTTGGAACGCTGAGGCATCTCGTTGGCGACAAATTGGATATTCACAAAGTCGCTTTCCAAGTTCGAGCTCATCTCGTTTCGGACGAAAATGCCAGAAGAATTCTCGCCAAGGGCGAATTGTAAGCGAATTTTCAGCTTTTCGGGAAGATAATCGTCTTTTTCAGCATCGGTTCGGGCAAAATCGTCAATCATACAGTGATGACCGAGTACCACGAGCACTCTAGAATCCTCCAAGCCAACTTCCGAAACATGACTCTTCGCGATAAAGGACGAGGAGATCGTCGAGGAACAGAATCCGTCGCTGAGGAAAAATTTGCGATTGTTTTCCAAGCTGATATTGTTGTCAGGTGAGATTTCAACTAAGTGAAAGTCCAAATATACGATTTTCTAGGTCACCGGCTTGCGAATTTACAGTGACGGCGCAGACGCTTTCGCTGCCTGTTGTTGTCATTTCTCATGGAAAACAAGAAGCAAATGCTGCGGCGACGATTTTCTGGGACAATGCGTTTTCTGAAGATGTAAGTAAATCACCATTAACGGTTTCTCTATGATAGGACATTTGATTTTTAATCAAATCAAATAACCGATATAATTTATTAAATAACTGAATACGATAGGGTATATCTGCATTCAAAGATACTTTCAAAAGCTAAATTTATCAATTCTAGCAACGAGTTCCCTACCAAGTCCCAGAACGAGTCTCCTGGGGCCGTTTTATGGAAGCCGTCGATTTCAAATGGCAATCTGAATGCCGCACAAAAGTTGGCCTCAAGCAGCGAGCTAGAGATTACCTCGCTTCGAAGATCTTTGGAAGAGCGGTGCCAGATGGTCAGGATTTTTGCTGGAGGCAGCTGAACAGGGACAATATTCCGGGGCATAACTTTACTTTCTGGCAGTGGCTCTATTCTGTTCTTGAATTGACAAAGGTAAGAAGAAAAGAATGATTCTAGGGACCGATTTTTTCTAGTCGCGATACATTCAACCTCACTGGAATCAAACGACCATCGAAGGCTTCATCTCAAAATCAGAATGCCAGAGCCTCCTTCTTTCAAAGGGCCCTGGAACATTTATGCTTCGGTTCTCAGATTCCAAGCTCGGTGGAATTTCGACCGCGTATGTGGCGAAAAATGACGATGGAAGCATTGAAGTCAAGCATCTTGAGCCGGATTCCTTGAAAATTCTACAGGTAATAATTCGTCTTCTTCAAAATAAGGGGAGAATCAAAAAAAGGAATTGATTTTATGGATATGGGCTCTGATTGGTCGGTATGCCAAATACAGCAATCTTATTGGCTATCCAAAATACACTTCCAATTTTCCGTTTAGTTCGAAATAAGAGCTTTCTTCCTTGATTTCAACCATTTACTTCAGGTGCGAAGTCTAGCAGACATGGTCAAAGACTTCTCCCAACTGGTGAAACTCTTCCCAGATCGACCAAAACACGATGCCTTTTCGAAATTCTACACTTCGAAGCCGGTCCAAGATGGCCCCTACGTCAAGAAAACGCTCGTTGCTCATATTGAAGAAAGTTAACCTTTGTCATTTTTATGATTTTCATAATTGGGAACCGCCAATTTATCCCAAAAAAAGAGTGTTTTCTGATAACCGTGCCTTTCATTCTTCTTCTCGAAGAGATTCAGTTTATATATTTATTTAGCCGCCGTTTTTCACCTGTTTTTCTTGACAATTATTTTTTCTTTCCGTTTCACCAAAACCTGCCAGAAATAAATGAATGTATCAATATCTGAAATTCGAAAAATTTTCCGCAATCGTTGAAATCAAGGAGGAAAATGTCCATTAAAAGCAATTTTAGACAGCTAAAAATCCTCTCATACTGAAAGCCAATATATAATTAAAAATTCATCATCACTAAAAGCTCTATAAATATCGCTGAAAATCATCAGAACTCAGCAAAAAAAATGATTTTTTTCAAAGCAGTATTTTTCCTTAGCAGCTCGGTGTTTGGCTATCCCTATTTGTGTTTTCCGGAAAAGCTGAATGCAATCAACTCTTTGACGCGTCTGGAGAAGGAAAAATGGATACGAGAATTTTCGATTGCTTTGGGTCGAGTTCCGCCTGTCAATACTCCAGCGCTTACTGTGTACAGGGTTTGAAAAGTCACAAATTTTGACTGAGCATGAGCACGGCTGAGCACGGTGAGCTCAAATTTTGGCTGAGCCTGAGCACGATTGAGCATCCGCGTGCTCAAATTAAGCTGAGCCTGAGCATGATTGAGCACCCGCCTGCTCAAATTTCACTGAGCCTGAGCACGCTGAGCATGCTCAAGCAATCTTGCTCCATAAAAGAACACAAAAAATCAAATTTTCAATGAGAACCATAAATATGCTTAAAACCAGGATAATTTCAATTTTTAAAACTATGGGTGTAGGTGGGGTTGGGCACAAAACTGAGATAGATCAACTCAGTTTTCCAAGCCTAAATGTCAAGCCCCTTAAATTCAAAAATCAAGGAACGGGGCTGAGACGGCTCGAAGGGCCGTCAAGCCCCTTAAATTTAAAAAATCAAGGAACGGGGCTGAGACGGCCCGTAAGAAAAAAAAATTTGAAAATAAAGAAAAGAAGAAAAATTTTGCTCAAACGTGCTCAGAGCATTTGAGCACGCATTTCAGAGACTCGTGAGCATGAGCACGGCTGAGCACGCGAATGCTCAGATTTTATTGAGCTTGAGCACGGCTGAGCACGACACGCTGGAATTTTCGTTGAGCTTGAGCACGCTGAGCATGCTCAGTGCTCATGTTCAGTGCTCTGAGCATGCTCATGCTCGGACTTTTCAAACCCTGACTGTGTATATCTCCAGAAATAATGAGCTAGAGTGATCTTTTCCCTAGAATCAAGTCTTTTGTTTCGATTCTTATTCAAAAATTGCGGTACGTGAAAAAAGCCCTCGATCAATCAGGTCAAATTGGGGGCAATTACATGTTCACTGGAAATCCCGATTCCGGAAGAGACCAATTCTTCGCAAGAATCTTCAAGTTGAAGAATTTCAAACAAACTTGAGCTTAGAACTCAAAGCGTTGATATTTGAAAAAGGTCTTATTGAGTAATTATTAATTACTAATTAAGCAAAGATGGATTACTCGATTAAGTTTTTATTGAGTTCGAAAGGGCAAGAAAAGCTCTTCCTTTACGTCAGATTTTTGCGTGTTTCTATTTTCCTGTGGCCCACCGCAGTGCGTAAATATAAAAAAAGTACGAACAAAAATGAGTAATAAGAAGCCAGATTTGGGTGGGTACAACTTAATGGCCGGTAAGTCGGCTTGACGTAAAAGCTGTCAGCTTCGAAGAAAAATGACGAATTCCAAGGTTTTTCTTCTGGCTAGATTCTTGGAAAATTGAAGAAACTTCAACTTCAAAGCCAAAGAATTTCATGAACAGGGAAATTCTCAAAATAAAAGAGGCTCGAAATGTCGCATAAATTTGATTAATTAGGCATTCTTGGTTGTTTAGTCCGGTTTTAGGAGGAATACGAGTGTTGTAGGAAAGAATTTATGGCAGTTTAGCTGATTAATTGGCAGAAATAGATAGTAAACCAACTTCCTGGTAGGAAAACTTGATGAATAAATAGCAAAATCACATAAAAATCGGGCACGAATAGGAAAAGGAAGTGCATTTTTGGGAGACCAATAAGATTGGTGTATTTTGCCTATCGGCCAATGAAAAATCAGTTCCAGAAAATCAATTCCATTCCTTAGTTCTGCCCAAAAATCGTAATTTTTTCATAAAAATCGGAAGTTTTTCCACTTCAAACATGCAAAAAATCATCAAAAACATAAAAACCAGACTTGTCTATCACATGACAGAACTGCCGATCAAAAAATGAAGCATCAAAAGACTAGGTAACTGATGAATAGCTGTAACCTCATTGATTATTTTTACGTCTGAATACTCTTTTTAACAGCATCCTTTATTTTTTAGTATTGTCGTCTGTTCCAATTCAATTAAATATTGACATCAGATGTTACTACGCCATGATTAGCCAGTCCCTTGAGATAGATCTTAGCCCCACGAGACTGGAGAATCTGTGGACTGGAGAACGAAATGACGCGCGTGGCAAATGGAGCTAGTGTGACGCCGCTATTCATCAACGCCGCTATAAATCGAGCACCCCGCCGCCAAAGCTAACAAACTCAACAAGAGCCAAAACGCGAATAAGTCACTTTCAAAAAAAAAAAGAGAAAGGATGGAAGGATCCGCGACGACAACGTTTTTGACCCTTTCTGGAACAGTATTCGCCCTGTCACTCGTAATAATCGCAGTAGTAAAAGGAAGAAAAAGAAGGTTTCAAAACTGGAGAGAACTGAAGAAGCTTGAAAACCAGAATTATTGCTCTAGAATTGGAGAAATCGTACAACTGGAGGAAATTAAAGTATGGAATGCCGAACCTATTTCTTCTTTTCGAACGAATTTGTGAATTATATGACTGTACTTGACCTACTTTTCTTCACTGCCAAAATGAAAGAATACAGAGTGACTCGATTTTTATATGAAAAAATGCGTGTTTAAAATTTAAACTTTAAATTATTGAAGAAAAGGAAATTTGAAAACTTCGAACATCACTGATGTTACATCAGGGAAACTGAGCAAGAGCGCATTTGAGCAGGAGTATTTGAAAAACAGAAAATTTATCGTTGAGAAACCAGCTCTCGCAGTTTTTCAAGAGCTTCAAGGCGGGCTTTCTTGAGTTCTTCGAAGACGAAATGAGTTCCATCGTCCAGTCCTTTGTGAACAATCGCTAGAATAAAAGATAAGAGGGGTAGAAAGAGGATTGGTGTACCTGCAGCCCAGAAGATAAGAAAGGCAACTGTGAGCCAGTAGCACAAGGTGTAAATTGAGTAAAACGCGACGAAAATAAACTGGAATGGGAGGAGAAGGAAACTGGCGACGATTTTAGTAAAGGCGAAGTACACACTAAATCACCTCTTGAGCCGACTTCTCCTTTTTAAATTTCAAACCTGGAAAAAGCAGTAGGTCCAAAAACAAGCGTGCTATAAACCGCAGCCATGTAGACATTGAAAATGAACGAAAAACGAGCAGCGATGTCTGTACATTCGTCTGGATACGTCTTCGCTTGTCGATTTCCTCGAGCTCCTCGAGCTTCTTCGTCTTTTCCTCGAGCTCTCGGCGGAGAATCGTTTCGTTTGAGTTGTCCACGGCGCTGATGGTTTTTGCTCGAATGATTCTGATGTCGTCGAGCAGAGCGTGATCGTTGCATTCCGGACAGCGAGGAGAATTTGCCAGCCAGGTTTTGACGCAAGAATTGCCGAACAAATGGCCGCATTTCAAAGAACACACCCTGAAATAGAGAAATGAAAAGGATGGTCTTCGGCTACAGTGGATCTACGGTAGATCATCTACCTGTGCGAGCCTGTACTGGTCCAAACATCGAAGCAGATGGAGCAGACGTCCGATTCACTCTCTGACTTCGTTTCCTGAGTAATGTCCGTCACGAGCTCTGCGATTTGCGCAGTTTTCTTTTTGAAAAAGCGACCGAACATGATGTTGCTTTCTTTTCCGATTTCAGCTGACTGCGTTGAACATTTTTCTAAATCAAATTCTTGAAAGTTTTCTTCAAATTTTGATGAAATAAATTGACGATCTTTCAAGTTGAAAAAGGCAGGTAAAAAGCAGGAAATCGTTATGTAGAAAACTATTTGAAAGACTGGGAACTCAAAGGCCAAATCCTTTTCCCTTTGAAAAGTGCGTCTGCTGTCTTTTTCATCGGATTTTCAAGAGAAACACTTATTTATCAGCCCTTTTAACAGTATTATTATCTTTAAAAATCCGGTCCTAGCGCTGGCATATTGATTTTCAAACGCGTTGAACATCGTTTTCTATTGAAAAATTGTCAGTTTTGAAGCTCATTTGATGATAAACCTGTTTTTCAAGCAATTTATCAGCTGCTTCTTTTCCCTCTCCTTCCTCTACTTGCAATTTGTTCGCGCCCATCAGCTACAAGACTTTTATCAGCCGTTTTTACGTAAAAGAAGGTACCTTTTGGAACTTGGAAGTTGTTTTATTGTCGCCAACAGACATGCTCGCCCAGAGCTTCTGCTGCTCGGTCACTTTTCCTGCTTCTGTTTCTTTGTTCTTTCTAGGATCGACAAATGCCCCCGAAATCCGGATCGGGTTTTCGTCGGGTTTTCTTGAAGTCGGAATTTTCCGATCGGGTTTTTGTCGGGTTTTCGTCGGGTTTTTGTCGGGTTTTTATCGGGTTTTTGTAGGATATTTTTCGGGTTTTTGTCGGGTATTTTTCGGATTTTTATCGGGTTTTAATCGGGTTTTCATCGGGTTCTCGTTGGGTTTTCGCGACACTGAAGTTGAATCAAATATAATGAATCCAAATAGGCGAAAATAGACATAATTTTTGGCTAACAGTATTCTGGGAGCTGTCTGTGAAGAAACTAATGAGTAGATCCGAAGAGAAACCCGACGAAAAACCCTACAAAAATCCGAAAAATGACCCTACAAAAACCCGATTTTATAGGGTCGTCACAATTTCACCGTCGGGTTTTTGTAGGGTAGGCAGAATCCAACAAAAACCCGACAAAAACGTCGGTTTTCGATCGGGTGTCGGGTGGGACTTGTCGATCCTAGGTTCTTTCCTCCCCAAAGCAGCTTTCTTTTCGCTAAGAAAAGGGATTAATCGTCTCCAACGGGAGAAAGAGGCTTTTACCTTGAGCTTCAAGGAATTTTGATTGTTCTGCTGGTCGAGCTAGATATTCAGGAACCTAAAAAAGCTATCAAAAACTGATTTCCGGCGATCCTGTGCAGAAAACCTGACTCAGAGTCTGAAAGATCACTTATGAAAAGCCGCGTAGCGGCTTATTTAAAATGAAGCCGCAAAGCGCCTTTTCATTAAAGATCTTAAAGATCCTAAGTAAAGGACTTCCGACCCTGACTCAGGTTTTTACGCAGGTTGCCGAGCCCGAGGCACAAAAACATACCGCGATTCCTGTTTCTTTGGATTTTTCCTGAACTTCTCGTTCCAAACTAGCTCTGCTTTTCCTCGGTGATCTGGAACTTCTCCTCCTTCGATCCCTCGAGCGACTTCTGCTTCTTCTTCGATCCCGACTTCTCGATCGCTTCTTGTGATCTCGTTTTCGATCTCTGTCTCTTGATCCTCTTCTTCGGTCTCTATCTCTTGAACGACTTCTTCTTCGATCTCTAGAAAGAAAGCGAATAAGAAGAAAGCGGCGTAATGTAACTTACCTGGACCGGGATCTTTTTCTTGAGGACTTGTGACTTCGCGTCCGTTCTCGTTCTAGATCGGTATTTTCAAAAATCCGATTGTATCTCATTTTCATTACAGTAGTACTTCAATATAAATATCAATAAAATGAAGGACAATTTTTATAAAAAGATATGGAAATATTATGAATTTAGGTTTTTTCTTACCTTTTTGTCTTTCGTCCTTCTTTTCTTTCAATCTTTCTCGGTCTCGCTCTGACGATCTTTCCCTGTAAGACCTGCTGAATTGCTTCTCCAGCTCGTCATCGACATCGACTTTTTCAGGACTTGCTTCTCCGTCTTTTCTTTTGTACTGTTTCGGCAATTTTCCCATTTTCCGAAATCAAAATCTAAAATCCAAAAAAATCAACCTAAAAAAATTGATAAAAACAAAACTTAATTCATTAAAAATTCTCATTATGAATTTCAAAGTGACAGTAAATCGTACAGTAGTTCATTTTTTCATTTCTCTTTATTCCATTACTCCAAGAAAAAAAATTCTCTCACTCTTCGCGCCCGGCCAATCAGCGCGTGTCATTTCTTTGTCTTCGAAAAACTGCTCTCTAGCGCCCCTGGAAACGATTTTCCACCTGATTTTTCCTCGACATAAAACTGATCCTTCACCTGACCTGATGGTGCAAAAAAAGGGTTGAAAATACTTGAATAAGATAAGAATATTAATAAAACAATCATCGCATATTTATTTTTGAGCTGGAAGAAAAGATAAAGAAATAATTTTTCATCGACCGAGGTCGCCCTCGAGCACAATCGTGATTGCTCACAAAAATCACTCGAGAATTGTTCGTAACAGCCTATCAGCCAATAAACAATTAGCTTCATACAGCTGTCTGTCAGTTTTAAAACCAGCACTTTCCGGAAAACAGTGCCAGTTTGTTTTTTTGCTACAGTAAGATAATTTTGTACAGTAACAAAAAAAAAGAGGAAGAATTGAGAATTTGTGTAGTGAATGGTGATGTGATTCTTAGTGCGTTCTTGGTAGCGCTAGAATCTTTTTGTGGTAGTGTTTTTGTTGTGCAAATACGAAGGTTTCTGTATCAGGGGAGAGAGAATCGAATGAATGGTCATTAGACAACAGCGATGATGGTGGTCTTGTCTCCAGCAGGAGCGGCAGCAACGCTGTTCTGAATAGCGACAAGATCAGACGCCCACCAAGCTCGCGTGGCTCCCAAAACGCCCCAGTACGCCATTCGTCGCTGCTCTTGTCCTTGAGCAGAGGCGGTGATGGCTGCTGGATATGTTTTGCCAGTGTTTCCACCATCGGCTCCAGAGGCAAAGTACAAGTTCCAAACAGTATCAGCAGCATTTCCGGGGATGGAAGTAGCTCCTGCGTGGCCGCTTTCGACGATCGCACCGGTTGGAATTCCGAAACCAACGGTGCTGGCACCTCCGGTGTAGCCGTAGAGGGGATGAGCCGTGTTCCTGGAATGATGGTAAATTTTGTTCAGAAAGAAGGGTCTACTCACGTAAGGAAGTTGTTGGCGATGGTGGCTTGATCGTATCGAATCAATCGATTTCCAAAGAACGCGGCGTTATTAGCATCGGTGGCTCCAGAATCAAAGGTGTTGGTGCCCGCATCGGCGAACTGAGAATCGTGTCCCATGAAGCACATGCCATCAGATACCCCAGTGTTTTCGTTGAATTCGCACTGCTTGAAGCACTGGCGGCAGGTGGACTGGCCTCGTGGGGAGCGAATGCTCGGCCGTTGCTCGATGTAATGAGGTCGGCACTGGTCGGTGTGGTACTGACCGCCGAGGAAGTTTTGCTGCTGGAGGTCGTGGCAGGCTTGGGAGTTCTTGCAGCCGGTGCAGAGCTGGTTGACTTGCTGGTTGACCTCTCTCAGTTCAATAAAACACATGGAGGCTTCACCTTCGCAATATTGGAACTGCCCAAGCGCTGCGCATTCAGCCATGGTCATCTGATCGCACTTGAAACAACCCGTCTTCTGGTACGTGGTGCTAGTCGTCGTCGACGGGGTCGTTTGAGTCGTGGTGGCTTGGACCACTCCGAAATATCTCTCCCCAGTGAGCTCAGCTGCGGCCGCTGAAGCAGCTAAAGCCGAGTCAAGGGCAGCTTCTCCGAGTTGGTCATCCGTTGCTGAATCTGCCACAGACTCCGCGAACATGTCAGGGGTTAGTCCATAATCGCCGAGGTCGATGCCTTCGAGGCCTTCGAGGAGATCGGCAAGGTCAAGGTCCTGAAAAATATTGTTGAAGAGAGGAAAAAGTCAACTTTATCTCGATTCGGAAAATAAGGGTATCACTTTGTTAATTTTGATCTCTCTAACAGTGACAAACCTGAGCGCGGACAGTGGAAGAAAGAGCAAGAACGGCGGAGAGCTTCATATTTGGAGACTTATACTTGATATTCAAGCAAAGTAGGACTGATTTCCTGACCGTCCGATTTCATTTTATACCTTTGCTTCTGGCCGCAGCGCTATTTTGCCCGGCCCGATTATATTTTCAATTTCGCGTTTTTCGCGAGCCCGCGAGTTGTTTTTACTCGTGGTTGGGTTGATGCGAAGAAAAGGGAAAGGGTTGACATGATATTTTTGAAAGTTTTTTTGTTCAAGCTTTTTTCAATCATCGAAAATCTTGGAAATCATAAATCTGATAGGATTGGCTTCATCTACTAGTAGTACTCGAAGCCGTGCAATTTCAATTCACGGTACACTTTTGATCCTCAGAAGGTCATTTGCTTGAAGAAGGAGATGATATTTACGTGAACGGATTGACCTACTATGCGCTGGTGTATAAGCAGCGGGGAGGAGTCACGTTTCTTTAGACTTTTTTTTGGAAGAGTTGTAGGGATGAAGGTACGTCTGTTTTCAGGTTCTTTTTATGAGAAAATTTGAGTTATGAAGGGTCTTTTTTCAGTGGAAACTAGCATTCCTGACTCTTGGAATCGAGGCGAGGCGCCATGAAAAGGGCGAAAGATGGGCCCTAAAGCAGCAGAGAATTCAGCTCAAATACGAAGCCAATGTCAATCACAACATCGACTCTGGTAGGAAAGGACATCAAAGACAGAAAAAATGAAATTTTAGGCGATCTTGCTGCTCGATCAGCACAGTCAGTTCAATTGATCTCTGGCGGCTGGACCCCATGTGATTCTAGCGGTGCTGTTTCAAAACAGCCTGGAAAGAAAAAGAGCAAATTCCACGCTTGTGTGGAAAAAGAAGGCTTCGAAGAAGATGTTCTCAAATGCGTCAATTGGAAAAAAGGCAGGAGCTCGATTTCGGTCATTTTTAAACGATTTAAGGGGGTGGAGAGGAAAGGTCTGCTGACGAAGCCTGCAAAAACGCTTGCCGAGATGTGATCTCTGTTGCTGCCAAAAATGGCCTCATCAAAGCCGTCGACAAATGCACTGATTCTGTCGATTTTGTCAAGAAACTCAAGCACAAGAAGCCTGAAACTATCGCTACCAACGGTATTTCCCCTCATTTTCTCTACGAAATTGACTGATTTCAAGGTGTTTTGATGTTCGATGACGATTTCGCCAACGATTCTAGCCCAAGACAGACGACTGCCTTGACCGATTCTGGCAAATCAAAGTCCCCGGTTAACCGAGGCCCAGGACGGCCTCAGTCAGAGTCGAAGGGAACCATGAGCTTTGGAGATCTTCCCGACGAGCTCCTGCTTTTCTCTGACGACATGGAGGACTTTGGAGAGCCGGAATTGATGCCAGAGAGAATGATAAGTCCCCAGTTTGAAGCGCCCAAGAAATCTGGAAAACGAAACAAACGAAAGAAGGGCAAAAAGGGGCGATCTGGCTGAAAAGAAGACCATCTCCAAAAAGAGATCTTTTTCATTAAGGGGATACCCGCCGATTTTTTCAAAACTGTCATTTTTGTGTCCAAAGAAACGTTGTTTTATTAAAATGATTTTTGATAAAACTGATTTGAAAAAATGCCGGGTATGACCTTTAATTTGAAATAAATCAGAAACAAGTTCATTTCTTTTTTATTTCCTTCAATCATTCAATTTTTGAGATATGTTCAGTAGTGAGACACTGACTGTATTTCACACTTTTGATTGTTTTATTTTCTTTTTGTCGCTTTTTTGAACAAGTTTTGGTGTTTTTTATAGTCAGTGAATTTTTCCAAAGCGCAGGGCAATCAAAAAAAGTCGTAATTTGGTTCTTGATTTTTGAATCTTTCCGAGAAAAAGACGATCTCATAATTCAAAGATGCGATTTTTTCTGATTTTTATCTTTCTATCGACCAGATTTGCTCTTCCAGGAAGAAAGATTGAGGACACTCCGCGGATTTCTGAGCTTTATGGACGATTCTATGGAAGGAATGTTCGCCTGGGAGAGCAGATTACGATTGGCAGAGAACTTGCGAACTCAATTCTGAGCATGAAAACCGATCTTGGATTGGCAAGCACGCACGTATCGGAAGAATTTGCTTATGATTTGGAAGAATTTGACGTAAGAACCTGTCAAAAAGCACTGTTTATCGAAATTTAGGGTGGCGAGTATCATGAAGATCTTGAATCGCCCGTGGAATCTATTCCTGCAATTGTCGAAGATTTGATGAAGAAATTCAAGGAGAAAGCGAAGTTCGATAAGTCGAAATTGCCAAAAATGACCTCGTTTCTTCCGCATCGCTTTGGATACTTTCATTGACCGTTTTATGTTAAAATAAACGGACTTTCCGAATGAGACTTTCACGCATAGTTGTCACTTAGTTGCTTCAAACGACCATCTTTACAAGAAGAAAAATAAGCATATTCCATTTGAAATGGACCATTTCAAATCAGCATGGCAAGAGAATACTTTGAGAATTCTTACAGTGAAAAACATGAAAGTTTTTTCAAAAACAACATCAATAATGTGAAAACAACAAGGTTAACTGCCCTCACTGTTACCCAAGTAAATCAATAAAATCATTTAAGAAGGCCCTCGATTCCAATTCCTGAAGAGAGAAACAAAAAGAGACCTGAATATTCGAAGATGTGCAAGTTTTTTGTAGCTGGAGTTATAGTCGTGCTGATGATCATTATTCCAACAGCAGTCATTGCCGGGAATACAACGACTAAAGTCTTTACTACTTCGGCAAAACTTTCGACGACAGCTCCGAAGACGACGATAAGGACCACTTTAACAACAAAAACAACTTCAAGGACGACAACTTCTACGACAACAATGACAACCACCACCACGACAACAACGACAACTACTACAACAACCACAACTACTACTACAAGTACAACAACCACAACGACAACAATCACGACTTCAACAACAACTCCGACTACGACTCCGACAACTACTACGACTTTTCCACTCACAACAACTGCTCCTTGCACAATCTACCAACCCGTCAAGCCATATTTTTACAGCTGCGAAGGAATTCGAGCTGATGGAGGTAATCTTATCATTTCTCAACTTTCAATTACTTATTTAATCTTTCAAGTTCAATGCGACATTTTGCACCGGGTGAAAGTCATCTCGGCTTACTTCGGCAACTGGCCAGTCTACAGCGACCAAACTTGTCCAAACTGCGGCCAAGCTCCTGGCTTTTGCGACCGAAAATGCTGCCAAATCGACTTGACCGAATACGCAAGAAAGGAGTGCAACGGAAATCGAAAGTGTACATTCACGGGTGACTCAACAATCGCGGGAGATCCTTGCCCTGGAATCAAGAAGTTTACTTTTGTCAGTTACAAATGTGTGCCTTTTAAAAAGCCATCATCCGGCGGAAGAAAAAACTCGCTTGATGTTTTTACTTTGCTTTGCTTCCTTTTTCTGTTTCAATCTCCCGGTTTAACTTAGTCTCCCCAGATAAAACAGAAACCCTGGATGTCTTTTGAAATTTTTATTTTATTTTGCAAACATTTAAAAAAGTGAGGTTGAGACTATTTCAGATTTAAAAGCATAAACAGCATTTTTAAATTTATTTCAGAGATAAAATTGGGAATTCTCGTGCCAATCTCTTGGGCTTCAGGAGTTTTTCAAGTAGACTCATTTTTTCTAATACAGGGAAAAAAATCATACAGTTCCTTTTTATCCCTCAAAAAACCATCAGTGCATTCAATTGTAAAATTTCAAAGCATGAAATCAACTTCAAAATAAACAAAGAAGACGGCTTCAGTAGAATTTATAATCGACAAAAAATCTGATTCAGGTTTTCTGCAAAGCTTGCCAAGCTCAGGGACCAAGAGCCTTCGCTATCTATATCATTGATCTTATCAAAAATCTCTTCTTTTATTCATGGTACTCTTCCTTGTTTTCAATATTAAATATGACGAGAGAAATAGCCTAAAACATAAGTTAAATATTTGACACGTATTTTCTAGGGACTTTTCTCGTTAATTTTCACGATTGATTAAATAATCGCCTTGGAAAGAGTTCCCGTAAAATCAATTATACTTTACTTACACAAGCTTCCTGCCCACCTGGCGCTCGATATATTTTTCCTTCCAGCGCGATAATTTTTACGAGAAGCAAATTCAGCACTTTTCGCCTCAAAAAACCACGTAATGAGGGGACACCTTTATTTAGACCTTAAATTTTTTGACTAAGTGGGCGATCTATTCTCCTCGTGCGGCGAAATTCTTCTACCGATATGCGGCATTTCAAACAATTTAGAATTCCGACAGCTCATTTTTGGCAAAAAGACTATGAGCAACAAAATCACTCGTTTTTTAGAAAATATGTGTAAAGAGTTCTTTCTTCTTTTTCCATTTTTGGTCAAGTTTGTATATTTGTCTGTTCGAAAAGATACTTCCTGAGCTTTAAGCTTATCCCTGCTTAGAAATTTCAGCGCTCGAAAAAAGGTCGCGGCAGTCGTTTTGTTTTCTGTTTTTGAAATTGTTCTAAATCCCGCCGATGAAACGTGGTTTGCAGCGTGCTTGCATCGCTGCTGCTGATAACTTTGTACGTAAACCGGAAATCTTCAAGAGACCGAGATGTTGGGATAGACAAAGATCGCGACATATTCTATTAACAGGGAAAATAAGAAAGAAGGAAGAAAAATAAGAAATTCGAGACGATAAATTACGGTGTTTTTCCCTTCTGTGTTTATAACAAAAACGGCAATTACAATTTTATTGATGTCGAATTTTAAACAAAAAACAGAAATAATTATCGCTTGAAATTATTTTTTCGCGAAAATTACTCGCCTTCACGGAGCTCATGTTTTTTATCTACCGCGGGATCTGAAATATTTAATTCAACGTTTTTTTATCGCTTGTTCATTCTCATTTGCATTTTCTGTTTTCCAGTAATAAAAGGAAGAGAACGTTATAATTCTTGTTAAAAGGGGGATTTCAGCGGTCCGGTGAAAAAGTTATCAAATCGAGTTCAAATCAGGTGAACCGCAGCTGACCTCGAATTAGTGCTTGATTCCTGGAGCAGGTTTTTTAAAGGCACAGTTTTCACTCGGTATAAAAATGCTAAGGATGTCACTATGATAAATGTCGAAAAAAGATGAGCTGAAAATTTCTTGCCAAATTTCTCGAAAATTGCCAAAATTTATGAAAATGGATTTTGATTGGACAGAAGGCCAAATTAAGCAATCTTATTGGCTAGCGAAAAAATGCGCTTCCTGGCTTGTATCTTCTTTCTTTTGGTTTGTGCTCTAGAATTGGCATTTTGGTCAAAGTTGAGCTCAGCAGCCAGTGTCCAAAACCTGAGTCAGGGTTCGAAAGAGGTTGGAACTGCTTGTTCTGGCCCTGAGTCAGGTTTTTCACACAAGTTTCTGAGCCCAGCCTACACCAAAATGCCAATTTTATCGCATTTTAATAATTTTAAAAACCTGAGTCAGGGTCTGAAAAGAGCTTGAAATCGCTTTTTCATGCCCTGACTCAGGTTTAAGACATTAATTTCTGAGGTCAGGATGTAGGTTCGTGGAAATTATTTTCTCATAAAAATCGCAGTGATTCGAAATTGCGTGCTTATATGCATCTAAACAGGCGTAGATTAATGGTTCGCCGGATCCAGCTGCGAAAAAAGATTCGCCGCGCGAACGAGGGTTAATTTTGTTGGCGAAATATATCCAACGTGGGTCCAAAAAAGTCCTTTTTCATCACTTTTTTGCGATTTCTAGCGGTCCAAAGATGGCTTTAGAAAGATTCGTCTGAACATCAATTATCTCATTCTGGCATATTTTTAATTGGCCCGATAATCGTCGGTTCTTGAGTGAATTTTTGAATTTTGGAGTTTTGGAATGATTTAATAAGCGGCCAGCGGCGTGACGCGCGCGAGACAAGCAGATGATCTCGTTAATTTCCGTTTGGTTGGATAGCAGTCTTCACGATGTTTGCACAAAGACGCGCTCTTTTTTGGACGCCGTCTTTCTTATTTGATTGCTGGTCCATGGAGAATGCATTTTTCGGGGAGAGGGTCTAATGAAAATGAATATTTCTAATTTGATTTTCAAATAGGGCTTTTTATAAGAATCATGGCGTATTTTCGTGATGGTGTCTAAAACTGACAAAAAATCGACAAATTTTGCGTGGGCGGCTACTCGCCTTCTGATTGGCCGGTGCGCCGAATCCAGGCTTCTGATTGGTTGAAGACATGTCTAGAAGCGACAAAAAAAAATTGATTTTCGGATTCGGCGCACCGGCCAATCAGCAGCCGAGTAGCCGCCCACACAAAATTTGTCGAAATTTTTTGTCCGTTCCAGACACGTCCCCGTATATTTTTGCTTCTGAATTGAGCAAATTAAAAGTCCCTATTTTGGCAACAAGGCCAACTCTTCTGATAAATGCTCATCCCTCTTTTCGAGATAGTTTTCTAATCCCGAGTGTCATTATATTTCTGCCGGCCATTCTAAGGTCAGATTAGGCGCGCTCTAATAGAAGCAAGGTGTCAAAGTGCCCAGCTTCGAAACCACTTTCTCATTCTTCCTTTTTTTTATCTTCGGCTTTGATGACGCAAAGGACGGGCATTTCTTGCGGCGCGGCGAAATGCGCCAAAATGAACCAATTTGTCTTGGTCGACGCGCGCGGCTGCGAAAAAATGCTCAAGAGAGTGGCTAATTATGAGTTTAGCTGCTGAAAATACGTGGATGGTGTCATTTATTACTCAAGAGAACTTACTGGCCCAGTAATAGTGGGTTTCCTCTTGATTTCATTAAATCAATCATTTTTCAAATTAACGACTCTCAAATTTCAACTCGTTATTATAACTGATTGCTTAACGCAGACTGCCTAAATATTGATAAATTCGCTTCTAGTCATCAAAAACCGACGGGCGCTCCATTTCAAGAAAAAAATACGCAACTGGAAACGCGCAAAAAATGACCCGTTCGCGAATATTAAAATCATCACCTCGGAGTTTTTTATTAAAAACGTTAATTTCGCGCGCTCACGAGACTTCCGAGTATAAATGCGTCTCCATAATTTTGGCCGATCCAGGAGGCTCCAAAAGTTCATAATTGCCGGGGCTTATGAGTTGGTTTTTCTGGTTTTACAAAGTGTTTGGAGCAGAGCGGTGTTCGAAAATGTCAAAAACAATTGTCATTTGTTTCTCTGCACGGCTGATTCGTAACAAATCGGCTTGACAAATTGTTAACTAGTGGCGTTTTATTTCGAAGGACGAAGATTTGCGGCCGGATTTTGAGGTTGATTAGCTGGAGTAATTTTGGGGGAGACGATGGTTTAGAATGGGAAAAGGGTTGAATTTTCAATTGCAAGTTTATTGGAAAAATATCATTTTCTAAAAAACGAACCCTAACTATAAATTTTTTTATTTTTGAAAGGATAATTCTCGCCTTCCCGCTCAATTGACGCGTTGTTTCGAAAATAATCGGTTTTGGTTGAAGGGTCTGAAGGATCACCGGATTTGGTTTTGACTTGCCGAGTTTAGAAAAGAAGCGCCTCTCTCTTGAAGGGGGGTGGTTTTTATCATTTTTGTCACCTGGCCCCTTCGCTTTTTTGAAGGATGGTTTTAGATTTTACCTAAGAAAAAAAATTAATGGCATTTTTCGATGAAGAAAATGCTTACTTGAAAATGCTCTGAATTCTGACTTTTGTCTTATACAAATAACGTCAGAGTAGATATACAAAAGCAGTGGACTCGTTTAGCTGGATCTGTCACAAAGACTCTTGTAGAAGCCGCTCTTATCAGAAGGCTTGACCGGTCGCGTGGTTCAGGAAACTGTCAGATTTTCGACCAACACGTGTGGCATCTTGTGGTCCGCTCAGTTACTATTTTCTGAAATTGAAGGCTTTGTTGGTTCTGTTTCTTTTCTTCTGTCAACTCGGAAGAAAGTCTTTGAACTTGAAGCCGTTTTATTTGTTCAAGGACTTCCTTCAAGGTTGAGACTGGCTTCATTAGAGAATGAAGTTTCTGTTTCTTTTTCTTTCAGCCTCATATGAGGGAAAGATATCCAAGGAAAATGCTAATGTATTTTTGAGGTATGATTTTATGAATATTTATCTGTCAAAAAATTGAAGAACAAAACGAGCGAATACGGAGGGAGAGTATGAAATCTTCACGAGTGGAAATTTTGAGCGAGAATGCATCGAAGAAGCGTGTGACTCGTACGAGTTTCATGAAGTTTATGATGATCATGTTGCTTCTGAGATACTACTGGTAAATCGAAGAAGCTTAAAAATGCTGAGATAATTTTTGTAGAAAAAGTATGTTCTTTGCAAAGAATCGATTTTGCGAAAAAATGATACCGATGATTTGGTTGACGCTCGTCGGAGCTGTATGAACAGAACTGAACCAATTGAAGTCTGCAGTATTGATTTACAGAAAAAACTCGATGATAAAGATTCCCAAGTGGAATCATTAAAAGCAAAGCTCAAGACAACAGAAGCAGAAGTTGCGTCTTTTAAAGCGAAGCTTAAAACAGCGGAATCACAAGTTGAATCTTACAAAACATACTATGTACCATTATACCGTGACAAACTGATATAATGTCTTTTAAGCCCTATAAAAATCCATGCGCTGAATACGATAATTGCAAAGCATTATGGAAGAATTACCCAACGACTCCGAATTTCGGAGTCCGAAAAAGAACAGAAAAATCGGGTATATTCGAGCAAAAATTAATTTTGAGGTCAATCAACTCTAATCTCTTCGATTTAATAGACGTTTTAGATATCGATTGACGTTCTTTGCTCTTTTAATTGGGTCGGTAAAAATCACGGAAGCGTTGTAGCAATCACATCGACGGGAAGAACAACTTCATTTGGACCTGGCGATAGATACTTTCAGCTTTTTGTTTACTCACCTGGAAAATGGATGCGAATTCATTTAGACAGGACGCGCAACCAGGAAGTGAGCAAAGATTTTAGTTGCTCTGAGGGAAATTGGTTCAATCTGAAAGTGAATCAGTATCAAAAAGAGAACTTTCCGGGCACAACAGGTGTTTATTTCTCTCAGATAACAAATATGAATATTATTTGATAATATTCTGATCATTAAGTGACTATTGTCAAATACAACAATCGAGAAATATGGTCTTCTCAAGTTCCGACAACACAAGTCATAACAGACCGAAATATGGATGTTTATGCCGGTGATAAACTACATCTTGTGGCTGTTCATAATGATTTTAAAAATTTCTACTACCGAACTTTTCCTGACAAAGAATAAATCTTTTACAATCACGCAATTCATTCGAAATAATTTTTTCACGTTAAAAAACTCAAAATCACTTCCAGGTGGCATTTATCGGTAATTGAATTGATAGATCTTCGCTCTGCCGATTCTGGCTTTCCTCGTGGCTTTGGCAGTTTTCGCTACTCGAGCGTCCGTTTGATCACTCTTGAGCCGGCGTCATTGCGCGAGTGGCTCACGCTCAGTCCGATCTGAGCTAATAATTATTCGACGTGAGTCGAGCACCCCAAAACGGATTTTCTCATAACCGGTCCGAAACTCTCATTTCACATTTCATCGGCGCTTGATTGATCCTAATTCAACTACAAATAATTAATGAGCTTCCGAAAATTGTAAAATTAATTAAGACGAAACGAAATCGAGAAGTCGCTTGCGGCTTCGAGCTTATTAAAGAAGCCGCGCGAAGCGCGGCTATTAAATTCCTTTTTCAAATACTTTCTTCAAGTGAGAATATAATAGCCGCGCTTCTCGCGGCTTTTTTAATAAGCTCGAAGCCGCAAGCGGCTTATCGATTTAGTTGTTTATAACTTGAATTTTTGTTATCATTGGAATTTATATAAATGATAAATTAATGAACCTGGTTGCATAAAAAGCCGCAGAGGTCATAATTTATGTTGAATATTCTTCCGCAAATTCGAGCCGTTACGTTCTAAAAACGATAAATGTCAGCCGACGCTCAATCTACTGGCTCCGCTCGGAAAGCCGATTTCACCCGTCAATGATTTCTGAATAATTTGTGGTCGCCGGTTTCGTGTTTCCAAAACGTTTTTGCGCAAAAAAGACAATTTTCGCGGCTAGTTACTTTGTAATTTCTTTTTGCATATTCAAAAGTCGAAAATGCTGAATTTAAAATCCAAGAAATCGACCCCAGTTTTAATTTTTTGTTGCGACTTTTGGTCGGCTTATTCATCTTGCAGTTGTTGTCCAGTCTGGCAGCAGGTGCCTCGTTTTATTTTCGCTCGGGATCGAGAAAATTCACAAGTGCTGTGACACGTGATCGCTCAAATTATTCTGTTCTCTGGAATATTTAGAAACAGAAGACTGTTCGACTTAATTTGATGCTCCTCCATCATCGTTACAATTTTGATCGATTAAAAGTCTTTTTTAATGAATTTTCTTGATTGTTTCTGAAGAAAAAAAGTTTTTAACCCGTCTTAGAATTTGACCAAAATTTTGGTCAATTCTTAATATTCTGAAAGCTTATTTTTATTATTCATTGTTCTCGATTTTTAGCTTCAAAAATTGCTTTCTAAGCCATTTTTTGGAAAAAAATTGCTTTCTACCCATTTTGAAGCTTTACCAAAAAATTGGTCAAAAGTTCAAAATCTCCAAAAACGAATTAAATACGACAAAAACGCTCAAGAAAGCTTATCTTCTGAAAATGGAGCATGTTTTGGTTAAGACGCGTTAAAACTTGTTTGGATTATGTTTATCGTTTATTTTTCTAGTGGCGTCCTCAAGTCGTAAGCCAACACCTCTTAGGTAACAATAAATGTCGCGGCGATAAGCGATAAAACGAGAAATTGTCAGAACAGGTTCCGAACAAGTCTAGCGGAATGCATACCAATCCTGATAATCGCAGAAATGAACCGCCCAGATGCACTCACGTTCCTTCCGAGAATGTTTCTAGAGCCCCTCATTTTACAGATTCCGCGACTGAAATAAAATCTTTAGAGTAAAGGCTGATATTTGCCCTATAAAAATATATGGTATCATCCATGTTTAAAATAATGATCTTTTTCTATTTTGATATTTAATCGAAAAAACGCCACTAGAAATTAACACACACGTTGGCTTTTGTTACTATCGTTGAACCGCGGAATATGCGCCGAACGTTATTCTCGGATCATATCTTCCCTTATCAATTTCTTTTGCCACTGCGGCTCCGCGTCAATTCTCTTATCGCTTCATTATTACAGTAGCACTACTTCTATTAGAAAAAAACTCCAAAACGTGAGTTTCGAGTCGAAACCTTCCACTCTGGAAGTCGAAAAAGTCGAAAACTAAGGGCGATATAAAGAGGCGAACTAATTGCGTCTTCCCAAGTCAATCCAACGAGCCAAAAAAGAGCTTGTTTTTTGGACAAATTGCTCTTGTTTTCGCTTTTTTCTACGTAAGAAAATTTCCTTGCTTACGATTTTTGATGATGTCGAAACTGGGCTCGGGGTCCTGTGTTAAAAACCTGAGTCAGGGTTCGAAAAAACAATTTTTGGAAATTTTTGCGGTTCTTTAATAGAAAAAACGCTATGCGGCTTTTCGCATTATCTCTTTCAGAACCCTGACTGAGTCAGGCTGACTCAGGTTTTCGAGCGGCTTTTTCAATAACATAGCCGCAAAAATTTACCTTTTTTTTCAAATTTTTGCAGCTTCATTGAAAAAAACCACTGTGCGGCTTTTCATTTGCTCTCTTAGACCCTGACCCAGGTTTTCTACACAGGTTTTCAAGCCAAGTCTTGGTCAAGTTGATTTTTGTAAAATATTTATTTTGAAACTCGCCGAAAATTCGCAGAAACGTGCATGACGGCTTTTGGGTCAGCGGGCTTAACCCTCGCTCGTCAGTGGGGCTTTTCTAGGGATTCTTCTGTCTTTTCTGAATCGAGTCAATTATGTGGGGCGGATAGTAGAGTTCTTCAATGTCGACATTAGCAAAGCCGTAACCATCTGCCTCCACGTGATCAAGCTAAATAAAGCGTGTTGACTCAGCTTTTCTCGATAGGGTTGAAAAAAATACCTGATAAGAAATTTCGTCGTTTTGGTCGGCTTCGAGGGATGGTCGATCGGTGAGGACCTTTTTAATTGCCGCTGTTACACGTGCTTTTTTCTTTTTCTCTTCTTCGGAATTATTCATTTCGTGAAAGATAAAGAATGAACCGGAAATGAAATGATCTTCGAGCCCAAAAATTAAAAAATATTTTTTTGGGAAATGATGCTCATTTATAACTAAGTGGAAAAAAGTGAAAAAACTCATGTCGTCTGATCAGTACTTCTTTGATTTCCGAGCTTGTAATGATGCAATACTCGAAATGTTTTCGCGTTAACGCAAACTTACTCCTTTAGTGGATCACTCAAAATATTTTACTTATCGCTTTCCAGACCCGAAAATCACGTTTGCGCCGCGAAAATGGACATTTTCGACTTTCGCGAATAAACATCTTTTTTTTTTTCTAAAATTTTAATAATCGAAAACGCGCGAATTTGCATCTGAAAGAAGAGAAAAAAGAAGGCGGGGTTCGACTCTTATCGAAAATATTCGGAGACATTTTCGTTCAAATAATTGAACTTAAATGGCTAATTAAAGCGAATGCTTGAAGTGTTTTTAGACACCTAGTTGACTTTTACGAGGAAAATTTCGAACACGAATGGAAAATATCAGCTTCAAAGATTTTTCAGAAGCCATTCTGTTTTTACTCAGATAATGGCTTTGGTTCAGTCAGGGCGATCTATCTACAGTGGGTCAATTTATAAGATGGGCATCCTTAATCTTTGTTTTCAAAAAGTAAAAATAACAAAGTGATACCCTTATTTCAGTATTTGCCTTTTTATTTCAAAGAATTTCATATTTTTCTGCAAAAATAATGCTTTGTTTGTTTTTCTCGAAAACTGCATTTTTGAAGTCCTTCCAGCTTCTTGTTCTTTGTCACCATTTTCGACATTCTAATTCGCGTGAGCAGAGCGCGTCGCCTTAGCCACTCAAAATTCGCGGCAGCGCCGTGCATAAGAAACCAAAAGCCATTTATTTGAAAGCATTTGCATTGAAAGCAACTTCAAACTTCAGTTTCTAAAAATTTCAAAAAAATCGACTCTTTTTTTTGAGAAAAAAGCACTTTTGGATGTCTTCAGATTTTGACTCGAAGACTTGGGGAAATTTGGCGATTTGAGATTTTAATTTTCACACTGTGAAATTTGGTGCTTAGGGTGGTACTTAGAGTTAAGTTGAGAGCAGAAGGATTTGGGAGAGGTTGGATTGCGACTTCGTGAGAATGGAAAACACGAGAAAATGCAGCTTTTTCTCGAAAATCTCAAAAAAGGATAAAAAAACCTAGTTTTCTTTTGAGGATTTGAAATAAGGGTGTCACTATGTTAATTTCCACGAAATTTTTTGGCGTCTAATAAATGGTTTGAACCTTCTCTTTGTCAAATCAAGTAAGGGTATCACTATGCTTATTTATATATCCGAATTCTCCATTAAGGAAGTGAGCCCCTTAAGCGGCATTTTATCCGATAAAATGGTGGAACCCATTGAATCCCTTCAAAAGAGTGGAAAAAAATTTTCCGTGGAAATTCATTTTTCAAGCCCTTAATTTGCTCCATCCGTGGATTATGCATCAAACAAGCTCTTTCTCCAGCCCCGAATTTTTTATTCATCACTTTGACATCCGAAGAAAAAGGCGAATGGTTGGTGAAAACATGGTCTAAATTTAGCAGCGCTTTTCGATTGAAAGTTTGAAATTCTGATTTTGCGGTGGCTTTTGTTTTTGAAAATGTTATGTTACAATTAGTTTGTTTAATGTTATAAAATCGGGACTGGCGGCTGCTGGAAACATTGAATTTTCGCTTGTTGATTGTTTTAAACAAATTGTTTCGAAATTCTTATCATTGAAAAAACACGGCAAATGTTCTACAATTCAACATCGAAAAGCCCTCTAACGCGGTTTCTCCTGAATTCGAATTTATTTTCCGCATAAATGAAGGGCATCCCATCCTGTATTATTAAAAACGTGGCTGGCAGGGAAACGATAGCCCGCTGCGAGCTGTTTTGAAATGATAAGAGTGCTTTGTATTTTTTCTAGAGCGCCTTATCGCTGCAATTATTTCTCTCAGGCAAAGGGGCTAATTTGATGGAACCTCTTTCATTTGACTTTTTCAGTAGTTAAGTTGAATCATGAATCGGATTTTTGTTGACTTGAAAAAGATAATGCAATGACACCCTTATTTTGCTTCATCAATCGAAAGTTCAAACCCTTTTTCTGATGCCCTAAGGGCTGAAATTGCTAATATTGAAATTTTATGCAAGGTTTTAATTCAAAATAAATTTTAAAACGAAAAATAAGGGTTTCGCAATGATAAATTTTTTAAGAAAAATAAAAAGAAGTCTCTTAGAATCGATTTCATTCTTAAGGGGAGGTGCAGAGTTGCAAATTTTGCTTTATTTTAACTGAGCTGAGCTGAGCTGAGCTGAGTGAGTAATTCTCTGAGCTGATAAAGCTGAGCTGAGCTGGCCTATTTCGGAGCTCACTGAGCTGAGCTGAGCTGAGCTGGCCATTTTCAGAGGTCATTGAGCTGAGCTGAGCTGAGCAGACCTATTTTTAAGGTAGTTGAGCTGAGCTGATCTGAGCAGACCCAAATTAGAGCTGAGCTGAGCTGAGTGAGCTGATTTGAGCTATTTTTTACTGTTTTTTAGTAGTGAAATTGTGTTAAAAACATTGAGCTGAGCTGAGCTGAGCTGAATGATACTTGTCTGAGCTGAGCTGAGCTGAGCAGAACAGATGATGCTCGAGAATAATTGAGCTGAGCTTAGCTGAGCTGAGCGATTATTGTCTGAGCTGAGCTGAGCTGAGCAGATAAATTCATTTTCGAAAATCAGTGAGCTGAGCTGAGCTGAGTGACTGCTCAGCTCACTCAGCCAGCTCAGCTCACTCAGCTCAGCAAATTTGCAACTCTCCTCCCGGAGGTGTCTTGAACCGACAAAAATTTCGACAGAATTTGCGTGGAAATTTTAAACCAATCAGAAGCCTGGATTCGCCAAACCGACCAATCACCAGCCGAGTAGCCGCCCACGCAAAATTTGTCGTAATTTTTTTTGTCGGTTCCAGACACCATCCCATTTTTAACCCCTTTTTTCTTCGAAAAATCGAGTGGCGATTTGGCACCCATTGATTTCCTGTAAGTTCAACCGGCGTTCCCATCAAAATTAGCGTCATTTGATTTCCCGTACTGAAACGTGCCCGCTGCGGAATGCTAGAATGGCCATTGCATGTCCGCTGCGGAGACAGTTGCGCCTTTTTTCGCGCCGCTTTCCGCAGTTTTAATGTTTCCCTGACGCCAATTTAGAAATAGCTCTAAGAGTCCAAGTGGCGCAGAAACCGCACAAGTAGAATCTGCGTTGAGAGTATCAAACCAAGAAATGTTCGATTACTGACCCGAGAAGGCGAAAAGTGAAGACGAAATTTCGCGGAATTTTAATCATTTGGAAAGGCAAGGACAAGTTTAATGAAAATTACTAGAGTCAGCAACCTGTGTAGAAAACCTGAGTCAGGGTCTGAAAGCAATACTGAAGATTTGTCAGACCCTGACTCAGGTTTTTCACACAGGTTGCCGAAGCTAGCTGAAAAAAACGATTTTCCGGAAAACCTGAGTCAGGGTCTGAAAAATCTTCAGTATCATTTTCCAGACCCTGACTCAGGTTTTCTTCTCAGCTTGTTGAGCCAAGGAAAATTCACCGTATCAAAAAAAATATTTTCGCCGAAGCATAAATAATCGAGGATTTACCGTGTCAAAGAAGTGTTTTCTTGAGGGATGATCTTTTAAGCCAACTATCAAACACGTTAGCGCAGATAGTCAAACAATCCCTCTTGCCCCAACAAACAACGTTTTCGCTGAAAAACCGTATCTCAAAAAGAATTTTAAAAATCTTATTCTGATTCATCTGGGCTCGGAAACATTTGAAGAAAACCTGAGTCAGGGTCTGAGAGATCTTCCAAAACCTGACTCAGGTTTTCTACACAGGTTTCCGAGCCGAGATTCGTGATTTATGAAAATGCCATCACTCGCCATAATTCCTGTCAATTTGGAAAAAGAAAAAACTCGTGAATCTAAGTTTCCCAAGCTTTCCAAACGAATCATGGCGAAAATTGACTTGCGAGTAGTTGTTTTGCGGTTTTCGCTAAAGTCACAAAACGTGGACAGAAGCCAACTTATGACTTGATTTCGAACTACTGTCGTTTGGAAGGGAAAGAATATTTATGTCGTCGGGGAAATAATGACGTGGTTAAGGTTCTTTGACTCTTCAGAAAGTGGAGTCCGAAAGGAGGAGGCTCTTTTGCCGAACTCTCGAAAAGTGACGTTGGATCAAGAGACCATTACGACTTTCATGTTTTTCGCAAAATTTAAGGCGCTTTTTAATCGCGATTCAAATATCAACCAAATCGAAAAGGTGCTGTAATAGATAAAAATCGAAATTTTGCGCCAATCAAAATCCAGTTATTCGTCTATCAGCCAATCAAAAGCTCAAATTTCAAAATTTTATCAAAATTTATTGTCGAACTAAAAATTTCAGTACAAGTGAAAAGAAAACCAAATTTTTTTAATGAGCCAATCAGCATCCTGAAATTATTTTTTTGATTCATCAAATTATAAAGTCTTTAGTTTTGATCCACATTTTCTTTTTTTTTTGACGCAAAAATCCTCAGAAATGCGGAAAAAAGAGCCATTTTTGACGAAATAAGAGGGTATACCCTTAAATATTTTCCGAGCCGGAAAGAGGTTCCCTTGAATTCGCAAATTCATTCATTTCAAATTCACTTGAGAAAAGTCTAATTTTTAACGACTATTTTCGAATTGAGCGTAATTGTATATTATCAATCCGGCTTGGTATTCAGTTACACAGGTTCTTTTGCGGTTCTCGAGGTTTCTCAAGGGCCAAATAATAATCAACCCTTTTTTCGATTAATTTGAAAAAGAAGCAATAATTTATTTTGGACAGCGAAATCACGTGAGCGAAACAGGCTTATCTCGAGATTAAGATTTTTATCTCTGCAGTAGGGAGGAAAATCCTCGGCACTGACTTAACTTTATCTCGAGTGCGAATTTTGGTTGGTCGGAAGGACCTCTCATCGCGCCGAGGGGAGTGCTGATAACACGTTTTAAAAAGCGCAGCGGGAGATTGAACGGAAATTTCAGCGGTTTCCAAACAACAGCAAAAGAGGGAAAAAAACGGTATCTCTTCGCTCGACTCATTTTTCTGAATGAATAGAATTTGCTGGCAAAGAGTAAACAATTCGATTACTCTTCTTGTTAATAGTTAACCCTTCCCTCTGGCTTTTCTTACCTTAAAAATTGAAGAAATCGACCATGAGAGCCGACGAAAGCGATATTTCAGAGAGTACTCTTGGCGACTATAGAAATGATCCAACTTTGCAGGAAAGCCCGTCGACAGATGCAGCATTTCTTCATAGACTCATGGAACAGATGAATCAAATGAACATAAAGATTAGAAAGCTAGAAGAGGATAAAAGAGCAGAGCAACCGGAGCATCGCCTTGTTTCAAAGAAACGAGAAGACAAAATCGAGGAATTAGAAAAAAATCTGGCGAAAACAAAAGAGGAGAAAAAGTTGCAAGAATTTAGATTCAAAAGAGAAATTGAACGATTAACAGTTGAAAACGAAACCTTAAAAAAACTTTTCAAGATTGACGAAAACAATGGGCGTGTGCAAGAATACAAACGTGTGCAAAAATACCAAGACTTAATAAAGTATAGCTATAGATAAGAAAAAGATAAAGAACACGAACTTATCATACTGTAAGATTCATACATTTCCTGAAAAAATCCAATAAGAAACGTGATGATTCGTGATTTTTTAATAAAAGTGACTTGATTAATTAATTAACAATGATGTTTCAAAAATATTTATTCTCTCTAAAAAAAGGTCATCAAAAAGCACATGGTCTTTTCACTTCAGAAAACAATTTCTATAATTTGCTTTGATACATATAAAGAATAATTTGTTTAATCATTTTCATTCAAAGCATTTTCAAAAACAAGTTGCCTCACTCCGAAGCATCTAACCAGCGTTAAAATCTCCCAAGATCCCCGCCTTGGTATGTTCCACGCATGCTTCTAGCCTCTTTCTATCGCAGAAAAGGAAATCGTACCGAATCGGCTTAGGCGCTGCCGCGTAAGTAGTATACAAACGATCAGGCCGCAGAATCTGAAATGGCAGGAGTCGCCTAGTGGGTGAGCACCAAAACACCAAAATACTTGTGGCTTTCCAACAGCAGCAGGAATTCCGCGCCAGACTTATTGAAATGACCACATGCAGGTTCATCTAAAAATATCGATGATCAAGCAGAAAAAAACGAAGAAGAAAAAATTCAAAAAGCAAAAAAATTGCAACACACGTTATAAAATGCTCGTTTACGGCGAAACTCGGGGTCCTCCAATATCTAGAATGACTTAATGCTTGGCTCTGAACCGGCAATTTCGCGGCGAAATCGTTTTTCATATTTTTGGGAAAATCAATCGTTGAGCGCGAAAGATGATCCAAGTGCTTGATACAACGTCAGCAAGAATCAAAAAAGATAATCTGACAAAAAGGAGGGGGAAAAGGTGTGACGGATTTTCGGGTTTTTCGGTGAGCTCAAATGACAAATCAAAGGTTTCGATCTTTCATGAGTTTTCATGATTTTGAAAATTCGAAGAATTCGCGTCTACAAAAGCAAAAAAGAAAGAACGAGTCGTTTAGCATAACTGTCATTCGATTTGTTTCGGTTTTGTCGAATTCCAGAGTTAGAGGACACTCTGGCGGGCGATAATGGGAGCTGTAAAAGTAGAAGGAAGAATGCGCGGACAGAGCACCTCCAGCTGGAAAAATTGCTTTGATTCCGCAAAGAAAACAACGTGCTCTAATTCGGCAGAATTAAGGACAACCGTTTTTGATAAGCAATTTTAGGAAAGTCGAGATTTCTGCTTTATTTTAAACCTTTTTCTCGAAAAAGACGAATTTTGAAATTTAACCCCCTAGCGTATTTTTGAAAGCTTACCACGCAGGGGTTAAACTTCAAAATGCTTCTTTTTCAAAAAAAAAAAATTATTAACCCTTTCGTATTCTCTCAAAAAACAAGCATTTTGAAATTTAACCCCCGAGCGCATGTCTGAGGACCTGTCGCGCAGGCTTTTTGATTTCTTATGCGCTAGGGGGTTAAATCTATTTGGACTTATAAAATCCTCTTTTTCGCCATTTTCATCAAGTTCGCCTCCTTCAAGAAAGAAAGTAGACCTCTGGTTGTAGGAGCACTCCAATCTCCAACATTGATATCAGCCAGCAGGATACTGATAAGAGCATTCAATGTGCTGGTCGGATTTTTGGAGAAAAACGCGTTTCCAACGAATATAACGAAGTTTATCTCAAATCTCAAGACGTTTTATCAAAACGAAATTGATTTGCCTCAAGACCATTATTTTTGCAACTTCGCAGCAATGGGTTAAATTATTGAAAAAAAAAACGTGTTCTAACGTGTGAGAAAAAGTAAATAAGCCAATTTTTCGGGAATAGCCCGGGAGCTCGCGGGAAACGAGTTTTGTCGAGATCAACTGTCTTCCGGCAGAGACCCTTAGCGAACATTTCCTCAGTTTAGAAAAAGACTAGTGCCCCTGCCAAAGCTGACAATTTGGCAAAACTCAAGATGCGCCATTTCCTCCTTTTTGATTTTTCAATTTTTGTAATCTCCTGCCAAAACGCTCAAAGACGTCACAGCGGAAAAAACACGAGATTAATTTTGAATCGAAAAAGTTCAATTTTTCAATTTTTTTCAAAATTTTGAAAATTAAAAATTTAGTTAAAAAAGTACGTGTTCAAGAAAAAAGGCCATTGATTTTCAATTTTCCAGGGTGAATTCGCTGCTGAATTTTGGACGTCAGTTTTAAGCTAGCGCGAAATTTTACAAAGCTTCGCCTGTTTCCAAATTTTCGGCCGAGTGGGAACTACTAAGTGCGGACATGAAAAAGACCAATTCGCGCGAATGGGTTCACTTTGACAGAATGGAAAAGATGATGCTGAATCGATTCGGTTTAACCCCCTAGCGCATGAAGGACAAAAAAGCGTGCACGAAAAGCTTTTTGAATACGCTAGGGGGTTAAATTTTTCGACGCATGGAAGAAAGGTTTTCCGGCTTCCGGGCTCGAGAACACGTGTAGAAAACCTGACTCAGGATTTGTTTCAAGAGAAAACCCTTACGCAGCTTTTTCTCAAACCTTTAAAGAATCCTGACTCAGGTTTTCTACACAGGTTATTGAGCCGAGAAGTTGGAAAACTTTTGCTTTCCGCGTCTGGGAATTTAACCCCCTAGCGTATGCAGAAAAACTTTTGTATATGATAGTTTGTTTTTCATGCGCTAGGGGGTTAAATATTGTGGGTTTCTTCAAATATAAGTCCAGACTTTTGTTTAAAAAAAAAATAATACAAAATTATCCACACCGGTTATTTTCCTTTTAATCCTTATCTAAATGCAACATGCTAATCAAATTAAAGCGCCTGAAAGAATAAAGCCGTCTGGAGAATTGAACAAGATGGCTTTTACCGCGAAAGCGATAAAATTCACGACTCATGTTCAGTTTCCTCGACGAAGATAAAAAAAAAAAGAAATCGGAAATTGGCGTTCTAATAATTTTCCCGTTTCTATCGGGTTATATAATAATATTTTCAAAAAACGCATTGAAATAGGAACCTTCCATTTTTCGCCTGATCCATTTTCGCGCTCTCTAATGAGTTGATGGAGAGCTGGGAAAGCGGCTTTACGGAAAAATAATGTGACGGGTCAGTGTTGAATTTCAGCATCGTTGATATTCAACGCCTAATTATTCACCGAATTAAAAAAACGAAGGTCGCCAGAGCTTCTGACTCTGGCGAAAAGGGCAGCAAACGAATTTTCCGGAAAAGGGTTATTGTTTTATTTTTCAATTTGAATATGAGTTCATTAAAAGTTGATAAAAAAATGAATATCAGAGATATAGGTCTGATTTCTCTTAAAATTAAAAACCCAAAGAAAAAATTAATCAAAAAACTAGATGTTTCATTTGTTTTTCTCTGAGTTACGGTTTTTGAAACTGATTATTCTCGAATATCTAAAAAAATTGAGCCGTTTTTCTTGGGAATATAATAAACGAAAAAAATACTTTTTAATCTATTTTGAGCATTTTATATAAATTGAAAAAAAAAATTAATTATAATTATTGATTTAAGTTTAATTAACTTTTTAAACATGAAATTTTACAATTCAATGGTTATAAATATAATCAATTCAGTAAAATTCAAATCAATCGCACAAATATCTTCAGAGAAAGCCCTCTTCGCTCGATTAACTCGTTAGCGCCACCTTCGCGCAAAGCGCGCGCCGCGGACCGCGCGGTGGTAGAGGCGCTCTTTTCCGCTTTCGAGAAAAAATTCCAAAAGTCATCAAAACTTCAACTCTTTTCGCCAAACTCACTCGCTTGATTTACTTTTTAATTTTCAAGAAAAAGCTTCCTTATCCAGCCGATAAAGGTCTTCCATAAAAAATAGAGAGATAAATTGCCGCAAAAGAAGAAAATTGCTCAGGAAGAATTTGATAAAACTCAAAGAAAGAAAACAAAATTGAAAAAAAAAACATGATTGCACAAGTGTTGAAAATCCTCTGTTTTGCGGCTCTTTTGGCCAAAACTTCTGCTAGGAGTAAAGGTTCGTTTTCATATCATTTTTTCTTGAAAGAATGAATCTTTTTATGTTTTTTTCCTGATTTTTAGCCAAAAATTATGTGTCTGCCTCATTTTTGGCTCGAAAATCAGTGTAAAAAACCTGAGTCAGGTTCTGAAGTGCTTAAATGAAAAGCCGCGAAGCGGCTTTTTTTTCAAACAAAGCTGCGGAGCGGCTTCGCAAAATTAGCTCTTTATTTTAGTTTTTTAGAAGCTTAGAACCTGACTCAGGTTTTCTTCACAGGCAAAAAGAAAAACAGGCTTATTTTTTTTAGAAAATAATTAGTTGAATGAAAGATAAAAAAAATATCTTAATTAAAAAAAAATCTTTCAAAAACGATTCTGAAATGCAAATTGAGCATATTCTTTTTGCGTGTCACACAAAATTGAGCATTTGCAGCAATGCGCAGTTGTAAATAGCTATTGTGTTTTTCGCTTTCGAAAAAAACGTGTTTCATTTAGTCGAAAATGTGGAAGGCCTTTGTACGCCAGAAAACGACCCCGGCTGCGATCACATTTGCGTCATGAATCCTCTTTACGGCGCGCTCTGCAATTGCCATTTCGGATACAAGGTGAGTTGATACAACTCTCATTCTAAAAACCTTCATCTTTCTCTTTTAAAAATCCATTAAACCCGATTTTTTTTCGATCAATATTTTCTTAGATTTCGTGTTCTTCTGTTTTGACAGCGTTTTCTCAGTTCCTTTTAATCAAAACACCTCGTTTTCCAACAAAAGAAAATCAGTTGGAAAGAGTAGTTTTTGCTCTGGAAACATGAATTTCATTCAGCTCTCCTTTTTTTCCGTGGAAGGGACGTTCAAGCACTTTGGTTCTTTGGCACTTGGCAAGTTAATTTTAATTTTTTGACGGGAGATTTCTTTTTTATTCTTTTTTTTTCAATGATTATTCAATTTTGCCGAAGATTTAATAAAAAAATGGAATGGTGTCTTGAACCGACAAAAATTTCGACAACTTTTGCGTGGAAATTTTCAACTAATCAGAAGCCTGGATTGGCAAACCGGTCAATCAGCAGCCGAGTAGCCGCCCACGCAAAATTTGTCGAAATATTTTTGACTCAAATGCTGTGCGCGCTCATTTGCTCAGGCGCTCAAATGCTCGGACGCTCTTTTGCACGGACACGAGCGAAAGAGTGTCCAAGCGAATGAGCGTTTGATTTAATTGGTCGACGATGAAAAATGTTATACAGGACATAAACCATGATTTAGTGGTGCCAATTCTTAGAGTTTTATCGAAATAAATTCGGAACAATTTCGAAAAACACGAAATCATCGGGAAGAAATGAAAATGGACATTATTTTTTTTTTCAATAAGTCATCAAGTGTTATGTAATAATTGTTCAGAATTGTTAAGATGATCACACAATGAGTCATTTTAGCGTATATTTAGAAAATACAGCATTTAGAGTGATAATACGCTGGTGATCACTTTTAATTGTTTATTTTCGGAGAAATATTCTTGTGCTAATTTTCGACCAATTAAATCAAACGCTCATTCGCTTTGGACACTCTTTCGCTCGTGTCCGAGCAAAAGAGCGTCCGAGCATTTGAGCGCCTGAGCAAATGAGCGCGCACAGCATTTGAGTGTGCTCCGTTCAAGGCACCATCCCAAAAAAATTCGTTCAAACTCCCTTAATTTTTTTTCAATTGGAAGTTGAGACCCTTAAATCTATTCTCGTCAGGCAATAATGAAACAAAAAAAAATTACCGTTATTAAAAATTTTACATCATGCGAATTTGTTTCTAAAAAGGTCATTATTAGCTCTCAAGTAAATTGCGCTGGCCTTTTCACACGTTAGTCCCTTAATTTCTGTTTTCGCTCCCCCATTTCGCGTTTCGGGTTGCTGCTCTTTGCCAAATAGAGAAGCTGGCATTTGTGGCCGGGCCCAGAAATTACTCAACACACGCAAAACGACGAATTTGTCGCTTTCTAATTCCGACCCTTGAAGGTTAAGCTGTTCAACATTAATCGACTTTTTTCAAACTCGGCAACCAGGAATACTGAACAACGGAATTCATGAAAAAAAAAGGAAATTTTGTAGAAAATTTTATAAAAGAGGAGTATCTCAATGAATTTTTCTGACAAAAAGCAATTGAGGATATCAATAACTTTGAATTTTTTTTAAATCGGGATTGTTATAAACTTACATTAAAAAACTAATAAAAATAAAATCTTGCTTTTAATAAGGGTGTGACTTTGCTATTTGAGAAAAAAATTTTAATTTTTGATGTGTAGACCCTTAAGTTTTCATAATTTTCTAAAAAGAACGGGTTTGTTTTTCCAGCGCTGCAGTAAATCCCAATTTGCGACTATAATTTCTCGAAAACGTAAATTTCGAAAAATGACCATAATTTCGTTTAGCTTTATGAAGATAAGAAAACATGCGTTCTAACTCGCGAAATCCTCGAAGCTGGAGAGCGTGAGCTCGAAGAAAACTACGCCGTCCCTGTCGCCATTATCTGCCTTGTCGGCGCGCTAGGTAAAGAAATGTTAAAGAAAAAAGGGGGGCAATTATAACACCCAGCCTCGTGTTGCTCGAAAAGATAAAAGAGACTCTCCTGACAAGTCTGGGGGGAAATATGGATAGATAGATGTAATTATACACTGATAAGAAAAGACCCACACGTTTCAATTTTTACAGTTCAGTCGGACTTCTCACTGTAAGAAATTTGATGAAAATTTATTGAGAAGTTAAAATAACCAATCAAAATGAGTATTTTTTGTTCAAGATTGCCGACTCGGAGTCGAAAAAAAAAATATCGACAAATTTCGCTTGGAAATTTTCAGCCAATCAAAAGCCTTCATTCGGCTAACCGGCCAATCAGCAGCCGAGTAGCCGCCCACGCAAGATTTTTTCGAAATTTTTGTCGATTTCTGATTGGTCAAGCGCTTCTTATTGATTTTTTTTTGAGCGAAAGTGATGATTTTTGTCACTCTCTTGTCTCTATTTCTATTTTTATCACTTTTCGAATACAACTAGAAATTCTGTAAAACAAATTTTGTCAACAAAAAGTAAACCCCGGTCTAATCACGATTGTCAAAAAAGGGTTCTTGTAACTCTTTGCCTTTCTGGGAAATAACGTGGGGAGGAGCCATAACAATCTTATCGCCTCGACTTGGATGCTTCGTTTTTTACTGATAAGCGCAAATTTTCTTTGTACTTGAGTACTATTAAAAAATCCCGATAACAGTCATTTGCCTTTTTGATTATGTAATAAACGTCGATTTAATTTCTGTTTTCAGTGATTTTCATCATGTCGGCAGTCACGTGGTATTGCGTCACTAGAACTCCTGAAAGCTATCCTGCCTCGGTAATCGTATCGAATTATTAAGGAGCTCCTTTACCTAAAACAACTTGCAATTGCCCATAAATATTATTCCCGAAACTAAAATTTAAAATCACTTTCATTAAAAAAAAATTATCGATTACGTAAAAAATTGCACATTTAATTAAAAAAACTCAGTTTTGAGTCAAAAAACTTGAGTTACCAATAAATCAGCTTTCGACTCAAAATCTAATTTTTCGACTCAAAAAATTATTTTTTAGTCAAAAATGAGGAAAAATCGGCTCGAGCCGACAAAGAAAATGCGAAAAATTTTTAGCCAATCAGAAAGCTGGCTTTGGCCTTTAGGCCAATCAGCAGCTTCAAATAGCGCCAACGCAAATTTTGTCGCTATTTTTTGTCGACGCGACCTTCCTCGGAAAAAATCGCCATTTTTGTAAATAAACTAAAATCAATATGAAATGAGCATATTTCAAAAATTCTCATTTCAAATTTCCAAATTTAAAATTTCCGAATTTTCAAAAAAGCCGTTTCAAAAAAGGGCCGTAAAGGAGATCAAGAAATGACGAAAGCAAAAACCACCGCGAAAAAACACGTGACAAAATCAAGAAAAAAAAAGACAACGACAGAGGCTGTACAAATGAAGATTCCAATTTATTCTGTCAATAAACAAAAACTTCTAACTTTCAAAAACGTCTCTTTTTCGCAGAAGGTGTGTGGAACCGACAAAAAATTTTGAAAAATTTTCCGTGGTAATTTTCAACCAATCAGTAGCCTGGATTCGGAAAACCGGCCAATCAGCAGCCGAGTAGCCACCCACGGAAAATTTGTCGAAATTTTTAGTCGGTTCCAGACACCTTCCTTTTTGATTGGTCGGTACTACCGACTCGGCAAAATACAGCAATCTTATTGGTTTAGATCTTTTTTGGATTACCAATTAGATTGCTGTATTTGGCCTACCGGCCAATCAAAACCATGATCCATAAAATCACTTTAATGAATTCGTTTCACCCAATGAAAACCCTATTATACCTATAATTATTTAAATTTAGATTTTTGAGCGAAAACTTATAGAAAAAAATTCCCTGAGAAAAACCACTTGATCGTCCAAATCATTTTAAGCAACTGGAAATAGATTCAAATCTTTCTAATTTCGTCAAATATCTCGCGATCACATGGCGCTCAAGCTGCCACAAGTAGCGGTACTGGCTCCGCTAAACGAGTGCTCTAACAAGGCTTATGCGCTGTTTTCGCGGTTTTTGAAAAAATAAAAAAGACCGAAACTGTGTTTTTAGACAGTTGAAGGGTAAATAAAAAGAGCTTGGGCGGTTTACTTTGGTTGTTGTCCGAAAATCAAAGAAAAAGAAACAGGTCGAGAGAGGGTTAAATTCATTTGTTCTCTTTTCGACAAATTCAATCTTAAGGGTGTCACAGTATAAATTTTTAAAGAGAGTGAGAGCTCAAAAGAAACCATCTTACCGATGATTTTTGATGATTGCCCCGAAAACAAAAGCCCGAATAAGCGACACCAAGCGAGCAGTTTTCATTTTCCTTCTTGCCTGGAGGACCCCTCTTGCTGGAAAAATTTAAAATAAAAAGAAGAGTAATCTTTTTCGAAGAATTTTTCAATTTACAAACTGTAACTGATTTCACTGGATTTATTCAAAGAAAAAAAATCATGTGAGACTTCAGAGGACCCCGGAGGACCTCACCTGATGGAAGATCTTGAAAACAAGAAGAAACCTAGCAGAATTTTTTTATGAGAAAAAAAAATATTTCTCAAAATCGAAAGTCAATTCCCAGTCAAAAAATCGTGGAGTGGAATTTAATCCCATAGGCTGGCGCGTCTTAAGCCGCCGAAATTACAATTTGGAAATCGTAATTACACCGCCCTGCAAAAATGTTTTTCCATGACGCGGTTGGCCAGTTCCTAACGAAAATAATCGGCGACGTTTTTCATACTTCGCGGACTCGTGGAAAAAGGTCGCAGCCTTCCGCTGATTTTCGGCGGTTTTGGAGAGAGCATCGCGGGGATCAAAAACGGATTATCGAGATGACCAGTCAAAATAATTCAAAAATCATAATTTCTGGAAAAAACAGACTTAACCAACTTATGGAAAAGAATTTTTAATGACCAATTTTGCCAACCGGCCAATCAAAACCCTGATCTTTAAAATCACTTTCATAAACCCGAAAATTTGATTTTATGGGTCATGGTTTTGATTGGCTGGTAGGCGAAATACAGCAATCTTATTGGTTATCCGAAAATGCACTTTTATAAATTGGTTAATTCCACATTTTCTTCCTTAAAATGTCTGAATACAACCTCCCAAAGAAATCCAATAAGCCGTAGCCGCGAAAAACTTCCAGATCGCCGGAGAAATATGTATGTGGGTAGGAAAATGCTCGTCGCGATGAAAATTGCTATTTCCAAAACGGTGAGAACTCGCGGCGCGGATGGAACTTCTTTCGGCTTATTTTGTTTACCGCGAGCGAGCTCGAAAACAAGTAGTAATTTTTTTCCTCAAATTTTTTCTCAAATTTTTCTTGAAAAATGTTAATTTCTTTCAAAAGCAATCAGGAGAGTTATAGCGCTTGTGAAATTGAAGGAAACTCAATTTTCGAGTTTTGCTTATCGGGTTCCACCACAGTCGTCATCAAAGAAGCTTGTTATTAGGTCGGAATAAGCGATTCTAGGGCGCGTTCTAAGGAAGCGATTTTCGCTGAAAACATAAATACGACTGCGTCATCAAAGAATACAGATTTTATTCAAAAACAAGGATCGGAGCTTTCAAAAGAACTGCTATTTGCGCTGCAATAAAATATTTTTCCTTGAAGTTGACTTTTATTTGATGAAGATGAAAAAATGAAGATTGAAATCAAAATTTGAAAAGTTGTCGATTACGTGAAACGCTAATCTTGTGAAATCGGCCGCGAAAGTAGCGAGATAATCTTATCTCAAAATTTTAAGCTGTAGCGTTAGAAAAACGTAAGATTTTGGGCTGCGGATAATTAGGGATTACGGCTTTGTCAGAAAAGAAGGAAGAGAGGAAAAAGTTGTGGAATACTTTCTTTTGGAGAGCTCACTTTTTCGCGCCGCGCAAAGGCTGAAATTAAGCCCTTTTTGATAAGGTACGAGCTTTATCGCCAGAGTTTTCTAAACGTTCTTCGTTTTTCGAGCTTTTTCTAACTGTCAGTCAGTCAAAATAACTTCCAGTTCTAAAAACTTACTGTAAAAAGCAAAATTTTTGATAAAAATTATTTTCTAGAATAATTCTAGAATTCTTCGAAAAATAACAAAATCATTTTAGAATCGAAAATTTACTAAAAAATATTTGAAAACTATATATTTTGTAAATTTTTATTCGTTTTAGTTAATCATAAAATTAAAATCAAACTAAAATTTTTGCCTTAAAAATTAATAAAAAATAAGCTTTACAACGAATTCATAAGGGCGTCACGAAAAAAAGTGATCTTTGAAAAGCGACTACTTTCAAAACGCTCATTGTCCAATTTAAGTCGACAAAATTAAAAATTATCAATTTTAAATGATTATTTTGATAATTAAATTGCTAGTTTGATTTTAAATTTCACATAAGCGAGCTTTTTATAATACAAAGATAATTTAATAATTTTGAATTGGCCGGAAAAAATATAAATTTTTAGCCTTCGAACAGCCATAACTCGCGTGATACTTTATGAAATCAAGCGATGAAGATATCAATCGAAAGCTTAGATTCTGAGGATTGGGGCAACGTAAAAATTATTATGTAAAATCGACTTTTCTGATTGGCCGAAAATTTGAAATAATTATTTTGCCAGTGAAAATAATTTTTTTTCAAATTTCTTTTTCTTGCCCCATTCGTCAGAAGCTGAGCTTTTCACAGATATTTTAATCATATGATTTCATCAATTCTAGCGTGAGATATGTCAGTTCGTAGGAATTTCAAAAAAATGTTCGTGCGCCTCAGGCTATGATAAGAGGTTTTTTTCAGGTGATTTCGGGAGCTCGATAAGCCATAAAAACAACCCTATAAATAGGGTAAATCACTAATAAATCGACTTTTTTTTTGGCTTAGTAGGGGGGTCATATAATACATGATCCCCAGCTTCTGGGGATTCTAAAAATGTATTATACGCCCACCGTACTTAGCTAGAAAAAAAGCTCAATTATTAGTGATTTCCCCTACCTATAAATGATTTCTGTCAAAGACAAAATTTTTGTCAAAATCGAAAATTTATATTTTTTCCGGCCATTTTTACCAAGCTTGTTATCATTTTTCTATTTCTGATTGATTTATAGAAATAACAAATTCTAGAAAACATGAAATTTAAAAATTATCATTATTATTCAGTAAATTTTTTATGGATTTTGCTCAGTCGAAAATGAATTATTCAAACTCAAAATAGATTTTTAACGCTAACAATCTTTTAGTTATCCTACTAAAAAGGGGCTTCTAGCGCTAAAATCGCTAAATGAAGAGTGTTTTTGTCGACCTAGAAGAAGCTTCTTAATTCGATTAAAATAGGCAAAGAACTGGTCAAACAAATTTTTTACAGGAAAGAACATTCAAAAATAAGCGTATTTTGACTTTATAAAAATAATTTAAATATCAAAAAAATTAATAAAAAAAACTTTAATTCAGCCGAATCAACCTTCCTCATTTTCGTAAAAATTCTTTTCTAGAATCTTCAACCGATAAAAGAACTGTAAACAAATTGGCTATAGAAAAATTCGAAATAAATTTATCTTGAATGAGTTTACGGGAAAACTTACAGACGAGACTGGTCAGCTCGATGGCCGTAATCTCGTGTCTGGTTGAATTTTTATATCAGATTTGAAATATTTCAGCTGCCCGAAAAAAATGTAAATTCCTCTACTCACACATCTAGAATCGTGACGAGGCGCAAATTCCAGGATTTCAAAGATTTTAATGGGATCACCAAAATCTGTCCAAGCCAGATGGACAGGATTACATACAGTTCTAGCGCTCTGGTTCAGTTTTTCAACGATCAAAGATGTGTTTTTCAAGCACCATCTTTTTCTTCTCGAATTTCTTGTAGAAGAAAGCGCCCAAAAATGCAAAGAAAGCCGAGTTGTATTTGTGATCCTCTTATTTCGTGCATCGTGCTAGCGGATTTACTCATGAAAGCGAGATAAAATTACCAGATCGCCTGGGCCATCCAAAAAGCGGCTTCGCCGGATTACGCAATCTACATCTTTTAGAGTGCCCAGTTTGACAAGGCGATCGAAGATAAAGCGCAGCAGTTTTAGAATTGTTAAGAAGGGCGCGCCCAGATTCACGTTTTCAGATTTCTATTCTTGGAATTTTTGAGTCGAAACTTTTTGGAATTGATGATTTGAATTCTGCTTACTTTCACTGTTGCCTGAGTATCTGTGTTCGAAACCTGAGTCAGGGTCTAAAGGATCCTTAAAGAAAACCCGCGTTTTTCCCTGACTCAGGTTATTTACACAGGTTTTCGAGAAATTACTATTTTAAACAAACCATTTTCCAATCAAGTATCTCCATCAAGAAAATCCAAATTCTTGCCATCTGGTCCGGTCAAGACCCAAGGAGATCATCTTCCGAGCCGACTTTAATTATCCGGCATTCTTTGACCCAAGCAGCCGGCCGTATTCGTTAGCCACGTGTTTCCCTCTGACCGAATCTTCGAATTAGAGACAGTCTTCCTCATCGCAATGACTCAAATCACGTGGATCATCCACCCCGAAGTTGGCAATTTCACAATCTGCTAGATTCTAGCGAGGAAGCAATGAGGAACCACAAATGTCCGTGTTGAGTCTCTTTTTTTCAACCTGAGTCGCTAAAATTTCGTCAAAAAAAAAGAGCAAAACGAGAAATTGTAACAAAATGTCGCTTGCTGGATCGATTTTCGCCGAGCGACAAGGCAAAGCAAATGTAAGTTGAGAAAACAAGAAAAGTTATGACAAGGAGTTTTTATGCAATTTAAGGACTTTATGCTTGATGAAATGCACCGCCGAAGGGTTGAGAAGGATATTGCTGATCTGAAGAAACTCATCGGTAACTTAAAGAATCTGATACAGGGTGTAAGAGAGCATGATCGAAAATGGAAGTGACTTTCTCGATTAGGGTTTTGATTGGCCGGTAGGCAAAATACAGCAATCTTATTGGTAATCCAGAAAAATGCACAATCGTTTTTTGATTTAATCAGTCAAAAAGAGTTAAAATAAGAAGCCGCGGAGCGGCTTTTTTTCAGAAACGAAGCCGCAAAGCGGCTTCGCCATAATATATCATCTTAACCTAAAATTTGATTTTTACAAAGCCGTTTCGCGACTTTGTAATTGAAAAAGCCGCTACGCGGCTTTTTATTTTGGAATTTTTGAATTGAAGTTTGAGGATAGGATTTCGAATCATATTTTAAAAATATAAATTGTAGATCAACATTTCGAGCAGCGAAAAAAAGACGAAGAAGATTTGGAAGGTTTGAGAAAGCGGATCGAAAATCGCAAAATCGTTCGAGAGGAGCAAATCGAAGCTCGAAACAAAAACTCAAAGCTCGGGAAGCTCAGCTCGCGCTAGAAAAGGAGAAGCGAGAAGCGATCGAGAATCGAAGAAAGCAGGAAGAAGAGGAGAGGAAAAAAGCGACGATGGCGGCGATTCAGTACGCTACTTCCAATCCCAAAAAGCGGCTTCAGAAGGTTTCTGCCGATTTTGAAATTTTTGTTTTTGAAGTTTTTTTTTGACTAGAAAGGAGGAAACAAGCAGGAAAAGAAAAAAGTGCTCGCTGCTCGGCGAAAAAACGGCAATATCGACCACCTTTCCGGCGCCCAACTTGCCGAAAAAGCGCTAGAATTTTTCAACCACTTTTCTGAAATCAACGAAGACAAATACAACCTCGAAATTTTGCTCGAAAAACATCAATACAACCTGAAGGTAAAGCTGATTCATCGCTTTATTTATGATTTGTAGCTTTTGCGACAACGAGTTCACGATTTGGTCGGGCGACAGAATAAAATCAACACGCGAAAATGATTTTTGACAAAATTTGATGAAAATAAATTTGTTATTTTGACGAATTTTAAAACTCTATTCAAGAAAACAAACGAATTCGTATTCGCATAAATCGAGCATAAACACCCTTTCTTCTAAAAATGGAGCTTTTTTTTCAACTTGTATTTTTGCTGAGAAAAAATCAATCAGAAGATTTCACTTCACTCTATTCTCAAGAGGACTTAACCGTTGATCTTCCAGCTGATTGAACAACTTATTTTCCCGCTTATTCTTCCCATGATTCTTCTGCCGATATAACAATCAGCGCTAAAGACTCAGGTGAATAGGACATAACAACTTTTTCGCCAGAGGATTTCATCTCAACTTCTGAAATCATATAATATAATTTCAAAAAAATTTTTGCGGGTCCGGAAATCATAAAAAATCTGAAAGTGCAGTTTTCTTGAGCTCGTCGAGACGAGTCGAATGATGGGTCAAACTTTTGATGACTCCAATGATTAACCGGTTAGCCGGCAATTTCCCGGAAAATACATTTCCGGTCGCCGTTTTTTGTTCTAGAAATGCTAGAATGACAAAAAACGCGGGAAACTGGTCCTTGAAGTTAGTTCTTCTGTGGGTGAAAAAATGAGAATCATATCTCTAACAATAAGATGCTTATCACCAAAATTCTATTTTCTTATGAAAATGGGACCGAAAATTAGGAAGGTGCAGCAACAACGAAATACATACAAAATTTAGAATTTTTATCGTTAACAAAAGTTTCGCTATATATTTGACCAATATCTTTTTGCCCACAGTAGAACTGACCATAAGGATCAGTTTCCGGGTTCATTCATCATCCTAGCATTTCTAGAACAAAAACGGCGAGCGGAAACGTATTTTCCGGTAACAAGCCGGTTAACCGGTCAATCCTTGGAGTTATCAAGAGTTTGACCCACCATTCGACTCGTCTCAACAAGCTGAAGAAAACTGCACTTTCAGAATTTTTACGATTTTCAGACCCGCAAAAATTTTTTTGAAATTATCATATCTTCTACAATATATTCTTCTTCCGAAATGTCAACGATGACATCATTAACAAGAACAACAACTATATCGAGTCGATGAACCACCACAAAATAAATTATTTGATTTTTTGAAATGGAGTTTGTTGAGCATTCATAACATTTTATACGAATTTTTTAAACAGTTGAAAAAAACTGGTGAAATCGTATCAATTTTACACTAAGAGATGCAGTAGTTAATAGGAGATAAAAAAATAATCGGATTCGCTACATCTGTTCCCTGATTTGCAATAATTTGAGTGGTAACATTTTCTTCGCTTGAGTCTTTTCAAAAGCTCCAGAAAACTAGCTAAACTAAACTAGCTCCAGTAAATTATTAGATGGTTTTCATTTCTTACGCCGCAGATTTTGGTCATCCCGCCAAGCTTTGTGCAACTTGGAAAGATGGCGATCTGAAAGAAGAAATATATTACCCATCGGCGTTTGGTTTGCGTCCTTTAAAATGCTTGGAGACCTTGACCTAAAAATTTAATCTTTTCAATCGAAAAGTATGAGCCAGAAGTATAGCCTGGAAATATGAAGATAGAGTTGTCGATAAATATTGCTGATGAACGAAATAAACCCTGAAAAACAAAATTTACGACAATAATTATATTTTCATAAAAGATTCTTTAAAAGATGAGATCGATAACTTATCGACGATAAGAGAATAAAAATCAAATATAATAAATTTATAAGTATTAATTTATTAATTAATTAATACTAAATTTTAATCAAATAATTTTTTCGAAAATCAAAAATATATTAACCTGCGTAAGAGAGCCGATCAATGACCATTTGCCGTCCATTAATCGCCAAATTTTATCTTTTGAATCCCGACCTCCAATTGTTAAAAGACTACCAAAAGGCAATCCAATAGCACAAAAATTTTTAATATCTCTAATATTTTTGAAGACATTTCCTTTTTTTTAGCGCTAACCTTGGATGCCGTTGTAAAAATTTCCAACCATCTTTCATCAAAGCCTCGACTGCTCCGTCTGCATCGAATCCTCCTATTGCGGTCGGTCGATTTTTGTAAAGGCCTAATTCCCCGTACCAATGAATGCCTCTTGTTTGAAAAGTCTTTTCAACTGAGAATCCATTAAATAATTGGCACTGCCGTTCAGTGGATAATTCAAAACAAATCAAAGCTAGAAATGTTTAAAAGAGAATATTTTAAATGGGAGACACTGAATTGTGCCGCCCTTCGCCGCATTGCGCCGCCCTGCGCCGCCTAGCCAGGGTGCTCGATTCGTCAGAAATTTTTGATTTTGACGGACGAGACTGAACAATTTTGGGCTGGACGGACGAAAAACGGACGAAAACGAGGACGAAAAAAAACTCGTCGAGCTTGTCAAGACGAAAACCGAAAAAAACTCGTCCCGCTCGTCCAGCCGAAAAACGAGAAAAAAATTCGTTGAGCTCGTCTAACTGAAATCCAAAATTACTCGTCGCCCGGCATCGCCGGATCCGAAGATATTTTGTGTCAACTTAGTTGTTCTGACATATTTATAGTGTCTTAAAATTAAAAAAAGGTTAACCTATAATTAAGGGTGCCAGTAGAGTTATTCTCAACCAAACTCATATTTCGGCTGAAATCACGATTTAATTGAGTATTAGAGCAGTAGAGAACCCATTGGGTCGTCGGGGCCCAACTCTTGTCTTGTTCAGAATTGTTTGGGCGGCGCAAGGCGGTGCAGGGCGGCACAATTCAGTACCCCCCTTTTAAATTAACACCTTTACTGCCTTTGTCGAAAGTTAAAGCTGAATGTCCATTCCCTAAAGGGAAAGACAATCTCACAGATAAAATTCTCAATTGGCATCCGTCTAGCCGGACAACCTGAAAGAAAAATATTTGAGATGAACACCTTCATAACTTTTCTTGTTACTTGATAGGGATCATAGAATCCACCAAAGATGTGAAGCTGACCATTGACTATTGCGTGCCTCGATTCGTAAAGATATTGAGAAATACAGCCGTCGTAAGAAAACGGAAGTGAAAAGGATACGTCGCTTTGAATTGATCCATCTAATGATATTCCGTAAGGCTGTAAATTTCCTATATAAGTAGGAAGTATGACATTTATTTTTGAAGTCGATTCGGTTATGTGAAAAAAGTTATTAATTCTAGTTGCACGATCGATCTTGAAGATTCGGATTTTCTTATTTTTGATAATTTCAAGACCTCTCATTCCGTTTTTCAAGCTAGTTTTATTCATATCCACGCGATTCTTTCAAGTTTGAAGAAATGTTAAAAAGATTAAAAATACAATGACCTCGAACTTTTCCTCAAAAACTTCGACGGCAGAATTATAAGTATCTAAAAAAAATCCGAGTTCTGTCAACTCTGAAATATTTGACTGCAGCAAAACGCGTTCTTCGAAAAAGTCAGAATCCATCCAAATAGAGCCGTTGCCGTAAATTCCGAAATCGAAAAGAGTCGTTTCATCAAAAAATTGGAAAGACATTATTTCTATCTCATCGGAAAATTGAAGTTTCATCTCTTCAAAGTCTATTTTCAGCTCAAATTTGTTTTCTCCGGTCAAATCGATTTGAAGTGTAGAGATATGTTTTAATTCTTCGAGCGCCGCAAAAGATTCATTATTGAATTTATCCGGAACGATGGTTTTGAAGAAAAAACTGGGGATCGGAAATCGAGACTGCCTAACTGCGTTTTTCGCAAAAGCTGGAAAGACATCGTCGTGAAAGGCGAAGTAGGGATTGCTTGTTACGTGCATTGTCTTTTTCACTTTTTTTTGTACAAATTCGAGGTCTATTTTCTCTTTTGAAGGATTTTTAATCGGTCAAAAAAGTTGTTTTTTTATGTTTAGTAATACTAAATTAGTATCCCTTCCGAAGTTGAACTCGATCGCAAAAACGAAATCGAAAACGTAGTTTTGAATGAATATTCTTTCGTCATTAACAAATCCATTTCCGAAGTACTCGCACTCATCGTTAATGAGTCCACCCGTATTCGTATAGAAGGGATCATCAGCCGAAAATAATTGAGAATAGCAAAACGACTTTCCTTCATATTTAACAAGAGAACCCAACCATTCATTGCCGAGAGCAGGGATGGTAAATTAGCGCACTATTTTCTCTCGAAGAGAAAAAAATTAGCGCACTAATTTTTTTTTTCGAGACATTTTTGCGTCTTTCGCGTCTTTAGTGCGCTAAAATGACACTAATTTTTCCCCCCGGAAATTTTCGAGTCTTTTCGAGAGCTGATCAGCGCTAAAGACGCGAAAAAAGAGGCTCTTTTCATCATCCAATGGGCTCTTCCCGGATGACAGTTTCGTGGAAGACGATCGCTGTCCTCAACAGTCTATGAAGGTAAAGCAGCCTTGACTGATATGTTCTACTTTCGTGGTCTATGAGCTCTTCTCAGTAGAAGGGAGGTCTCCTCCCAAATTCACGCTTAGTTGATAAGTTATCAACAACAGTTAAACTGCTACTGAAGAACTCCTCGCAAAGCAGACTATTGAGGACATCGAAGATTTGAAATTATGAAGAACAAGCTGCGGATAGCCCTTCAAGAAAAAAATTAGGGAGAAGACCTCCCTAAGAAATCTATTCTAAGGCTAAGAGTCTAAGATTATCATTCAAATCCAGCACAGAAAGAGTGGCAAACAAAAGTTGAATTATATTTTTCCCTATTTAATATCGGCTATATTTATTTCTTTATATTTATAAATAAAATTAACAAATGGATCGATAAAGTCTTTTTTGACTTCATATTAGAAATTCACGCCCTCGATTACCCTATCCACTTTATTGAAACCAACCTTTTTGAAATTCTAGTTCAAACAAAGTTTGAAATTCTCAAACTTACGTATACTTTAGAATTAAAGAGCCCGCGCTCATTGGCAGGCCAATCAGCAGCCCTTAATTTCGACAGTTTTCGAGACACACGCGAAAGACACGCGAAAGTCGCTAAAAGTCTCGACAAAATAAATTCGCGCACTAATTTTAGCGCACTAAAAATTTTCGACAGATTTTAGGACGCGAATTTACCAGCCCTGGCCGAGAGTAAGAAAATTTCCGTCCACCTCTAACAAAATCGAGTACAGAGTGTTTGAAAGTGCAAAGCTTCTTGAAACGAGAATCAGCATCAGTCGACCAACATCGATCTTTCGTCGAGTTTCATTTAAAAATTCTTGTGACCGGGTACCGCCCTTTATCAGTTGTAAAACTCGTTTCAATGGGACCACATGAACTGGGTCCAAATCTCTTATTTCTGCCGGAAGTCCAAAATCGCCCTTTCTCCAGCCTTTTTCCAATTCTTCGCTCTTTCTTATTCGATTGAGAGCAACTGTCGTTGAAAGCTGGATCCATTTTTCGCCCATCCGGACGCTCATCAGGAAGAAATGCCCCTTGAAGCTGACGGATGAGGTTTTCGCGTTAAAATGATTGCTTGCAATGTAACGGTTGTAGGTGGTCATGAGGGTACATTTACCCTCGTTCGCTCAGATTCATGAACAAGGGTACACGTACCCCCGTTCGCTCTTTTCCTCGAACAAGGGTACCGGTACCCCCGTTCGCTTTGTTCCTTGAACAAGGGTACAAGTACCCCCGTTCGCTTTAATCCCTGAACAAGGGTACAGGTTCATCTTTTCCTTCTTGTTGATCGTCTCTAGAGCTTGTTGTTGTTGATGCTTCGATTTAATCATTTTAAAATTACTTCGCTAAAACTCTTAGCCTAAGAGAATGAGTGATTTAAGTAAAATTTCAATTCAAAAACTAAAGAATATGAAGAGAAAAATTGATGGAATCCTTACGGTACTTAAAATTATCATTATATTATAAACAATAAATAAAGAATCCCGCTTCAACGCAGCAACAAAACGGCTTCAAAGATGGAAACGGTGCACCTTCTGTTCTCCAAGCAAATCCACTGCAGGATGATTCCTTATCGGACTCTGAGCTGGATGAAATTCTTAATCAGCGAAGTCCTTCATACAATTTTATTCAAGATGAAATTGAATATGAAGATGTTGACGAGGTTTTTATAGAATTCAATTCAAAAATAATTTTTGTATAAGGACTTTCCTATGGCTTGTGGCGACCAATACGCTCAGGAGTCGAACCAATACGCTCAAGAGTCGAACCAATACGCTCAGGAGTCGAACCAGTACCCTCAGGAGTCGAACCAATATGCTCAGCAATCGAACCAGAAGCCTTCTTTGGTGTCTGTGGTGGCATCAAGGAAGAATGCCACACATTTGATGATAAATGACGATCGTGTATCTGAATACAAAATTTCTTATTCTACGAAGAAGAAGTTTATTTTCGAATGCTGCAAATTGACTTCTGAAGGAAAAACTTGTCCGAAGAAATATGATGTTACAATCGATCCTGCTCTAACTTCTCTTCATACGAAAGAGAGAAAAAATGGAAGAAGTCAGACATATTTGGTGATAAATCAAAATGTCAATAAAAATATTCTCTTCGACAAGTCCTTCTACAAAGTTGAGGCGACAGAAGCACAACTACAACTATCCCACACATGCTGTGATGCACCAGATCAAGAAAATATGGAGAAAGAAATTATAACGAAGATAAAAACATATCTTTACGATAACTTTCAAGCCCTCAAATTCTCAAGTCCGAACAGTATTAAGCGACAAGTATTGGAGATTCTATCTGAAGATTATACGTATGATGAACTAGTCATGGCTTTTCCCAATCAGCAACAATGGGAGCAACTATATCGTTATTATCGTGAGACTAATGTGCCTGTTCGTGGAGCTCTTGACGATATTGAAAATTTCCAATTCAAACCAGAAGATTTTCTTGTCAATTCAAAAACAATTGTCCATCAAGAAGGGCCCGACTTATATTTTTACGATACTGATACGATCAAAGAATGCTCAGATATTTCTGTAATTCAAGCAGGTATGAGATTCAATCTCATTTACCTCATTTATTCTCTTCATTTACCTTTGGTCTTTCCAAGATTGTCGACTAGACATCAATATTGTTGGTCCAAGATTGTCGATTCTAAAAAAAACACAATCAAACGGAACTGTTAATCAAAAAACTTATTCAAACGGAACTGTTAATCATAATTTTATTCAAGATGGAACGAGCTGGCGTGGATGGGGAATTCATTTTGATCAACTCTGTAATCTGCTAGTTCGAATTAAAACAAAAGATGGTGGCTACAAGTCTACCCTTCTCTTCAGCTGTCTCCACCGTGGCCGTTATGAAGAAGATTACCGCCGAGTTTTTGGCCATATGGCTTCAGTTTATAAAAAAATAGTAGGTAAAGATCTTAGTTGTAATTTACTTCTCACGGATTCGGAAAAGGCTCTTAGGAATAGTATTAGGGATAATGTAGGGCATAAGTTTATTAAGAATTGTTTCTTTCACTTTTCGAAAAACCAGAAAGACAATTTTAAAAAGGGTGGGGTTAGCGTAGAGAATCGTAAGAAAATAGGGGAAATAAGGGATATTTATAGTTTATGTAGGAATTTAGTGTATGTTAATGAGCATTTTGTTGTAGACTTTATCGGGCATTTAAGGGAATGGAATAGGACTAGGAAATATTTTAGTGTTAAGAAGGATAATTTAGATATGATAGATAACTTAGATAAGATTTTAGAGAATTTAGAGACTAGGTTTTTAGGTGATAGATCTTTTTTATGTTGGGATGATGTTATTTTAGATTATGATGTTTTTTTGGATAAGACTAGTAATGTAGTAGAGAGGTACAATAGAAGGATTAAGACAGCATTAGTAGAAAGTAGGCGAATTAGAACATTAGATAGAGTTAGAGTTATAGCTGAGGAATTTAATATGATCAATTTTGATTTTAGAGTTAGTTTTAGGAGTAAAAGTAGGCCCCCAAATAAGAAATCCGTGAGAAGCCACGAGAAAGCCCGAGATTTAATTAAACTTTTAAAGCTTAGAAAAAATAAGGATGTTAATTTTGATAGAATTAGAGAACTCATTCTTGATATTTAGGATTAGGATTAGGATTAGGTTTAGGTTTATAGACTGAAACTACCAGGCATTAATTCGGCGATAATTTTCTTTTGGTCATTTTTGTTTATTTAAAATTTTTGTGCTTCAATTTTTACTGTTCTTTTATTTTCTGTTTTTAAGTTTTATCTTTTGTTTCTGTTTGTTTTAATCACTGTTCGTTTGTTTAAATAAAAAAATACCTGGTTAAAAAAGAGTGTCGTCGTTGATTCTTCTGCGGTCGTTGTAGTGGTTGTAGCTGTAGTTGAGGAAGTGAGCGTCTCCATTGATTTGTACCCTTGTTCATTGATAAAAGCGAACGGGGGTACTTGGTACCCTTGTTCAAAGAAAAATGCGAATGAGGGTATTTTGTACCCTTATTCATAAAAACATGCGAACGAGGGTACAAATACCCTCATTCGAAAAATAGAGCTAACGAGGGTACAGGTACCCTCATTCATAATCAAAAGCGAACGGGGGTACGGTACCCTCATGACCGCATACCACCAATGTAACCCTGCGCTTCTTCAAAGCGATTCAAGTTGTAATTGAGGGCGTAATAAAAGCATTTGTCAGTTTTTTTATTTGGGGAGCTTTTGAGTGATCGAAAATTATGTTCTTTAACTGACTTTTTAAAATCTTGACCTTTTTCAGATGACGACGACGGGAAAGACTTTTTTGCCGTTGTCTTTCAGTCGAATTTCAATGAAATGGGTTCCAATCGAAGATCCGAAATGAAAGACGAAGAGGCCTCTTAATAAACAAAATAGACCTTGTCCTTTGCATTCAAAAATAATTACATGTACTTGCGTTGATTCTGAACATGAATCGGAGCATCGCCGTTTTCTCTTACTCTCATTAAATTTCCGATTGCATCGACCAAGTAATGCTCCCCATTCACAAAAGTGGCGCCAGTTGACTTTTGCGTTTTGAATGATTTTATTAATCTTTAATTCCAAAATTAAGAAAATTCTTTATCTTAAAGCTTTAAAAAGTTATCAGCAAAACCGTTCGTAAGAAAAGAAAAAATCTGTCGGATTAATGTTCTTTTGTTTTATTTGGCGGTTGAAATCGACCAAAACAATCGGTAAGCTTTCTTTTTCCATTTGTCGATCGGTCCAACGACCAGTTATCTCTTCAATATTCGCTGTCGACAGTGACAAAGTTGACGTTGACATCCGTGATGTTGACGGTGTTGATTTAAGCAAAGTTGACGTTTTCGATGTTGACAAAGTCGATGTTGGCGTTGTCGATGTTGCCGTCCATGAGGTTGATATTATTGATGTTTGCGAAGAAGAATTTGACGTCCGTGAGGTTGAAGTTGTTGGTGATGACATCGTCGGCCACACACTATCTCCAAGTTTTCGCAAATCAAAAACAGGAATCAATTTTTGCCGCGACTCAAATTTCTCGCATTCATAAAATGGACAAGGACATCCATTTTTACAGTATTTTTGAGTGGGGCACACGTCGCCAGCGGAATCAGATGACCGAGTAAGTTCAAAACAAATCGATTCACACGGTGTAATCGGGTTTATCCTTGTTGATCTCAATATAAGAGTTTCTGAGCAAAGATGGCGGCAGATTTTCTGGTCGTTAAAGCGTTTTTTCTGACAGCGGATTAGGTTCACTTCGTTTTCGTCTTTTGAGAAAACAAGAGGCTCGGGTTTAGGCTGCTCGATTTGGGAAACAGGCTCTGGAAGAATGAACTCTTCAGTTTCATGACATTGCTTCATCAAATGGCCGCAGTAGTCCATTTCAGCAATTTTGACGCATTTTTTGTAGTTTCGGTGGCACGTCGAAGTCAGGAAAGTCGTTTTTCCGAGTGACCTTTGAAGCGAGTACCAGTTCGCTGAAAAATGTTTCTATCGCTAACTTACATCAAGTATTACTTATGAGGATGATAGTAACCCAAAAAACCGAGCCATTAAATAGATAAGATCCGAGCTGAAGATTCGTCGAGAAGCCATGCTTTCCAAGCGTCAATTTTTTATTGACTTTTTTCATTCCTCCCATTGCCTTTTTCTTCCATGTCTTATTTTTCTTTGATTTTTTAATATCATATTCTTGAGTATGAATGCTTCTTGTTGTCAGCACTTCTTGCGGCAACAGAAATACTTCACTCCCTTTTCGTCTTAAAACACCGAAACATTCGCAGTCAAGACACTTGATAAAGTTTCATTAAGTTTTATAACCTCTGAATTATCGCTTGTTTTGTTTTTCACCTGAATTTTTTGCTGCTCCATCGGATTCGCCTCGGTTTCTATTTCCTCCTCAATAACCCTATTGACTGATCTCTAAGAAAGGAAAGAGTAAGTGTGAAGAAAGGAGCGATGAGAGAACCTCTCCAATTTACGATAATCGCGGCACGACTGCTTGTCTGACACTTGGACAGCTTGTCCCCGCTCTTTTACCGGTTCTTACGTCTAACCTTTCCCATCGCTGATTTTTGCTATAAAATTTTGATGACTGTCATTTTAGAACAAGGAGGAAACAAGGAGGAGACATCACATCATCAAGTCTTTTTTGAGATAAATTTTTCTTTTATTTATTAAAGTTACAATTCAGTATCATCATGGTTTGCAATTTCCGCTCGTTTTTAAGCTGATTTTTCGATGTCATCAAAAGCTTGATTTTTAGCGGCAGCTTCTTCATTGCCGCCCATTCCTTCTGCCATCTGGCCATCATGGCGAAGCCGCTTCGCGGCTTTATTCTTGAGAAAGCCGCTACGCGGCTTTTTATAAGAACTCTTTTTGGCTTGAAGTTAAAGGATAGGATTTTCGATCCAATTATAAAAATAAGAATTATAGATCAGCGTTGCGAGCAGCGAAAAAAGACAAAGATTTGGAGAGCGGATCGAAAATCGCAAAATCGTTCGAGAGGAACAAATCGAGGCTCGAAACAAAAAACTCAAAGCTCTGGAAGCTCAACTGGCTCTAGGAAAAGAGAAGCGAGAGGCGATCGAGAACCGAAGAAAGCAGGAAGAAGAGGAGAGGAAAAAAGCGACGATGGCGGCGATTCAGTACGCTACTTCCAATCCCAAAAAGCGGCTTCAGAAGGTTTTTGCCGATTTTGAAAATTAGTTTTTGAAGTTTTTTCCCCTAGAAAGGAGGAAACAAGCAGTTGACGTTGATTTAGCAATGGACCACTCTGAAGCCGACGTCGATTTTGCGTTGAATAACTTTGATGTGGAGGTTGGTTTAGCGGTGGACGACTTTTATAGTCTTGGGTGGTGTAGCGGTGGACGACGGTGGATGACTTCATAGTCGAGGTTCGTGGTAAGGATGAAGACGATACGGAAAAGGGTCAAGGATCACAAGGTTTTTGATTGACCAAGACAAAATTTAAATAGCATTTGAGTTTGACTTAGCATCGGACTTGAGCCTGAACCATTTTCAATAAGTATTTTTTAGTGAAATCCTGACGCCCCTTCTTTATAAGCTCATTGAAAAGAGCGCTAAAAGTTGTCCCAGATTCGCCCGGAAAAGGATGATTTTTTTCATCCCTTTATCTATTGCTCGAAAAATAGAAATTTAAAAAAAAGGTTGAAAAGAGATGAAAACTCGATTCCCGCCAAGGACTCGCAGAGACGATGAGAATTTACATCGGCTACAGGCTGGGCTTATTTGTGACGAGATAAGGATGATTCGATATGGGCCCAGCGCAGCCTCAGCCAGCGCTATCGAAAATTCTCCGCGGGTTGAATCATCGGGGATGTCTCGCGCTGGACTTTTTCGCGCGCGCTTTAAACTGACAATTCTGGTTGATGTGAATGATTTTCCATTTCCCTTTTCAAAAAAATCCCATATTTATACGAAATGAGGAATAAATATACACTTGAAAGAAAATGAGAAATAGTACTTTTCACAGAGAGCCACCCAGAAATGAACTGGGAACAGATCGGAGCGCATTTTGAAATGCCCCTATCCTCAGTTGAAAAGTAAAATTTTATTCTATTGATATCTTAAATTGTACTTATATATATTATACTCTCTTTACTCATAAAAATGATAGTATTTGCCGCCCCGATCGTAAATATCGTCTGAACCAGACACTTTGCTTACCAAATACTGGTAAAAAATACTACACTTTCCGGCAGCCGCAGCGAGTTGAGGCGGAAATGTATCTTTTGCGAACGGCCGACCAGTCCGATATTATCTACAACCCTGGCAATATCAGACAAGGCATTCCTCGAACTGGAAAACAGTTCATTGATACAGAAGAGTGGAGAGAAGAAGCAAAAGACATTGTTGAAGAGATGTTTCCGAATTTGAATTTGAAATGCAGCCGAAGTTAGTGTTTTCAAAACAAGAAAAATCCTCATGCAACATTTATATATAGAGCGGACATGAAAAGATAAACAACAAGGAGGCATGGCTCAGTGGGATCAAGCCCTTGTCGATTTTCGTCAAGCCGAAATTCGAGTTATCATTGGACAGTTTCCCCGACGAAAATGTTTCAACTTTGACGAGACGCCGATAAATTGGAGATACAAACATAATAGAGGATTAATTAAAAGAGGAGAAGATCCGAAAAAATATATGACAGCTGATTCCCGGAAAACATTTATTGCTGGAGCGATGATGAACTTCCATGAAGCTTTGTATCCAATGGTGATAGATAAATCAAAAATTCACGATTTTACGCAGCGATTCGGTGAGCGTCTCACAGATCATGGAACTTTCAAATCTGCGGCATTTATGATCAATGGAAAGTGGTGCCTCTACTATACTTCTGCAACTGGTTTGATGACCACACCCATTTTCCATCATTATATTAGCTTCGTTCAAAATCATTAAAATGGAAACTTGCTACTATTGTGCGATAATTATCGTAGTCATCAACTCGATCCATTGGTTCATGATCGTGTGCGTATGGAAAAATTTGCTCCTTGAACGACACATGTCTCGCAACCAGCCGACCAATTCTTAAATCTTGAAATCAAAAAGAAGATGAGAAAAAAAGTACATGGATATGGAATTCGACTTGGGCCGACTCGAGGACACATTGCGGAGCGAGGATGGGTCGTCGAAGAGGTAACAATTGAATAGAAATCATAAAAGATTAATTTTATTTTAGGCCTACAAAACTATTCTTGGCATCTCGGAGGATACGATCAAAAAATCCTGGCGATAATGTCAACTTGAATACCCGGAAAATTTCGAGCCCTGGAGACCCTGGTAATAGAGGAGACATGGTACACATATATTCTGCCGAAGAACGCCCTCAAAAAGTTCATTTGCATTTCTGATTTTATGTTTAAAAATAACAGCATTATTTAATAAATATTGAAAGAAGTAAAGTCGCCAAAATTTGAGCTGAAAATCTGCAATGAAAACGCCCTTTGTGGCTTGATTATTCATCCTTGGGCCGGATGATAGGAATTTTCGATAGCGCTGGCTGAGGCTGCGCGGGGCCCATATCGAATCATCCTTATCTCGTCACAAATAAGCCCAGCCTGTAGATTTTACAGCTGATTTAACATCTTAATTTCCCGCTGAGTCTTCCCATGATTTCAATGCAAACATAACGATCGGCAACCAAGACTCTGCTCAAGAGGACATACAACTGACTCGCCAGAGGATTTCAACTCGACTTATGAAATCATAATGCCTTCTACAGTTAATTCTTCTTCCATAATGTCAATAATACGATCAACGACAACTTGTCGTTCTTAGAACAACAATATCATCGACCACAAAATCAATTCGATGATTTTTTTGTTATAATCTTTATTGAGCATTCAAAACATTTTTTTAATTTTATTCAAGCAGTTGGAATGAAATAGTCAAGTCTGATCAAATTTACTCTAAGAGATGCAGTAATCAGCAGGAGATAGAAAAATAAACGGATAACACACCAACTCTTCTTGCCATCCAATAATTTGAGTGGTAACTTTTTCTTCGCTTGAGTCTATTAAAAAGCTCCAGAAAACTAAAATGAGAAGACGGCTTTCAACTCTCACGCCGCACAGTGAATCTAACATTCAGAGTGTTCGTCTTTTACTAAGGTTGTCATCTCCCCAAGGTTGCAACTTCGGGAGAGGGCTATCTAAAAATAGAAATCTGTTACCCGTCGGCGTTTGGTTAGCGCCCTTTTATTGAATATGCTCGGAGCTCTTGACCTAAGAAATTAATCTTTTGAATCGGAAAGTATGAGCCAGAATTATAGCCTGGAAATATGGATATGGAGTTTTCGTGTAAAATTGCTGATGGACATTCTAAATCCTGAAAAGGTAATGAACGACAAAGTTCTTATTTTCATTGAAGATTCTTCAAATGACATTTTAAATAAGAACATAAAGAAAACAATCAAAAATATATTTACTTCTGAAAGAGAGCCGATCAATGACCATTTGCCGTCCATAAATCGCCAAATTTCATTTAATACCTTAGAAACGGAACCGTAGTGAGGGGCTATCCTTCGAGCTGGCCTCGAATTCACTACATGCCTTCTGGAGCATTATTTTTGGAATCTCCATGGTCGAATTAGTAAAAATCGTTTTTTCCTGAAAATTTTTGAGCAAAAATGCTCATGACCTTCCGAAAAGTGAACCTTGTGCAGATCAGCTGGACCGTCGCAACAACCCTCTGATCATGATTTTCCTCGATAGATTAGAGATTTACCACTGAGCTTCGCTGTTTCCCGCAGAGTTTGGCAGTTCGGCCGTGTTGGGCTTGTCACCCGCTTGGTCCGGTCATTTTGTCACCCGCCCGATTGGGGGCAGGCGAATCCCTCTTACCCCATTTGAGCGCCTATAATTCGAGGTGCTCGAATGCAATTCGCGTATTTTGAGTAGCTTAACCGCGTGGGACGAATTGTACATTCCAATGTAGTTTAAGACTTTGAAGAGCCCTAGTTCAAAAACTACTGATCGTATAGATCTGAAAATTGAAATGCGCCTTTGCACATCCTTAATCTCTCGCTCTTTAAAATTTTACCGAATTATCGCGCACCACCAGCGCTCTGCAGCGGATTAACTCTGACCTACTTCGCGCTGCGCTCCTTTTCTCACTCGTAATTCAGGTCTCAATTGGGATTTATAAATTTTTTCAAAGTGAAAATATAGGTTTTCGATACTGGAGATTTCGAATTTTGAATAATATTTACAAAAATTCAATGCGAAATCAACTCAAACGGTTAAATCAAGACCTACAAGTAATATGAGAATGAGGTTTGCAGACAGGAAAACGAAAATTTAAATTGAAATTATGAAAGCCTGTATTCGATTTAGTATTGTCTGTAAATTTGGCGGGAACCGGATGAGCGAGTCGCGAGTTATTCAAGTTTTCGCTTAAACTACAATGGAATGTACAATTCGTCCCGCGCTCATACGCGTGGATTCGTCCCACGCGGTTAAATTCGAGCTCAAGGTTTATAATAATAGTCTTCTGCGTCAGAAGTTTTCTGATAAGGGTAAGAGAAAGTACGTTCCTTAAA